CACCATCCGAGGCAGTTTCTGTGAATGTCTCAGTATCAGATCCTGTCCATATAATGGTGGTGGTGGTGGAATAAGGACAAGATGTGCTATTGTCCGTGGAGCTGTACCAGTCAATATCAGTTGTATGATTTGTTCCATCAGGATAGAGCACGGACATATTAAACTCAGCCATCTTCTTACCTCCTTGGTAGTAGACCATTTTTATAGGATAATAGGCTCCCGCTGTAAGTGTGACTTTCTCTGTAGCAGTTGTACTTTTATCGTCTCCAATTAAATAAGCATTTTCGTCAACATTTCCTGTGAGCGGTTCCAGTCCACAACAATCCATTGCAACTCCTGCTCCTAGTGTGATAGATGCAGCGTCATCAACATAGCTTATCTCGAAAGTGTAGACTCCAGTTGTACTGGCGTAAAAATATCCCGAGAGCCTCAAACCAAAGTGTCCTACGTTAACTGTTTTTCCATATAGGTCTCCATTTACTGCACTGGCTCCCCGATCTGCGAAGTAGAAATTTTGACTAGTTACCCCTCCCCAGGAATATTCCGCTTCGGACTTGTCAATTACAGTAAGAGCAACAGTGGCCAACTTAGCCGTAGCAACACTATAATCTTCGGTCAATTTGATATATTCGGCGTATAGACCTTTGGAAACAGATTGGGGGCTGCATCCCCCGATAGTCGCTGCAGTGGTGGTTGCACAAAGAAGTTGAACAACAAAAAGAAAAGTTATTGAAAACTGATTGTTCATCATTGTGTAACTTCAATCTTCCAGAATCCTCATCAATATATATATACTTACTGTAGAAAATTATAAGATGTTCACATATCCCTAGTCACCATCATAGGGCAAAATAGGACCAGAATGGATAAGAGTCTTGGTAAAAACAATTGAAAATAAACTTAAAGCTTATAGGATTTTCTTAGCAAATAGTTCCCACCTTCTTAAGCGAAGGTAGCTGGATGAGGATAGCAGAAATGAAGTTCCATCCCAATATACAAAGCTAGCTATCTGAATAGGCTCATGAGTTTGAGTAGAAGGGATATTTCAAAATATACTGCACAATTTGGAACCTTGATGACTCGTTTTGGTTACTAGAATCTTGCATTAGAAGTAATTTCATATTTGAATAAACTTTAATTTATCTTTAATATTTTGATAAGCTCTGTTGTTGCTCCTGTTTCTCCAAATTAGTAATGTGAGGATGCAGTAATTACGTCACCCTTAATGCAATACCTAAAGTAGATTGGATATTCCTACAAATAGTTGCTCTAATGAAGCGCGATAAAATTTTAAATTTGCAGATACGATACAGTGATTATTATATAACAATTATATAAACCCGTTCAGGCGTTTCAAGCTGGATTACATTCACATCGGGTCCATTGTCTCACTAAAGAGGTTAGTGAATATTTTGGCAGACAAATCAAATGGGATGACAAATCTGGGTAACTTCCTTCTCAAGGTTTTAGGGATTCGAATAGTCTTTTACAACTTTTGTTACAATAAACCAATTCCGACGAGACGGTTTACTCGCAAAATTATTGCTACCCGGACGTCTGGCTCCTACGTACGCTTTAGAATACAATATAAATCTTTCGTGGAATTGTATGAAAAATTCGAAAATCGAATGCAAGAGAGAGAGAGAGAGTTAGCGAAGATTTCATTGGACAGTAAGCAACAAAACTGCCATTAAATGTCATTTATGGATGTCTTACTATGATATTAGAATGAAGTGGTGAAGCGTATCAGTGTAAAATATGCTAATTAAAGGACAGTTAACCTTTCCTGAAATTTGCAACTGTCATATCTTCGGGGAGTTTGTGCTAAACTGCGTCAAATTCGGGGAAACCGAGTCTTTCTGGGTAGTTTCTGAGTGAGTGACTTTAATGGGAATCGGGGTTTCGAGACTATACGGGAGAACGTCAATTAGCTATTTTAACGGCCTGACATATGTTTAGGGTTCAGGGCACATGGCTCTTGTGGGATCAAGGGTTAATGGCCAAAAAAAAGAGTGAGACCTTTGACGTCTACCGGTAGCAGCAGAAGGGCCCGGGAGTATCCACATAACCCGTATAGCTTGACCATGCTAAAAGCTTCCGGTTGAAAAACCTGAATACTAAATATTGGATTGGCCTTACTTCGGGTAATTATCTGTGTTAAAGAAAGTTTTGTCAGTGCATTCTGAGATTAAAAAATTAGGCAAATTGATAGGTGAGCATTGCTGGTCTCCTCCAAACCTTTTCACCGTCACCAGATTACCAATTTAAGACAGTACACTAAAAAGGAAATCCAATTGTTGGATTCCAAGCTGATGATACGGTTGTCCTTTTTGTTTTGGAACCTTTACTGCCTAACTCATACATTTTTCCGTGTTTCAATGCTCAGAACTATTCGACGAAATAGCTCTCACCCTATTGTTCAATCCCCCTTTTTTTACCTGATGTACTCTAAAGCTCCCTTAGAATGGCAACTAAAGTGAAAGGACGTGTGTATTGTATAGCTTACGGCAAGACCGGAAAGATGTACAGCGTCTGTTATAGACCAAACTTAGATGAACAATATAGCTATGTGCTGGTTTGTGCATGAAGGAGCTGTTGCAATCCCATAAGCCTTGAAAATAGGGGTGGGATCGGAGGAACCATTCTATTATTTCATTGGAAGAGGCCAGTATCCAACTCGGCTGCAACTACTTTGTTGTTATAATTTCCGTTTTCGCATGTACCACAAACAAGGATAACTGAAGATGTATGACAGATATCCTGCATCTGACTATGAGCAATGTTTCTATATTTGGCATTCCGTTAACTCCGAGAGATTAGTAAAAATCTGGTGGTTAAAGCTAACGAGAAAAAGGGCGTGCCCAAAATATAAAGCTGCCTGCACACAAGGTAGTCGGTGGCAAATGTATCCAGTGCTTGAATTCTGTCCAGATAAGTAAGGTCAATCATAATGTCTGACAGTAGAACCGTGGTCGTTACAGGAGCCTCTTCAGGAATTGGGTTGGCAGTAGCCAAGGAGTTTGCCTTGAATGGTTACAATGTTATAGCTGGGGCTAGAAGACTTTCCTCTATGGAAGAGTTGAAAAAGTACAGCATCACAACTGTAGAGTTAGACATCGCCTCCCCTGAATCGGTTGAAAAACTTAGGAAGTTGGTTGAAACCGAATACGATGGGGCCATCAAGTATCTTTTGAATAATGCTGGTCAAAGCTGTACCTCAGCAGCTGTTGAAGTATCTGATGATAAGCTCTCCAAATGCTTCGAAGTGAATGTTTTTGGTCATATAAGAGTTACCAGAGAATTAGCTCCGTTTGTGATAAAAACAAAAGGTACCATTGGATTCACTGGCTCTGTTCAAGGTATCCTGGAAACCATGTTTCTAGGAGTTTATGCGAGTTCAAAGGCTGCAATTCAGTCATACGCTTCGGGGTTGGCGTTTGAAATGGCACCTTTTGGCGTGAAGGTCATCAACTTTGTTACAGGAGGTGTCAATACCGCAATGAGAGGATTCAATTTGAAAACTGTGCTTTATAATGAAGAGGGATTGGAAGAGGTAGCGAAGGCCTACGATTCACTTCCGAACAAAAACATGGACGCCCATGTCTATGCGAAAAAGGTTGTCAAAGACTTCGAACATTCTAAATTGGGTGTTATTCACCATTATAGAGGTACTGGGTCCACTATTCTTTGGATAGCTCATACTTTCTTCCCCAAATTCGTTTTGAGTATGTTGTTTGTGCTGGCGTTTAAGTTATCGACTCTTCTTAAATCGATAACTAACAAGTATAAATGAGAGCTTCTACGTCTGTATCAATAGAAGAGCTTTTAACAAGCCGAGAATAACTTTGGAAACTTTTATAGCGTCCTAATAGAATCAGCCTAACTCTCCAAAAGCTTTCTATTGAAATCAAGTTGAGATTGAACATTTCATCATATATATACTAACTCATATGCCCAATATATTATCAAAAAAACCATAAGCTATAAGGTAGAGATAGGCATAAACCATAAAATATGAGGTCTAATTTAATCTTCCAATAAAGCAGCAGCTTGGGGTAGTATCCTTCGGAAATAGGGCGTTCCTTGATGAGTTTACGAAGAGTTTCAACATCTACTGTTGACAATTGAAAGGGAAAGTCAAATTTCTTGCCGACATTTGCCTTGATATATCCGGATGGGACTGGGATAATCTTAGTGACCTTTGGGACTCCTTCAAAGTGATACACTTTGAGCGTAGCTCAAATTCAAAGCATCCAAGGTTAAGGTCTTCGACTTGGCGAACTCATATTCACCTAGTAGCTTAACTCATTATCCAGTCTAAATTGATCCGTGGTGTCCATACGAGCAAATTTTCGTCAAACAATATGGCTGCGTTTTCAGTCTTTCAGCTTTAAAATCTTTTGCAACCGCGCTTTTGCAACCTGGGTGGCTTCGAAAATGAAATCTAATCTCGCTCGTCTTTAACTTCAAAACTTTTGACAGTTTTGAGGTGAACTTTGAACATTCTTAGCCAAGCATGATTCTCTGCAAAGATATCGATATAGACTTTTGGACCTCCCTCATCCTTAGGATCCGCAGTCCTCGTCGACTTAAGTTCGAATTTTCAATCATGTAATTCCTTGTGTACTCTCTTCATTTCGCAGATTTTACCTTTTGAGTCCAATATGACTCAACAATATCCATTTTAGAAATTCTTCAATATATTTTAATAACTGCTCATATTCTAATGCTGAATATTCTTCCTAACCAACATAACTTACTTGACTGACTTCAACCGCCAGCTTGAGCATAAAACAATGATGGTTTGTTTTGGTAGTATATCAGTGCGTGTATGGAAAAATAGGTATCGCGAATTATAATTCGCACGAAGATCTCTGCACGCTGCCAAATCTATGGTTACACTCCGATTGATTTTACTGAGTCGGAATCGCCTGCTTTTTATCTGGAACATGGGCCTACTATTTTCCATATATTTAGATCGATATTGAGTGAGTACGTTCTTAAAGAATCAGTAATGAGCCAATAATAAGCTGCCAGTGTCTTCTCCCAATAGAAGCAAGCTTAAAGCGATATTTCAAAGGATAAAGAAAGATTATCTGCGCTGTATATTAATAATTATAATGGGTAAATGAAGGTCTTGTTCTCTAAATCAGTCAAATCCAAACTTCCGATATCAACCTTCTCAGTGACTTCCTTACCTGTCTCGGGGTCAATCTTGACAACGGTACCAAATAAGGCTTCTGGATGACTCTCGATATAGGCCAATCTTTCTTTGTTTCTGGCTTTCAAAATCAATGTAATGACCCCAGCAACCAATGGAGTACCAAACCATGCCAAAACAATTTGTACAGACCAAGCAGCATAGTATCTATTGGTCTGATTACCTTTCCAAAGTTGAGGGGAGATAATATTGGCAATTCCATACGCCACACAGAAAATAAAATGACGGAAGTATCTCTTGGTGTTACCAGAGCATGAAGATGAAGACCATCCAAAACCAACAATATATGCTAAGAAGTAGGTATTAGCAGCAAGAACTAACATCGCCAATAGTGCTAACTTGTTTGACCAAGAGATGGTCACCATTGCGATTCCGCCAGCAATAGAAGGAAGGCATCCTACCACACAAATCCAGAAGGAGTTGTTAGGAAAATAATGGGTGAGTATAGCACCAAACACAGCAAAGGCAGACGCAAATCCACCGCCAGCCACACTTACCAACGTAGAACCAAGATTAGAAACTCCTAATGAGACATAAAGAAGATTTTGCTGGTAGTTCAAGTTGTTAGCCAACATGATCAAAAAACTGAATAAGGCAAACAACCAAGTGATGGGGTCACGCAAACATTCTATTATTTGATGCCTCTTAATATTATGCTGTGTGATAGAAGCCTTAGATTCTTTTTGAACTCTTTTAATCAAGAAAAACTTCTCCTTGTCGGTTAAAAAGTTCGCCTGTGAAGGATCTGAAGGGTAGAAGATGTAAATGATCACACTCATAACCAAGGTGATGCCCCCGTTAATGATCATAAAAATCTTCCAGGGAGGAATGGTGTCTTTAGCATAAAGAACTCCATAGGCCATAAAACCGACAATCACCACTGGAAAACCAACACATCCAATCCAGAACACAGGCTGGATAGTGGCCCTTTGGGTAGGAGTGTAGAATTGGAATAAGGACACCTCCAATGCTGGGACCACGATACTCTCAAGTATTCCCAACACCAATCTGAGGACTACCAATCCTCCAAAGTTGAAAGCAGCAGCATGAAGAAACACCACCACCGACCACAAAAAAACAATTATGGTCAAAAATATTCTCAAGTTGTATTTCTGTAACACAAAGTTTAATAATTGGCCAACAGTGTAGCCAGTATAGAAAATCGAGTTTAAATCGTCATAAAGAGAATCGGTCAAGTTGGTCGACTCATAGATCCCCAAAATAGCAGCATAGGACAAGGTCGCCTTGTCCATAAACAAAAGGGTGTTAACCGCAATAAGCAAAGGCAATAAATACCAATGAACCTTGTTTGTGATGACTGAATGTTCCTCATCAGATAACTCAACCCCGGCAAACTCTTGCTCATGGGCATCGAGAAAGATTAAAGTGGCATCAGCTTTTTCGATGTTAATTAAGTTAACGGAAACCGAAGAATAGTCTTCGCTGATATTGAGAGCTTCCTTCTCCAAGGACTTGTTTGAGTCGTCTGCCATCTCTTGCGGAGGAACTTTCAGGACATCGATTGGTTTATATATTCATCTGTGAGACTAATCCTCAATTGGTTATAGAGGTCCGGACCTCTATCCACAGTTAATCCGATGCCACAGTTTTGGTAATATTAACGGAGGCGGGTATCCTTGTTAGATAAGCCACTAAAGTCTCAGCGGATTGACTAACCAGGCGCGTGCGTGAAGTACGCAATTTCGGCGATCTGATGATGAACCGGATATGTATTACCATATTAGGAAGGTATGTACCGATCGCACCATCACCACAGAAATCATTATATAGCTGTTTCTCAATGGCGTGAGAAACCGTTATCCACTTTCTACGCAATGCCTGAACTCGTGAAGATCAACCTCCCTAATACACATATCGTTAATGGCAACGAATTCCCCGTGGCTTTCGACTTACAAGCTGCTGACACATTTAAAGAAAATTCAGATAAGGTTGCGGCATTCCTTTCCAAGACTGCCAAATCCCAATTTTTCAACAACGCTTTAGCCAAGCATGGTGCTGTAGTGATCCGTAATACTGGAACTATAGATCCAGACACGATCGGTAAGTACATTGCTGCTATTGGTACAGGTTCTGGAGATGAGTTTTTCGAGCAGCATGGATCGACTGCCCAACGAACTGAAATCACAAACTACTTGAGCACTGCTAACGAAGGGCCTTCTTCCACTTATATCCACCAACATAATGAGTTTTCCAGGTTTACCAAGTATCCAACCCGATTATTTTTTGTTTGCACCAAAATGGGCAAAGAGACAAAAGGTGGAGAGACTCCTATTGTTCATGGGGCTGAGTTCTTCAACAAGTTGCAAGAAAATGTGCCTGATCTAGTGGACCTGTTGTCCAAGAGAGGCCTCTTGTATGAACAGACTTGGAACTTCACATCCCAAACCAAGACCAGTTGGTGGGACTATTTCTGCTTTGGCAGAGAAATCACCAAAGAAGATACTCTTGAAGTCCGCAAACAAAAAGCTGCCATTAGCGTAGCTGCCAATGTTAGCAAAGACTTTTCATGGGGAGATGACAATTCTTTGGAGGTGTACCAGCACACAGATCCTATTCGGGTCCACACAGATCCTACGACTGGCAAAAAAAACCCTACGGTATTTTGCAGTATAGCCACATACTACCACACTTCCAAAGATGCGAATGCTAATACACCTACAAAACCACTTATGTATGATGATAATCATGAGATTATTGATGAGAAATTGCTTGAAAAAGCTTTCCAAATCGCCTTCGATGTTTCCTATGAACACCAATGGCAAGAAGGTGATATCGCCATAGTTGACAACTACCAAGTGAGTCATGGAAGATGCCCTTGGTCTGATGGGCCTCGTACCATTCTTGTTAGTATGTGGGACACACCTGGTAAGCCCGAGTACCCAGCTTGGAAGCCCTCGGCCTTATAGTTTAATATGCACACTATATGATAAGCTTTGAAGCGCCACAGTTTTTTCCCAGTAGACTCGGACCATTAATTCCCAATTTGGTACCGGCAAAGGTATTCAATTTTGGCGAACACTTTATATAGCAGCAAGTCGTGCTTCTAAGTACTTCAGAGAAACATGGATAAGAGTCAACCAATTATTATTGTGGGTTCTGGAGTCTACGGGTTGTCTTCGGCCTATCATTTGGCGACTGCAGGGTACACCAACATCAAGGTTTTTGACCGGGGCGACTACGACAACAATGAGTTTAGTCCGTTGCAGGGAGCCGATGGGGCATCTACAGATGTTAACAAATTAGTTAGAGCTTCTTATGTCGATAAGGTGCATTATCAGGATCTCGCGGTGGAAGCGTTGCACGACTATCATGAATGGAATGAGCAGTTGTTGAAAATGCCATTCTTACCGCGGGCTTTGGCAACGATTCAAGAACGGTGTCTTCAAGAGGGCGATCTTGAGCCTATTTTTCAGAACACCGGCTATATCAGGCTTGACGACTATGAAAACGGCGAAGAGGAGAGAAACTTGCACAACTTCGAGAAGGCCGGACTTCGCAAACACTCCTACGACATCAATAATGCGGACGATATCACCAGAGCCAAGATTACAGGCTGGTACAGAGCCTTGGACCCATTGAATCAACGAGAAAAGGTTCCCACTTTGACAGGAGTACTTGACTCCTTTGCTGGGGTAGCTTTGGCTGACAAGTGTTTGATCTGGGTGAGATATTTGTGTGAACGGACAGGCAACGTGCAGTTTATTTATGGACCCGGAAAAGGGGAAGTGCTGAACCTCGTGTATAGTGCAGAAGACAGCTTGAAGGTTGTGGGCGTCAAAACCGTTGACGGAAAGGAACACCAAGCAACTAAAGTTGTTTTGGCAGCAGGAGGATGGACTCCCAAATTTGTGCCAGAGTCCCTCTCTCCAAGACTTGAAGCCATGGCATCAACATACATAATGATCCAAATCCCCAGAGACCGTAGGGACTTGATTAACAAGTACAGGCGCATTCCTATGATCAACTGGAGGATGACGTATGAGCTGAACTTTCGCTCAGATGCAGTGTATGTTTTCCCTGCCACCCATGATGGGATCTTGAAAATGGGTGTTAACGACCATTACTGGAGAAACTTGGTGAAGGTTGGAGATGAGATGGTCAGTATTCCCGACACAAACATGAAACTTCTTCCCAAACAATCATTATTAGACTACCAAAAGTTCATTAAGGAATTCATGCCAGACCTTTACGAAGCTGGTGCATCCATCGAAAAGACAAAAATCTGTTTTTCTTCTGTGGGGCAGCAGAACGAGTTGGTGATTGATTTTGTTCCTAGTTACAAGAACCTTTTAGTTTGTGCAGGAGGTGGATTCCATGGATACAAGTTTTTGCCGGTTATTGGGAGGTTCACAGAAGGCTTAATCTCTGGAAAGCAGTACAGTCACAGTCAATTTTTTAAATTCGACTATATCGATCCCAAAGATTATAAACCAATAGTCAAGGACCCTGAACATGAATATGCTTTAAACAGTGTAGAATTTGCTGAAAGTCGTCTGAAGTACTACGATTATTAAAGAATTAAATATAAAATTTGCAGCTTTCACAAAAAACCAACCATCTAAAAAATACGCCCGAAAAATCATTTCAAAAATCAGGGAAAAATGACATCACGCTTCTTGTTCTGACCCAGTAAGGGATAGTGGCAGATCATACAGTAAACCACGATAAATAGATTATTCATTAAAGTATGTGCTCATGCCAAACGCATTGATCGGCCGAGGGCGAGAGTTGGACTCAAGATCACTACAGGAACTTTGTTAAATACCATTAAAACATTATTATTCACATATATACATTCTAATAGACACAAATTGGTCTTAGTTTTCGTGAATAGTAAGGTATCTTCATAAAATAGATATCTTGAATAAAGCATAAGCTTAAACCTCCTTGGCTTCGGTGACTTCACCCACATCAGTATTTTCATCTTCATTATTGACTTTGGCCTTTTGTTCTTCATCATCTCTATTAGCAAGAGCAACGTTATCCCCCTTGGGAATTTTTCTATTTGTGGTGAATACACCTGAGATCATGGTACAAGCTGCCAATGCAATAGCGAAATAGAATGCACTATAAATAGCATCTTCTAATATTTTCCTGACGAATCTGGCAGCATCGGGTGATAGAGCTGCTATGATATCGGAATCGTTAGCGAGCTCTGTAAGGGAATATTGATCAATTTGAGTTGCTATCGACTTTGGAACTGTTTTCATAGCACTAGTGTACTTGCTTTTCAAAGATGAGTTGTAAGCAATATCTGATAAAATAGTACACAAAGATGAGCCTAAACCTCTACCAAAAGTAATAAAGGATGTTGACATGATAACCCCACCTTCAATCTTTGGAGCACTAACTTGAGTTGAAGACATTACGGATTGAAGAAGTAAACCAAAAGAAGCACCAACCATTATCACCAACCCAATTCTATGAGAGGAGTCAGAGTCTTGGTTTAACAACGGCAAAACAGCAGTACCAGCAACAGCAAAAACTGAGCCTAACATAAGTAATGGCTTTATAAATCTAGTTTTACCGATAAGTACCCCGGTGCTTATAGAGCAAATCACCAAAGGAATTACAAACGGTAAGGAATTAATTCCGGATTTAATTGGACTGTAGCCCAATACGAGTTCCCAATAAAGTGAAAGGAACAAAATACATACGGTGAAGTAACTCATCATGAAGAATGAAGTTATACCGGCAAATAACACCCCTGGTGTGGTAACCATTTCAACTGGGATCAAAGGCCGAGGTGAAAACCGGAAGTTCCACACACAGAAACCAATGAAGAAAAAAGCTCCCAAAATAATATTGACTATTACAGCAGCCGATTTCATTGGATATTCATTAGTGGAGTAAAAGGACAACCCAAGTAGGAACAACACCAAGCCAATAGCTATTAAAGTTGTACCGATATAGTCAACTAGTTTAAGCTTAGTTCTCAAATCGAAAACTGGATTTGGTGGGTTGAACGAATAAACAAAGAACACACTCGCAACCCCACCAACCGGTAAGTTGATATAAAAGCACCACCGCCAACTAACATTGGATCCGAAGGCACCTCCAATGAGAGGTCCACATACAAGGGATACGGCCATAGAAATTCCCATACAAGCGAAAACAAAGGGTCTCTTGTTGATGGCAGTAACTTCAGATGCAATAATAAAAGCCAAACTTTGAATACCACTGGCACCTACACCAGCTAACACTCTTCCACCAATCAATGTATTCATATTTGGAGCCAAAGCACACATCAAAGAACCGGCCTCAAATAATACCACGCAGACTACCATGGTATACTTCCTACCAAATATAATGGAGATTTGACCCCAGTTGGCAGAAAAAACAGTAGAAGGTAAAAAGAACCCTGTCATCAACCATACCACTTTACCTACTGCGTTGAACTCGGTACCAACTTGATTTAAGATGGTCGCCACAATGGTTTGATCTAAGCCAACCAAGAACATACACAATGCAATTGATATGACACATAGCACCAATTTGGCCCCTGTTAAATATTGGTCTTCTCTTCTTGTACCATCTCCTGCATCGTTCTCTATAAACTTTTTGACAGACTGCTCAGCCGGTGAACTACTGTCTAATGCGATATTGACAGTACGCACCGCTGCATCTTGCGATGCCTGAGCAGATATTTTTGGGATTAGTTGTGACATTTGCTTGATTCATTCATCACCGGATATTCAGTGGAATTTATAATTGGGTGGACCTTCAAATAAGCCTGTTCACATCTAGCAGACTATCTTCGATTATGTAATCGCATATAACCAGGCGCCGCAGAGATATTGCAGTTGCGAAATGCTTACAGGCATGACTAGATGTGGTTTGGTTTGTACACGCACCTGTCAGGAAGTTTCGCACAGAGACGGTCCCTTTCGTATAACGCATCTCCGTCGGAGATGTCCCTTTGCGGTTTGCTTGATAGTATAAAATGGCATCAAAGAGAATTTGCAATGTTTAAATGAAAGTTTTTGTTACAGGTGCAACTGGTTTCGTGGGAACTGCGGTAGTCAAGGAATTGGTGGCCCATGGTCACAAAGTGACGGGATTGGCCCGTTCTGACGAATCTGCTGAGAAACTCATTGCTGTAGGTGCAACTTATGTCAAAGGTGAATTAACTGACACGGACATTGTGGTGGATGCTGCCAAAACCGCAGATGGAACTGTGCACTTGGGATTGGTGTACGATGCACAAAATCCCAAGAGACGGGAAGCCGTTGATAGACACATTATTGGGGCTATTTGTGACGCTTACATTGGTACGGGAAAGCCATTTATAGCCACTGGAGGCACACTTTTTGTGGTGAATGATACCAAGGTCGACGAGGATTTCCAGCAAGACTTTAAAAAGATTCAATTTGCAGAGGGTAGAGCATCCAATGAACTATTTGCTTTATCGTACGCTTCCAAAGGTGTGAGGTCCATGAGTGTTAGACTTTCACCCAGTGTACACGACATTGGTGATATTGGCTTCATTCCAACACTTATAGAGATGTCGAAAAAGAACGGATATGTGTATTACCCGGGAACGGGAGAAAACGTATGGCCTGCTGTCCACAGACAAGATGCTGCTGTTCTTTATAGATTGGCACTCGAGGGGGCTCCGGCGGGTTCTATATTGCATGGAGTTGGAGAAGAAGGAATACCGGTAAAAACCATCGCTGAAGCTCTTTCAAAGAAGTTAGGACTCACAAAGTGCTCAGTCCCAGCTGCTGAGCTTCCTGAAAAGCTTGGGCCAAGGTTTGGTGTTATTTTTGCGTTGAACAACCCCACGAGTAATGCAAAGACGAAAACAATAACTGGGTGGAAACCAACAGAAATTGGCTTGATAGAGGATATACTCGAAAATTACTAGAGGAGTTTAGTGAATACGCATATACCGGAAAAAACAGCTTTCAGCCCGTAGTCATAAACTCTGTTACAAATGAATTACATTTATCATCCCATATTCTATTACTTAAATCCCAATCAAATCGTAGAACTTTTGCTTACGAGAGCGAGGAATTTCCTCACTAGTGGCGACAACTTCTATAGGTTGTACCTTTTCATCCAAAGTAGACTCAAGTTCAGAGTCAGTTTGGTAGATGTCGACATGGTCGGTCAACTTGATATTTTTGACAAACCACATCAAGACAAGCATGGGCACAAGAATCCCCAAAGTAACCCAACCAATGATCTGTTGTGTTTCTCTATAAGCCAAAGAAATGGCATCTCTTTCAGGGGTTCCCTTTTTGTACTTAAGAGCAACAGGAAGAGACTTGTAGATCTTAGTAGCATTGGCCTTTTCGGCTTCTGGCAAGTACTTGTCAAGCTTTTGCAAAACAACCGAGTTCCAGATACCACCAGAAATAGCGCTTCCAATAAGTGAACCTGCGGAAGAGAAGGCCAAGAAGAAGGCAGTCGACATGGCAATTCCTTGTTCTCCAGCAACCCCTTGAATGATTACTTGCAAAGCGGTTGTGTAGATACCCCGGGAAGCACCGATGAAAACTTCGAACATATAAAGAAGACCTCTGTCAGCAACACCACCATGGTAGTTGATGAAGCACACCGCAAGCACTTGGCCCATGAAATAGATTGGAATACTAGTAATAATGAAAATCTTAGATCTCTTGGTATATTTCATCAACACACCGCCAACCACATTGAATATTTGCAAGCAAGCTTTCTTCGAGTCATCAATTCTAGTGGCTTCACCAACCGAAACGTACTTCCCCACCTGTAAAACTGTCTTCATGTAAGTGGCATAAGCAGAGTTACAACACCAATCACAACTTGCAATTAAACATGCAATAATCATGGTGGAGGTCATAGTCCCCTTGGGAAGAAATGGGTGTTTGGGAACCTTGGCGTTGTATAACAAAAATGTTACGAAGATAACAAAACCAACCACCACCATAGCAATTAACTTAGCTTCATGCCACTTGTAAGATGATTTAGTTCCGGTAAGTGTCAAAGGGACAAACACAAGACACATACCAACAAGCATCAAAGCACCGCCAAACAAATCCAACTTGACGAACAAAAAATAGGCAGTCTTTTTGTACCAGGGACCTTCGGGTAAGTCCTTGAATGCATCAATCATTCGATGGTTACCATCTTGCTTGGTCTTGGTATCCACATAGTACATGAAAGCAGTCAACAAAATGCAAGCCACGAACATGATGATAGCAAAAGAGCCGTAACCCCACCTCCAGCCTGTATGAGCCATATAAGCATCTTGAATGACAGAGCCCACGTATAAACTGGGCACACCGGCAATAGCATCTGGCAACTGGGACAAAAACCCACGGTTGATCAAAGAACTGTTCTCAGCAATAAAAGCTTGCTGGAAAACCCTGTACCCAACCTTACCTACTGCAAAAAAAATCTCTGCGCACACGTAAGTATCAGCGTTTTGGCACGAAGCATACAAGACATAGGCAAGCGTATAAAGCAACACGGCGAAACCAAATCCTTGGGATCTGCCTGCCAAATCGTGCAATTTTCCCATGATAGGATAGGTGACGATGGCAGTAATTTTGTAAACCACGGCAGCGGTTGCAATCAACGAGTGAGCATTGAACTCGGAAGTGGCATAAGAACTAAGACCCGAAGTGGAATCGTTGGCAAAGTTTTCGACAAAAGCGGTCATTACCAACACGAAGTAAGCTAAGGTCAAGACCTTCTGACCCTGTCTGCTCCTAAAGAGCTCGACGGGTTTTCCATCTCTGGAAGATTTCTCTGAAGCTTGTTCTTCCACTTCGGAGCTGTGCAACCCCAGTACCTTTGATTCCACAGAATCCGAGAGACCAGCCTCTGAAGACACTTTTGCACTCATATCAAAAGATGGCTACAAATCAGAGGAAATTTCTAGCTCCTTTATAGGCCTCTTAATCAGATCTGCACATTGAATGTATAAGAAAAATTATCAGATGGCATCTACGTTTTATCTGATTAAGCGTTATGCACCGCTTTCGGAAGACAGCAGTGTTGTCTTTCACTGGCCGGTATTCATGCACGGGGCTCGCAACATCCTATTCCCTATAGCTCATCCCTGTACCTTAAATTTGGTAGATCTTCACGCGGACCTTCCCCCATTGATCAAGAACAAAGAAGTCTGGAGACCTTGGTACATCATTTAGTATACTGTGGTATATATTATATACTGTTGTACAAACTTAATTAGCCGGAGAAAACCTGTCTCAGTAATTATGGATGCCAAGATTCCGGCTTCCAAAATTCTTTCAATTCAGGTAAAGTTGACTTCATTGTCCACCAATTTTATTTTCGGCTGTGCATTTCATCTGTTTTAGGCCAATCACTAACGATTGAAGGGAATTGTTCCTGAGCCGAAGTATATATGCCTTTGCAACCATGAGGGAACGGTCTTTGATTAGCTGCAACCTTTAAGGTCGGAGACTGGACTTAGACAAGGATAGTTAAAGTGACAAACGAAGCTTTTTGAGACGTACGTCAACCTTGGCAGATAAGATGGTGTCTTGAGAAGTTCTCAAAACCGGGGAGCTTAGGTATAATATCGAGATTTTTCGATTAGGCCTCACACAATGGAAATCTGATCCAGAAAAAGAGTTCCCAGTGTAGCTGCGTACGGCACTGCTTCCACCAACCACATGAACTGAGCATATTAGTTTCCAGCAAAGTGATGCAAGCTGCATGTTTAGAAAACGGTAAGAATTTGCTTGCATAAGGAGGACATATACTCTCATAACCAACAGCCAAGCCAAGGTGTCAAGAAAATAGTTTACATCATTTTAGGACGCTTCATGCGTGATAGTTGCAAGAGATAATCGGGGTTTGTGGTTGATATTTCTCCAGGCCTTTTAACAGAGGTTCCCGAGTGTGGGTCTTATGCCGATAGACAGCACATGTTCCCCAGCTCCTGTTGACCATCGCTATTCTCTTAACACAATAAGCACAATATTGCCTACCAGCTGATTTAGCCGTCGAGCACCTGGTTTGAGAGACTGTATGACACCGAAGCTGGGCGTGTTGAAGTTTGTGCCAAGCCGGCGAACATAGGGGAGAAAACAAAGGGGAGAAAACAAACGGGAGGAGCAAGTAGGAGAGGATTTTTAGTGGACCTGTTTGGAGTAAAAATCCTTTGGGAGAACAACTGCTTTAGCAGTGCTCAGTATTGAGCTGGGAACTACTATAGTCTACAGAATCATATCTCAAAATCCGATTGCGAAAGATTTTCCGGAGAAGCAACACCCGACTACGCTTATATGGGCGCCACTAGGAGGTGGAAACAGAAACAGTGGACGTAGAACCATTTAAGCCAGTACTCTCAGCAATGCCACACAATAAGATGTCGTCCTCGTGACTGAACAATCAAATCGGTCTATTGTCCTAACTTTGCAGCAACTTTTAAAAACAGTGCGCAGTGAGATAATGTCAAATTTCTACTTCTCTTGTGGGCTATAAACCCATGATTAGTAATTTTCAATTCCCTTCTTCTTGAACAAGTGAGACTTTTCTCAACTACCTAGCGATGCTGACTTCACATATTCCAGAAAGCACGGAGCTCAATCTCATTCCTCGGCCTGGCCCGGTTTATTCCAAAAATGAGCCTCACCATGTTAGTGTGGTGAACGTCACCGTCAACACCGCTCCTCCAGAAGTTCCTTCAGAACAAGCACACATTGCCCCAATGACTCCCAATAATCCCCCCAAAAATATCTGGCGGATGTTGGCCGTATGTTTCTTCATGTTGATTTGTGGAGCTTCAGATGCCACCCCTGGTGTGGTATTACCCGAAATCGAAAGCTACTATAAAATCTCCTACGGTGTAGTGTCCATTATTTGGGTGGGCAATGCCTTCGGGTTCATTTTGGTTGCATGTATATCCCATAAAATGGAGTCTTGGTTCAACCACAGAAACCTATTGCTTATTGGTACTGGTTTGGCTATGTTGATGTACGCCATCGTCCTGAGTGGAACCAAATACCCTGTTATTGTGATTGGGTTTTTCTTTGGGGGTGCAGGGCTTGCTATCAACTTGTCCAAGAGCAACGTGTTTATGTCACGGTTTGGCGACAAGCTGGCTACGTATTTATCATATGCCCAGTGTTGTTATGGCGTTGGTGCCACTGTTTCTCCTCTTATTGCAACTGCATTTGTGAGCTCTGGGATCAAATTCCATTTCTTCTACTTGGTTCTTTTGGGATGTGCATTGACAGCCTTTGTGCTCTTCTTCTTGTCTTTCCTGGGCGCCGAAACAGACTTGGCTCCCTGGGAAGCAGAATACAGAGACGAGAATAAGGGACTGGATAAGGATCACAGAGAGCTTCTCAAGGCTTCACTCAAAAACAAAGTTACTTGGCTCATGGCACTCTTTACCTTCTTCTATCAAGGGGCTGAAGTTGCTGTTGGAGGTTGGATTGTGACTTACTTAATCGACTATCGAGGAGGAAGACAATCGGTTGGTTACGTTGCATCTGGGTTCTGGAGTGGTGTGGCTCTAGGAAGATTGTTTCTTACTCGTCCTCTTTATAAGTGGGTTGGACCAAGAAGAAGTGTCTTTATATGTTCGCTAACTGCCATGGTTTTCATTGGCCTAACTTGGGCAGTACCGTCTATTATAGCAGCGGGGGTATTGGTTTCGCTTGCAGGTTTTTTTGTGGGACCAAATTACCCAACTATGCTCAAGTTGGCATCGGATATGTTTCCACGTAAGATTCACATTATTTCTTTGACCATCACCACAGCATTTGGGTCAAGTGGAGGTGCGTTCTTTCCATTCATCATTGGTATGGCTGCACAAAAATTGGGTGCTTTTGTTGTGTTGCCCGGTTTTCTTATTTTGTATACCCTCATGCTTGCATTCTGGGTTGCTTTGCCAAACAAAGACAGAAGAATTAAAGACGGAGACAAATTTGGTTTATGGCAAAGAATTTGGTAAACTACGAAAACTCCTCTCCGATGTGATGGAAACTATGTGTATACGAATTTAGATATACACTTGCACACCGTATTAATGGCTTTAACGAAAACAGGAGGAGAATCTCAAACCCGTATACAGGAGATAACGACACCCCCACATTTTAAAAAAGCGAGGGTGACAGCCACCCTAAACCCTGCGCGTTCGGGATTCTGGGGTATAGTTTGGAGAGCTAATACTAACAATTTTCACTAGAGATAATGCTGTCCACAGACGATGCCTCCAACTTAGATTCACGGTATTCTTGCAAAGAATGCAAGAGAAGGCGTTCCAAATGTTCTAGAGACCTTCCTGAATGTTTCCTGTGCAAGAAATATAAAAGGCATTGTCTTTACGAAAAACACAGCAAAACCCCTTTGACTCGCAAACACTTGACAGAAGTAGAAGAGGAACTAGGGATAGTTAAAAGGGTGTTACTACGGTATGTTCCTGACTTTGATACTCCACAAGCCCTCATCAGGTTGAAAAATGGTGGAGATCTAGCTGATGGTGATATCGAAATTCCGGTACTAAAATCCAAATTGGATCATCCTACTCCTATGGGAGACCACCGAACTCCATTGAACATCCGCAACCTTCTTGTTGAAGATAACTCAAATGATTTTGTGGATCTACAAATTGCTCAGCTCCTTCCCTCTTCAATTGATCCCAATTACAGGCCCAAGAGGAAGCAGACAAGATCTGAAATACGAAATGAAAACTACAGCTGGGACGAAAGAAAACAGGGAGAATTGGAATCTCTGACTACGGATGGAATGGCCACCACCGAGTCTAACTGTTACTTAGGAGCAGCTTCAAGTGCTGCTTTGATTAATCTTATTGGCGGAGGGTTCTTCATGAATGAGGGTAAAGTAACGTCTCCTGTTTCAACCAGCTCCTCGAATCTTTTGAATCACGGTGTAATATCAAGATCCAAGCTTGAACACTACATCAATCAGTACTTTGAAACCTACCATATTTCATATCCCATGGTACATAAACCGATGTTCATGGCTCAATTCAACGAGATCGTATCACCTCCGAACGGATGGGAGAGCTTGCTCTATATTGTTGCAGCAATCGGTTCGTTCATGTCAGCTGTTTCTCCCGAAGAGAACGATGATCTTATTCTTTTCGAAATTGCAAAATCAAAGCTTTCAATCGATGTGCTAGAGACTGGAAATCTTACTTTAGTACAGACATTGACGCTTATGTCAAACTATCTACAGAAGAGAGACAAACCCAACTCCGGCTATAACTACTTGGGACTCGCTGTTCGAATGGCTCTCGGACTCGGACTCCATAAACAAATAAGTGATACCAACGAGTCTCTTTTAGACCAGGAAACAAAACGAAGGATTTGGTGGTGTCTCTATATCTTTGACTGTGGACAGACAATCACCTATGGAAGACCATTGGGTATCCCGTGTGCTGGAATAGACTCGAGACTTCCTCTAAACATTTTGGATACTGAATTAACTGGGTTTACCATATCCTTGCCAAAGGAGCAAGATTCTTCCACAGATTATACCAGTCTAAGGCTTCAGTCTTTGTTCCACATATTTACCAACAGTATTTATGAAAGAATTATAACTGATCCATTTCCGTCTTCTCAGGAGCTTCTAAAGTGGGACGAAATGTACATACAAAGATGGAAGAATCAAATTCCCGAATACTTCAAAGAAGATGCTACAGTCCCCCCAAAGTACCGTTTGGCTCATGCTGTAATCGAGTGGAGGGTACGAAATCTACGAATTATCATGTACAGAACGTTCCTCTTGAGAAATGTAGTGGTGAATTCAAACGGAATCGAACAAGATTACGACTCAAAAGCTGGTGAAATCTGCCTTCAAGAATGTAGTGCTACAGTCAAGAGCATGTATTTGTTCTGGAGTGCTAAGACCACGTATAATCGAATGGATGCATGGTATTCACTTTTTTTCCTAATTCCAGCTGTGGTCATGCCATTGGTTTGTCTCAGAAACAATCCGCTCGATGCAAACGCTGAAGCATGGAGAAGTGATATTGGTATAGCGAAAAGCATAATAGAAAGGTTGACGAGCATATCACCATTAGCAGGTCGTATTCTACACTTCATTGAGTTTTTGGGTGCTGGTTATCTCACACAGGGCGTAGAGAGCCAAGAGTTAAGTTTTCCATTAAATGGTACTGACGAAAGCCCTTTCTCTCAGTTGATACAACTTCACTCAATGCTCTGGCCTGTTTCGTTTGATATAGAACAACAGTTCTTGTAGTGCTGTGTATTTTAATGTAATCTATTAAATCAAAGTGTATCCACCACCTACGAAGACTTCCTCGCCTGTCATATAAGAGGATGCGTCACTGGCAATAAACACATAAACTCCTTTCAACTCGTAAGGCGCACACAACCTCTTGGCTGGAATCATATTAAACCAAGTTTTTCTCCACTCCTTTGGGTGAACATCTAACATTTCTGTGTCAATGAATCCTGGAGATACGCAGTTGACCCGAGCAAAGTCCACCCATTCAACAGCCAAGCACTTGGCTAATCGAACTAAGCCGGCTTTGGAAGCATTGTAAACAGCTTGCTTCTGGGGATAATTAACTACTCCAGAAGATACAGAAGCAGTAAATACAATTCTTCCTTGCTCAAGGATTCCCTGCTCTTTTTGTTTTTTGAACGCATTTGCAGCCGCTTGAGCAGTGAAGTATGCACCATCTAAATTAACACCCATTACTTCTCGATATTGCTCCTCCGTGTTTTCTTCAGCAGGAACGTGAATACAGATTCCAGCATTTGGAACAACCACGTCCAATCTTCCAAAGTCGTTCAACACTTGTGCAACACACTTGTCGTTATCGGCTTTGATTGCAACATTGCACCTATAAGTTTTGAACATGACACCTAAATTTTTGAATTGGGATTCGAGTTCCTTAACATAGGAAGGGGAACTGGAGTTATAAGTGATGGCCACATCACTACCGGCTTCGGCAAGACCGATGGCAGCGGCAAGACCAATTCCTCTGGATCCTCCCGTAATCAAGGAGACTTTTCCTTTTAATGAAAATAAGCTCAACACTGGAGCATCCTGATTTTTATAAAGCATTTTGAAATCTGGACATAAGGAGTGAGTATCGGAAACTGTCAAATATATATGGTTTCAAAAAAGGAGTTGGGGCGACTATCACCCCGGCAGAGGAGTTTTCGCATTTTGCTGCAAAATCATAATAAGAGGGAATTCTCATATAGAAATATAACAGGCCCGAGAAAGAAACAAAGGAGAATATGCTGATGCACACCTGCCGAAAGACTTTCCATTTTGAAAATACGTGTACATTGAGTGATGAAATGAAGACTTAGTAGAGGAGGGAGGCGGGGGTAATGTTTCGAGCATTCTCCAGGTGCACAGATGTCCGACGCTAATATAAAAGTCACAAAATCCCAATCTACATATTCATGAACCAAAAACCATGAGTAACCCGGCGTTTGTGTTAAAATCCGTGAAGAACGTCGTGTTCGAAGAAAGGCCCATTCTTCCTGTCATGCCCAAGGAAGTTCGTGTAAAAGTTGAACAGACAGGAATTTGTGGATCTGATGTCCATTACTGGCAAAAGGGAAGAATAGGAAAGTTTATCATGAAAGAAGAAGATACAATGGTCTTGGGGCATGAGTCTTCAGGAATTGTTGTCGAAACAGGGAGTGAAGTCTCCACTTTGAAGGTTGGCGACAGAGTTGCTATTGAACCTGGTTTTCCTTGCAGATACTGTGACAACTGTAGAGATGGTAAATACAATGCTTGTGAACAAATGTACTTTGCTGCTACCCCACCAGATGATGGAACCTTACAAAAATACTTCAATGCTCCGTACGATTACTGCTACAAGATCCCAGATCATATGGACATGGAAGAGGCCGCGATGGTTGAGCCAGTCTCAGTAGCAGTTCAAATCTGCAAGAGAGCCAAACTCCAGGCAGTAGACAATGTTCTCGTGTTTGGTTGTGGCCCAATCGGATTATTGTGCCAGGCAGTTTCGAAAGCGTATGGCTGTAAAAAAGTTATTGGAATCGATATTTCCGACGGAAGATTAGAATTTGCCAAAACCTTTGGAGCGGACTCCGTTTACAAGATGCCAATGAGGAAGGAGACTCAAGGATTTGAAGAGTTTGCCAAAACAGTTGCTCAAGATATCAACTCTAAATTTGGATTTGAGCAGGGTGCAGATGTGATTTTAGAGGCAACTGGTGCTGAACCTTGTATGGCTGTTGGTGTATACGCCAGCAAGTTTGAAGGAAGATTCGTTCAAGCCGGAATGGGAAAAGAATTCTGCAGCTTTCCTGTTACTGATGCCTTGATCAAACAACTTCTGTGGACAGGCTCAATTAGATATTCCACTGGAGTTTATCCTACTGCTGTAGAATTAGTTGCCTCTGGAAAAGTGGATGTTAAGAGATTGATTACCAATAGGTTCAAGTTTGAAGAAGCAGAAAAGGCTTTTGAACTAGTTCATGAGGGACGCACTGACGTTATAAAGGTGATTATTGAAGGAGTCCAAGATTAGAGTGTATTTAGATAATCAATACATGAAAGGAAGCCATATAGTTGAACTAGTAGAATATCACAGATTTCACCAGATTATTAGGGACAGGTCTATCCAGTTTAGTCCATCATGGGCTAGTGTCCGTATATTGCTGAGTACGGAAAACTGTGTCCGCCTGGAAAGAAACTGTATCCGGTGTACAGAAACCTTCAATTCTTATAAACCCCAAGGTTCACACACTTCCGGTATAACAGGTTGACAGAAGTCCGGACTCTTCACAGGATTCTCCACTATAAATTATTCAGTTTGAACGATCTACTTCAGAAATTCAACCCACCATACCCCAAAATGGCCCAATCGATTAGAAAACCCAACCCAACCCTCTCCAATAGCGTCTTCGACATGTTTTCCATGAAAGGAAAAGTCGTGATCATCACTGGATCATCAGGTGGCATTGCTCACGAAGTTGCGAGGGCTTTGGGCGAAGCAGGTGCTGATATCGCTTTATGGTATCACAACAATCCGCTGGCCAAAGAATTAGCAGTTGAACTCTCCAGCAAGTACAGCGTCAAGGCACAAGCTTACAAAGTCGATATAAAGTCATGGGACCAAGTTGCAGCTTCTGTGTCTCTAGTTGTTAAAGACTTTGGCCATTTGGATGTGATGATTGCAAATGCTGGAATTCCTGCCAAGGCTGGAGTATTGGACCAAACATTGGACGAATGGCATGATGTAGTCAACACCGATTTCAATGGGGCTTACTACTGTGCTAGGGCTGCTGGAGAAGTCTTCAAAGAACAGGGCACTGGAAACTTGATTTTCACTGCCTCTATGTCTGCCCATATTGTCAATATTCCTCAGCAACAAGCATGCTACAATGCTGCCAAAGCGGGAGTTATGCATTTATCCAAGTCATTGGCTGTCGAATGGGCTGGCTTTGCCCGAGTCAATTCAGTGTCTCCAGGTTACATTGACACTGCTATTTCCGGTGACTGTCCCTTCGAAATGAAAGAAGCCTGGTTCAGCATGATTCCCATGCAAAGAGACGCGGATCCGCGTGAATTGAAAGGTGTTTACTTGTACTTAGCTAGTGATGCTTCTACATACACCACTGGGAGTGACTTCATTGTTGACGGAGGCTTCTGTTGTCCATAGATATTTAGAGAACGAATTTTTCGCCTAAACAGAGTACCCCACTTTATGCGAATTGAGGGCCGCGAATCTGTCAACCTGGATAACGGTCCGGGGTAGCTGCAAATGTGGGGGAACGGGCTCTTTTCACCTTCAACCTCAAAAACATCGTCAAGGCTGACGCTAAACTTCCTGGTTTACTCACATTTACCGCTTTGTATAAACACTATAAATATGTCGACCTCGAGCACCTTTTCGTCTGAGTTAAAGTCTTTACACACACACACTAAATACAGGATGAAGTTTAAGTTTACCTCCTTAGAGCAGATTGTTGGACCTGCCATCGCAAAGGTCTTACCTGATCACCAAAAACCTTGGTTTCAAGTGAGACACCTTTTGAAGCTTAATTTGCTCTTGTTGGTACCTTTATCTGTAAGTAGTACTGCTGGTTATGATGGTTCGTTGATGAACGGATTACAATCAATTGACCCTTGGAAGGCTTATTTCAATCAACCCCATGGAACAATGTTGGGATTTGTGAATGCTGCTCAGAACTGTGGGTGTTTCATCATGTTGCCCTTATGTGGCTGGCTAACTGATTATATAGGAAGAAAATTCACCATTGCCATAGGTTTGTTGGGAGTTATTGTGGCAACCATTATTCAGGCTGCTGCCCACAATTTGGGTGCAACCATCGCTGCTAGGTTCATTGTTGGTGCCTTCGGTATGTTGGCAGTACAGCCAGCTCCACTTCTTATTGCTGAGCTTTCTTACCCCAGCTACAGAGGAAAAATGACCTCTTTATACTGGACTTTCTATTACTTAGGGGCCATCTTGGCTTCGTGGACTTGTTTTGGTACTCAGGGAAGAAATGATAACTATTCGTGGAGAATCCCTACCATCTTGCAAGCGGGGTTCCCAGTATTGCAGTTGGTGTTTATTTGGTTTGTACCAGAGAGTCCTAGATGGCTTATTTCTAAGGGAAAGAACGACAAGGCAAGAGCTATCTTAGTTGAGCACCATGCTGGTGGAGATGAGGATCTGGAATTGGTGAATGTCGAGATGTCTGAAATAGTTGCCACCTTGGAGATGGAAGGGGCAGCTAAGTCCACTAAATGGTCTGACTTGGTTTCCACGCCTGGAAACAGAAGAAGAACTTACATTGCCGTAAGTTTAGGAGTTTTTGCCCAGTGGAATGGGATTGCTGTTGTTTCATATTACTTGACTTTGGTATTGAACACCATTGGAATCACCTCTTCTACCATGCAGACTTTGATCAACGGATTGTTACAAATCTTCAATTTAATAGCTGCTTCTTCCGCAGCTTTGTTAGTGGATCTTCTTGGACGAAGAACCCTCTTCTTGTGGTCTGGGATTGGAATGCTTGTATCGTATATTATCTGGACAGCTTGTTCGGCAATATTTGCAGAGAAAGGAACCCCAGGTGCAGGCAAAGCCGTGGTGGCATTCATCTTTATCTTTTACTTCCACTATGATATAGCTTACACTCCGTTGCTCATGGGATACCCCACCGAGATTTTTCCTTACTACTTAAGATCCAAAGGGGTTGCGGCTGAATTGATGGGAGTCTACGGAGCTTTGATTATTGCCTCCTTCTGCAACTCTATTGCCTTGGATAATATTGGTTGGAAGTACTACATTGTATTTTGTGTGTTATTGGTAATAATTTGTTTAAACACTTACTACTTCTATCCAGAAACTAAAGGTTACTCTCTTGAGGAAGTTGCTCAGATTTTTGATGGAAATGAAGCTATCTTGGACGTCACTCTGGGAGATTTGATGAAACATGGTTCTGCAAAGACATCTCAAGAGCATGTGGAGCGTGTTCGAGAATTATAACTTTTAGTGAAAAATTTGAATTTATGTCTATTGGTATTGTTTCAAACGTAGAGAAGAGAGTCTATAAACAATCCCAGTGACCCACTTAGTCGTGTTAGGTGCACATCCTTTCAAATTTGGTTGTTTAAGGGAACAAACAGTTGTGTATGATCCGATTCTTTAGAAAATCCGGGACTTTGATGGCCTCAGGCTTCTTTGCCTCAAGCTACATTCTTCAATAGCTCGGGATTCTCCTAATACGATTAGTCTTTCGGAGGAATACTTGAAAGTTAAAAACAGCTCCCCCGTCAAAATTATCGTTTGTTGGCTGGTTTCCATATCAAACTGATGGTCTTGATTATATATAGTGAATAAACCTTTATCTACACTATTGGTAAGATCCCACTCATCGGTAATCTTCAACCATTGAGTAGGCATCCACTTGCTCACTTAATACCGCTGATGAAATTGTTAAACCCTATTAGGGTATTGAGCACTTAATAGAACAGTGTACCATAACCATATAGTTGCTGGTGACTCCATGGTAAACCTTAAGAGTGCTATTTTGGCTTTAGTGATTTGATTAAAGTTAGTATACATTGATAATATATATCACTTTATTTCAACATCAACATTTCATCCTGCTTAGTTCTTTCTACCTAAAGTACCATTTTGTTGTCCACTTACGCATCTTTTTACCCCAAAAACTGAATACTAGAAACAAAAAGTTAAAAAAAGCACAAAACACCACCAACATAATACTCATATTGACCATTCCAACACCCTCAAGCCAATCTTGAGTAATAAATGTGAAAACCATGGCAATCAAGTTTCTCGCTACTAAAATTACGGTTATTGTTTGACTGGCTTGCTTTGGATAACTTTGAAGGACATAAGTGATCGAAAGTGAAGAAATAGATGCCATGGAGAAAGAAAAAAACCCAATACCAATTACTGAAACTGACCAGTGTAATCCGTAATACACCCCAAGACCATACATGAACAACCCAGCCATGTTGACCAAAATTGGAAACGGCATTAACAACAATCTGAACTCAGGTTCAAAGATCCCGTTGTTCATTCTAGTTGCTTTTAATTGGAACCAATCACTTAAAAAGAATGAATAAGAACAACCACAAACATATCCTGCAAGCATGCCAAGACTAGTCAATCCGACAGCCGATCCACTAAAATTATAGGGTGGAGACATATAGAATTCAGAACTAGTTGTTGAGTAATAGCTTAACCAGCAGATTTGGATACCATAAGTAATAGAAGCCCAAATAACGGATGGATATCTGGCAGTGTACATCGGAACTATCAATAGTTCATACCATGAGGAAGATGTAGCTTGGTCTGTCGAAATCAATTTCATCCTTTGAAAATACGACTTTGCTGGAGGAATGCTCCCCGTCACCCTTGAAACTTCGACCATTTCCTTATGTTTATCATTGGAACTAGATTCCAGGACATTTTCTCCTGTGTTAGAACCTAGTACTGCGATAAACTCGGATGTTTTGGATATGTTCTCCCTGTGGTATAACGATTCTTCACTGAATAAGAACATGGCAACAAATAAAACGCCACAAGTTATAGAAGTCCATTTACCACACCAACTCATATCCTGTCCCACATCAATATATCCTGCAATCAAAGGAGCAAGTGCAGTTCCAATGCCCAAAGCAAGTGCATAAATAGCCAAGTACAGCCCTTGCTCATGGAGGAAGAAAACATCACAAATCGAGACCTCAACTAATGAATCAACTGGACCTACCAGTAGACCATTCAAAATGGAATAAGCATAATTAGCACCCTGAGTCAACTTGAGACCAAAACAAAGACTAGCTATGATCAGCAACATCACAGAAACCAAATAAACCGGTCTTCTACCAAACTTATTGGCCAAGGGTTGTGAAAAATAACAGCCAATAGCCACGAATAAAAATTGGATAGCAGTAGCAGTATTCAACTCGCTATACGACACCCCATATACTAGAGCCATTTCTGTATACAAGGGGCCGTTGAATGCTGAAGCAGCAGCTACAGTGGCTGCAATAAAGCAAAGTAAGAAAAAATGGAGGAGCTTTCTGGGCATACTCCAGTTTAATGGATCATTGGGATCCGATGAAGGTTGGGGATCCAAAATAATGTCAGTTCCTTTTTTACGCAACAATCCAAGTTGGTCTACCTCGTCAACATCTTTTCCTATAATCACAGCCGTACCAGGAATTGCATAGTCGTTTTTGACAGTTTTGTCGAGTTCCAAGTTAAACATCGTACTTGGATTCTTTGGATCATCAGCTCGTTTCTTATATATGCTTATCGAGATATGCCTTTCTTATCTCTTTATCTGCTGCTGCTCACTGTTGCACCCAGCTTTGATTAATCTTTTGGCTACACTAAAGACTATTCTTCCGAATGTAATACGCCATGCGTAAAATTTAGAAACCGTGCGATGCGCACCCCGTATTTCTAAAGCTTTATCACGCTCGTTCAAATACGCCATGCGTAGGTAGAGGAGTCCTGCAATACATCTTAAATATTTATACGGCCTATGTTCGAAGGTTGAGATACGCCATGCATAATCAGTATAATAATTATGTGCCAAGTGAGCTCCTATCGTTGGAATACGCGGACTCACCTGCCAAATGTAGAAGCTACGACAAATCAATGGAAACTATATAAATACCTCAATCTGGCTCTTGTTTGGGAAATATTAGATCAAGGGCTGTGTTTGCTATAAAGTGACATCAGATATGACTAAGGGGTCATGGCAAGAAAAGGCAGCTAAAAAGAGGCAGGAAGTTCGTTCTGAAATTCCTCCTAGTTGGTTGCTCCCACAGGACGAAACCTCCAAGTTCAGTGAAACCACGCCTGTATCGGTGTTGGACCTTCCCAGAAAATACCTTGATGAAAAAGAGCTTCATATCACTGAAGACTATTCCCCCAAGCAGCTTTTACAAAAGTTAGCTGATGGAGGGTTTACAGCTGTTGAAGTGGTAGAAGCTTTCAGTCACAGGTCTGCCATCGCTACCCAAGTAACCAATTGCTGTACAGAGATCATGTTTAGTTACGGCTTAGAAAGAGCTAAGTTCTTGGATGGATACCTTGTAAAGCATGGTAAGCCTTTTGGTCCTCTACATGGATTGCCAATATCTTTGAAAGACTCCACCAATGTCCCTGGATATGATTCTACTATTGGATATACTGGTTTTATTGGAAATGCTTCTTCAATCAAAGATTACCAATTCGTTGATCTAATTTTATCATTAGGAGCAGTTCCATTTGTTAAGACCAACATTCCACATACATTGATGACTCTTGATTCAGAAAATAACATATTCGGAAGAACTTTGAATCCTAACAAATTGACTTTGACTGCAGGAGGAAGTTCAGGTGGCGAAGGAAGTTTGATAAAGCAGAGAGGTTCTCTTGTTGGTTTTGGGACAGATATTGGTGGTTCTATTCGTATTCCTGCTTACTGTAATGGCGTATATGGGCTTCGTTCAACAGTAAACAGAATTCCAAATGTTGGAGGAACTGACCCTAGCAGAGATTATTTTGTGGGGGTAGACTTTACCACAGGCCCTTTGGCTGTTGATTTGGAAGGTATTGAACTAGTCACTAAAGCCATAATTGAATCAGAGGCATGTAGTAAGATCTCAATGGCTCGTGCAGTTCCATGGAGGCCTGTCGAGGTTTCCAGACCCCTTAGAATCGGTTCTTTAGTGCCTGAATCTAGGCTTCCAATACACCCTCCCTTAAAAAGGATCCTCAAAGAAGCTGAACAGAAATTAAGGGCCCAGGGACACGAGATTGTTCCAATAGAGAAATATCCGTCCGCTTATGATAGCTGGAAAACAATAATGGGACTATTTCTTGCGGATCCCGAAAGTACAGCCATTTCGACCATCTTGGATGCTGGGGAGCCATTGATCAACTCCTTGACTGACACTGGAGTTAAGGCCTTTAGAGGCGCACCCGAGTCAATCGCAGAGTTAATCGAGTTGAAAGCAGAAGCTTATAGAGCAGCTGAAGATTGGCATGGAGTATTTGATGACAACAATTTGGATTGTATAATAGGACCAGGTGCACCAGGAGCTGCTCCCCCTCATGATAGTTGCATTATTGCTCCTTTTACTGCTCAATGGAATTTGGTGGACTTCCCTGCTCTTGTGATTCCCTATGGTAAAGTAGAAGATACTGATGAGGTTGAGCCCGTAGACAAAGGGGATTTAGCTGATTGTTTTGCCTTTTACGAAGACAAAAATGCATATTTGGGAGCACCTGGTCATATCCAGATAGTTACGAAACATTTGCACGATGAAAAGCTTTTAAGCTGTGCTAAGATTATTGAACAAGCATTGGTGTCATGAACCGCTTTTCGCTGGTTGCCTAAATTGTTGTTCTTGCAGGTAAATCCTTTAGGTCTCTTTGACCTTTCTTACGCTTTCATTTTCATTTTCATTTGCATCCTATTTAATATCATCGAGACGAAGTTCATGTTGCACACCTTGCGATTCTATGACTTAATATACACATAAATCCTATCCGTTTCATTTGAACTCTTGTGCTCTTGTATACTAAAATTGAAATTCTAAGAGAACACCCTTATAACGAAATTTTATAATACGTCAGAGTCATATTGGTTCTCTTTAATCCATAGATACATAGCATCAATACCCAATTCATCTTGCCAACATTTTCGTAGAAACGAAACAGGTAGGGTATTGAAATCTGAAGATAGAGCTTCCTTCTGCATTACTCTGCTGAGGAAACCACGGTCTTCAGCTTTAGTACAACAAAATCCACAGACCATTGAAGGCCACAACAACAATGAAAGTGAAAACTGTTTGCTTTGCTCCATGGTAGTCATACAATGAATAATAAAACCAACAATCTCTTGGATTTTTGGGTCTTCGGCTTTAGTTTTATTGTCATAAACCTTAAGAAGCATCAATTTTGCCGAACTTGACAAAACTTTTGAAAAGACAAGACTCTCTTCAATATCTCGTGGATAGTAGGGCGAACTACTAGAATGGTTGACAGACATTCTCCATTTGAGATGTTCATAGTCATAGTCGTCAATTTCTTTGATGAGACCCTCCGCTTCTTGCACAACTTCTTCATTGAAACCCTGAAGACTCACAAGAAGGAGATGACTTGCTTTGGCCACTAATGCGAAACCATCAATACAACCAAGAATAACTGAAGTGGAGGACCAAAATTCAGGTTGAAGGGCATCTTTAACTAGTGAAAATACCTCATTAGGACAAGGTATCTTCAAGTCCAAAAATACGTAATTAAAACTATAGTGATAGACAAAACTTTCAAGGAGTGCCCGTTCATATCTTTGTACCTCTTTGCTGGTTTGTAAAATTTTACAGACAATCGTGTATGCCATTAAGATATGACTTATAGTTTGATTATGATTTTTGGTGCCCTCTATGCTATCTCGTACCAACAATAATTGAACAATTGAAAAGGTGAATCCTTCATCCCATTTAAGCTCTTGTCTCTCTTCCGCAACTTTTATCGATGTTAACATGTCCACATATTTTCTTCTCGCTATCTCAGTGAATTGTGGATTTATCTTCAGAAGATATGCCAGACCCACACATATAGTCACTTGCTTATGACAAGCACAAGCATTATCCGCTTCGATCATTGCACTGAGGTTAGCTTTTACCCAAGCAGGCTGTACCAAAGTAGCAAAGAAGTGCTCTCTAAAGACCTTCAAGCATAATTCATCAATATATTCTTCAGAAAGCGTATTGAAATCAATATAGTCCTTCAATATAACTTGATTATGCTCCAAGTTATAAGGTTGGTGATTACCAGAAAGAAAAGACCGCAAAGTTTGTTTAGGATATGTAGGGTACTGGCATTCTTTGTTATATTTGGAACAGAACTTGCACTTTGGTCTTTGTAGATCACATTTCTTCCTTCTTTGACGACACCCGAAACACCCATCTTTGGTTCTGCTGATCTTTGGCATTTCGTACAGATTTAGTGGTTAGAACATTAACAAATGTGGTTCTTGATCTTACCGAGTCCCGCCCTTGTGAAATTTAAACTTTGTGGGTAATTTTGATCATGAAAATATGAAAATGCGACTCAAGTCTAAGCATTAAATTTACGTATATTTTTATTGCTTGTATCATGTAGTTGGTGGCTCTACAAAACCTGATTCTTCATCTCCCCTATTAACTGGAGACTCCATATCACTCTCTAAGGCTCTCTTTCAAATTGAGTTTGGTAATTATCTACGAATAGCAAATCGCGTTCTCATTTGGTTGACTTCTATCTCTTGCCCACACTTACTAAAAACTGCACTTCCAAAGTTAAATAATTCCAGGCTCAGCCTGAATAAAACTATTAATAGGAATCCTGATTTCGTTGACCTAATCAACCTCTTGATAAAAGTTGAGCTGGACGTTTAACAACCATATATATCTATGGAGCGAAACTTGTAGGCTGTCCATTAACAGACATTTAGGTGCCAGTCAAATTGGTTGCATATATCTTCCCAGTTGGTTATCAGTGTGCCTTCGGGACTTGATTTCCATGCCATTTGGACAATTGTCCAGCACTTAGAAACATTTGGCACGGGGCAAGACTTGGATATGGTTTCGAATATCCGGCTTACTTTCTCTCGTTCACGAGTTTTAACACAACATATCCCAGCCATGAGCAAGGGTAAGCAAATCACCACCTGGAACTTGGAGTGGATGAGTCGATCGACCAATGAAAGAGTTTCCAACACCAAGCACTGGATTTTGGGCTCTACTGGAAGCAATCCTTTGATGTACAAGAACCAGTTGAGTTTACAACACACCCGATAAAGTTCGAACGAGCTCAAGTGGAGAGGTTTCTCGTCCTCTGGGAGAAGAAATACCAACTCTCCATTGGGCTGGGCATCTATTATATTTTGGTATAAAATCCGGGATTCTGCTTCTATGGAGTTGGAATTCTCCTGTTTGTGCATGTCATTGTGTTTGCACATTCTCCTGATTTGAACCTTTAAGTTAATGAGCTCCCCCAAAAGTGTGTAAATCGGCCGGTTACATCCTTGAAGGGAGTCTATTCCATAAGCAACTTCAGTCATTTTGAAATTTTCATGGTTGAACGTTCTGTTGTATTCTTCCATGGACACGAGAGTTCCGTTTTTAGCAGAGTCCGAAGACATGATATCATGATACTGAAAGCTTGAGACCAAAAACCTTACATCATTTGAGTAGTGGAAAGACTCACAAAGCTGTTGGATACCCCCGTACTCCTTAATGCTATTATAGCAATTCAGCAAGAATTTTGCCCAGTTCTGAGTATCTCCATTACAAATGTTATATCCTACCAAAATCAAATAGTAGCATATCTGAAAGTAGTAGTTGAGCTTAGACATTTGCTCCGGGTTGTTGAAGTTCTGCTTAAACTTTATGACAGAATTATACAAGTAGTTGGACACTTGTTTGTCTACTTTCTTCCCTTTGTAAAAAAATCCGCCCCAAGCTGCCATTATCAATGCAAATGCCTCATCATGATGCGCCAACGGTAAGAAAAGTTCATTAAAATAGTTGAACTTGGAAACACAAAGAATGTCAGTGACATGGGACCTGAAATACTCTAGATAGAGCAAACCGGTTTTATCAAGAAATAAGCTTAAGGAAGAGGATGGAGATAGGAGAAACATGGGCTCAAAAGAATCAGTTACCTTCGGAGTCCATACCTCTAAAGAGTTTGTGATTTGTTCCAACGGTTCTCTTTCACCTCCTGACACTTCGATAACAACAGGTCCGCTAATGAGAGACCAATTGGCCGGAGACCGTTCAATTTTCTTCAAATTGGACCCACTAGTCCCATCACGGTTGTAGCAGCATTGGTATCCCCTGAGGACACATAACCCACAAGAAGGGCTCTTTTCATCGCATTTTCTCCTGCGCTTTCGGCATAATAGGCAGCCATTCCTGGATCTTGCTTTATCTCCCACAATGTTCTTGATATGCACCTTCCGCTGAGATATCTTGGGGGAAAGTCGAGGTTCATCAATATGCTTTAAACACCTTCTCTTCACGGGGTTGAGCGAACCATCTAGAACTGAAAACATATTTGTTGCAGCTTAGTTAAGGGACAATAATTGGATGATTCGCGATAAGAGCATTTGAAGTTAGTGTTGATACTATACTATAATAAACAATATACACCCCTACAAATATCTAGACCCTAATCCAAAAAGTCAGGATTCAAGGCCTTCTCCATCTCCAAGTCAGGTTGGAGCTCGGTGTATAACGTGTCGGGGTCTGATGCGCTATATTCCGTATAAGCAGCCTCTTCATCTCCAATGATCTTCAAAGATTCACCGGGTCTAAGGGCTGCTTCCGCCAACAATTGACATTCACAAGATCTCTCCATCAACGTGTACAAATATGCCGCTTCATCCACCGTCTGGCCCACGGTGATGAGTCCATGGTTTTGTAAAATGGCTCCCTTACCGTTCCCCACGCTCTTGGCTATTTCAATACCCTCTCTGGCTTCCAACGCCACCCCACCAAAATCAGTGTACACCGAGTGGGACTTGTAGAAAGTACAAACGTCCTGGTTGATCATTTCCAAAGGTCTTCCCAAGGCACTGAAAGCCTTTCCGTACGGAGAGTGGGTATGACAAGCAGCGTGTACGTCAGGCCTAGCTTTGTGGAGGGCCGAGTGGATGGAAAACCCGGCGGCGTTAATGGCAGTTTGGGCACCATCTGGTAAGATATTGCCGTCTTCGTCAACATGGACCAAGTCCGAAGCTTTGATCAACCCAAAGTGCTTAGCTAACGGATTTATCCAAAAGGTGTTCGGATCAACAGGGTCTCTGACGGAAATATGTCCTGCGGTTCCTTCTGTGTATCCCTTTCTGGCAAAAATCCGGAAGGCACCTGCCATATGTTGTTTGATCCATGTTCTTTCTTGGTGCTTGTCTGTGAACTTAGGGAGTGGGTAAGGATGGTTAAAACCCAAGGCGATGTTATGGGCACCTCTTTCCCCCAAGGCGTAACCCCTGGACGTGGTGGGCTCCACGCTGGCAACCGTTCCGTTTTCCGTTTGTGTGATGGTAGACATGCCAGTGATGTTTGGGAAAACTGTGATTGCAAACGGTTTTTATATGCGATTTTTTGCGTGAGAGCGGGAGGTACTGGATTAGGGAATAGCGCTTATCAATTCCGCTGGAAACACGGAACCGAGTTGCTCAACCGAAGCACCTGCGAAATCACGTGAATGAATCCATTAGCATGGCTGTCAATGACGCATACTGTTGATTATCTGGAGGATGATGCTTAAGGATGACCTTGGCACTTATGTAATACACATTCACTGCATACTTCAGTCATGGTCGTTTTTTTAGGCCTAAAAAAGCCTATTTTTACCCCAAAAAATCGTCAAGTACATCCCATACGCCCGAATTCACTCCCAATACTCCTTGAACCATTCTGAATCGAACCATCTTCACCAAAAATCCTAATACTCCCACTAGCCAAATTTTACGCTAATCTACATATTCGCAGTCGAATCGAAAATGAAAAATCTCGCTTCACATGAACCTTCTTATTTGGTTGACCCTATTTCTTTACACCGTGGAAGCTTCTCCTGGTGACAAGCTAAAACGGTTCAAGAGATGTTTTCGCCAGTGCAAGCTTGTCAATTGTGTGGTGGGGACCTATGATTCTGAATGGGAGTTCACACCCTTTAATGAACATCTCAAGGTGCTATACTGGACGTGCGATCAGGATTGTGATTATCAATGCCAGAGAATCATAACTGCCGAAAGAAGGCATAAAAACAAGAATGTATTGCAGTTCCATGGCAAATGGCCCTTTCATCGGGTGTACGGGATTCAGGAACTCGTTTCAATGGTATTTTCAATTGGCAATCTCATCCCGCATGCCATTGGATTAAAGAAATTGCTCCAACAACTAAAAACCAGCACCTCCCACCAAGCCACCACGCAGACCGCAGTACTTATAGCCCTGTGTGTGATCACATGCTGTGCCTGGGTGTTTCTGTCCATTTTCCATGTGAGAGACTTCTTGTTAACTGAGCGACTCGATTACTTTTTTGCGGGCTTGACGGTATTGAGTGGATTATATGCCATAACAAGTCGATATTTCCGGCTTTTTGAACCAGAAAACTTGATCAAGCTTGTCAGCAGTACTGTTTTGTTCATTTCCGTATACTCGATGCATGTATATCGACTTGTGACTGATTGGCTGTATACATACAACATGCAAGCCAATGTGATAGTGGGAATCGTGCAAAACTTGTTTATGGTGGCGGTGTGTTTCGGGTTATATTCCCAGTACTATCACGATAAAAGCACATCTACAAATAACACCATGTATGCAAAGCGGGTGTTGTGGTCATCGTTTTTCACTCGGTCGGATAAGATCTTCTCGCTATATCCGATATTTCTTGGAACCATAGTGATATTGGGAATGTCACTTGAAATCTTCGACTTTCTGCCGGTGTTCCATGATCTAGTTGATGCCCACAGCTTGTGGCATTTGGTGACAATCATCCCCGCTAGTTACGGATGGTACGAATGGTTAATTTGGGATATTAGAGAAAACATTACTCCAAAGCAAAAAACGCAATAGTCGCAGTGGCTGCAAACTAATTGTATAAATAGTTTTATAGATATCCAGCTTGTGTTATACATATCTACATATCATCATCGTCATCAGGAGGAGGCACATAAGGGGGAGGTTTGAAGTACTCTTGATCCTCCTCCACAAACTTCTTGAACTTTTCCTTGTCATCGACAAAATCATACAAAAACTCCAACTCCAAATCGTGCACCTGTCTTCCCAACACAATCAACGAGTGTAAAGGTTCACCTGACTCGTATTTTGTCAACTCTTTGAGAGTGGCAGCTTTGAACTTCTGTTGGGGAGATCCTAATCTTGACACACCCACACATGGGGTGTTGGGAGTATAAGCTTGTTGGTTTCTTGATTCCTCAATCTCCAACAATTGTCTTGCAGCCGTCTCAATACTCATGTATCTTGGAGGATCATAAATCAATCTTCCTCTAGCCATATTCTCGATACTCTGTTCTTTCACCTTAATGTCTAATAACACCAAAGTATGCAACCCAATCTTCCTGTTTTCCAAGATCTTGTCGTAGAACGAGTCGGGTTTCCAGGAGTCTGTGAAAAACACCAAAGAGACCGTCTGGCCAAACTGGTACAATTGTAATCCACAAGCACCTACCGCATTCATTACCGAAGCATTGTGTATGGTCTCAATCTTAATTCCCAACTCTCTGGCTCTGATGACCAAGTCTGTGTGGGTGGTGGCACCATAAGGATCACCAACAACCAAGAAAGCAATGTCATCCTGCTCTGCACCAGCCAAAATTTGGTCCGAGCCTCCTTCCACCAACTCTCTATCTGCCAAAATCACTTCCCGGCCATAGAAATCCTCCAAGGACTTTTGGTCCGCCTGCATCAATATCGACGTATACGCTTCCAAGTACACCCTCTTGCATTTTTTGACGACCTCCAAGCCCCTGACGGTGATATCAGATGTGTAGGATAATCCCAACCCGACTAGATACAACATGTCTACGATATTTTTTTTTTCAGCCTAGATGAGATGCGCATTTATTAAGTATCACTGAGCTGATGGAGGATTTGAAGGATATAGGTAGAGTCCAGGTTATGGACCGTGGGATCAGTCTCAATCAACTTCCTGGCCATGTTCAAACACTCCTTGAGCTTGTTGTTGGTGTACTCGAGGGAATTGGACTCATTGGTCATGAACTTGATCGATTCCGCTATCAAATGATGGCTTTCCAGCAGCTTTCTCTTTTCAACGCTTCTGTTATAAAGTAACTCATATAATGGCGATGTCATGGAGAACCGTAAACTATGGAGAATCGGGAATGAGAACTTGCCTTCGATCAAGTCTTCTCCCACCACGCCCTTCATGTGGCTGTACTTATCGCTGGTCAAGTTGAAATAGTCATCTCTCAATTGGTATATTATGCCAATCAAACTAGTCAACGCTACATGTTTGGTGGACTTCGACGGCTTGAATGCCTCGAGAACCTTCACCATAATCCGCAACAACCCGCCCGTCTTATCCATAACCATCTCCAAGTACTCTTCTTCGGTGGGCAAGCGGGGGAGATCCAGCTTATTATCTCTCCAGTAGATATCCACTCCTTGCCCATGATGCAAATTTAACATTTCGTCGGTGATGATCTTATTGACTCTTAAGGTGATGAGTTCTTGCTCATGAAGATCCGACGTATACAAGGGGGCCAATTTACTGGCCTTGTCAATTGCCACAAAATACATGTAGTTGACACAATTGACGGTGGAAGGCACACCAAACTTCAAGTGTGCCGCCAAAGCGCCTCTCCTATACTCCGATGAGTCCTCCACATCGTCTATAATCAACGAGCAATCGTGAAGCATATCCACCAATTCGTTAAGGCCATTGATCAACCCATCATTGTCGATGCCAAAGTAGAGGTCATTAAAAGCCTTGATAAACACGATCCGAATGGCCCGGTTGTTGCCTGGAAGCTTCTGGAGGTATTCATATGGTTCGGTTATTAGTGTAGTCTTGGGATCATGCCTGTCCAACGGCGTGTCATCTCTGTAGATTAGTTTCTCCATGTTGCGTAGGAGGAATCAGGTGAAACTGATGGTGCGCGCGCTGGCAATTGATTTCCAAACTGACAAGTATGGAAAACCTACATGTGTTAATGCAAGGTTTGCCACCAGTATCGCGGTACTGGGCAGGCGGACTCATGTTGGCACACGCAATGGTACAGTTCAAGTTGGTCCCTGGTGCCCGGTTGGAATTCCTGGTCAGCCGAGCGTTTTCCACTCAACCTTGGCGGGTGATCACCTCATTCTTCTATTATGGTCCTCTTCTGATGAACACTCTCTTCAGCATTTACAATACAGTACAGTGGCTGAAACTACTAGAGGAGAGTTTTTCTCTCAGCCGGGCCACTTTTCCAGACTCAATTGCGGTATTTGATGAAGAGCAGCAACAGGTGCTTATGAGGGCCACTCGCAGACTCGAACCTTTGGATTACTTCCACTATTTGGTGCTAATGGCGGTGGCTGTCATTGGATTATCTACATATGGCCTGTATGTTTTGGGGTATCCGACTCCTATGATGGGAGGCATGTTGTATGAAATACTCACGTACATTCTATGTCGTCGAAACCCGCAACTCCAGGTTGGGATCTTTGGCATCATCGTCATCAGGGGCATTTATATTCCGTTGATGAGCATGGTCTTCGCTTTGGTGCTGCTGGAGGAATTCAGTATACTTCTTCAGCAGTTGTCTGCTGAGTCATTTACGATGGGAAGTTTGTGGAACGTGTTAACTACCTTTGCCATATGGAGAGGATTGGTGTGTATTTCGATCGGACATTTCTTGTGGTTTGTCCATTCGGTGTTGTTTGATACCATCTATGATGACAGGAATAATAAACGGTATAGCTTACGGCATGGTACAGTGAAACGAGTGCAACAGGCACAGCAGATAAACTATATAGACATGACCAAAACCGTTATGCGTTGGATCATGTTGCCTCCTTGGTACTGGGTGATGATTCACAACATCAAAAGAAGAAGGTACTGAACATATCAGTCAATATTGTGATCCTGGTGAATGGCTGCAAAAGAGTCGCGGGTTACAAGAGGGAGAAGAAAAATCCCGAAAACACAACAATACAAGCAGATAGCACATCTCCTACATATACAGGTACATGTACCATACGACCTGCTTCAATATATTATCATGTTAATGTGGCTGTAAACAAATAGACCAATCAGTCAACCCTAAGAGAATCATATCGCAAAACCGCATTCAACAAAACCTGAAATCCCTCAGCTACTTGTTCGGGTGTCGAATACTCTTCAGGGTTGTGACTGACGCCATCCTTAGACGGAATAAAAATCATTGATGTGGGGACCACGCCGCTGGTGGCACAGCTATCGTGACCAGCACCACTCACGATCTCCAATACGTTGTCTTTTCCATATAATTCGACAGCAGCCGACTGAACACACGAAACACAATCAGCATGAAACTCTAACGGGTCAGAAAGCATGACATGTTCGAATTCTACCGATACATTTCTGCCAGCTTCGTGGGCAATTTTCTTGAACTCTTCAACACAGTCATCTTTTAATTTGTGCAACGAGTCCTTAATCGGGTGTCTCAAATCCATGACAAACTCGGTGGAGTCTGGGATTACATTCACCACTTTGGGGAGTAAGTTCAACACACCCACTGAAAATAGCCCTTCTGCCTTTTTTGCAAGCTCGTTACCTTTACAAATCATCTGAGAAGTTGCCAACAACGCATCAGAACGCGCATAGAAAGGTGTTGTTCCCGTATGTGTGGCCTTACCCTTGACATGTACTTTGGTCCAGTCATAGCCCTGAGCTCCTACCACGATCCCGATCTTTTTGTTTGACTCTTCGAGAATCGGGCCTTGTTCTATGTGAATTTCGAAATGGCACTTTATAGGGTTTTGCTTGTAATCAACAGGAACATCTCCAATGTAACCAATACGCTCAAGCTCATCTCGAACCGTCACTGGCACATCGTCGGTAATTGACTTCAAGTTGTAGGTTTCTTGAAGGTCGTGAGCACCAGACCAAACCAAAGAAGACATCAATGACACAGGAAATCGGGCCCCTTCTTCGTTAGTCCAGTTGATTACAGCAATAGGATACTTGGGAGTGAACCCATTATCTTTGATAGTGCGTAATACCTCCAATCCACATAATACCCCAAGTATTCCATCGTATCTTCCTCCAGTTGGCTGAGTATCTAAATGAGAACCAATAGCAGTGGGAAGGCCATCCTTTTGACCAGAATAAATAGCAAATATGTTCCCCAACTGGTCTATCTTAACCTTGCAGCCCAACGAGTTGACTTCTTTAATAAACCAATCTCTGACCTCCTTATCATCATCACTGAGGGTCAATCTGCACATACCAGTTTGAGTGGGTTCTGGGCCCCATATACCTTTGGCACCCCACTGAGCCGTTTGATGAATAGTGTTAATAAGCCTGTGAGGAGTTACTTTCAAATGTTGAAACGACATAGTGTTTCTGGTGAGAACTAAGTAGGTTTATGTATTTGGAGGTTTATCTTCTGCTGCGAATTTCCGAATCAGGTATTTAGCGTTTCCGCCGTATCGAGAAAGTAGATGCGTTGGCTATTAACTTATGGAAGGTATTGGTGAAAGAGTATTCACCGAACACAAAGCTAAGAGTCACCCTGTTGGTATTTGAACTCGTCCATTTACAAAGCTGATGTATCCCTTTCCTAATTTAATCGGTCGGGAGTAGGGTTAGTAATTGTTATAAGAAACTTAAAGCCGTAGGACCTTGGTGTGTTCCATATACTAGCCTATTTTAGGATCTATGTGCCATCTATGGAGACCTGGCCCCGTTACCGGTGAATATTGAAATGCCGGTAGCAGGTTGCAAACGGGAGATGCACGACCCAATAAGAGCTCCCACAAGCACCATTAGCGATAGTGGCAGATTGGTCAAAAGGAGGCTAGTGGTCACATTTCTCGAGATTTCGCCTTAATTTACGCCTTTTCTTCCCTTTGAACATGTTACCACCGGTAACAAGAACATTTTCATAGGCAAAAGCAATAATTTCCCCATAGCATTGTGTCCCCTGTCGCTTGGACCGACTGCACCGCCACCCACCGCCCGCGCACCACCAATCTCCTCGCCGTCGCGGTTACTAACACTTCTCACAAAACCACCCCTAGTTCCATATTTTTTGATTTGATGTCGCGCTCCTGCTTATTATTTAGTAGTAAACGAGGGAACTTAAATCAAGGCACTCATCAATTTTTTTGAACATACCAGGTTTTTTTCCCTACCGCCACAGGCTCATCGGCATCGCCCACCCATCCCTCTATACGGTCCGAACATTCCCACCGTGTCCTTGTGCCCGTATCCCCTTGCCCACTCGAACCACTTTCCTTCTCCGTTTCTAGTCACTTTTTGTGTGTGATCCCTCCCGCTATCTGCGTGGGCACCATTCCATAAAGAATGTCTTCTCCTCCGTACGACGTCATTTCGGTTCTTCAGACCGAGATCGAACACACGCCCGTACAAAACCCATCCGTCAACCAACTTATACAGGGGTTCATCAAATACTTGAAGGAACCCAGATACCTGACCCCGTTGACCATTCAAGAGCTATCCGGACTATTCCACAACTTTTACAATGACTTGAATTCCACCGTTATCACCGTGTATACCCAGTCCAACAGCGCCAAGAAGCAACTTATTGGAAGCTCAGAGTATTTTAAAGAAAACCCTAAGCAGTACGACTATTTACTTGCTATCGCCAACTATTCGTCCTCTTCGATCAAACTAGTCAGACGGACTGATTCCGCCGCGGTGCTACAGTTGAGAGTCTTTAACATGTACAAGTTTTTGTTGGTGACTCACATGATCGAGCTGTCACAGGAATTGTTACTTCAGTCCACATCGAACAAAGACGACGATATTTCGCTTTACGACAAGATCTTCCGCTTCGACGAGAAGGACTTGGTGGTGCAGGAGTTTTTCGATAAGAAGTTGAAGAGCTTAAAGAGGTTGAACTTGCCGTTCCAATGTTTTATTGAGGAAGATAACCAAACCTACAAATCGTTGATTGAGTTAATCAATACTTGTGATACCAATGAGAATATCATGGCCTTGATCAAGGAGTTCACTCTGATCAAGGATCAGGTTACCGCCAGTTCCAAGTTGAGAATGATAGCTCGATTCCAAAAGAATTTGATGAGAATCTTGTCTACTGCCAGTGGCTTGCAATCGCATAACATTAACAACGACGTATTGTTACCAGTGTTCATCTATTTGATTATTTACAAGATGGACGTCCTGCTTGACTTGTTCTTGACCTTCAACTACGTCAAGAATTTCACCAATTTTATCGATCCTTACGACGTTAAGATCCTTGCAAGTACTTCATTTTACTTCTACAATCCGACCGAAACCTCCAAGAACCATTTGAAAAACAACAGTCGGAAAGCTAATCTTTTTGAGTGCATTAATCTCAATGAAAATGAAACGGATACTGATGCACCAGATGCCGACAAGAGTGGGCTCATATCGTTTTTCGATTCTGACAAGGAGTTAATTCATTACTTGAACATCAACCACCTCAACAACAGCGAATTACAGTACTACCTCACGAATTTCGAAGCGGTGTTGTTTTTCATCCAAAACGTTACGTTAGATGAGTTGACAGACAGAAAGACGGATGAAGAGATACTTTCAAAACCACTCAGCGTATTTGTGGAAAGAGCCTTTGCTCCTGCCTATGAATTCCCTCCAAGAGCCACAGAAACCAATGAAGAGGATACCAAAGACGAAGAAACAGATGTTAACAGGTCCAGATCCAGCTCTTTGTTCAACACCATTTCAAACAGAATAAGTGAAGCAGCTAACCGATCAAGGTCCAACTCGGCATTAATGAGATCTACCGGAGAATCTGTTGCATCCATAGAGGTGTCCACAGATGCAGTCATCCCATCACCTGTATCATCACCAACTATCACTGGGGAAATTGCCCAAGACAGTACCACCTTTAATATGATGAGAAATATTATAGGTCGGTTTGGATCGGTGAGCGTGCTGCAGTTCAAAGGATCCGAAGAAGAAGAAGGACTCGTGAACAACGTCAAGCATTTGAGATCAGCTTCCATCATTGAAAAGCTATCTCCCAACCACTCGAGAACCCGATCTTCATCGCTTGAAAATGGCACTAGCACTATGCATAACCTTTCGCCCAGTAGGAAAAACACCATTGCATCGAAATTATCTTCAGGAGTCACTGACCTTATGACCAAATTCAACACCCCAGCCACTGCGTCATCCAGTTTCAACCACCAGAACACCAACACCTCTCAGACTTCATTGAGATCCTTAGATGAATCCGAGTCAGTCACGGTGGTCCCCAGGCGACCTGATCATTTTCGCAACCGGACCTCCAGTATACAAATAATGGAGAAGTGGTTCAACAACCTCTCTACCGGCCAGCAACAACAATTGACACAAACCCAAACAGAAGTAAATGCATCCACTTCTAGAAGCATTTCCCAATCCGAACCCTCCAAGCCTGAGGTTGCTGACATTGAGAGCCACGAAGGGTCTGTGTTCAGCACCCCGTCTAAGGAGCTTGCCAAGTATCACAACGTTGATTTTGACTTATTAACGGTTCTGGACTTGAGAACCTTGAAGCTATACTACGACCAGCTATGTAACGAGCTTGGAATGAGTAAATTCGAGTCCAAGCTGACTTCCGAGGAACTCAACGACCAGTTTTCTTCCGTTAACTCCATTTAATAATTTTTGTATGGATTTATAGATGATACACACTATCATGAAGTTTTAGCAGCCAAAAAGTCGCGATGTTTTTCGAGAAAAATCGATAAGGAAACTCACTGGGGTATTTATAAAATCTCATTATATGACTGTTTTAAGCAACAAACAAACATGTCGGAAGTTATGACGGACATCCCACTAAACTTCTCCAACCCTAAGAAACACCGTCTAGCGTTCGACGATGACGCGGTTCTTGTGGACACCAGCTTTGGCAAGCGAATGCGTCTTGACAGCTACTTTGACAGCCTATCACTTACCGACACTACCCGACAATCTAAACGACAGTCCCCCATACCAAGCTTTGAGATCAATCCCGAGGTTAGTTCTTTACCGCAAAAAGTCCCCGATTTAAACACTTATATTGCTGATAAAATCATCGTGAACTTCAACGCAGTGTACGACTCTGCGTCTCAGGTAATTAAATACTATAACCGCAATGTGGTGATTGCGCATCACTTTCAACGGTGGGTCCTACGACTCTTCAACCGCTTCATTGTCAAATACAACAAGAACAACCACACGAATATCCCTCGGTTCAAACACTTTTTCAAGATCACCAATGTCATCGGGCTGCAACAACACAACCTCACATACCACGACTTGATCTCGATAGTGCAATCGGAAAGCCATTTGGAGGCCAAGGCCATCAACAAGCGACTCAGCAAGCCTCTGCTGGTATTGGAGGAAATTGAAGAGGAATCGTTTACGTTTAATGATATCAAGTATAACTACTGGGACACGATCCAGTCACTCGACCAGGACGTGGAAATGGCTGAGGAGTCTGACGGGGGAGAGGATGTTGACATGGGTGACGATTAATGATTTTGGCAATACACTTAGCACCTTGTGTTACTCAGTGGGAACAGTAGCTATTAAATAGTAGAGTACAAGCCACAGCAAACCTCAAATATACAATTCGCGAAAATTGCAAACCATCTCAAATCATCTGTTTAAACCTTCATCCCCATCGCGAGACGATGCTTCACGCCCTCTCTTCGGACTTGGTCACTCGGATCCTAAACCAACTCACCATTCAAGACACCTATGGCTTTATTGCCAGTGCATTGCTGCTTACGCACATATCTCCCCTACAGCAGAATGCGATCAACCTGGTCGTAATCATGGCATACCAACGTATTTACGGCGGGAAACTCACGGTATACTCAAACCTCGACCAGACGAACTCTCCACAGTTCGAGAAGTCCATGACGTTGTCGGCGTTCCAGGACGAGCTTCTGACCACCCGAGATTCGGTCGAAATCAACACTTTTAAACAAACTCGTCCCCAGTACGTGGTGTTTGTGTTCATTCGTCAACCCAACGACTACACCAAGTTCGTCCGCGACCTTAACGCATTCAGCGAGCTTATCGACGGCAAGACCCGCTCCCGCGAGTTTGTGGCGTACTTTGAGCTGCTTCTCCAGTGTGGACTCACCATCGACGGCAGCTCAGTGGTGTCACTCATGACCACCTCGTCGCTCGTGGCGATTCTCAAGGTGTTGATTCTGATCTCCACCAAATCCAACGCCGTGTGTGAGAAGCTCACCACCATAACCATCCGATTTTCACAAATAGGCCGGTATTTTGTCACCCAGTGGTGCCGATTGTTCTCACGATTCATAAACGTCACCCACTTGGACATCTCGCATAACTTCATTCCCCTGGATGAATACGTGTTCAACATCAATGAGCCGTCGATGAAAGATATCATTGGAACCTGCTTCCAATGGCCTCCACGCCTTCGCTACCTAAACTTGGACAGAAACGACATTTCCTACCTCTCGTGTGAACTTCTTCGACGCCTTCCTGACACGCTCGAGGTGTTGTACTTAGCGGGCAACCAGTTGCTGGCAATTGGACCCTTCAGCCCCGAAGAACATGGTGTCAATCACTACCTTCCGAATCTTCACACCATCTCCTTCAATTTCAACGTCAGGCTCACGTTTATCGACCCTGCATTTTTTGCAGCGTCCAAGGCAATTTTAAAGCTCTGCTGTGTCAAGAATTGCAATCTTCACCAGGGAAACTTGCCTCAGCTCCTTCAGGTTGCAAAACAAATGAACTTCACTATCGTCGTATAGATCCGGCATATAGTCATCATGGCCTTGTGTCAGACTTCCGCGCATTAAATGAACAAACCTCCAACAACCAACACTCTCAGTACTCAAATCATATACGAATTAGTTGCCACATGCTGTTTCGATTGATGCTTAGCCGGGGGCACGGGTCTTCTTTGGTACGGCCACGATGCATTGCCACTAGAACCATGCCTGTAGCACGCCTACACATTGCATCTCAAGTTCAAGTGGTTCGCCTGGTACCAGTACATATTATTAAGCATCATTCACAACCAAGTTTACGGATTGAACCGCAGCTCTCCATAGGTCTCCGCACCTTTGGCACAACACCAATGCGCCGGCTGGAGCATGAAAATCTCGATAACGCCAAATATGACAAGGATAAAGACAATAACAACTCGAAAAGAAAGACAACTGGATCAGATATCTGGAACCTTCTTCTACTAGCCAAGCCGGAGTCCAGGCTACTTGGGTATGCGTTGACTATGCTTGTGGTGACTTCTACTGTGACGATGTCTCTTCCGTTGATCGTGGGGAAGATTATAGATAATGCCAGGCCGTTGGAAGCATTATCCATAGAAGAAAGAGTAGCCCAAGTTGGCAACAGCACCTTTATTCTTGGGTTCACTGAAACACAGTTCTACAGTGCGGTAGCCGTTTTGTTTGCTATTGGGGCGGTATCGAACTTCGGAAGAATGTACGTGTTGAGAATGGCGGGTGAAAAGTTAGTTGCGAGGATGAGGTCTCGGTTATTCCTGAAGATCTTATCACAAGATTCATACTTTTTTGACGTTGGGCCCACAAAGAAGGGTATGAAAGTTGGTGACTTAATTTCCCGGATTCTGAGTGATACTCAAATTATTGCTAGAAGTTTGAGTGGGAACATTTCTGACGGTGCCAGAGCCATGATCAGTGGAGCAGTAGGAATATCGATGATGTGCTATGTGAGTTGGCAATTGACCTTATTCATGAGCATTTTCTTTCCTCCTCTTATTGTAATGACTTTTGTTTATGGAGGTAGAATGAAGCAGTTGGCCAGAAAGGTCCAGGAAAACTTGGGGGACTTAACCAAAGTCACGGAAGAGAAGTTAAATGGGTTGAAAACCATTCAGAGTTATGCCAGGCAGAACTTGGTTGTCCATGGTTACAACAAAGAAGTCAGAAACCTCTTTAACACCAGTATGAGAGAGAACAAGTTGAGTGCCATTTATTTCAGCACAAATTCACTCATCGGTAATATGATGATCATTGGGCTTTTGTTTGTTGGTACCCGGCTCATAAGTTTGGGAAACCTCACCATCGGAGACTTATCGAGTTTCATGATGTATGCCGCATACACTGGAGGATCTGTTTTTGGGTTGGGAAACTTCTACACTGAGCTAATGAAAGCCATCGGAGCAGCCGACCGGGTGTTTGAATTAACGCGTCTGGAACCCAAGATCAAAACCACCATCGGCAAGAAAGTCGACGATTTGGAAGGAGATATCGAATTTAAGAAAATAGAGTTCAGCTACCCGTCTCGGCCCAAGTCCAAGGTGTTTAGAAGTTCCAACCTCAACTTGACCATTAAAAAGGGAGAGAATGTGTGTTTTGTAGGACCCAGTGGCAGTGGAAAATCTACTATTGCCCAGCTTCTCCTTCGGTTCTACGACCCCAATAAAGGTTCTATCCTCATCAACGGCCATGATATCAAGGATTTGAATTTAAACTTTTACCGGTCCAAAATCGGGTATGTGCAACAAGAACCGCTTTTGTTCAGTGGAACCTTACGAGAAAATATCACGTTTGGCAAGGATCACTGCACGGAACAAGAGATTGAAACCGCCATCCGACTCAGTAACGCTTATGGTTTCATCAACATGTTCCCCAAAGGCTTGGACACGTTGGTGGGCCCTTCGAGCAGTGGAGCCCAGTTGAGTGGAGGCCAGAAGCAGCGGATCTCACTTGCACGGACCTTAATCAAAAACCCCCATATCTTGGTTTTAGATGAAGCTACTTCTGCCTTGGACTCAATTCTGGAAGAGTTGGTAATGCGAAACCTTAAGAGAGTTACAGCTGAAAACGGCTATACAATGATCCTGATTGCTCATCGGTTATCAACCATCAAGAACAGTGATCGGATCATTGTTCTTAGTGAACAGGGCGAAATCGTTGAAGACGGCCCCTTCACACAGCTTTACCAGGACAAGCAGAGCCGGTTCAACGAGCTTCTCCGGAAACACGACCATGACCTCACTGAGGTGTTTGAGTCGTAGCTGCCAAATGATTTGTCAACGACACCCACCGGATGATCCAACCTGGATCCACCCTTGTAGATAGTTAATCCGTATATAGTTAGTCCGTATAAACATCAGATAATCCGACGCAGTTTCACATGCGAACATGCACAAGTGCGCAAATGGCGCCTAGATGACGCACCCGACGGGGTTAGCCACAAATAGCTGCAACAAACCGAGCTTCAACAAATCAACCTATAGCACCATTGGATGGCAAAGTCCTATCGCACCATCTTTGTATCTCTTGTTATTCTCGCCCTACAAATATACTATTTCCAATATCCCTCCCACCACCATTTAAGTGCCACTACATTTAGCTTTCGCTCGCCCCAGGTTTTCTTCGCATAAACTTGTAAAAACCTGAACCTGCGAATTACCATACGATTGTGGATAGTTTTAAATATCCCAGTTTAATGGCACCGGCCAACAGCTCCACGTCCACACAAATATCACCCCAGGTCTCCGGAATGCTGTCGCCACCAAGCCAGGACCAGCCCCAGGCACATTCACCCTCTGCTGCCCCTCAAGACTATTTCACCGCCAAAGCCCCATCTAGTGGCAATCAGAGCCCTCAAATCCACCAGGACGATACGGACCTTGAAAATTCTTCGGTACCCGCGTACATCTGTCGGAGTCTTTCCGATAGGATCATCCCGCTGCTCCAGGCATCGATTGGGCAGATATACTCATCGGTGGCCACGCCCACAGAAACGGAGACTGATGCCAAACTTGATACAAATTCGGAAACGGGTCTGGAACCAGTAGGGTCCACGCCTCGCACGTCTGAGGATGATGAAATCGACGTGGCCAAGCCCATCGGGATGTTCAAGCCCCAAAAATCTGTATTGGAGTTCATAGCATCATCGCAGATCTACTCCGATGTCGCCAACTTTGTACTGAGCCATCGGGGCCGGTCGGGCTCTGACCGATCGACGTCCAGCGGGCGCCCGACCGGGTCTGACATGAAGATCCCGTCTTTGGGATACGGAATCATTGAGAATTCGAGTGAGAGTGAAGACTACGAATTTGGGGACGAGGATGATGAGGATGATGAGGATGAAAATGAACCAAATGACCATCATTCGGACTCAGACGATTATGAAGATGCCGAGGAGCTACCAGATGCGAGTTCCACCCCCATGGAAGCCAGCCAGAGCACAGAGTCTCATAGCAGTGCGTTTTCCACGCTTCTTTCGTCGATCCGCAGTTTGGACACCATAAACATGCAGTCACTCACGCTGTTCCAGCTGTCGATGGTGAGAAACTTTGAGATCCTCAAGAAAGATGGTGTGTTGGTGAGGTTCACTGAAGACTCCAACTCTAGCACCCCCATTGATGATGTTCTTTCCACCAACTTGAAATTGAACATCGCGGACCGGTTGCAAAAAGTATTTTCCATCCAAGACGACGACATTTTCTATGCCAACTTCAACGGGTGGCTCGTGAGGGACGTATTCTTGCAGGGCCATATCTACTTGACCAAGAACTGTATTTTGTTTTTTGCATTTTTACCCAGCAAGTTCTCGTCTCCACCAGATAGCCAGAGCGATGGTGAGTTCAGAAAACAGGACGACTCGAGTGTGTACATCCAAACCGGTGCTTTAGCAACCAAAACCAAAAAATACGGGGAAATCTTGGGAACTGTCTTTACAAACCGGCTGTGGGCCATCTTAAGACCCGAGACGTTATCGATCTACTCGTCCCCCACTGACTTGTACTTTCCTACGCTTGTGATTGATCTTCGCACCTGTGTGCATGCCGAGATATTGGAGAAGTACCAGCCCAAAACCGAAAATGCCAGCAATGTTTCCAAGCCTGTTCCAGTAGGTTCACCTACCGATACCCCATCGGGTATTCTCAGCCCCAGAGAGACGTTATCACGAGGAAATAGTGACGATTTGTTGAATGACGATGAAGAATTGAACAAGATGCTCGCATTAGAGGCAGAAGACAACAAAGAAAGCAACAACGGTGGGGTGTGGTTCAAGATCACCACCACCAAGAGATCGTACAAGTTCCAGACTGACAGCATTTATTCGGCCCGACAGTGGGTCAACAATATCACCAAGATCATCTTCCAGTTGCATAACTCCAACTCCAAAAATGAGGTTTTGGTCAAGATTCCTCTAGATAATATCACCAGTTTCAACCGAAGCAGTTTATTCGGGACTTCGGACATTGATGTTGATGATTCGGAGGAGGTTCCAGCTGTATTCTCCTTGACATATCTGACAGGTACAGACAATGTGCTACACCAGAACAAGAAGATACACAAGAAGTTCACCGAGAAAGCCAAACAGCAATTGAACTTATCAGGAACTGAAGACTTACACTTTGTATTTTTCTCCAAAGCACAAGAATTCGATGACACTATTTCAAAAATTGTACATGATCGAGAAGATGGAAATTCTGAGTCTTCTAGTATATCCAACCTGGAAAAGTTCATCCAGAAAATGAAATTGAAAAGGTTTCAAGGCCCAAAAGAAGAACACGAGACCGAACTCTCCAAAGTCGATATTCCATTCTCCACTTTACTGCCTCATGGAAACCCTTCCGCCATTTTGGATCAAATGCTAGAATACAACAGAGCAATGCTCCACTCTCGGTATGGGGATATACTTGATGAGCCAAATCATTCTAAGCTCAAGAAGATTGGAAGATCATTGACCTTTACTAAACTGAAGACTGCTTACTCAACTAGTTTACACTCAAGTAGTTTGGCCTTACAGGGCAATTCTCTTTCCAATTTGCCCCTTTCCCCATTGAGAACTCCACTGGCAGCTTCTCCATCCGATGTTTCGAGTCGTTCCAGTGAATCCACTTCCCCCATGAACTTGAACCTTCCTCGGCAGTTGTCGGTGACAGGACTTAAGAAGTTGAATATGTTTTTTGATACTTCCAAGAGAGACGTGGGAGTGGTGGCTGATCGTTATGGTAACATCCAAATCACAGGCCCTAACGGAAATGAACCGGTTTCTGAAAAGTCTGTTCTCCCTAGTCCTTTGAACTTGGCTGATCCCTCTGAGTATGTTGATCAGGATTATCCCAAAAAGGACAATAAACTCAAGGCGTTTAGTAAAAGTATCAAGGCCATCACCAATGTTTCTAGTGTCTGGAACGCATACCCTTTTCACTATATCCAAATGAACGATAAGGATCCCTTCTACGTTACTGACGAGGCAGCTAGAAACTTGGGCCAAAGGAGGTTAAGAAGCCACTTTTCTTTGGGTGAGACCAATACCTTAGCAGCTAGTTATTTCTGCCATATACAAAGAGCTTTACCCGTGTACGGGAAGTTGTATGTGGGAAATGAAAACATTTGTTTCCGAAGCTTGTTGCCAGGAGTGTCAACCAAGATGATCTTACCGTTACGTGACGTGGAGAACTGTTTCAAAGAAAGAGGTACTAAAATCACCTTTTCGGGCTTGGTGATTGTTGTCAAAGGGTACGAGAAGTTGTTTGTTGAATTCAGCTCCCACAAGTCCCGAGATGACTGCTTAGATGTGATGTTGGAAGGGCTTCATCAATTACATGGATCAGAAACCTGGGAACCCCTGGCCCATGAATGGGGTGAAAACTATCACGAGCAACTGAATAAGCTAAGACTTTCTGAAGACGGCGAAGACACAAATCAATCTCTAGCCCCTTCCGATGAAACCTTAAAACAGGCATCGATGAGGATCGAGAGTGCCAGGATGAAGATGTTTGAAGACCGGTTCAGTGTGGCAGCCGGATTGCAGGTGCCTATAGTCTTGGAAGATTCACCTTTCTTCAAAACTGAGGTCCGGCCAAACACCTCGTACCACTTTGTGCTATTAACAATTGGCTCCCGAGGAGACGTCCAACCGTATATTGCTTTGGCCAAAGGGTTGATGGAAGAAGGTCACCGAGTCACAATTGCAACACACAGTGAATTCAAGGATTGGATCGTCAGCTACGATATCAAGTTTAGAGAAATTGCTGGTGACCCCACCGAGTTGATGTCGTTGATGGTGAGTCATGGATCGATGTCGGTGGCTTTCATCAAGGAAGCCAGTTCCAAGTTCAAGGGGTGGATCAATGATCTCTTGAAGACCGCCTGGGTCGCCTGCCAAGGGGCAGACATTTTGATTGAAAGCCCTTCTGCCATGGCTGGAATTCATATTGCTGAAGCTCTCGGAATCCCATACATGAGAGCTTTCACAATGCCTTGGACTCGTACCAGAGCCTACTCCCATGCATTTATTCTTCCTGACCAGAAGAAGGGAAATTCCTATAACTACTTGACTCACGTCATGTTTGAGACGGTGTTCTGGAGAGGTATCTCATCACAGGTCAATAGGTGGAGGGTAGAGACTCTTAATATTCCCAAGACAAGCTTGTTCAAGCTCCAGCAGTACAAGGTTCCGTTTTTGTACAACGTTTCACAAACAGTGTTACCACCTGCAGTTGACTTCCCGGACTGGGTGAAAGTTACCGGGTACTGGTTTTTGGATGAAGGTACTGGTAACAAGTACAAGCCTCCACCAGAGCTTATTGAGTTTATGAGACAGGCCACCAAAGACCAAAAGAAAATTGTCTACGTTGGATTTGGATCCATTGTTGTGGACGATGCCAAAAGTCTCACCAAAGCGGTGGTGGAATCGGTTCTTGATGCCGACGTGCGGTGTATCTTGAACAAAGGCTGGTCCGATAGGCATGGTGACAAGGAAGGTGAAGACAGTAAAGAGGTGGAGGTTGAATTGCCCTTCGAAATCTACAATAGTGGTGCCATCCCTCACGACTGGCTCTTCCCGCGTATTGATGCTGCTGTCCACCACGGTGGTTCCGGTACCACTGGAGCAACCCTTCGTAGTGGGCTACCTACGGTTATCAAGCCATTTTTTGGAGACCAGTTCTTCTATGCTTCTCGTGTAGAAGAAATTGGTGCCGGAATAGCATTAAGAAAGCTCAATTCCAAATCGTTGAGCAAGGCATTGAAACTCGCCACCACTGACTTCAAGATGATTGAAAGAGCCAAAAAGGTTTGTGAGCAAATCCGGCATGAACATGGGGTTCTTGGGGCCATCGAAGCCATTTACTCTGAATTGGAGTACGCCAGGTCGTTGATTGTCAACAAACAGCTTGCCAACGAAAACTACGGAATGTTGGGAAGCCGTACTGGCTACACTGTTAACAACTCTGAAGACGAGGACCTGCTGCTGATTGAAATCGATATTTCCTCGAAAAGCGAGACCGATTTCTAAGACATTTTTTTGCAGCAATGTGGCTTTAACACACAACTTTAGGGATATGACCAACTCAGGCCCTTACACATAGGTGAAATAGATCACCTTTAATATACTTATTGTCGTTATGTATATCACGAATTTATGAACTCCGTAAATGTAAATGAGAGTGTGTTTTGTTCCTACTGATTTCTAAGTCATGTGAGTTGTTGTACCACAGATGAATCATAATTAAGTTCGCAGCGTTTGCCAGAAAAAATGTTTGAAAAGTTCATGTTACAATCAGCGAAGCATCTTGTATTATACTAACCAACTTGTTCCTGCTGAAATGACAACACATACCAATGCCCACTATCGGGATATAACCCGTGAGCAGTGCAAACAAAATCCCTACGCCGCCTTGGTACCAGGCCAAACCATTGTGGAGATTCCTAAATTCGAACTCGAATGTGGTGAAACCCTACACAACTTCCCAGTTGCCTACAAAACTTGGGGGAGACTCAATCACAATAAAGACAATGTCATTGTGGTATGTCATGCCTTGACCGGTTCGTCGGACGTCCAGGACTGGTGGGGGCCTCTATTAGGTACCGGTAAGACATTTGATCCGAGCCGATTCTTTATCATCTGTGTGAATTTCCTTGGGTCGCCCTACGGATCATGCTCTCCCTTGTCCATAGACCGTGCCACCGGCAAGCCATACGGGCCCTCGTTCCCGTTGGTAACGGTCAAAGATGACCTTGGGATCCAAAAGTTAATCTTGGACTCGTTGGGAGTTAAATCCATAGCTGCCGTTATCGGTGGATCCATGGGAGGAATGATGGCGTTAGAGTACTCGTCGACCTACAAGGGCCTGGGCTACGTGCGGGCAATTGTGGCCATTGCTACATCTGCCAGGGCGTCTGCCTGGTGTATTTCGTGGAATGAGGCCCAACGCCAGTGTATTTTCAGTGATCCCGAGTACAACGACGGATATTACTACGAAAGCCCCAACGGGGTCAAGCCAGACTCGGGCTTGAGTGCCGCTAGAATGGCGGCATTGCTCACTTATAGATCCCGTAATTCGTTTGAAACCAGGTTTGGTAGAAAACTACCTGGAGTCAAGAATACTGCCGAAGCTGAACGGATATACCCCACGACCAAAGACGAAGAGAATTGGTTGTTGCACAATGAAGGTGCCAGACTGGTCAGAGCAGGTTCTCCCAACCATTCCCTCAATAACTCGGGAAAACTCCAGACATACTTCACGGCACAGTCATATTTGAGGTACCAGGGAAGTAAATTTGTCAACCGATTCGATGCTAATTGCTACATTTCCATCACCCGAAAAGTTGATACACATGACATAGCCAGAGGCCAAGTGCCTTTGGATGATAACAACGACGACCCATTACCGGAGTATCTTGCAACCTTGAAGTTACCTCATTTGGTGATTGGAATTCAATCTGATGGTTTATTTACGTTTGGAGAACAGCAGATGTTGGACCAATACTTACCCAATTGTTCGTTAAAGAAGTTGAACTCGCCCGAGGGCCACGATGCGTTTTTACTCGATTTCGAGATTGTTAACTCTTACTGTCAGGAGTTTTTGAAGAAACAGCTTCCGGAGTTATATGACGACAATAGTGGAAAAGTCGTCCTCTTCGAAAATTGGAAAGACTTTGTACAGCTGGTCGACAACGGGGGCAACTCTGTGTTTGGCGAAGCCGAAAAGGACATCACCAACTGGTGAAAAGCACCATTAGCTGGTGCATTTTATATACTATATCCTATCTATTTATCACAATTACTGTAGAGTCGCGCAATCATTTCCCCAACCGCTATCAAAGCAACTGCCCTGATAATGCAAATACCCGATTCATTTGTTTTCAGATTGTTACATGGCTCCTTGAACGAGTTGGGACTCACCAATATCGCCGACCAGCTCATCGAAGAGGTCCACAAAAAGGGATATCTTTTGGAAACCCCGGATCACAATTTGGTTAACTCCTCAAAGAAAGCCAAGTTGTTTGAGTGGATCACAACTGAGATTTTTAGGGGAAATTACGACACAGTGTTGAACTACTTGAACAGCAACTTAGATGTGTATGTAACTGACGAAGATATTAACAGCGATGTCGACGGCAAGCCCAACGTTGTGAGTATCTTCAATCATAAACCTGACGCAAAGGAAGACTTGGTCCCCATGGTTTTGACAACCACTTATTTGGTAAAAAGAATGTTCTTTTTGGAGAAGTTGATTGAGTTTCTGTTGAGCAGACCTCTTTCTACCGCCGCCACCAACAATTCATTAATCCAGTTTTTGAGTGATGAGTTAAGCCCCATTTTAGACTCGATCAATATCAAGAACAAGTTTGTGCAATTGTCATTTGATGATATCATTCTTCAGAACCTTACTCGTGAGCGAGAATCATCCAACTTGTTGTCGTTGGTGATGCACCTGCCATTGGACGAAACTCAGATCGAAAAGATGGTTTTCTCAAAAGACTTGATCTTTTATAGCGTCCCACTCAAGAGCAGCTCAATGGACTACTTCAACCAAACACTTAGAACAGTGTTAATAAAGAGCCACCTTTCCAAGTTTTTTTTGAAGGACTTTTACGAAGGATCCTTGCCGTATCTGGATTTCCAGTTTCCTCCAAACTTCCTAAACAAGATAATCGAGAGCTACACTTTGCATAATAGACAGGATGCCCCTTATTACTTGCCATCTCGGTCTATAAAACACCTCAAAGAAGGCTCTAAGACGGGCTTTGAAGACATAGAGGAAGAGTTCATTCCTCCAATTGGTTCCAGTGTCAATAACTTCTATAAGCCCAAGTTCCCCATTGAGTTGTTGCACAACTTGAAGATACATAGTGGGCAAGTGTGGGCCTGTAAATTCAGTCCGCTGGGTCGGTTCTTGGTCACTGGAGCAGCTGATGGACAGTTGGTGATCTATGATGTGGTGAATAATTTTGAAGTTTTGGAGACTTTGGTGAGTGACAACACAATGGACAAAAACTGTTTCGTCAACACCCCATACAAGGTCAACAATTCGAGTAAAGCAGTAATATACTGTGCCTGGGACAAAAACGAAGACTATATTGTGAGTGGTTCGTTGGATACGAGAGTTAGGGTGTGGAAAGTCAAAGGAATCAAAAGTAGAAACAGAGTTAAATCACCCAGACGAGTAACTCGGTCCACCTTGAATGAGTCAGGTGGTGATGAAGAAGTCAAGTTAACGTGCTGTTTTATCTTGGGGGATAAGATTAGAACGTGGTCATGTGAGTTTCTTCCTGTCAATTTACCAGTTCCTCACTTCATCATTGGTTCTCCAGATAAGGTATTGAAGGCCTATGATATATATGGATTTGAGTTACATGATTTCTACAGCAATCCCTACACGGCTTCTCATGATGTCGAAGATGTGTTGATGAATGAAGAAGAGGGTGAGGAAGAAGAGTCGGGTGAGTTGGACTATACCGAAACCGGTGCTGATACTTCTAGTTTAAGATCAAGCATGAGGCCTGTGTCTCGACCATTATCAAGGTCAAGCACTCAGCTTAATTCTATAACCAGAATTGGCAGCAGCGAATCTACTCCCTCGAAAGTTCCAAACAAGTTCAATAGAATCAATGACTTGTGTATCACTCCGGATGGAAAGATTCTCATTACGGCCAATGATAACAAGCAGCTCGTATTTTACTTGATCCCCGATCTACAAGACGTCGAGAGCGTGACCAAGAAGTTGGCAACTATCTCATTGAAAGGGAGATTAACATCTTGCACGGTGAGTTCGAATGGGAAGCATATGTTATTAAGCTTAGCTCCAGATGAGTTGCAAGTGTGGGATATAGAAGATATCCTTGAAACTGGTAGACCTATTTTGTCTAGAAAGCTCATTGGCCATAGCCAGATATCATATATGATCAGATCTGCTTTTGGATACTTGAACTTGAATAATGAGCAAGAAGAGTTGGCTTTGAGCGGAAGTGATGATGGGGATATCTACATCTGGAAAATCTCTACAGGAAGATTGGTTTCCAGAGTAAGAGCGCATGATGAAGTGTGTAATTCTGTCAGCTGGAATACTGGGTATATTCCAAACAAAAACGGCCGAGATTATGGTAAGTTATGGTGTTCGGTTGGTGATGATAAGTTGGTTAAAATCTGGGGCCCTCCCAACTTTTATGATTGAGATATGGGGATATTTTAAGTTATATGGGTTTAATCACGTTTACATTGAAAACTACTTAGTGTAAATCCTTTGAGTAGAACTGTTTAAAGTTCATCGTGATCAATGGATTCTTCTTCCTGTTCTTCCTCTTCTTCCTCTTCGACCTTCTTTAATGTATGGCCATCGATACCGTGTCCACCTTCAACCTTAACGAAATCAATGAATGCATCCAAGACTCTTGGGCCAGAGAATACAACGGGTTTTCTGAGACCAGTGGCTTCATCGATTTCTCCATTTGCTGGGTACAAGAACAAAGTTGGGTAACCTTCAATAGGAATAGAAGTTTCGACGTCGTTCTTGGAGTGGTCGATCTTGGCAATAATAACATCGGGGTTTCCAGACTTGTATAAATCTCCCAATTCGTCCCAAGTTGGGGCCAACTTCTTACAGTGACCGCACCAGTGGGCGTAATACTTGACAAAGATATCCTTGGAAGTGTCCTTCAAAAGCTCTTCATAATTGTGGGCAACCAATTGATAAACTGGGCTAGCAGCTTGTTCTTCTTCGGTTGGCAAAGGTTCACTCTTAATGATTGGAGAAGCCTTACCTTCAAGGAAGTCTTCAATCAATTCCTTAATTTGTTCAATAGAGGGACCGTCTGGGTTAGAAGCTTGGTCAACACCGTACTTCTTGTTGTTTGCAGAATCTTGAATGGCAAACAATGGGATGATTTCTGGGTCCATGTTCAAAGATTCAGCGTGCTTACCAAATAAGGAAGCATCTAAACCAGCAAAGTTAATCTTACCTCTGTAAGTTTTACCCAACTTGGTGAAAAATTCTTCAACCTCTTCTCTTTGTTCAGGAGTCTTGTAGAAGTAGTAGGCAAGTGGCAAAGGAGCTTCCATGTATAACATGTAAGTATCTCTGTTAATATCACTAAAGTATGGAACCACTTCAGTCTTAAAGAAAGCAGTCAAAGAATCCTTGTTGATTTCCTCTCCAGAAAATGGAATGATTGATGCTTCGGCTGGGTGAACAACCACATATCCCGCCTTTTCGGCAAAACTTGAAGCATCAAAGTCCACGAACTTGGAAACCAAAGCTTCAATAAACTCCTTACCCTTAACAGACACAAAAGTCAAGTCCTTTCTTAAGGCATCTGCAACTTTACTGTAAGCATCGCTGGATTCTTCGTCGTCTTCACCCGATAATTGAATAGCGAATGGCTTGGTCTGTTGTTCAACAAGAGCCAAGAATTCTTCAACAGTCTCAGGGACTTGGACAGATGGTAACGACAGTCTGACCATGTAGTCAATGATACCGGCCGACTCTCTGGCACCTTCGTAGTCTTCAATGGTTTCCGGGCCTCTCAATACCTTCAAGGTTGGGTAACCTCTGATTCCAAACTTACCACACAACTCTTCATCTTGAGTACAGTCGATTTGAGCCAACTTAATACCGGGGTGAGACTCGTTCAAAGAGTCGGCAGCGGCAACAAACTCGGGGGCTAACTTTTTACAGTAGCCACACCAAGGAGCGAAGAATTCGGCCAAAACCAATGGGTTTGATTCAATGAAGGCGTCAAAAGTTTCTCCAGTCAACTTGACGACAGCGGAGTTTGGATCAGCGATAGCATCACCATCGGCGGGGCCGCTGGCAAGAACAGTGGATGCAATGGCAACAACACTAGAGAGCTTCAAGAATTTCATATTGATGAAAAGAACTAAAAAGTACCTGTTGTTGGATTTGTAATTTTTTCAGTTAACAGCGTGTTAACAAGATCGCGCGTTGGCTGTGGTCGTGTATGCACCCTTCCCCGTAAGCGGGTTTGCTATTGCGGCTGCAACTGCAACTGCAACCATATAACTATTATCTACGTAACATGTGTATTATAAATATCATACCTCATCTAGATCCCGAAAAACTCTTTCCAGGTGCCCCAACTATCCAACTCCACATCATAAATGTAGTGCATCGAGTGTCTTAAAGAACTCTGTAAATACTGGGGTTGGTAGTCATAGATAAACATCACCAACCCCCACGTCAACACCGCAAAGTACTTCCACGCCTTGTTGTAGTACTGCTGCTTTAACTTGGATTTCTGGTTCAACAGTAAATTCTTATAGTTTTGCATCGATGTACCTGCCACCTTAAACGATGGGTTGGAGCAGTTCAAGTACTGATCCAATATGATTTTGGAAACCGCCAACAAAACTCTGGAGAAACAATATAATGTAATCTGGTGGGTGATTCCGGGATGGAAATATCCAAAGTGTTGACTGTACACAATCCACGATCCAAAACATCCAGCCACAAACTTCGATAACGCCTTGGAGTTAGACCCCAACACTTGTTCGTTGACCAATACACCCAACACCATCTTGTAGATAACAGCAAAGCTGGCCAACACTTCTGCGTGATTCTTGGTGGCTTTCAACACTTCTATCATTCGTGGTCTGAGGGACCCTGATCGATATAACAAGTTAATGACCAACGCGTGGGAAAAACGGATTTTCCCCCCGTAAACCACCCCGTTCCGGGCGGTCCGAGCCACCTCCAAGAGGGGCCTATAGAGCGGGTTGGTTAATATCGACATGTCAAAATGGTAAGAGTTTCAAATGGCTTGTGGGATTTGGACAATTGCGTGAGAGAAAACCGCGAATTATGGAGAAGAGGAAGTGCAATGGGGGCTTTGACAAGGTGGGTGATGTGAGTTTCTGGTAGGGTTTGGGAACAAATAGAGTGTATGAGATGTATATTTGGGGATTTTAGAATACTACTATGTTTTTTTCTGGGTCAAACAGTCGATATATTGCTTTCAAATAATTTGTCCCTGACACTTTTAGCACGTTGAACTTCTTGGGTCCGCACACCCATTCCTGCTCGCCCCACCCACACCATCGTCCCACTACGACCCCCACCCTCGTCTCACAAACTATTCTGACCAGATACAGAAAACTACACCGACAGCTCCCTTGACCCATATCATTGACCTTGATCTCTGTCACCACAACCCCCCTTTCATTGTCTTCACCGTTGTTCTATGTGCAAAGCAAATTGTTTTTCTATTGGAAAAAACTGGTTTAATCGCTGGTTTTGTGTCACTTTCAATCTCGCTGTGTTTGTGGTTTTTCTGTGAGTGTGAGAATAAAAAAAATTTTCATTACTGTAACTAGCGGCTAGTAGATTACAAAAGTAATTTCCCACCCCCAACCTGATCTGCTCGAGTTTACTACTTTATCAAACTCTTAGCATAGTGTTATATCAGCAACACTCAGATCCCCAACTTTTCATTCAATTTCTCCCGCTTGTTTCGGCTCCAACCTCACCCATTTTCTGATCCATATCAGTGGCAGTAAAGAGAACCTTACGATATATACCCAATGTCGTCAATTTCCTATGCTAACATAGCTGCCAATGGCTCGTCTTCAAGTACGACCTCAGCCTCCAACTCTAATGGCAACTCCAATGCTGGGACCACCGTCACTTCACCTGCTCCTATCCCAGCAGAAATTGAATCTTTGGCCAAATCTGAGGGTCAAGTTGAACTTCCTTTAGAAGAAACCAGCGATGCTGGTGCTGTCGAAGCCCCAGAAAATGATGCTGCACCAAAGACCAAAGAGAAGAAATTGGCACCAGCTCCGGTTCCTGCCACGAGTGTTTGGGGTACTCACGCCGGTGCTGTCTCTGGCTCCACTTCCCATGTCACCAATGTTGACGAGTACAAATGGCCTACTCCAGAAGAGCAACAGGCCAACGCTAGTGCCAAGTCCTCCAACAAAAACCAAAAGTTCATCAAGCCTATCACAAATAAATGGGTGCCCATCAATGCCAAAGTTATATTACCAAATGCAAGAACCCAGGTAACCCAGCAGGCCAGCAACAACGGCAACAAGAAAAACAAAAAAAATAACAATACCAATAACAATAACAACAAAAACAACAGAAATAAGAAGAGTGCTCCAGCTGTAAACGTTGGTGTCAATGGTGGCAAACCTCAACAAAAAAGAGCTGAGTCTAGCGATGCATCGGCTAGAAATAGCGAAAAGGTTAATGATAGAAAAAGTGAGGACGAGGAAATAAAGTCATTGGCTGATGATTTGAATGGTAGCCTTACACTTGGGTCTCCTGAAGTTCCAAGTATCCCAATTTCAACCCCCGATGAAAGTGTGCACCAACCACCCGTTAATAGAACCGTTGAAAGCTCCAGTCAGGAGTCATACTCCCCAGGCCCCCAATATTACCAAAATAACGGGTCGTTTGTTCCTCCAAACAGCATGAATAACGGTCAACCACAACATCAACAACAACATTATAACCAGAACAGACAGTATAACAAAATGAACTATAGAAACATTAACCGTTTTTCTTTGCCTAATGGAGGATCCTACAACCCTAATTTCATGCCTTTTGCTGCTCCTCAACCTTACCCCCATCCTTCTTTGCCCAACAACTACTATTACCAGACCGCTTATAACTTACCTCCAGGACAACCACAAGGTTATCCTCAACCTTTTGCACAACAACCATACCCTATTCCTCCTGTTTCTATTCCTCCTCCTATCTCCCCCAAGCAAGATCCCATTAATGCATTGACTCAACAGGTTGACTACTACTTTTCCTTAGAGAACTTAATCAAAGATATCTATTTGAGAAAGAAGTTCGCTAAGGAAACCGGTTTCATAAATGTTTCTGACATTTTGAGTTTCAAGAGAGTGCAAATCATCTTGAATCAAATCAAAAACTTGAACCTTAATGAAGATTACAACAAGGTGGTGATAGGTGCTATCAACAATTGTAACAATATAGACATCCAAAGTTCTAATGCTGCTGAAGAATACGACTTGAATAAAGTGGAAATAAGAGTAAAAGAGAACCCCAAACAGTGGATTTTGGATTAAACAATCCTTCCATCTTTTTTTTTTGCATCAAAAAGTATTATCTTATAAATAGTAAATTGATATCTTGTTAATAATACAATAAAAATTAGCTAAAATATTCTACCATGCGATTTTTGCAAGTAACCCATTCGGATACTTTCTGACCATGAGTTTTCTAAGCTCATCGTACACCAATAATAGTGAACCAAATCCAAATGAAATAAAGTAGTATTCGACAGGAACAGAAGATGAGTCCAATGCTTTTTGAACTTGGGGGATGTAGTTCCAAATAAAAGTGCTGGCAAAAATAGGCAAAATCACCAAGAGTTTCCAGCTAAAGTTCTTCAAGCACGACACAAATCTGGTTCTTACTGTCAATAAGTTAAAAAACTGCAAAATGACCAAATTGACAAAGTAAATGGACGAAGACCTGCTCAACACTTCATTCATTTCATCGGTTATCGCATACTTGTGCAACTCAGAAAACTTGAAGCCGTGACGAGTGAAGTTGAGAAATGCTAACAACATCGACGTAAAACTATAGTAAGTTCCTAACGTCAAGTAAGAATGCAAAAACAATTTATAGTCAACAAGCCTTTCTCCACTCATTTGCCTAGGCATCTTTGTCAAGAGATTGGACTCTTCTGCTTCAAAACTAATTGTCATAGCAGCAACACAGTCGGTGATACATGAAATAATAATCATGAAGAAACTCGACAACATCTGAGGAAATCCAAAGATAACGTTCAAAAGAACTGCCCACAATTCGGCATAGCTTCCAGCTGGTAATAAATAACAAATTGTTTTTCTAAGGTTCTCAAACACCAATCTACTGAACTTCACTCCATGAATAATCGACACAAAAGAGTCCATAAGCACCAAATCACTTGCATCTTGGGCAATTTCGGAACCGTCTATCATGGATATACCAATATCAGCCTGCTTTATTGAAGGAGAATCGTTCACACCATCACCAATCATTCCAACAACGTTTTTACGCTTCTGGAACTCCTTGACTATTTTAAGTTTTTGTTCAGGAGTAGTTCTGCTAAACACCACCAGTTTATAGTTCATCATATGGTCCCATTCAATTTCACTTAACCGAAACATTTCATATCCGTTGATAAGCACACAATCGGAGTTCACACCAATTGAATCAATATTATCGACATAGTCATTGTGAGAAACAATACCACATTTTGTAGCAATAGCCTTAGCAGTGATTTCAAAGTCACCAGTAATCATCACAATTTTGATGTGGGCAGCCTTAAGTGCTACCACTGTTTCAGGTATATCTTGTCTCAATGGATCGCTGATGCCCATCATACCGTCTACAGAGAATGGAAAGTATTTCACATCAAGCTCGTCATTATCTGGGACTTCACTTTTGAGCTTCTGGTATTCCTCGGGTGAGTATAAGTTGGACCCTAACAACACAACCCTTTCTCCTTGGTTACACCAATCAAACTGTACTTGAATCAACTTTTGTCTCAAGTCATCTGTCAAGGGAGTCCTCTCCCCATCCACAAGTACAAAACTTGCCTTCTCTATAAGAACCTCTGGTGCACCCTTAATGGTGAACAAGATTCCTTCTCCACACTCAAACACCTTAATCATATACTTGTTTTTGGAATTGAACCCCAACTCATCCACCAAAGTATAATTGCGAGAGTCGACGAAGGAATCCTCAGAGAAGTTCATGATCGATTGATCAGTTTGGTTCCCGGTGGTAACTTGGCCGTCTTCAGCAATACATTCATTGCACAACTTTCCCACCATTTTAAGTCTTTCTAAATCACCGTAATGAGCACCAACAATCATTTTACCAGTGGTCAATGTCCCTGTTTTATCTGAACACAAGACATTGACAGAACCCAAAGTTTCAATCACAGACAAAGACTTACACAAAATGCCATGGTCTCTCATGCCTTTGGCTGCCACAAGCAAGCACACAGTCATAGCTATAGGGAGACCTTCAGGGATGAACGACACCATCACTGACACAACGTCCACAATCAAAGTAGGAACATTGATCCAGCCAGGGTACGTATGTCTCAACCAAGCAGCCCAAAGAACAATCACCAACACTATAACGAACACAATGACAATCGAGATCATCAAGATGAATCTAAACAACTCTTTCTGCAAAGTAGTTAAACCTTCTCTCTGTTTAGCTGACAATTTCGAAATCTTGCCAAAAATGGTATTGTCACCGGTAGATAACACAACCCCTTTGCCGGTACCATTAATGCAAAGGGTTCCTTGCATGGCAATAGACTCATTTTCCAAATAATTCACGATGTCGCTGTCAACTTTTCCTTTTACGGGTTTTGTCTCACCAGTCAAAATACATCTGTCGAATTGCAAGTTGTTCAGTTCAATTAGTCTCAAATCTGCAGGGACCTTGGTGTTCTTATCAATAAACACAACATCCCCCGGTACCAATTCCTCGCTGTTTATCACAGTTTTGTCTCCATTTCTAAGGACCTTGACCTCATTGGGTAGCATCACATTTATAGAGTTCAAGATCTGGGAACTTGAGTAATCTTGAATGAAATTCAAAAATGCCTGAAGAAAGAACACCACCAACAAAATAATCCCTAACACCAAGTTGGCCACGGCAGGGGGGTCACCCAACGGTTTATAGCTTATTATCACCAATATACCAGCCACAAGCAACAAGACCCCAAACCCATTGAAAAAGTAAAGCGATATCCTCAAAAAAGCTCCTGAACTGGGTTTCGTCTGGACGTTTCTACCGTACTCCTTGACCTTATTGGTAACTTGCTGGTCAGTCAATCCCGTGTCCAAACTGGCTCCCAAAGCAACACAAACTTCTTCCACCGTGTCACGGTGCCATGTTAATTCCAACACCGACTGGTTGTCCAACAAGTTCTTATCATCATCATCATCATCATTCAACCGCTCATCGATGCTGTGGGATATGGTCTTGTAGAGAGTTGGAACAGCTGCACTCGAAGAAGAAACATTGCTCTTGATGGGAAGTAAACCGGTTCTAACTCTGGTACGACCGCGTTCCACTTCTTCGTTAAACTTCACACGGTCAAACCCAAACCCGCTCACAGAGTCACTTTCAAGTTTGCTTTCAATGCTGCTAGCGTCCATATTTCAGTGAAGAACACAGTTAGCAAATGACTGGTTTATATACGGGCGCTAGCTACGACTGCGAAAAACTGGTCCCAAACAGGAACAACAAAATTAAAATTTTCACCAAAAATACCTCATTTTCAAGTACCAAAGGCAAATAATATCCCTCCAATGAAATAATCCCCTTGTAAAAACCTCTGCCCTAGCTTCCCAAAGAAGCTATTGCTTCCTTTAAAAAAACAAAAAGACCTCATAATATTTTTCATTCACCAATGAATTAAATCACTCAAAGAAATTAGCTGTGTGAATTCGAAAAAAAATCGCTCAAAACATTGACCTCATTGGCACCAAAAACTGAAAATGTGCCTGAAAACCGCAAAAAAATAGCCGATCACATACGTGGCCCCGTGGCTGTGGTGTTCGTATGGATAGGTACTATAGCTTTTTCAAACCCGTGAGTGTTTGCGCTGGTGGACGTAATTTTCACTCGACCCGACGGTGTCGATAACAATGTATTCTGAACTTTCGCTGGACTTTTCATTTTCGAGGTTTTTTCTCTTAACTTCACTGACAATCTGAAGATTCTTTATGATGACAGCATCAGCCACATCAGAGTCGAGCAACTCGAGCTCCAGTGCCGGAATTATATAGGGCCAGATCCATTTGGCTGCAAAAGCAAATAACAAGAGTACTCCGGGGAATCCCACAGCAGCCTTCGTCATGGTGATGGCAACCTCGGCTGCTGCTCCCACAAGCTGGAGCCCCAAGTAGATGTAGAAGTATTTTTTGTTGGGGTACCGTTGATACTGACGAAACTCTTCTGGGCACGAGGCATCCAGAGCGATATACCCCTCATCCATAAATAAGAATCGGAGCTTGTTTGTGATTGGATTCCCATGCAACCCCGTGAGGGCCATTATGAAGAACAATCCTGAAAGAACTGCTTGTGGAATGAGGCCAAGCACCGTGAGAAACGGCGGAGACATCATCACAAACGTCAATAGGCCCTGGACCGTGTTGGTAAATCGCTGTTCCACCACGTATTGAGGCTTACCTGTCTGTGAGTCGTGTACCACTAGTGAGGTGGTATGGAGTGGTGCCTGAGGAATCAAGCCGTTCGGGGCTGGGATGCCTAGAATACCTGCTAAGCCAGTAGTGATGCCCAACAACGCGAAGTCCCAGTGGAAAGACGACGGTTTCTTCAACGGAAAGTCTTTCAGCTGACACATTAACGACGATACATTGTGGTCGAAGTAGAACAAGAAGGTTAACAAGACTGCAAACGGAATGGCAAGAAAAACGTCTCCCACACCAATGTTCTCCGAGGGCCAGAAGTGAATGAACCATCCATGGGGCCTGGACTGTCCAGATTTCGTGGGGACAAAGCTCGAGGTCACTGGAAGTTTTGCCATGGTAGTATCGCTAATGTAGTGGCCAAAGTGGATGAAGCCGGTAAAAAAAACCACCGATAGTGGGACCCCATAGTCTACAAACACTTTGCGTACCCACGGCTTGAAGTAATGCAAGTATGTACCAAACACAAACGAGCCAACTCCGGTAAACACCATCAATACACTGATGAGAACCGACAAAAATCCACTGGCAACACCGACTTCAGCAAATTGATTACTTAAAATCTGGATCCCTTTCTGAATATAAACGACACAGATGAAGAACCCAAAAACTTCACAGGAAAACTGGCTGATGACTTTCAACCACGAGACCATGTTGCTCACGGCGATCACCAAATGCATCACCATCGACCACAAATATATCCAGCACATAAATGGAAGGTATGGGGTTCCTCGGGGTTTCATGATATCGTACACTGTGTAGCTGAAAATGGAGATGGGCCCCGTGACTCCTACAATACACAATGGCTGGCCGGAGAGAAGTCCGAAGCATACTCCCGCAATGGCACTGCTCATCAACACCTCGTTGACTCCGTAGGTGTTATCTGTATTATCGAACATATCTTGAGCAAATGCGATAGCAGGTAGGAGGTTGGTGAAAAATATGTAGGTGGTAGACGGGACAACCCTATAGTTGTATGCGTCCTTGAAGTCACTCCAGTAGTACGGGAGACGACTTCGGATGTCGTTATAGATGCCGAATCCCCAGTAATTAACAACTTTGAATCGAGTCATCGCTTAGATCTGGTGAGATAATATAAAGTTTGAAGGGTTTTAGGGGCAATTGGGTGAACTTTTGATGGATAGCGTAGTACGGTCCTAATCTCAGCTGGGTCTATGTGGTATTCTTGGGGGTATGGTAATGCTGTGTGTGCGTATGCTTTCTTATCACTGGGTTTCAGCTGGCGAGGTTAATTCGTTTTCGATTGTCAAATCGCATCCAACACGTTGGACGGGTTTTGGTATTAAAGATATTTTTGAGGAAATACTGAAGGGCTAAAAGGAATGGCCATATTTGGAGAAGCTTTTTATGGGTATGCTTGTGCTTCTGAATGCAGCCGATTCGAATCGATAACGGTGCCTAGCGTCAGACTTCACAGTCTAAACCACACATCCAAATAATAACTCATCAATGGGCGTGTGGCGTAGTTGGTAGCGCGTTCCCTTAGCATGGGAAAGGTCTCCGGTTCGACTCCGGACTCGTCCATTCTTTTTGTTCATCAATCCTCGGCGCTCGTTTTTTTTATCCATGCAATCTCCTTTGCTAGTTCTCCATATTGGTGCAGGCAACCACCCGGAGATACTAAACTCAAAATACAGGCAGGTCATCCGAAAGGCCCTATCACAACAGCAGGGCTCACGTGACGGGAAATTGGTGGTTTTGGCCGCCGCTGAGATCCTAGATGAGTGCCCTCTTGTTAACAGTGGATATGGCTCCAGTTTGAATATACTGGGGAACGTCAATAATGACGCCAGTTTCCTCGCATTTGAGGGATCCACCATGATCCGGTACAACTGTCTATATAATATCGACCATAATTATCCCCTCAGGGAAACCGTACGACTATTTGACAGTATCGACGCCCTCTTTGATCAGAAGAGCCTCGATTCAATCGGATTGGTCAAACCCAAGGTTCTTGACTACACAGCGCGTCATTACGTGTACCAGCAGCTCCTGGGAGACGTTGTCAACGAGCCTCCCCCGATACACCCCAGCCAGCAGCGGTTTTTCGACAAATACAAAAACTTTCTCGAGGCTGATGCTCACCTGGTGCAAGACACTATTGGACTAATACACATTGACGGACCGAAAACACATTTGGCGGCGTCATCTGGTGGAAACTTCCTCAAGTTGCCTGGCCGAGTGGGGTGTGCGGCTGTCGTGGGTGCTGGTGTAGGATACCGGGCAGTAGACGAATTTGAAGTGAGTTGTTTGTGCAGTGGAAACGGAGAGGATATTATTTTACTCAACCTAGCCAATTTCATGACCACCCTCGTTAGGGCGGATCTGGGGGTGGACCTGGTGCCCGGTATGGTGCGGCAGGCGTGGGAAAGTATCCGGACACTCAGTGATAAGCTCTATGTGGGAGTGGTATTGGTTATAAATGATAAGGTTAATGGCTGCAAACGACTAATTTACTACCACACCACCGAAACGTTTTATTTTGGATACCACTACCGCAACTCCAAGGTGGTGCTAAGTCGGCTCACTGGTAATTACGTGGTGGGAGAGGTCATTCTAAGATAGTGGTTGAGTATATTAATTACAATTTAGTATGTATTTAAAAATTTAAAAGCTAGATTAAATCAATAAATAAGTCTTCAAGATCTTAACGGGAAGTGGCTTGGACCTTTTGGAAAGCACCCTTTTGTTGTTGTTTAGAAACTCTGGCCTGAGCACCGTTGGCAGCAGACTTGGCCTTTTCAGCCTTTCTGGAGGCCTTGGCTTCCTTCTTAGCTTCCTTGTCCTTGGCAATTCTTTGTTCTCTAGCAGCCTTTCTGTCGGAGGCCTTCAAGTTTCTTCTTTCTTTGATCAATTCCAAAGAAGCACCGACAATACCTCTTTGGTGCTTGACGGCCTTTCTGGTTCTTCTCTTAGAGGTTTCTTCAGAAATACCCTTCTTGTGGTGTCTTCTGTACAAAACGGTCCAGGCAATCTTTCTTGGGTTCTTTCTTTGCTTGAAAAGGGAAGCAGACTTAGAAGATTGGAATCTGAAAACCTTAGAGTCACCTCTCACGAAAAGGGTACCTCTACCTGGGTAGATCTTGGAACCTGAAAATGAATCGACTTCAACTTTCACTAGACTTTGTTAGTATAACGTTTTGGGTTTGGGCAAAAGGGGTGACTGGTTTAATCACTTGAGTTGGACGATTTGTCAATTTGGAGTTAAATTATGATGAATAGGACAAACTTTGATGGGTAATATACATGTTTAACAGGTTGGACAAACGGACAATAGAAATATAAAGGGATCTTCTGCTCTTGTTCCGGTGATGGTTTCGGCGTTTATGGTCTTATTGTCTCGTGTCAAACACCCCTAGCACTGTAATTTCCTCTATTAAAACATACTCTTTGCTATACGTAATTCGAAATATGTAAAATTTCAAACTTTTTCACTACTATCCTTTTCTCGTCCTGCGAAAAATTTGAGCAAAAGCGACGGTGCGCGCACACAAACACTGGCACCTGACGTTGTGACTGCTTTTTTGGTGAGGAATTTTCAGTGTTTCGCGGGCCTGGACTGAAACTTTTCACTTAACTATTTTTACAACAGTCAAAGACCGGAGTGTAAAGAATATTAAACACAGAGATGGCCCCAAAGAATCAAGAAAACATCAACGCCAAGTTAGGTTTGGTTATCAAGTCCGGTAAGTACACCTTGGGTTACAAGTCCGTCGTCAAATCCTTGAGATCTGGTAAGTCCAAGTTGATCATCATCGCTGGTAACACTCCAGTCTTGAGAAAGTCTGAATTGGAATACTACGCCATGTTGTCCAAGACCCCAGTCTACTACTTCCAAGGTGGAAACAACGAATTAGGTACTGTTTGTGGTAAATTATTCAGAGTTGGTACCTTATCTGTTTTGGATGCTGGTGACTCTGACATCTTGTCTTCTTTGTAAGTTAAGTATCCTGTATTATAATAGACAACTTAATTTATAGAAAGTGTAGTGCAGCGAGATATGGCTTTGGATCACTTGTTGATTGGATGGCCGATGAGATGATGAGATAACTTCACTGAGATGAGTTGAGTTCAAACGGAATCCTGGCAGGGTCCGTGGGTGTATAGGTCCCCTCTACGTGAACGCTCCTATGTTTATGTCTCCCTAACCGATAGCGCTCTCTCCCTACCCGTTGGTGCTCTCTCCCTACCCGTTGGTGCCCTCTCCTTACCCGTTGGTAGTGTCTGGACTCGTTTGAGATGAGATGCCTGCAGCTCTTAGATTTGAAATGTCCTCTAGAGTTCCTGGTAAGAGTGGAATGCTCTCACACCATCGTCATTCCTTCACTCTGCTTCTGCTGGATCTGTCTCTCCAACTCAGCGACCTCTTCCTCTTCTCTCCTCAACTCTCGATCAATATTAACATCCTCCAGCACCCCATCCAACCCAAACACATTGTGCGACTGCAACAACTTCTGCTGCTCGTCATACTCCTGCTGAAGACCTTGCAACTGGCCCGAGAATTGTTCGTATTCCTCTTTCATGGCTCGAATCAGAAGTATAAACTCCTCGTTTGCAACTGGTAACTTGTTGGTATACTCGATGAGCGACCGGTAGATCAGCGCCGCCTCCGTAATCTGTGCCGATGCTTTAACGGGCGAGCTCGACATGTCACTGCTGGCGCCAGAAGTGGTTTGGGCTGAATTTGCAACAAGTCTAGGTACATTCACAGCCACTCGACGAATTTTGTTGCTGGAAACGTCGTGGTTCAGGTACTCCTCGCCGTTGTCGTCCTCGAAATAGCTCTTGCCGTCGACCCGGACAAGGAGCTTGGCAGGGCGGTCAATGATACTACCGTCCACAGGGTTAGTTACGCGGTACAAAAGCAGTTCTGAAGGATTTGCATCTTTTAATAGCTGGGTGATGTCGGGCTTTGTGACAATGGCATTGGTGAACATTCCCGGAGGTCTGAACTGCAACTCCTCGATTCGCTGGCACAGGCTATCGATACTGTCCAAAAAGTAACTGAGTGATGGCATAGTGTTTTGGTAAACAAACAAGTGCGCACTCATTTGTCACACTAAATCAAGATGCGCATCAATTTTTTCTAGCCTTCACCATGACTGTGGACCTAGATAAGAGATTACGGCCAGGCCGGGACTATTACCTCGCATTGGGACTCGAGGGCTCGGCCAACAAGCTCGGCGTGGGTATCATCAGGCACGGCGTGGGTGAGCCAGGCCCTCACAATAGTGCACAGGTCCTCTCCAACGTCAGAGATACCTACATCACCCCTCCAGGAGAGGGATTTCTACCACGAGACACAGCCCGCCATCACCGCCACTGGGTGGTACGGATCATCAAGCGGGCGTTGGCCGATGCCGGCGTATGTGGCCGTGATTTGGACTGCATTTGTTTCACTCAAGGGCCTGGAATGGGTGCTCCTCTCCAAAGCGTTGTAATAGCCGCCAGAACTTTGGCCCAGCTTTGGAACTTGCCGTTGGTGGGGGTAAACCACTGTGTGGGCCACATAGAAATGGGCCGTGAGATCACAGGAGCGCAGAACCCGGTGGTGCTATATGTTAGCGGAGGTAACACTCAGATCATCGCGTACTCCAGACAGAGATACCGGATTTTTGGCGAAACTTTGGATATCGCCATTGGGAACTGTTTGGACCGGTTTGCTCGAGTGCTCAAGATCTCCAATGACCCGGCTCCAGGGTATAACATCGAGCAAATGGCGAAAAAAGGCCGTCATCTTGTTGAACTACCATACACGGTGAAAGGAATGGACATCTCGATGTCGGGGATCTTACAGTATGTGGATGTGTTGGCCAAAGACATGTTTTCCAGCACCCCCAAGAAGAACAAAAACCTTGTGGACCAAGAGCTGGGTGAGCTCATCACTCCGGAAGACCTCTGTTTCTCGCTTCAAGAGTCTCTTTACTCGATGTTGGTGGAAATCACTGAAAGGGCCATGGCCCATGTTCAGAGCAACCAGGTGTTGATTGTGGGGGGAGTCGGGTCCAATGAGAGACTTCAGGAGATGATGGAATTGATGGTGAATGATCGGAAAAATGGGTCTATTCATGCTACAGACGAGAGGTTCTGTATTGACAATGGAATCATGATAGCCCATGCGGGGTTGCTTAGTTATAGAATGGGGCAGACCAAGGAGTTGAAGGACACGGTTTGCACCCAGAGATTTAGAACCGATGAGGTGTGGGTGAACTGGAGAGATGACTAGGTTGACCCGATGAGAAGAAACTGAGACGTGGATTTAATATATGCATTCCTTATGTTGCTCTATTTGGCTTTCATTCGACACTTTCCTCTTACCGGCACTTGTGGTGCTGGGTGAGAATAACCGTCGTAAATCATTACAATATTTAAAAGACCCTGTGGACTTCCTCGGGGATTTTTCCTTCACAGTGTCAGATACGTATTGGACATCTTCTCCGTAATAACTTTGGCTAGAAGCTGATTTATCGCCATATTATCTGTGAATATATCTTCTTCTTTAAAGGTCTCCAACAGCTTGATATTTCCAATATCAGTTGATCCACTAGTCACAGGCGTACAGGCCCGAAGAAGGCTGGCTAGCTTCCTGTAAGGAGTCCCGTCCCATAACGTGGCACTTTTTTTGTAGTTGTGGCCCACGGCCTTAGCAGCATCCTGTGCATCCTTGTATTCTAGTAATGCGGCCTTATACTTATCTTCTGAAACAGCAGACTTCACTGAAGTAACAGGCCCAAACACCGTCATGATGTCGCTGACAACATCAAGTGTGAACTGTCCCTCGAGCTCTGGTCGGTGTTTCCACTTCACCACCACTTTGGTGGTGCCACTGTCTCTCAAGTCTATAATCTGGGGAATCACAAGATCTTTGTACGACACGTACACGGGCAGAAATTTCGGCTTCAACTTCTCCAGTTCCAAGACCCGCCTTTTCTTAAGGCCCTGCTCTCGGAGTAACTCGATATTCTGGTTGCTTGTTTCGAATTCTCGTGATACTTTATTGTAAATATCTACTCCATGTGTTTTATTGTTCTGTTCGGCCCTAAGAAGCTCTTCTTTGAACCGCTTCGTGTGTTCATCTAGAGCTTGCAGTTGTACATGCTTCTCGTTCTTATAGCTTCGTATGCGGTCATAATCATTTCTGGTGGTGGGATTGCTTAATATCTCATAAATGGTTGATAACAACTGAAACTGGTCAACCGCCTCAGGGGCTGGGTTTTTGTCAGGATGATACTTAAGAGCGAGTTTCCGGTACTGTCGCTTTATGGCTATATCGGGAGCCGCGTGGTGTACTTCCAACACGTCATAGAGATCCAAGTCTCCGTTTAGGAGCTTTTCGATGGATGTCATAGTGATTTCTGCGAGCGCGAGTAAAGATCGAACTGTTAAGAGTACTGTTAAGAGAACTACCAGAAACCATAGAAAGAAAACAACGTTCACATCAACATTTCTACAAAGTAGTAAATTACAACTATCACTGTCACCCGGCTGGCTCCCTCAGGCTGGACAACTCCAAACTTATACATCAATATGCATTTTAATCTAAACAGCCATGAAGACCAGTTGAAACTATTTATGAGTCTGTGGTGAATAACTAATGGACCTGTCTCCATTAAGCCTTGACATTCCTTAATCCGAAGTCGACTTGGTGACCTCTGAAAATAGCATCTCCTTCAGAGTAACCTCTTCCTAGTCCGAAACCCACACCTACCCACACAGGCCAAGCTCTTCTCTTGAAAAGCACAATCGATGCTAAAACACCTCCTCCGAAACCTAACCCGGTTTTCACAAGACCGTTGGAAATTACGACGTCCCACTATATCTTCAAGTTAGTATATTGTTGATTCTTCTGGTAATCAGGTCAGGCGCTCTTCAGACCACCCAATTACCCACTTTTGATAGGCATAACATACGTTGTTGTTCAACAAGCTCTGAGATGGAGTACCCACTTTTTGTTCGGTTGACATCTGAATTGTTGTTAGTATGTGCTATTGACTCAATTTTTCACAACGTCCACCAAAACACCAGCAACCGCTTGCGAAAGCTGGCTTGTCGATTGTCGGGTCTTGGACCGTGATTGTAACTCACATTGATCTATCACGTACCTTTTCTAATGATTATATGATCCAAATATTCGAATATGTTTATCGATCCAACTTGAACTTGATTCTATCAAACTTGAGAATATGGTTGGTCGAGAGCGAGAAAACCGAGTAAAATTGTGTGCAACACATTTTTCACGCCGGAAGTCTGAACGAGAAATGGACCCCATCGAAATGGAACTGGGAGAGCAGAAGTAGAGGTGTAATTTAGGGTGTAGTTGAAGCTGTCATCTGTTAGACTAAAAAGCAGGACTAGCTTGGGGCCATAAGTGCAAAAAGAAACAAGTTCCGAAGAACTCTTGATGATTCTGCCCAGGATCGAACTGGGGACCTAATGCGTGTTAAGCATTTGTCATAACCGGCTAGACCACAGAACCAATTGTGATGTATTACATCGGAAGAATTTTTTACGGGTGTTTTTTAATTTATTCATTGACTTTTGGCACTTCAAATGATATTAGACTATTTACACTCTACCTTACCTAAATAGTCTTTTTTAGGTGCTGTTAGCTGCGGGGAGATATAATAAAGCTAATTTTATATTTAAAGAGTGTAGCATTTATCGACAGAGACAGCTTTTGTCATATCAGCTGGGGAGTTTTTAGCATGGAAATTTGAGTATGTGAATTTTCACATCAGCAAGTAGCTACGCACATTATCTTCAGCCAGACACCCTGGATTTTAGCACGGCCAATCTTGTTTCTCCGAGGTACAGTTCGATTCAAAGTCGCACCACTGACTTTTGCTGCAAAATAATAATATTTCAACAGACACAAATGACTGAAAGAAGCTATCGCTTGAAAATTGAGTCTCTGTTACTTCTGTCATTGAGAAATTCCCTGAAGGCCTATTCTTAAGTCATCTGGTGAGTGAGAATACTTTAACATGTTGTTAGCACTCTCGTTTTCGGTTGATGGTAGAGTACAACTAGGAAAACTGAGTTTAGAAGAAGGAGTGTAAACAGTGTCTGTACCGAGCAGACTGGTTTTCCTACCCTCTCTCTCTGTCCGCATAATAGCTACTCTAAGAAAAACTATTTCCATCTCTCATTCCTGTTCTGGTTGGCCTTTTCGCAGTAATCTGAAAACCAAAAATTCGGAACACGCTAACCAATACACAAAATGTTCAATTTGGTCACACGGGCTCAGGCCATCTCCAATCATGCAATTACGTGCACGGCCATAATAGCTGCATTGGTGATTGTGTCCTCCTTTTTCCAACTACAACTCGACCAGGTCTGGTCGTTGAATACCACATCTATTTCGAATGTTCAAGCGGGTGCGCTGTTGAAAGGATCATTCCAATATGGGGCCAAGAACGGTAAACAAAAGGAAAACTCCATCATAAAGTTCGATCTCGATGCCGATTTGACCCCCTTATTCAATTGGAACACCAAGCAGGTGTTTGTATATTTAACTGCTGAGTACCCTGGTAAAAGCGATGGCTCCTCTAATAAAGTCACATATTGGGATAAAATCATCACCTCCAAAGATGATGCTGTATTGTCGTTGAAGAATCACCGGGCCAAGTATAGTGTATGGGATGTGGAAAACTCCTTCAGGCAAAGAGATGCTGAGCTTAAGTTGGAATGGAACATCCAACCTCACGTTGGACCATTGATATTTGGTCAAACTTCTGCCACTACTCCTTTCACCTTCGCCGAAGTGAAAACAAAGAAGGACCGTGCTTAAATAGTGTTGTATTATATACATATTTTGCCTGGTTGGTTTTTCTATTTACATAAAATGGTTTTGGTCTGTGGTGTTTTGCTGATATTCATAATCATCGATGTGATCGTCAAGTTGGGCGTCTCTATCTGTGTCTCTGTCCATATCATCGTCCAGCTTGAATATCCTCCGGAGTGCTCGCCGGGTTCTTATACGTCTTTCTAGGAATGACTCTATTTTGTCTGCGGGAGGAGAAATGATTCTGTTAATGCGAGCTCTGAATGTCTCGGTTCTAAACTTGGAAGCCTGGCTCAAGAAAAGACACTCGATAGATTCGGGGTACTTATCCATTAACAAAAAGAGTTTTTGTTTGTTCATTCTCGTGTAACCCTTCAAGTACCGGAATAAAAGGATGGAAATAATTGGCTGCAATTTATTGACGGATGTGAGTCTTTTTTCGGGTGAAAAGAAGATCTCGGGATTCTTCATCACATAATTTATGTCATAATCACCCACATCAGAAAATCGTTTTCCAAACAGCTTTAAGGCCAGTACAAATTGAGACCTACCAGAGGTGTTTTCTCGGGACCCCTTTTTCAATTGTTCCAAATCTCCTATGTTGTAGAAGTCATTGAGTATCGAGTACGTCAGTTTCAATCTAGAAGTAGACGTTACCTTACACTTCTCACGCATGAATAGCGTATAAAGGGTCTGGAGGTGACGCTGTAAACTCACTTCATTCAAGTTTCCAGCAGCTAGGAAGTTTTCGGTGATGAAAAAAATATTATCAAATGCTTTGAACTTTTCCATCTTCATCAATTCTTCGACTATTATGTTATTGTCTTGTCCATTGAGTCTGATATTGTTTCTTTCACAGTTTTTGGCAATCTCCAAGTATGCTTCGGGGCTGGACCGATTCTGCCTCAAGACTTGAATGTGAAGATACATCAAAGTTCTGTAGTTTCTCATGATACTTCTGGGAATCACCACTTCGAAGTTATAGTCGTGAGGAACAGGGTACTCTTCGATATAACGTTCGATGAAAGTATTTAATTCTGCAATCCCATTTGATATTAAGGAACTGGCTGCCTGAAGGTTTCCAAACCTTTGATACAACTTCCCCATTTCGAGATACACCGACAACCTCACCTGAAGCTTCATCTTATGATCAAGTCTTTCCCTTAATTGAGATAAAAAATCTACCAAAAACTCTGCTTTTTCTGCCTGTGAACCTGGAGTTTCTCGAAGATAGTCTGATACCACTTGACATAAACCGGTAGCCACATGGTCGATGTTGGCCTTCGCGGTTCTTGTTGGGCCACCCTCCTTTTCAAGCAATCTTGAATTTGATCCAGGAAACTGGAAGTCATTGGTCATAAGAATGGACTCCAAGAGCTTCTCTGACCGGCTGAAGTTCTGGTTGACATGCTGGTCAACAAACAAAACTGCCTTCATGAGAAATTTAAATGAATGTACCGAACACTTGATACCAAGACTTCCCATCTCCTTGTAGAGTTGTATGATTTTCTGGTAGCCTTGGATCTTGTTCTTGCTTGCGAAGTGCTTCATTAATGGTATATATGCTTCTTCTCTGGGGGTTCCAATAGCTTTTATCTTTTCCAAATACCGAAATGCAAACCCAACTTGAAAAGTATCCAGAAAGTACCTTTCAACCTCCACGTACAAGCCCTGAAGGTCATGCTTCGACGTATTTTCCCGGTATACACTTTTGATGATCTGTTCACTTCTGGCTTCGATATACCATTTCTCTTCTTTGGTGTCTCTATTCTTAAACCAATGTCTGTAGTTCTTTAATTGCTCTTTGAGAATTCGGGAGCTCATAAGAGGAGTAATAGACTTATGATGGGCTTCAAGAGCCAAATTGTCCGCCATCTCATGCTGAGTAAACCGAGAATAAGCTCTGATCAAACTGCAGTAGATGTCCTCATCCATGATATCTAACTTTTCACAAATTTCTCTCACATATTGAACTTCCTTAAATGCATATGCTTCTTCGAAATAACGGATCACTTTTGTTACGGTTTTAGAGTCGACTATCACCACATCTTCCTGTCTTTGCCTATCAAGTGAGCTTTCAAAAAATGTCAAAACTTCCTTTTTGTTAGGTGATTTCAATTTCACAGACATCATTAACCGGTAGATACTAGCTGTCTGGCTACTTGTAGAACCACCACTAGAAGCTGTTCGAGATAACTCTTCCAAATACTTCTCGAAAATCGTCTGAGCTTCTTCAAACTCATTGAGAACAATTCGACATTTGATCAAAGCTCCCCATATGCTTGGTGTTGGGGTAATGTTTCTTTTCTTCAATTGGTTGAAAAGTCTATCTATATCGGTTTTTTCACCCAAAGCTGCCAAACTGTTCATAACAATAGAATAATGTGTTGCATAGGGAAGATGACCCTTTCCGTACATGGCTTCAAACTGGTCTTGAAGCATTTTCCAATCATTTTTGGCTCGACTTACCTTCAAGAAAATGGACAACTGGTTTTCATGATAATGATCAGGGTGATTTTTGCTGATTGCCAGTACACCTTCAAAGTCTCTCAACAGAAAAAGAGCTGACATGACCGAAGTCAAATCGTCTGGAGTTATATGGTCTCTCTCTGAAGCTTGTGAACATTGACGTTTGTAGGCCCAGTACTTCTTTGCTTGGATTGGTGCCCTTATACTTGCAGCCTTCAACATGGTCGAAAGAAAATTGTAGAAAACGTCAGAGTTTCGAAGAAATAATTGTTCAAAAATACCACCAATCTCTTCAATTGAGTTTTCTTCTCTTTCATAATAATCCACTAGAGCATAAAGGGCACTTCTATAAGAAGAATGAGCATTTTTGGTAAGTAGTAGATGCTGATCAGTAGTTTGCATAAGAAACCTGATAAACTGGGATATGAGATTCGTTTGGTCACTTCGATCGTTGTGAATTCCAATTCTCAAGAAGGATGAAATCAAAGTTCTCTTCAGCTGCTTGGAATTGGCAGGATCGGATAAGAAAGCGGAGATCTTGTCAGTGTTGAAAACAGTTTTTCCATTTTCCTTAGTGAATCCAAACGTCTCTGCTTGTACGTCACACCACTTCTTGGGTATCTGGGCATGGGCATCAACTAATGATTTCATCAAGTATTCATACGCTAAATAGTTCCGATTATTCATCATCACATGAACAAATATGTCTCGTTTGGCAACTAACAACTCCTGGAGCTTGGTCAATTCGGGCTCTAGTTTCAGAAACGATGCATGCCAGATTTCACACGCTAGTAGAAAGTCGTCTTCATTTTCTCCATCTGCCAATGTACTCCAATCTAGGATATTGTAAAATAGCTTTTGAATGCTTATTGATTCTTCTACTGTTAACCGGTTTGTGGATATTTTCTTCATTAATCGTTCTCTCATTGTGTTGTTCTTAATGAGGTCTAGGATCTGTTTCCGTTCTCCTTTTATGCTGAAATGCAGAAGCTTACCCGAATATGACTCCTTTTCGTCATTTATAGGGTTTGCATTTATGGTTAGCGATCTCTTTTGAACAAGAGGAGCTGACTGGGGGCGATGAGCAAGACGAAAACAAACTAACGGCCTCGTTCGAGCTCTGGAAGGATATGCTATCCGTAACCTCTGTGTTAGTCGAGCGAGCATAGAGGTGGTAAAACGGTGGTTCAACCCGTGAAGTATTTGACGTTAGATGGTGCTTTTTTAAACTGAAAATTGGCCCAAACAGTTCGCGCTGAAAAGCTCATCGGTATCAAAGACAGCCCATATATGCAGATGTTTACTAGTTTGAAGAGATTTACTCGAGAACACCTACAACAAGAGAGATACTATCGTTCCATGCCTGATAATTGATGTTGGTATTGAAGAACTCTATCAGAGTCATTAAATCAGTTTTTTTTTTGGTGTAGTCAGGGAAGCTATTAACTCCTCGTACAGTGTGAATATAAAAAAATCATCATACAAATCCTCCAATTCCAACAAAAAATTAACCAGACAGAAACAGTCATGGAGACCACTATAAAAAGTTGAAAAATACTCGAAATCTTAACAGGTTAGTAACTAGGTTTTAATATCAACTGGGATCTGGATTTGGGAGATTTCTTTCATCAAACGACACTCATCAACTTCTATCCATCAACAGCTCAAAATTTGTACACAGAGCTGCGACTCCTCCCCAATTTGTACAAGAGAGGGATAGACAGGAGAATATGTCCGCCCGGTCGATAAGTTTAATCATAAGAATAGTCAAATCACAGGTGTGTTCTTGTTTTTCTTAGACATACCTAGTGGAAACTGTTAGTAAACCATTAATAGTGCCAATGGAACATAAACATGGATTAAAGAATCAAAAGCTCATACAAGGCTGAAACTTAACGATAGTGCATTTGTCAACCCGGAAAATTCAGTTGGAACAATTGGTGAATGCAAATAATCATAGCAATGATTCCCTCGTCTCCCGAAAGAAGAAGAAGACCATATTGGTGTTCAGGTTTGAAACTGTCACATACATTCTTGCAAGCTCTTATACTGATTCCATAACTGTGTTAAAAAGAACTGAATAGTGTTGTAGTAAAAAATTTTCTCGCTGAGTGAGAAAAGGTAAGTCGATGGTTCTGTGCGTGCACGACCTCCATCTTGGAAGAAGGTTTGAAATGGAGTTGGAGGGTAGTTTTCTAGATATAGTGGAGCCCGTAACCTTTTGGTTGTTTGGAAAGTTCACTAGATCATTTCTTCTTCATTCTTTTAATTACTGCTTCTAAGACTAAGAAAAGTTGTGATATTTTCTTTGATTCGTGAATTCTACAAATTGGCTGCAAATTGGCTTCCTAGTATATAATACATTTTAACTCATCTATACCAAAACTCCAAAAAAGCTAATTTCCAAGACAACTGTGAACAACAAATGGGAAAATGCAAGAAGCCCTATAAGCACTATATGCAATCTCCTTGACTTTTCTAAATCGTTGTCATAAAGCTGCAAGGTGTTTCTTTCGAGAACTGGGCTGATTTTACTCAAGTTGCTCAAACCGGTTACACAACCACTCAATAAAACAATGATCCATTCAAGGATATTGAGGATTGTGTGATGCTTTTCGTTACTGACCAACAAAACAATCAAAAGGTTAACAACGGTAATTGGCACCCATAAGATGTTTGTGTATCCGTAGATGGAGATGAGCTTGGTCAATGAGAGCCTCACGGGAAAATGCAAGAACCAGCTTGTAACGGCATACAATGCAAAGGGAACCAAAAGGTTATAGCCATAAAACAAGAAAATTGAAAGGGTCAACAAGTCAAAGTCATATTCATACTTGACCTTTTCTTTGGACGAGTGTAAAAAGTGGGACAACATGTTGGAGCCGGTGCTACTCACAAACATCAAGAATATCAACGTCCCGGTGATCCAGAAAAACCCGTATAACTCTGTCACTTCGTCTTCGGATTCATTTTGCACTGGAGATGACGATTTATTGATCGGATTCAATGCCTGCTTTATCTTGACAAGAAAGTCCTCTGTATTCAAATCGAAGTATCTCCTATAAAAGTTGATTTGGAACATGTGACTTTTGGTTGAATCAATGGGGATTTGGGGTTGAATTACTCGTTCAGCAGGTGGTGCACCCCCTTGGCCCTGGGTTGGCAAGGTTATGGGATCATCTGTTTCAATCAAATCCTGGTCGTCCCATGACGTCTAAAGAGAATAGTTAGCTTTAAGACTTTGACTGAAGCTCATGGCTTGAATTCATTACATACGTTTGGGTCTGTTCCCGACAAGTTTGTATAACCGTTAGACATTTGTATCTATGTAACAGTTGGCTTTCGAAAAAAAATCGCGAATAATCAAGACCTCAAATAGGATCTTGACAACTTCTTTGGAAGTTGTGGAGATTGATGCAGCGAATTGCGTAAAGCTGTAAATGACACCAAATTCTGCGACTGAAGGTCATTATTCTTCGATGCACTGTTGCCAGAGGAGCTCCAATTGGAGAAGTCGGAGTCAATATCGTTACCCACATCTACTGGCTGGATGATTTTGTGGGAGAAGTTCCGGATTTCATCTCCAGGATGTTTTGTGCTTCTGTGCTTGTAATTCTGCAGAAGGTTGTCGATCCAACCGTCCGAGTAGTACGATTCTTCAGTCGCAGGAAGCTCGTCTTCTCCAAACGATTCTTCTCCGAACGGTTCTTCGGCCTCATATTCTTCTGGGTTGTAGCTTTCAATTGCGTCATTATCTTGGTGGGTGTTGTGCAGTGTAGTTCCTGAATCAGCATCTTGGATCTGCTTGTGCTGGGTGTTGGTATAGATATCAGTGGAAAGCTTCTGATTTGTTGACAGATTTTGCAAATTTTGAAGGTCACCAACCATTGAGGTTCTAGGAACATTATCATCTGTTTCTTGGGGAAGACTGGAGTTGATAACATAATCACTAAATGCTTCATCACGTTCTGCAACCTTATATTTTGTTTCCGGGAACCTCAGAAATATGATGGCGCCAATCAAGCAGAAGATGGCTAGAGCCAAAAAAACGTAGTATCTCACCACCTGAAAAAGAAGAGGCAACAACAACGTGAACACGGCGTTCATGATCCAGGAAACACACATACACACAGCCGTACCTTTTGCTCTGGCCTCGTCGGGGAAAATTTCTCCCGTGTAAAGCCAACTCACAGAAGTTATAGAAGAAGCATACACCGAAATCAAGAAAAGGAAAAGGGCCAATACAACTGAAGCTGGCTCATCATGGATGATCCAATTGAATGGTGAGTCTGAGTCTAAGTTGGTCAAGATTGCAAACGGCACCATAACGCTGAAAATGGCTGCAAACACCAAAGTTATCACCAGCATTCCGTACGTCAAGTAATCGACTCTTCTAGCATTATCAAGAAGGACCACAGGAACAAGAGTCAAGAGCCCCAAAATAATGTATTGGGCAGACTCGAAAACCACTCTCGTCTCGTCTTCCATTCCACACATATCGCAGATATATGTGAAGAAATACATCAATGGGGTGATGCTTGTCAATTGGATAAAAAAGTGAAGAAGAATCCCTACCGATGTACTTTTCCAAAACCTCTTCCTAAACAAATCAGAATAGGTACAGAACATTATCTGATTACCAGCCACATAAGCTCTGGTGACATATCCTTTATCCGTACCTCCGTAAGCACTCTTCTTGATGGTTCGGACTCTGTCCAAAGTTCTTGCAGCCTCGACCCATTTAGATTTGGAGGCCAACCACTTAGGAGACTCTGGCAACAGAAATGCTAGAACGATCACTAATACCACAGGAAGTCCCTCAAGTGCCCACAAGAGCTTAAAGGGAACGTACTGTGTATCGGCTGTGTCTAATGCAATCCCCAAAAAATACATCAAAATGGATCCAATCGGGGTACTAACATGGAAAAGGGAGATGGAAAAGCCCTTCCTTCGCAAGGGAAAGATCTCTGAGATATATATGGGCACTAAGCAAGTGATAAGCCCCACAGTAGAACCTTTGATTAATCTCCCAAGCACCAACACAAAGAAGTAATCCAGAAGGACTACCACGCCAGTACCCAAAATCCAGAACATGTTTGCAATTTGAAAGCAGACGACGAATCCGAAGTAGTCACAAAATGAGCCGAATATGACACACCCCACTATTGCTATTAGTAACTGTTCCTACGAACCAGTTCAGTAGAAAATACATACCCACCGCTCCAATAGGGCTACTAGCTGCAAGAAGCGTTTGCTCTCTCTTAAGGGGAACACCGTAGAACTCATGGAAATTGGCTGTAGAAAGAAAACTACTCATTGAGGATACCTCTGAACCAATGAGAAACCCGTAGATGGCCACGATTGCCAAGATACAATTGATGTTATAAGTTCTGATCTTCATGTGTTTGTAAACTTATTTTCGCAGCCTTTGGTTCAGTGCGAGATCAAGAAATTGCGACTGGGTGCTAGAGTTTCTACTATCATTTAAACAGATACATTAGAATTTTCTAAAATATAAGCGTCACTGATGGAGACTGATGAAGTTGAATACCTAAATCTTGACATCAATAGTTCTGAACAAGAAACTCAAGACAATTCCACCATATATGCCAAGAAGACCCTTTTACATTCCCCCATATTCAATAATATATTTCCCCATTTTTATGTGTCACTTCATAAAAGAATAAGAAACATAAGGAACTTATCACTTCAGGACGATGATATGCAATACCTAGCTCTTCAGGAAGAAGACTCTCAATTCGGAGTGTTCAGCGATGACGAAATGCTTTTTGACATAGGTGAGTCCGATACCAACGATATGACAGAAGATAGAAGTTCTCAGAAACCACACAGGAACCTCAAGACAATCTCCGTGATAGTAAGAAACACATCTTTGCTTGTGAATGAGCAGGTATTCCCATTCAGTGCTCCAGTGAGGTCCTCATGTTTAGTGAAGGGAATAAGAAATGAAACTGCCCAAGAAGAAGACTCCCTTTTAGTATCTTTGAAGTCTGGGTTTTTGTTGCTCATTCGAATATTCTATGTGCCGTACAATTTTGATGACACAGAGTATAATGAAGACTTCAGTCGATCTAGAAGAAGAATGCTCTTCAAGCCATTTGTGGTTCAGTGGTGGGATGTTTCCAGTAATCTTCTGGCCCCATCACTTTTCACTTCTGGTTATTCTTTAACTGCACAGTCCTCCGGCTTGTCAGTAGTTTCAACATCAGCCTGTGGCGGTTTCCGCATTTACAACTGTAACCACACTGAGAATGGGGTGTTTTTTCAGAATCATGAGACGATAGTGGTGAATGGCTCTATTCTTCATTCCTGTTTTGCCCAACCAATCAAGGGAAGTATTCTAGATAACCATGTAATGCTCTTGATGATGGTGTTGACTACGGATAATAGGTTGAACTTGAATTTGTACGGATGGTCCACTTCAGAGAGAGACCTTAATGTTTCAACTCTACCATTAGACGGTGGTTTTCCTCTCCCGGTATTCATAGTACCATTGAGTAATAATGGGAGCTTTTTGTATGTGACTCCTGACGAGTTGATCATTATTACAGTTCATGATATCACTTCTGCTGAGTATAACTTTAGAAGGCACGATTTTCCAGGAACCTTTCCTACAAACTTCTACTGTCCAGAGTCTGAAATTGTGAGTTTTGATGATGAGACTGTGGATGAGGTTTTAGTTTCAACAGATAACGGCACCGTCTTCTCTGTTATCGTGGGGAATGGATTAGTGTTGTCACTCAAACCGGTCGTTAGAATCTCAGACCCAATTTCGTTGTTCTCTTTGGAAGCAAGTGGTGACAGATTTGAATTAATATATGGGAGTAGTATTGGTCTCAACAGAATGCTAATGATAGAAGAGTTATTGCCTGACTCTTTTGAATCACCTCCTCCCTATAGTCTGTCGCTACTTCTCAAGAATTACAAGAACTGGGCCCCATTATTGGATGTTCAAATAATTGATGCCTACAAGTCCAAAAACACCTTTTTGAACAGCACTCAAGAGCTTTGGTGTTTGTCAGGAATTGGAAAAAGAGCCAGACTATCACAATTGAGGAGTGGCTACTCTATAACAAGACTAGGTGACGCCTATCTGAGCTTGAGAAAAGTTGAATCAATGAGATGGCTAGGTGTTCACGATTCTCTTTACTTGGTATGCACATTACCTTTTGAAACCATGTTGCTAGAGTACCAGCAAGCAGGAGAATCTGATGAAGAGGAGCTTGTCGAAGTGAATGAGGCTTCTATCATAACAGACCAACCAACTATTGCTATGAATATGATTTCAGAAGAATTTGCGGTTCAAGTGACTCCTAAGTGCATCCTTGTGACATCCCTCGAGACCATTGTAGCTTCAAGGCTGGTGGAAGATGGAATTATAGTGATGAGTGACATTGTGGGTAATATTGTAGGAACTGTGTCTCAGAGTCCGACTTCCAATTCTGTTTACACACTTGAATTAATTGAAGTTTCGGAAGAAATATTGAATATACCTGACGAGGATTCCATGTCCCAGGATATAGATGGAAATGACGGAAGCATCGACCTCGTATGTTCGATTTTGGTTGATACTCAAGTATCATTCATGAAGCTTTTAGCAAGAGACGACGAACTTTTTGTTCTTGTTGGAGGATTCGAAGGAACTATCCAGATTTTCAAATTCAAAGAGAAGTCTTTGTTCAAAGTCTTTGAGGAATCATTGTTTACTTATTATAGAAGAGAAAATCTACAACTTGATGGAGCAAGCTTGGTCCCAAGCGATGCACTTCTTATAGACGAGCAAACACTTCTTTTGGGAACCAAAGATGGGCTTCTATTCTCCTTTTCGATTACAACCACCATTGAATTGGAGTACAAGAAGTTCTTCAAACTTAGTGATATTGAAGTGAAGCTCAGCAAAGCGACAGACAACATCGTCTTGGCTATTTGTGGAACTATTTGGTTGGTGGACATATCAAAGCCTGCTATTCCCGAACCCATTATATTTGACGAGAAGAATGATAGGCCAGTGAAGTGTTTATTACCTATTTATGATGATAGAAGCAGAGGAGTTGAGTTATCAGTACTATTGACAAGAGAAGAGGGCCTTTCATTTGCAACAGTCTCTTTTCTTGATGGATCCGTAATCAGGCAAATCAATGTGGGGGATTCAGCAAAGAAATTCATCCATCTCCCTCATATTTCTTTGTTTGCAGTGTTATCCACCTCACAAGACCGTAATGGACGATTAAGGTTCGTCGATAGGAAGACATTTAAGTTGCTACCTCATATCGAGTACAACTCAAGGAACAAGAAATATGATCGTGGGAACTCGATGTTCGACGATGATGAAACCCCTATTTGCTGTAAAATATGGTCATTGGATAAGCTAGGAAGAATATCCAAGAAACTCTTAATTGGATGTTCAACTCTAGCTGGAACAGGGAGGTTTAAGATTGTCGATGTTGGAAAAGTTACTGACCACGACAATAAGACGTTAGTAAAAGTATCCCAGTTGAACTGCTTTGATCATCCCGAGCCAATTGTGTGGATTGAACAAGTTGATGACCACATACTATTTGCCAGTGGGAAGTCTATGTACTCAACTTCTTACAATATCGAGGGGAAAAGACTAAATCCTGTTTCTTCACTAGTTTCACTCACCAGCGATATTATATCGATTTCGGTAAGTACTGAAAAGATCATTAGCGTGACTACTAAACTTGATTCAGTGTTTCAATTTGAATTTGATATCGATGCTGCTCGAAAGGAGACCCTTCAGCTTTATGCTCGTGATCCTTCCCCCAAGTCTATTTCTAATCACGCCGTCTGGGACTCAAAGATTGTTGTTGGTGACAAAGTTCACTCAAGTGTCATCATAATGGATAAGAACAATAAGACTTTGGTTCCTGGTGCCAGATTCAAGACTTCTGGAGTCCCACGAGTGTTCATAGGGAACTTTGGGTTGTATTGGGATAATGATGCTGTAAATTCGAAGGACGTTATTTCTATAACAGTTGATGGAGAGGTTACCCTTTTCAAGCAGATAAATATCAATAGCGAACAGTTCCAGAAGCTAAGCCAGATAATTCCGTTGCAACGAAATGGTAATGGTGATTTAAAACTTTCTACTGATAAATGGGATACTGCATTCACAGATAAAGTTTCGGGGAAAGGATTTAAGTCAATCAACAAATCGTATTTTAGAAATAAGGACAATAAGCAAGGGTTGGTGGACTATGATTTGACTGAGATTTCTAAGGTATGTCATTCGTATATTTCATTATAGTCTGGGATTCGAAGTACTTAATAATAAGAAATGCCTTAATAAATATAAAAGGTATTAAAATGCTATGTAATGCTAGGGTCAATATTCTTCTGGAGACAGTTTCAGGGGACTGGCTTCTTTGGAGCCTAGATCATCATCAAAAGTTGATCTCTTCTTCAACCTCTCTTGTCTGTACCTGGAAGCAGCCGATTGTCTAGTGGGTGTTTCAGCTTCTCCAGCACCTCTAAGCTCTTGCAATAGGTTTCTTGCTCTGCTTCCAATAACATCACCATTAGTACCATCATTTTCCTGTTCTTCTTCTTCATCCTTGACCTCCAAATCTTCTTCTGGAAAGCTTGATTGAATAGGCGAGAGTAGATCATCTTGTGAAGAACTAAGATCAGGTCTCGATTGAGTTTTTCGACTGTTCTCTAGTAGATGTTTTCTCATTAGTGCTCTCTTTCTGGCAGAGGATGGCTCTCCCTTAGAAGGACCAGCAGCCTTCAACTTCTCCAACAATGAATCCATAACATCATCTTCATTACTGTCTGCTTCCTTAGGTTTGGTTGGAGTTTTCTTCTGTTGAGCTTCGAGCAACTTCTTACGCTGTTCGTATAATTTCAATTCCTCTTCACGCTTGAGATTCTCTTGACCTGCTCTCTTGAAGTCGGCTATGAAGTTTGCAAACTTTGACATAAACGAGTTTCTGACAAACAGATCTGAAGGATCTTCTCCAAAGTATCTCATTAACTTGTCAAATTCCTTGAACGTGTAGTAAGATTGATCCTTTAATAATTCACTCTTTCTCTTCGCTTTGGGTAGACCAGGAATAACAACCTTCAAGACTCTATCTTGAGGATGGAATTTCGACACATCACTCAAATTTCCAATATCTATAGAGCTTTGAACGTTCTTGATCGATTCAACATACTCTTTGCAATCATTTTGAATACCTTCGATAGAAAATTTTGCAAGTTGAAGACACTTATTCAACTCGGTTATGAAGCCTGCAAGCTCGGGGTATTGTGTACGGATAATTTTTTCAACATAATGTAAGAACGTCATACTGTTCTTGTCATCCTTCATGAAACTTAATCTTTGTAAAGAGCTCAATCTGAACCCCTGAGCTTGTTTGGTGGAATCATTCATGTAGTTTCCAACTGTCAAAATGATCTCAAAGACGCCCTTCAAATGCTTGGACAGCTTGATACTGTCAACGGCTTCATCAATAGACCTTAATTTATGGGTTAAGTCTTCGTAGTCTTTTTCGTAAATGGCCATCAACATTAAAGCCCTCGTTCTTGACTTCCAATAGTGTTGTAAATTGTACATCAATTCCAAGTAGATTCTGTCTGCTCTCTGCAACTCACCTGGATCCTTTTCAGGCTTTGACACATTTTCTGATTTATAGTCCGTTGAATAAGGTTCCAAGTTTCTAGCAAGGTTATTTGACACTTCAACAACCTCTTCCTTACCAAAAAATTCCAAAACTGCTATGTTCGTAATAACGTCCTTGTCGCATCGAAGGACTTTGGATACCACTTCTTCATCAGATACACTATTGAATGCATGAAGATTGATTCCAAATTGCTGAGAGATATCTCTAGATAAAAAGGAAACCTTATCAATTTCAGCCTTATTCTTGGTAGCGATCTTTTTGATTTCCTTAGCTGCAAAGATCAATTCAATCTCATCAAATACACCCTTCGACAACAAGTCGCTAGCGAGCGTATCAGTTTTACTCTCTTTCCAGAATGAGTTGGAAGAAACATCATCGAATTTCTCCCAATGTAACTGCTTCATTTTCTTCTTTGGTCTTGGATAATTGTCAAATGGTGAAGGGGACGATAACTCCTTCACAGGTTCGGGCCTGTGATTCACCACCTCTTTAGCAGTAGGTAATGGGGGTGGTGGTGGTGGAGGAGCACCACTCATAGATGGGGGCAAAGGTGGTGGTGGAGGAGGAGCACCGCCTAAAGATGGGGGTAATGGAGGGGGTGGAGGAGGTGGTGGTGGAGGAAGAGCTCCGCCCAATGAAGGGGGCAATGGGGGAGGAGGGGGAGGCGGAGGAGGTGGTGCAACCTCTTTTTTTTCTTCCGGTTCTTCTGTTGTTGCTTTGGGACTTTCAGTTGCGTCCTCAAACTTATCTTCGCTACTATTATCGTCATCTATGGCAGCTGTCTTGTTTACCTTATTTTTTAATTCACTTAAGAACTTGGGATTCATTCCAGCGATAGTTGTCAATCTATTGCGTTTGTAGTCTTTATTCGGAGTTCCTCCTTTGACAACATCATCGTCTTCGCCTGCCATCAGCACCTTTCCAGTGGCATACTTAGATTCCAATTTGTTGAGGAATTCATTTGGCTTAGTAGAGTTTCTATTACTCATTCTCTTCGCTTGTTTGTTTGAGTCTTTACTCATGGCCCTGAGCTTGGATTCCAAGGTGGCCTTCAATCTTTGGACATCTTCCAATTCTTCTTGGATTTTGGACTTCATTGACGGATCAACTACATCGGACATATCGAACAGCATTTGAGAGTCATCATCAAAATTGAAGTCGATGTTGAAATCTTTGAAGTTTGTTTCCAACTCTTTCAACCTCTCCATTGCCAAATATTTTTGTCTGGCAAACATACTGGAGCTGTTGAACTTCATAATATCATTAGATTCGTTTTGCAAGGAAGACAACTTCTTACGAAGCAAGTCCAATTTTTCGAGATCATCCTCTCTTGCAGGTCTTGGAGGTCCTTGTGGAACCATTCTTGGAGGTTCAGGTTCAGGCACGGATTCAGGCTCAGATGCTGAGCTACTTTCATAGTCAGATTCAGCCGAAACTTCTTCGATAACAGGAATATCAACTGAATTGGGATCCACGTAGTTTTCAAACTCTGTCATTTCCAATTCTCTGGCCATGTTTTCAATATCAGCCATCTGATCCCTTAAAGCTCTCAACCTTGAGCTTGGTTCAACTTGAGTTCCCAATGTGTTGTTATCCAACTTGTATTCAGCTTTCTTTCGGTGGATCTGCTTCTGCAACTTTTCAATCAAGTTTTTGTTGGTAGTTTGAACCAGGAGTGTTGTTTTACCATCACCTCGTTTTGACTCAAATTGAGCATTGCTGTTCAACATGATCAACAACTCTCTCATTTCCAACTCTTGGTCTTGTTTTTCAATTAAATGAGTTCTCTTCAACTCTTCTAGCTCTTTAGACATCTCTTCGTTGAGTCTTCTTGTTCTCATTAGAACGGTTTCATGTTCTTTGACTTCATTAGTTAAGCTTGTAATTAAACCATCTGCTCCCATTGATAACTGTCGAGACATATCATCCCTTTCGGCAGTAGCTTCTTCAGCTATTTTTTTGTAAACTTTGGCTTCATTGATAGCCTTTCTGTACATCTCATCGGTACTCAAGCTTGAGTATAATCTGTTGATAGCTATACCCATAGCAGAATCACCATCTGAGGTATGGGCCAAGGTGACGTTTTGAACCAAACCGTCGAATAATCGTAAACTTCGCGTTAACTCTTCAGCGTTATCCTTCTTTTCCACTTGATTCAAGTACAAATGTTGTAATGCGCTAATGAAAAAACCCAGAGCTTCGGTTTCCCTCACGTTGGACCATAAAGATCTTATAAGATCCACTGGATTGTTGAAATCGACATTATCATCAATAGTATCATTGTGTCTTAACTCATTTGCATCCTGTTCGGCCAGATCAATGTAGTGGTTGCACTGTTGATTCAAACTCTCGTAATTCAATTCCCGGAATTTTTCAATCAACTTGTCAAGCCTGGCAGCCATGAACTGAGACCGTAGGTGGATTCGTACTCTCAAGTCGAGAGCATAATGTATGATGGTATTTATCAACAACATTGTCCCAAGACAATACTCCAACAACTGGTTTTCCATGTTGGAAGCAGAGTTTCCAGCGTGGGCTGACTTTAACTCTTCGCTAGCACCAACTAGTGAGTTGAGATACTTACCTCTCCCATCCAAAGTCTTTTCAACAACTTTAAGCCAAAGCTCAAATCTCTTGTACGCGTCCTTGACGGGAGGTTTCCTCACAAGTCTTCTTTTGGTGGTTGAAGAAGCGTTAACAGAGTTTCTCATATTGACAGGTTCAAATTCGAAGTACGGTTTCGTGGGGATGGTATCCAAGGCCTTAAGAATCTTGTGGTACTTTCCCTGGGAGTCATCCATAGAATTATTACTATAGTAGGCAATCATAAATGTCAAGGACTCAGCAGCGATTTTCCTGGTCAAGATTCTCGGACTCAACAACGAGCCGGTTACAGCACTCACGTACAAGTTAACGTCTGTTTTGACTCTTTCTGCCCCTAGTTTCTGGTTCATCATGGACTTCAACGCCAACAAAGTATTAAACTCTCGATCGAAAATGTCATCGTTAATGTCGTTGACTTCATTCTGGTCGATGGTGTCTTGAACCTTAATCAAGTACGAAGATAAAAGAGCATCACCTTGACAGTCAAAAATGAACTTACGCACCCAATCAATAGGCTCTGTCCTCAATGAAACCCACAAGTTTTTCAACTGGTCAGAAGTGATGGTTTTGGCCAACAATCTCCGAGTATAGAACTCTGGAGATGCGGACTCTTCTCCTCTTTTTATAGCTCTCTCTTGACGTTTATACTCTGTCAACGCATCTTGATAAATCAACATCCACTTTTTGTCCAGGTTATAATTGATCATTTCTTGCCGGGCTTGTGGGGGCAAGGACTTGAAGTCCCGCTTGTCCATCAACTCTCGGAACATTCTGTCGATTTCATAGGCGGAGGAAGGTTTCTCTAAATGGAACCCTTTCACGTCGGTAGATGTGGGCATATCTATGGTTGTGTTTAGGGCAAGCGACGGCCGGGAGATGATGGAGCTGGCGGTCGACTTCCGTGATAGACTGGCGCCACCGGCGTACGAAGAGCCGTTACCGTTTCCGGTTTTGGTAGGGATTCCACTGGAGTTATTTACATTGGCCAACGTGGACGTAGACGACACGGTCCGCGATGTCTTGATATCGTACGGATTGGACGCGACAGCTGTCAGAGCCGAGTTGGCGGTGGAGATGGAATAGGTGGACGCATGGCGATTGTGGTTTGAGTTTGTAATCTGTGAGCTGGGAACAATGCTGGAGGAGCTAACCGAAACATTACGCCTACTGGTACCGCCGCTACCACCGCTCAAGATGCTAGCACTATCGACAGATGACAACTCCAGGGAGCTTTCATTATGACGGTCTTTGTCTCTGTTTTTCCGTAGACTGAAAAATGATCCGGACGAAGCTCTGTTTATGGTGCTGGAAGTTGGTTGAGCACCGGACTTGTAGGAACCATAGGCTCTGGAGTTTTTCAACTCTTCATCAATCTGGGGATTCAATTGTGAGTCGCCTGTTTTCCTTCTCATCATTTTGGTGGAATCAAAAGCGATTCAATGCAGTTTATGTGTATGATATGGAACTGGTGATGGTGGAGGGTCTAGGAGAAGGTGGATGTAATCTGGACCGTTTGGGCGGGAAAAAGGATAACTGGGGTCAGACGGACTGTACGATTCAAATGGAGGTATTATTCACAGCAATAATGAGCCTATGTATGATAAACCACGAGTTTGTAGCGCTAAAGAAGTAGGGTATTATTTATACACACTTTTACCGTCGTCCTTGATTTTCCGCAACGCGCGACATTTGGCATATGACGCGTTTGCCAGCCCATGTCGGAAGACACAATATTTAACTCAGATACGGGTACCAGCATGTAGTTAGGCAGGAGGATTGGGGACAACAAGAGAACTACGCTCGGCACACCTGGTGTGGATTATTATACAATATATGCCTCAGGCGACGTTTTCGTCGATGCTTTCTTCGAGCATCTTCAAAGTGTCGTCTAGACCAGCATTCATTGTCTGAGTGAACTGCTTGGACTTGGAGTTTTTGCGGGTGAGTTTGGACTGGTGGTCGACTGAGTCAGCAAACTCGTCGTCGCTGGATTTTTTTTCGTCGACGGTGAGATCAATGGTTTCGGGAACGGTTGGTTCTTCAAACGCGTTGACGAGGCCAGCAACTTTGGACTTCTTTTTGTTTTTCTTCTTTTTGGATTTGGAGGGAGAGGGTGTGGAGGTGGAGACAGCCTCTTCTGGGGGCGATACCTGCGGCTGTACTTCTTTTTCTGGTTCTGGTTGTTCTGGTTGTTCTGGTTGTTCTGGTTGTTCTGGTTGTTCTGGTTGTTCTGGTTGTTCTGGTTGTTCTGGTTGTTCTGGTTGTTCTGGTTGTTCTGGTTGTTCTGGTTGTTCTAGCAGTTCCTGCTCTGGCACAGACCCCACCGGGTCGAGAAATTCTCCCGAACCCTCCTCCTCTTCTACAGTTCTGTGCACAGACTTCACTGCGTCTGTAGAATGTATCAGACAATTATCTTCGTTGACCAACAACTTAAAGTCCTCCAAATTAATCTCTCCGATGTTGATTTGGTTAATCTCATTCACATTATCCCAGTAACCAATTTTGCTCCAGAAGTTCTTACACCGTATCAAGCACAAATTCACGTATATCTTCATGAGCTTCACCTCATTATCCCCGTCCGGCGCATTGAGCTTGTAGAAGTTCTTGGTGATTAAACGTAACCTCTCGAAAAAGTCACAGATGTTCCGGATCTTGATCAAACAGTAGTTACACAACGGATAGTTGATCGACTCGGTGGTCATCTCAGGATTGCTCAACTTCAAGTTGTGGAGTCGGGCATGTTCCAAGTTATCGTTTCTACTTTCCTGGCAAAACTCGCAGGCTGCAACCAGTCCTTGTTGATGGTGGTTTTTGGTATGCTCGGTGATGGTGTCGTTGATGCTCTTTATAGGCTCGATCTTTATCTTCCCCTCAACAAGCATGTTCCAGAACGCTTTACCCTTTTGCCATCTGGTGATGAAGTTGGTAGAGGGAACAATAATACAGTTTTCAAACTCCTCCAACCAGATCTTCTTGAACCACTTGTTAAGCTTCAAAGTGTTCAAGTCGTACTGGTACGAGGGTGATATCAACATACCACAAAACTCCTTGAACTCCTTAAAATTGTCAAGATCAAATCGGATTGCTTTCAACTTGGGGGAAAAAACCGACGACTCCAAAAACTCGGCGTCCGACGACATATGTCCGCCACTGAAGTTATCGACGGTATCGGCTTTAACCAAGCTGGCGTGCTTATTTTTGTTCGAGTCCTTCTCCAAGTCCTCGATGAGCTTCTTTAGTTCCACCAATTCCGTCTGTAAATTGTCAATAATGGTGTTTTTCTCATCAAGTTCTTCGTACAACTTCTGATTCTTGACCTTGAAGTTGTAGGTTTCTCGCGAGGCGTTGCTGACCATTTTATTAGCCTCGTCAAACAAAGACGCTGTTAAGTCTTCTACTTCCGCCTGTAATCGCTTATTTTGAGCATTGGACTCGTCTCTTTCCTTCTGCATCTTCTCGTACCCTTCAGAAATTTCCGTGTACTTGCTGTTAAGCGCGTTGTAGTTTGCCTCAATGTCGGCCAACTGTTTGGTTTTGGTTTTTAACTGGTAGTTTTCTTTGTGGAAATGGAAAAGCTTCTCTTCCAATTCCAGTTGCTTGGACACGGCAGTCACAAGCTTGGTGCTCAACAGAGTCACTTCTTCGGTCAATCTGTCCGCCAAAGACTCTTCGTCAGCCATGGTGTTTAGCAGAGGATGTGTGTTATTAGTGTTGATTCACAGGTGTTTGAATTGAATTGCGAGAATGTTTATCGCGACTCGCTGCCATAATTACTGCGATTGTGCGATAGATGTAACTGCGATTGCACTAATAATGTACCAGTTCAATTCACCGATAGGCTACAGCAAGAAGCCGCTAGTATACGATGGTAGGAAGAAAGAGGGAGTAGGGAGTGGCGATGGTGACGCGGTGGTGTGGAATCCCGCAAAAAATGTGTCTTTAGATAAGCTACCGGTAGAGATCCTAAGCATGATAATCCACTATTTGGACCAGTTCGACTCGCTCAAGCTTATGATGACCAACCGCATAATGTATGCTTTAGTGAAGCCCAAATTGTACGAAAACATTATCATCGATTCGAACTACAGCGAGTTCAACAAGGAGTTTCGGTCCTATAAGTTCCAACACCAGCACCAAATGACCAATACTACTATAAAACTCACAGCCACGTTCATCAAGAGCAGCTACAACTTCAAACGGTTCTTGTCCGCGTACGATGGAACTGCCGTGCGCCGACTCCAGTGTATTTCGTTTCCTGACTCTGTCACTGTGTTGGATGGAGACGTAAATGATCTCATTGTTCGGTTGTTTGAGAAGCTTCGAGGATTGCACGAGTTGGTGTGGGTGCCGGCCAACTTCAAGATGGACTTCTTGCGACACTTGGACTTGAACTCCAACACGGTGATCTCGTTGGTGGTGAATATTCGGTTCAACCGCCAAAATCTACAGGTGCTATCGAGATTTCGACACTTGGTTAACTTCCAGTTGGGCCCATACACCAGTACCGATAACCTCAGGCAGCTCGTCCAGTTTGTGGACATGAGCAAACTACGTATCCTCAAGCTCTGGAAGCTGGACACTCAGAGTAATATTTGTGATCCTTCTGCCGCCAGACTCTTGGATTATCCACACGGCCATGAGCTCGAGGATGTGAATATCTTGAGCACCAAACAATTCAAGTGCCTCACCAAGTTGTGCTTAAAGGAAATGTTTGTGTGTGAAGGGGACTTTGCACTGTTTGCGCTGTCTGTGTCGACACTGGGCCTTACCAAGTTGGAGTTTAAGCGCATCACCGAGTATAAGACTGGACACGCAGACAGTTTTCTTCTCCGGCTCTCCCGGGAGTTGCAGAGTATCACAGAGTTGATGTTGGACTATCGAGAGAGTCACAAGGATAATATTCCCGAGTTTCTTCGCAATATTAACCATTTGCACAAGCTTGACTTGGTGGTGAGAAACAACGATACAAAGACATTTGACGCAAAACAGTACTCAAGGTCGTTACAGGTCCATGCTGACACACTAGCACACTTGTCACTAGAGATCTACCACGAGAAAAGTCTTGGATTTCAACCGGTGGCAGTGGATTTGCAAAAAGTGGACCTTTCGCATGCGACCAAGCTTGAGTCACTCCGGATAAATAGCACAGACGAAATCGATAGCGTACGCTTGGTGGCACAGCTACCACGTCTTCGGTACCTCAATCTCTTTGGCATGAAGGCTGGCGGATCGCCTAACTTGGGGTTGGGGATGATCCATCCCACCGTGTTTGACGAGTGGTTTAAAGTGCAACACGTTGCACTCATATACTTGGAAAACAACGGGAGTTTAGAGTATGTAAAGATCAACCTGTGCTTGTTTGAGTGCCGAGATGGAGAGGTTGTACCGAGAGAGGGAATAGATAATTGGTTTAATGAGGTTGTCAGAGTGGCTGCAATTGACTATGATTGAAAATAGGTGGGACAAAAAGGAGCACCAGGTAGCAGGAGCAGCCTGTGACACAAACATGATCATAGAACCACACAGCAAACCCATACACGCAGTAGACCCATACACCCAGCTCATAGGTTTTGTCCACACACAAGTATTACTCATACGCACCACAATGGCGCGTCGATCGCCTATTACTCGGAAAAAATCTCATCCCCAAAACATCGGGCTGGTAATTACAAAAAAATGCTAAAACACCGTGGATCATATCTATTAATCTATTAAAAAGGGTAGTGGTACTTGACTCTACAAGCAGTCATAATACTCACCAAATTAGTTGGTTCTGACGGAAAAACCAAAGATGTTACCAAAAAACGACGTTTCGAATTTTGGCTCGAACTTGACAGCAGAGGCTCTGATCTCGCTCATGATTTGAGCTTCTTTTTCTTGGGCAGTTAACTTGGCCATACTGGAGATGTGATTGTGAATGAGTTTGAGACTTGTAACAGAAACACAGACAAGAAATTCTGGGATTTCTGTGGTATTTATATTTGGCCGCAATTTCTGCATCTGTACAATTTTCGGCCATACGGACTTGCAAAAATAGGCGCACTTCTTTGTTTCGTTTCTTTTTTTGGACCGTTGCCGCCTCGCAATTTTTTTTGGTGCGGAGTCTCTTCTCCGACTGGCCAAAATAGCGAGTAAGGTTAGGCCAATGACCACAAGACAAGATGATGAGTGCTGAAGTTAACACCTAAAGTTAGGTATCAATATAGGCACCGGATGGTGCTGGACACCATGTCAGTAATGGCTTTGAAGTGGTTGCCAACATATGATGGCTGAACTCGGGCGGGTGAATGGATCAAGTGAATAGGGTGACATCCGCGAGATTTGCGAGATTTTCCAGAGTGACGGCCTCCTAGCGGCCGCGCTGGGGACATGGCGAGATGGCGCCAATGGCGCGAGGGTCTCGGACATGCGGAGGGTTGTTCCAAGATAATCCGGCGAGGGTGGTACACACACGTCTACAGCAGGGTATAGTCACCTGGTGACAAATACACCCCGAGGACGGGCCCGGGGACTAGGGTGAGCCAGTGAGTGCAAAATGAACGTTGCATTTGACAGACAGACTAAATAGTCAACATAAACGATCCACAACTTTTCCTACATTGGCCAAATCCTATATCAATAATATTATATACTTAATGCGTTAAGTGTTTAAACTTGTTCAACATCCTTCTTTTCAGTGGATGAGGAATCATACTGGTGTTCAACGAATCTATCCTTGGCAACCTTAGTGGCATCGACTTCGTCATGGTACTTTTCACAGATTTCTTCCAAAGTCATTCTCTTGGTTTCTGGCACTAAAAATGTCAAAAAGAAACCAATCAACATGAATAAAGCAAAGATTTCCATCACGTGAGGCAAGAAACAGTTAGCATTGGTGGCAGAACATCCATGGTTAAGTAAACTATTGGCAATCACAATGGCAACAATGGCACCAACCTTACCGGAAGCAGCAGACATACCATGGGCAGTGGATCTGTATCTAGTAGGGAAAATTTCTCCTGGAGTGATGAAGGTGGTGGTGTTGGCACCAAAGTTCTGGAAGAATTGAGACAACACATACAAGGCCAACAATCCATGGTCACCAAGCTTGTGGTAAGCGAATCCAATGACACAGAACAAAACCGTCAAGATAAGGAAAGATCCAAATTGGATGGTTCTCCTTCCAAGGATATCGACAAGAGCAATGGAGAACCAGTAACCTGGCAACGAACCAGCGCAAATCAAAATCAAGTTACCAGCAGCCGTGTTGTACAACTTCAAATAAATATTTTCATTGGAAGCGTAACCAATGGTTTGTAAAATAAGAGCCGTGTTCAATCCCAACCCATAGAAAGCAATATCCAACATGAACCAAGAACCAGCGGTTCCCAACAAAATTCTACCGTATTTCCATTGACCAAAATGGTGGAAGAAATCCTTCAAAGAAGCTTTTGGAGGAGTCAAGGCTTTTAATTCCTCTTCCACTACATCGATTTGACCAGACTTGACTGCCAAGTCATCGACTTCGTTGATGTCCAATTGGTATCTTGGTGACTCAGCAATGGTCAATCTGTAGTACAATGCAATAATACCAGGAACACAACCAAAACCAATCAACACTCTCCACATTTGATCACAGGCTCTCTTACAGGCAACACCACATTCAGCAGCAGTAGTGGCATCGATCAAATCATTCTTGTAACCAGACACCAAAATGATGGCCACGATACCAGCCAATAATTGACCGAGACCTTGGTTAGAGAAAACCGCAGCCATAATAGCACCTCTCCACTTGGTGGTGGAAAATTCAGAGGAGATGATAGAGGACAATGGATAGTCCCCACCGATACCAATACCCATGATGATTCTGAAAAATACAAATACCGCCACAAAGTTGATGGCAGGAGAGTCTCCCAAAGTACATTGAGCGATGGTAGCAGCAATCATCACTATCAATTCAAGACCATAAATTTTTTTTCTACCAACCACATCGGCCATGAAACCAAAACCAAGTTGTCCCATGACGGTACCTACCGAAGTGGAAACTTTGATCAAAGTGGCAGTAGGGGTAGGAATGGTACCTTCCCAAAACACGTAAGCCATCATAGAGGTACCGATGTTAATGGCGAAAATATCATACGAGTCAGTCATGAACCCCACTCCGGCAATCAAAATCATCTTCATTTGGGTCCATCCAAACCCGGCTTTGTCGATTTCTTCCAAAGCTAATCTTCTTCTTTCAAGGGGATCCTCAATGTGTGCAAATTTCTCTGTGTAGTCTTTAAAAGCAGTCTTACCACCTTGGGAATGGATTTTCAACGCCATGCTTGATAATATAACTCAGTAGTTGTAAGCTTCGAAGTTCAAGAAAAAAATCCCATCCGTAGGATTTATCTTGGTTTTTATATTAATTGCAAGATTCTTTGGAATATTACCAAAAAAAAATGAAAAAAGAAAGGAATTAATTAATAAATTGCCTTGTTAATACTACGAACATGCTGCAAACGGAAGTTGGTTACCTACCAGCAAATCAGAGGCTTGGATTCAGAGGCGTTTACCCGCTACTATTGTTGTGGGGGCTATTAAGTACCAATGGAGATGCTTGATTTACGAAGTCATCAGATCCACCAAGATTGTCTACTTTTCTTGACATCCAACGGTACTCCATTGACAGTTTCCTTGACAGTTGAATGTCTTGGCTCTGAGCCCGTGATGGGTGTGTGGTTTCACCCGTTAATAGTCCATTACTCTTGTCTGCAGCTCTCATTTTTCCAAAAATCTATCACTTTTGAGTTCCATTTGTGTATGGAAACTCGTGGTGCGTGCAGAGAGACGCCTTACTGTGGGCGAAAACGTTGTAAGAAATGGTCAAATTGCTTCAGACCTATCAGGATGTTCGTGGAATTGTGGCCCGGTTTGCCTGCTTATGGCCGGATGGATGACGGGGCCATGTACTCAACACCACTAAAATCGGTTCCACTGACGGGGGCGCTAATAGTGTTATTCCGTGGGCCAAAATGATGCATCACACGTGTGGGTGGAGATGGTCGAATTACTGCAAAAAGTATTTGAACGCGAGCCCCACGTTTCCTGGTGCTAGCACTATCGCGACCTTAATTGCACGGCAGAAACCCACGTTTTGCGGTTAACACACGACACAGGGCCGTATAATCTCCCGATCCCGGGACTTGGCGCACTGGGCTGTGTTTACCATAGGAGGTCCACCAACGGTATGAAGGTGTATAAAGGCTTATGGCAGTGGTTGTCAAGCTCATCGCCCTAAATACGAGTTACCGGTTTTGGTACAGCAGATCCTGGAGGCCTTTTGGAGCATGCAGGGAGGATGGGCCATGGAACACGTTGTCGACACCCAGACTTTGGAATACCTTCTCGTGACCAGTGTCAGGGGGTTCTAGGCACGTGACAAAGACACCTCTACTCAACACGCTCACCGCGCCAGCTAGTCTCTTCATGATGTCTCAAGCCCTGAAGGAAATCAAAAAGTATGCAGGTGACTGGATCACCGCTGGCGTAGTGGCCGGCGTGTTCACGCTATACCTCGAGCTCGCGCCGGCGCATGCCCGCCAGTTTCAGATCAATGACCCTAAAATCAGTCATTCGTTCGCAAACCCTCAGATCATCAACGACACAAAATTATACCTTCTTGTATTTGTGATTCCGGTTTTGATTCTCACCATCGTCAGCTACCTCAAAGCCGGCACTCGGTTCGTCAAAACTGCCCATTTATCGATTCTCGGATTGTTTCTTAGTTTTGTGTTGACAGGCTTTTTGACCGACTTGCTCAAAATCTGGATCTCACGGCCTAGACCTGATTTTATGAGTAGATGCTTGCCCAAGGAAGGCACTCCGTTGGACAAATATGTGTCACTCGAGGTATGCACACAAACCTCATATTTTTTGTTGAACGATGGGTTGAAATCGTGTCCTTCTGGCCATCTGTCGTTGTCGATGTCAGGCGCGTTGTTCTTGTGTCTTTGGCTCAATGGGCAGTTCAAGTTATTTAATAGCAATAAGCCGCTTTGGATGCAATTGAGCAGTTGGTCGTACGTGTTGGTAGCGTTGTTTGTGGCCATTTCTCGACACATTGACTATAGACATCATGTGGAAGACATTTTGTTGGGGTTGTTGATTGGTGGAAGTTGCAGTTATTATGTGTACTTCCGATATTTTCCGGCGTTGGGGTCCAGCGAGTCGGATTTGTCGTTGGACGAGGTGCTGGTGTTGCCAAAGTAGGTTAATGAAGCCAGACGGGTGGTATATTTGGAGAGTCATCGTGCTATTTATGTTTGTGCAGAGTCATTTATATTTGTACTGAGTCGTTGTTCTTTATATTTGTACTGAGTCGTTGCTATATATATTTGCACCTAGTGGTTGCCATTTGTGTTTGTACCAAGCTATTTAGATGTTTGTGCATGTAGATCTTACCATATACTCATCTCCCCATCAACACATTTAACTCGTACAACACAAAGTTATAGTCCATCGCATCCACCCCGTTCACATTGCAGTAGTTAGGATATGCATACTTCTTACACATCAAGTTCCCCAAACTGCTGGCCATATCTTCACAGTCTCCAGTCTTCAAGGTCACTTGGTACACCTTGTTGGCCCTATCTTTGATGCTGTAAACATACCCACCGAACGTCGACCCCTCGCGCTTCCCGTTGATATAGATGAACAAGGGGGCTCTACTGTCGCCACTTCTGTGGATGACTACCTCGTACTCACTACCATTCACACTGATGGTGTCTTCAATGTTCATGCTGCGCGACTGGAAAACACAAACGAAAATGAGAATTTCTACACCTGCTAATCTATTATTCAATTAAAATACTTGTCCGTTGAGGAACCCTTAATGCAAACTCTATCCTAGTGCTGGTAAAAAACCCAAAAATAATATCTAAATAAAAAAAAAGTGAACAAAAATCAATCTGTTAATCATGAGTCAGATAACGGGTTGAACGTTATCCGATTGAGTCATTACATTAAGTAATTTCAACCAAATTCTTGAAAGCAAACAACAACAGCCGGGGAACCCGGTTCAAGTCTCGTGGACTTTTAGTACTTCAACTCTTTTGGCTGTTCCCATGGGTTTTCTTGGTTGGTGAAATGTCCGTAGGAAGCAGTCTTGAAGTAAATTGGTCTGGCCAAGTCCAATTCTCTCACAATCACACCGGGTCTCAAGTCAAAGTTCTTCTTGATGATGGCCACCAATTCCTCAGAAGAGTACTTGGAAGTACCATAGGTATCCACGTGAATAGATAAAGGTTCGGCCACACCAATGGCATAGGAGAATTGCACCAATGCTCTCTTAGCCAATTGAGCATTGACCAAAGATTTGGCAACCCATCTGGCAGCATAGGCAGCAGATCTGTCGACCTTGGAGAAATCCTTACCAGAGAAGGCACCTCCTCCGTGAGCACCCCATCCTCCGTAGGTGTCGACAATGATCTTTCTACCGGTCAAACCAGCATCACCTTGAGGACCTCCAATGACGAAACGTCCAGATGGTTGGATGTGGTACACGGTTTTGTCGTCCAACAAGTTGGCAGGAATCACCTTGTTAACGATCTTGGCGATGATTTCGGATCTCAAGTCTTCAGTCGAGATTTCTTCAGCGTGCTGAGTGGAAATCACCACAGTGTCGACCCTCAATGGAGTAACGGCACCGCCCTCGTTCTTGTACTCGATGGTGACCTGGGTCTTGGTGTCTGGTCTTAACCAGGCCAATTCTCCACTTCTTCTGGCAGATGCCAAAGCAGCATTTAACTTATGGGCCAACAAAATGGTCAATGGCAATTTTTCTTCGGTTTCGTCGGTGGCGTATCCAAACATGATACCCTGGTCACCGGCTCCCAAGTCTTCCAAGGCCTTTTCGTAGTGCAAACCCTGGGCGATATCGGGGGATTGTTGTTCAATGGCCACCAACACGTTACAGGTTTTGTAATCAAATCCCTTGGACGAGTCATCGTATCCAATATGCTTGATGGTGTCTCTGACGATCTTTTGGTAGTCCAATTGGGCCTTGGTGGTGATTTCACCGAAAACCATGATCATACCGGTTTTGGCAGCGGTTTCACAGGCAACCTTGGACAATGGGTCAGCTGCCAAACAGGCGTCCAAAATGGCATCGGAAACCTGGTCACAGATCTTATCTGGGTGACCTTCACCAACGGATTCGGAGGTGAACAAAAATCTTTCTTCGGTAGCGCTCATGATGATGTTGTTGTTGCAAAGAACGGATGGGTTTTGTGAAAAAAAAATGTTGGAAAATGTGGAAAATTGGTTTCTTTATATACAAATTTTTTCGCGAGCATGGACAAACTTGGTTGATCTGAGGATTATACGAGCGAGAATAGTATGCTATAGAATAGGGTCTTTTGTGATTGGAAGGTCATGGAAGGGTGGAATGGGACCAGGGGGAGTGAATAAACAGGGGGTTCGGCGATTGGGTCGGTGACGGTCCTGGGTCTCTTGACAATTCATGATTCGTCAACAGCGTAACGAGTCAACCTCGTTTATTACCGGACACTGTCAGTACCGTATTATTTTACTACGATGTTCGGCCCACGCGGTGCCACAATAATAGGGGGCGCCCACCGCGGCCGCTGCTGTGGCGGGATCCAACGATTGTGCGATGCCGACGTTAACGGCGCGTTTCCGATGGACCTTGCGCCATATCACGTGTACAAAACCGCATGTGATTTTGATTCCCGGCGATGGTCATATGCTTACATCAGCTTGAGCTATTGCTACCATCGCGACCGCGTCGCGCACCGTAAACATCTTACATTCTGTCTGTTTTTATTCAGTTAGTAACATGGATTTGATAGATCGAATCGACGTTCGGCCGCTGGCGAATGGTTTTGATGCCACACAGGTCATTGGATTGCCCATGCACGGTACCAGTGAAAGCGAGGGCGAAGATGAGCCCTTTTCACAGCCTGAATCCCATCTGGCGCTACCACAAATGAGTAGTATTTTAGACAGAATTAATGCTGTCAAAGAGAGACTTGCTGATCAGGACGGAGATCCAGGCTCACTTATGGATGAAGACCGTGTCGAAATGTCCCAACCCACAAGATCGGTGCTTTTACCCCAACTTGAGATTGACTTATCTGAGATTAGAAACCTTGATTCCAACGATACTACTCAGAAGATTGTTTCAGGTAATCTAACCCAGGAAACACAGCCGATTTCGATCGACGAAAGAACTCGCATTCTTGCAGAGCAGAAGAAACAACATCGAATGGCTCAAAAACAACAGTTGGAACAAGATATCTCTAATGTGACTTTAACTGACGAGGAAAACGAAGAGTTGGAGGCCACGAATATTTCTACATCCAAGGATATTAAAGAGGCACAAAGGTTTCTTGACCATCAGAAAAAGGTCAATTTCTTTAATAAACTCGAGACTGTCGGGCCAAAGAAGAAGATGTTTTCTGCAATGAGTTTCGTTGAAGCCTTTGAAGAGCCTAAGAAAGCCCCAGTGTCTCCATCGCACGAAGATACTGAAAAAGTTCTTACAGATGACGAGATTAATATAAGCAGTCCTGTGACTTCTCCATTGGTGTCTCCTTTAAAGACACAGAACCCTATTGAGCTTTATAAGCGGAACTTAAAGGGTGAAATCATTGATTTGGACGAAATCAGCGTTCCCAAAGTCTCCCGGGACAAGGAAATCTCCATTAAGCTGAAATACCTCAAGAAGATGCGTACAACCACCTTCAAGAAGAAGGAAAAGTCGTCGAATACAAAAAAGCTATTCAACAACTTGTTCCAATTGAACATCAACCAGATCAACTCGGACCCTAACCGGAAAGTCCAACTAGAAGAAGATGAGGATGAAGAGATTATGGAGAATTTGTTAGAAAAGGAGATCGAACGGGCTAGAAACATCAGGCGAATGGAGAAGATGAAAGAAAAGGCTGCACAGGCCTTGTTAAAGAACGGTACTGGCGCAGAGGAGGAAGACAACGATGATAACTGGGACGAAAGTGACAACATGCTCGCCCTATCTGGTGAAGATGAAGAGGAGTCTGTGCACAACGATATTGTTGATGACGAAGCAGATGATAGTGACAAAGAAGATATCGAAGAGAACTCGGATGGTGAAGACGAGTTTGCAATAGGAATCAGCCACCGTAAGCACAAGATTTTGGACTCTGAAGACGATGTTGAACAGGAACAAAACCAAGAACCAGAGGAAAACAATGAACTTACAGACAAACACAGGGACGAGTTTGAAGATTCCATCACCTACGGTGATATTCCGTTCCTGAACTCCCAGTTGTTCAAAAACCTCAAACCTCTCAACTCCGATGATGAAGAAGACATCCAGGCTGTCAGCTTTTTGCATCCATCACAGAATAAGAGTTTCAATTTGGAACTGACGCAGGAAACAATCACCCAAGTTGATAAGGGTACACAGGCAGACAATACCACTCAGGCCGACAAAACTACACAAGTAGATGTGCATGATGCATCTACCCAAGTTCTTGGATCCCAGCTTCTCTCTCGCTTGGACGAAACCCAAATCATCAGAAACGAATTAGATGATATCACTCCGGAAATGGTTAACAGAGGAAGAAAAGCCATCGAAAATAATAAGTTGGATAACATCTTGGAACAACAAGAAGACGAGGATAACGAAGAAGAAATGCAAGCACAGATCAAGATGTATGAAGAAAAAATCAGAAGGAAAGAACTCAAAGCCATTCAGAGAAGAAAGGATATGGAGAGAAAGGGCTATAAGAATATCATTGAAGGAGAAGCCGAAGAAAGTGAAGATGAGTGGGCAGGAATCGGTGGTGCTGACGGAGAAGCTGAAGAAAGAGCCAATTCAGAAGATGAAAAAATGATTGATAATGCGTTCAACATAGACTTGAATGACGAAGAAGTTAGAAAAAAGTTCATGGAACAGTACCAAATCAAGGACAGAAAAGAATTGGAAAAGTTAATGGACGATGTTAAAAATCACCGACTCGTGAAGAAAGTGGGTAATGGGTTGAATCTTGAACTCAGTGACGAAGAAGATGAAATCTTAATGAATTATAGGAAGCAGAAGTTGAAAGAACAGAAATTGAAAATGCAAGAATTCAACAAAACTATGAAGAACTTGAAGTCCGACAAGTCTAAGGCGTTTTTTGAAAGCATACAAGAGGATCTCAGCCGAAGCATGGTCCGAATTGACGACGAAGACGATGACGATTTGCAGCCATCGAAGCTTGAAGAGAGTTTTGTCAAAAATAAATTATCGTTTTTGTCTGAATCTTTCAACCAGTATGAAATCGAACAACGGAGGTCTGACTTCCAACATGATGTCAATTCTGATGAAGACGAAGATATGAACTCTTTGAAAACCAAATCGTTCAATAATTTGAGAAAGAGATCAATCAGAGAAGTCGAGATCGAGACCGACAATGATCAAGACAATGAAGAGGAAGATAACATCGACTTTTCTGATGAGGATTTGTTACCCAAGAGAAAACCGTCAATGATGAAATCTTTCAGATCAACCACATCGAGTACTGTGAGCTCCTTCAGTGGAGTCACCATTTCCAAGCAGTATAAGACGGTCAGTGGATCCAAAGCATCGATTACATTTATGTCGAAGAAGAAGAAGCTGCCAAAGTTGAACAAGTTGCAAAGTTTTCGTAAATTAAAGCATTAGTTTATTAGCATACCAGGTTACTTAATACATAAAAGCATAGGAAAGTCTGAGTTAGAGAAACCAGACATTGTCCTAATAAGATTAAGGTGTGAACATGAACCTGAGTTGGAAAACCAGGCATAGGTGAACACTATGTCCTTCTAGTAGTGAACCTGAGTTAAACAGGAGTTATTGTCATATCAAATTGGAAGTTAATGCCTCTTGTAAAGATCGATGACTGAAGCTAGACACCACGGGTTTCTTGAAAATAGACATATTGCCATGATTGACAATGAACGACTTGTTGGAGTTCAAGACGAGACTCGATGAAGACGAGTTGCTCGTGAATGCAGGTGGGTATCTTTTTAGATTGGTCTCATTTTGAATGGTTATAGGTTTGGTTTTTGGAGCCGACTTCAACTCCTCAAGTTTCTCACGTTTTCGCCTTCTAGAGTTTGAGCCACAAGAGTTGCCATCACCAAGTTTCTGTTGAACGAGAATGGGGGTATTTGTCTTCTTTCCAACCAACTGAACCAGGGACTCAGTTTGCATCAACTGGAGGAAAGTCTCGGACAATGAGCTGCCAATTATCGAGTTTCTTTGGTTTTGTGGTTGCTCAGAATTGCTGTGTTTGCGTGTTGCCGATGGTGAATTAATGAAGTTGAAGAGGGAGAAGGACGAATCGGAATCCTTTTTGGGGGTGGTCTCTGGGGTAATGAACTTGTTCAACAAAGATTCATAGTTGGACCTTTCTCCGTCATGAGATTTACTCGACGGGATTGAGTAGATGGCCTCGACTGTGGGCGACAAACACTCATGCGACTGCTTGATATTGTCTATGGGGTTGTGGAATTTGAAGCTCGAGACCTTCTTTTTACTGGGTGAATCGTTAGAAACATCAGCATTTCCATCCATTGCGTGTACCGAGGGGATGTTCGGGTCAACAGACGTCATGTTGATGCTAGCATCGCTGACCGACTTCCTTACCACGTATGGGTAGCTGTCCTGGCTCAAGTTTACGCGGGATCTCCTTAAGAAACTGTCAAAGTTCTCAAAGTCCATTTCTGGAGCATCAGAAAGAGTCGATTCGTTGTCGTTGAAATCACAGTCGATAGTGCTGAGGAAAACACTTCCCTTACTGTCGAACGGATTGACATTGATGTCTTCTGGCTTGTCCATGTCAAAATCATGCAATTCGAGCTCCGGGGTGGTATCGTTACTCTGCGGAAACGTCACATCCATGAGGTTGTCAAGGGTGTCAGATGAAGAGTTGACACCGTGATGGATACTGTCAGCGGTTGAGTCATGGTGAAGAGAATGAAGGCCCAGGTGGAGCTCCTCTGGCGAATTGAGAATGGGTCCATTGAATAAGTTGGAAATTTTGTAGTGGGACTTCTTCTTGTAGACCTTATTGGGTTTGCATCGGATGGGCTTGAGGTTCATATTGGAAATGGACACCGAGTTGGAGAGAGCAGCTTCCTGTGGTGTGGATTGGATGTTTCCACCATCAGGGGGATTCTTAGGGTTATGGATCAGGTTGGGGCTGTCTCTGCTGCTCGACCAAGAAGTGGTAGCGGTGGTCGCATACTTCTCCCGCAAGTAGTCAAACTCGAGGCACAAATGACTGTAAATATGGCTGTTTGTGGTGGAGTCATTATGATTCAAGTCATGCTCGAATAAGTATAACCTTGACGAAAGTTCATGGAATTCAGTCATATGCTGATAATTGTCCTTAAGAACCTGGTGGCTGTCATCTATGCGGACATCCATGTCAGATATAGATGTGCTGTAGTGGCAGATCTGGCTGGCAAAGGCATCTGACTGGTGGAAACTGTGAATTAACAAATCTGATTTGGCCCCGATATTATCCACCAAAATAAGCAAATGGTCTAGACGGGAGGAGGTGACAGGTGCAGCTCCTAACACTTGCACAGTCATGGTCAACAGTTGAGGTAGACAGGAATCTTATGTGCAATAGCCAGCTATTCTAGCAAGGGTTGGATATATAGGTTATTTGTGGATCAGAAGATAAGCTGAAGAGTGTGAGTAGCGGTGAAAAGCGTGCGCAGGCGCAATGCATTGTTTTCATTTGCCCCATTTGCAGAAATGCTCATCGGAAAGTCCCATAAACAACTCTTCCTAACTTGGTTGGTGCATACCTCGTTTAGGGTTATAGCTTTTGTCTGTGTACATAAATAAGGATAGACATTTCGTTTGTGTACATAAATAAGGACATACATTTCGTTTGTGTACACAAATAAGGATAGACTTTTCGTTTGTGTACATAAATAAGGACATACATTTCGTTTGTGTACACAAATAAGGATAGACTTTTCGTTTGTGTACATAAATAAGGACGTACATTTCGTTTGTGTACATAAATAAAGACATACATTTCGTTTGTGTACATAACTTCGTTCTATATGCATCGTACTAGCCCCCGTGCATGCTGCTTATTCTAAGGCCTTTTTATCCTTCTTATCCTTCTTGCTCTTCTTCTTCTTCAGCTCTTCTCCATGATGTTTTCTCTTTTTCAACGGATTTTCGTACGATTCCTCTTCCGGAGCCTCATAGTCCTGCTGTCTCTGCTGCTGCTTGGCCAGCAACGCTTCCTCCTGCTTTTCCTTCTTTTCATCCATCTGCTTCTGCTTCTTCTCACTCTTCCTCAAGAAATACTCACCACTCTCAATTTGCATATCAATTTTTCTAGGCTGTTGCTGAGGTGGGAATGGTGTGTACACTTTCTTCTCTCTCTTAGGAGCCTTCTTTCTTTGGACATTTTGCTTCTTGAACTTGGGTAAGAATCTCGACCAGTCCTCGTTGGCGAGCTCGGGCTTTTTACTTAATTCCTGTTTGATCATCAACTCCTTGATGTGGTAGATCGGATGCACGTTCTTCATGCAATCCTCCACCACCCGCCGCACCGTCTTTAACCCGGAGTAAGGTCCCATCACGCTGACAGTGTTACCTTGGACTAAAATGTAGCATTTGGTTAAAAGTTCCAATGCTTTCAAAGTGTTCCCGTTGGGGCCCACAAGCCGTTGTCTTCTCTTGACAAATCGGTCCTTGTTGGTGACGACATTTCCAATCTTGATTACTTCACAGGCGGTGTCATCTTGCAAAACTTTAACTGCCTGAGGGAAAGGAACCGATCTTGCCAACAACTTGATCAAATCTCTTGCTTTCAAGATGATGGCAGGGTCAAACGTCTTACCTGTAGTTCTGACTGTCATGGATCCTTCAACGAGGTCCAACTGACAGGCGATGTGGTGTTTATCCAAAGCTTTCGTGACATCGTTCCAAATGGATCTCAAGTACTGTTCTCTGTACTTGGGGAACAACGTCATGAAGTTCAGTTCTTCGGTGAATGGCTGGCCACTAGCATTGTGTTCCGGCTGGAACTCATCCTGATGCCACTTGTCGATGTCGGGGGTATCCCAGGGCTTGTCACGATTATGAGTAGAAACCATTGATGCTCATCTCAAAATTTTTCGCGGAAACAAAATATATCATGAAGCCAACCGCAGATAGGAGAAGGAAAGTGAAGAGCAAAAGGCTCGGGGTGAAACAGCTGGGGGCGGTGAAGAAAACAGTGGGAGTAAGCAAGGGCCAGAGTAAGGCGACGAAGGTGCAAATAGAGAGGATGAATGCTGATTTTGAGGGGCTCCAGCAGCTTCAGATGGCATCGCAGAAGCCTGCCAGTGTGTTAGATGTGAAGCATTTAAAGCAAGAGTTGACGAAAGACAAGGAGAAGAAGGACACGAGCAAGAAGGCGGAGGCGGATCTTGCAGCCCAGTTGGAGATGATTACGGGTATGGAGTTGTGAGGCGAGAGATAAGGTGTATATAGAGTAATGAATATGAATGAAAGATAATATAAATGAAAGAGAATATGAATGAAAGAGAATACGAATGAAAGAGAATATCAATGAAAGAGAATATCAATGAAAGAGAATATCAATGAAAGAGAATATCAATGAAAGAGAATATGTAAAATAAAGCAGGTCAAGTACAAAAAAGGGCAGACGTATTTGTGGCATCTACCACTTAAATGAGTCTGCGGTAGTGCGCGTGGAAAATTGATATCACAAGTTTCTTGCGTATGGAAGATTTCTCCAAATACTCGTCTCCTAGCTGTGTGCACCATTCATTGTGCGCCACGTATTTGCTCTGCTCTCTAAAATTGTTTGAGGCTGCGCACACTCGCCCGCCGTCTAAGGTCCACGTAATTACAATTGACACGCTAACACGTCGACTACCAATATCGACGTATTAGCGTCGCTCGTCTAAACACGTCTCATTCTAACCTTATGGCTCTCACTTCCTCTCACACCCTCTCACACCGTCTCACACCCTCTCATAAATAAAGGCACGCATGTCTAATGCGGCGCTGGTAAAACTCGTTTAAGGCACCAGCCAACACCAAAAGGCCAATGAAAGCCTAGGTAAGACACCCAAAACATCCCCCGCTACAAACCGACTACATCACACAGGCCCGCCCTGCCCCAAAACGGCCCAAGTTGTCACCAATCCACTGACGCACCTGCCAATCATTGTCAAATGAAACAACCGCTGCTCGAAGGAGGTGAAAAATTTAAAAATCCATTTGACGCGTAACGCGATGTTTTCGATTTGATAAATTAACTCCTTTTCGACAAATATCTTTTATATACTACAACCTTGTTTTCTTGCAAAAAAAATCCTCCAGGTGTTTTTTATACTGTGAACAAGTCTTACAGGTGAATTGGTCCATTCTTTCGTTCGTTTATCATGTCCTATCACTCAAGGCAACCCTCCATCGCCTCGTCCCTATTGTCGAGAGCTAATTCAAATAACCATCCCCAGTTCATTGGGCCTTGGAGACTCGGCAGAACCTTGGGAAGAGGCGCCACCGGCCGAGTTTTATTGGCCACCCACAAGACAAATGGACAGAAGGCCGCCGTAAAGGTGGTTTCCAAGTCAGAACTAGATGACGAAGATACTCAAAAGCCTAGCCAAGGTGGCTTACCCTATGGAATTGAAAGAGAAATTATCATCATGAAGTTGTTAACGCACCCGAACGTATTGAGATTATATGACGTGTGGGAAACCAGCAAGAACTTGTACTTAGTGTTGGAATATGTTGAAGGTGGGGAGTTATTTGATCTTTTGGTCGAAAGAGGCCCTTTACCAGAAAGTGAAGCTGTCAAGTACTTCAGACAAATTGTGTTGGGAACTGCTTATTGCCATGCTTTGGGAATCTGCCACAGAGACTTAAAGCCCGAAAACCTACTTTTAGATTCCAATTTGAATGTCAAATTAGCGGATTTTGGAATGGCTGCTTTAGAGAGCAACGGCAAGTTGTTGGAAACCAGTTGTGGGTCTCCTCACTACGCGGCGCCTGAGATAGTGAGCGGCTTGAAATATCACGGGTCAGCCTCGGATGTATGGTCCGGCGGAGTGATATTGTTTGCTTTGTTGACGGGAAGATTACCATTTGATGATGAAAACATCAGAGACTTATTATTGAAAGTCCAGGCCGGTTCATTTGAAATGCCTACTGATATCAGTTGGGAAGCGCAGGACTTAATAGGCAAAATGTTGACGGCCAATCCTGATAAGAGAATTGCAACAAACGATATCTTAAAACACCCAATGTTAACTAAATACCCTATGCCAAACGAAGATTTAATCAGTGTCAAATCTTTGCCACATCCACAAACTGCCCACAGATCCTTGGGAAGTGTCAAAAATATCGACAAGCAGATCTTACAGAACTTGTCTATCTTATGGAATGATAGACCTGAAGAAGATATAATAAAGTGCTTGTTGACTAACGGTAATAACCCTGAAAAGACGTTCTATGCGTTGTTGATGAGATATAGACACAACCATGACGAGTCTCTTGGTCAATCGAACAAGCAAGTCAACAATAACGGTAGAATTGTGGGAAGAAGCAACTCGATTAAAGGAAGTCCAAAGAAAAAGAGAACCAGTCAAATCTCGGCCTCTTCTTCTCGTCACAGACCCGTTAGTTTCCAGTACAAGAACAGAACCAGTATGATCAACACCAACGGTAAGATCTCTGCTTCTTCAAGTGTACAAAACTCTCCTTACAGATCTCCAAGGGCTTCTGGAAGTCCAAGAAAGTACGGTGCCATTAATAATTCTCCTTATAGAGGTTCTCCCAGAAGGTCTCCAATGGCTAGCCGGCCTATGTCTTCTTCTCCATCTCCTGCAATTCCTAGAAACATTTACAATGAAATTGTTTCAGCTCAACAAAAGGGTTCGTATAACACCGGTAATTCATCGAATTCCAATTCTATGCCACCTTCATTACCTTCTAAAGACAGTATAGATCATTACAAGAGAGTTCTGAACTATAACACCAACCATCCAGAAAACAAACCCAATGTTTCTGATTTGATGGAGTCGGCTAACCTTTCCCCAGGAAAAGGTGCTCCAGGCTCTCCAAATAAGAAGAGAAACTCGTTAATGAGATCTTTATCAAAAAACAGACTTTCGAGAAGGAAGTCTATGAGAGCCTCGATGACCTCTGGGTTGAAGCGTAACTCAATAACAATCAAATTGTTATCTACATACGCCAAATTATCCAACGAGACCGATTGGGAGTACATGGACAAACAAACAAGAAGAACTTCTGCTACCTTTGCTCAATTGTGTGACAAGATCTTCAACCAAGAAGACTACAATGAAGATGAAGAGAACTTGGTTGATGAAGAGGAAAAAGAGGCCAGAGAGTATGAGAGGTTAATGGAAATCGAAAGAAAGAAGCACGAAGCAGAATTGAAGGCACGGAAGGAATTGGCTAAACAAAGGAAGAGACAAAAGAGAAAGTCGTTGTTGTCTTCCAAAAAATTGTCAATCTTCATCAAAGACGACGCAAATAACTCTGAAATGGAAGTTCAAGTCGCCAATGATAATGCTAGTGAACTCACTCAACCAAAGAGAAAGTCTAAGCTCGTCCAATCTAATGGTTTAAGATCCATTTCTGAAGGTGCTGGTAAAGAGAAGATCACTGATGAGTTGACTGCTGAAGACCTTGAGAACATCAAGCGGAGATCGGTAACTCAGCCCATCCCAAGGCAGAGAAAGCATCCAATTTTGACTAGAAGACCGGTGTCCAGATTAGATCCTTTGTGGACTGCTTACGAGAATGAAGAACTCGACCGGGCCAAAGAAGCTTTGGATGCCGAATACAAGGATTCTAAAGGAACTAAGTCGAAGAAGAAAACTAAGAGTCACAGCAGAGAGTCGATGATCTCGGTGGTCAATGATGATAGCTTCAGCAAGAAGAGATTATCCAAGCAGTACCAATTACCTGAAGTTAATATGGAAAGGTCAGACTTGAGTGATGAATACTTGTCGGAGATCAGAAAATCAAGGCTCTTGAACTCCCAAATGAACATCAGTAGTATTGCCAAGGGTGAGAGTCAAATCGAGCTTCCAAAGAAGAACCAAAGACACAGAACTTTGATTGGTGATGTCAATATTCCAAATGTCACCAGGAAATCTAGACACTTCACCAATTCTAACAAGAGGTTGTCAGTGTTGTCGTTGTATTCTACTAAGGAGTCGTACCGTGACTTAAGTTCAGTGATCCAACTGGAAAGCAAGAAAGACTCGTCTCGGATGCCTCATTTGAGAACCAGTTTTGCAGACAGATTGGACCGTGCTGGTTTGGTTGAAGAAGACTATGAAGAAGATGATGAGCCTTTGGATGAAGGCTCGATCATGGACTTCGAGGAACATTTGGCTAATAAGAGAGCCAGTTACTATACTGGAAGAACTAACACAGTCAAGAGATACTCCAAAGCTCAAAGCAACAGACCGTTATCTCAGTTACCAAACTTACCTCCTGCCAACCACAAGCCCAAGTCTAACAAGCCTGACACCGACTACCCCGATGAGACGTTTTCTACCAAGGCTGATAGGAGAAGAAGCAAGCAGAAGGATGATCTGGACGATTATTATGGCGGTTTATTGGATCGTGACGATGACTACGACGATGAGAACGAGAACGATGAATTCGATGGCCAGGCAGATGACAAGGTGTTTGATAATATCAAATTACCACCAACCAATGGCGAAAAGAGACATACCAATGGTGGAAAACAGCCACAACCAAGACAGAAGACCAAGTCAATGTTACCTAGTGCTGAGTCAATGTTAATTCCAAACTTTGATAACCATGCCACCAAGGCGGTTGAAAAACCAAGACCTTATGCATCCACCAAGCCTGTCAACACCACCAAGAAACTGACTTATCCTGGTGACTTTTCCAAGTCCAAACCGTTGGAAGACACCACCAATAAGCCAGATCAGAAAAAGAATAAGTCAATCTTCAGAAAGTTGTCTTGGGGCACCAGAAAGACTTTTGATGATGTAACCAACCCCCAATTGCCATCTCCAGCTGATTCGTTTGAAGAAAAGAAACCTGCTCAAAGATCAAACTCTTTCTTCAAATGGTTCTCATCGTCATCTTCTGATGAAGGCACCGAAGCTGAAATCAAGAGATTCAATACCATCTTGCCAAAGCAAGAAATGTCACAGGCGTTGTTTGCTTTGTTGAACAGTTGGTCGAACTTCGGATTGAAGAACTTGAAGAATGATCATTATGCCTACATCATCAGTGGAGGAATCTCCAAGCACAACGCTTTCAACTTGAAGAGTTGTAAGTTCAGAATCAAAATCAACACAAGGGAATTCAACCAGAAGTCCGAGATTGTGTGTGCGAGAGTGAAGGGTTCAAGGGTGACTTCTAATACTTTGTTCAAGGAGATCGAAAAGGTGTTACTCAAAGAGGGTGTTATGGACTCATGAACCTTTATGGACTCATGAACCTTTATGGACTCATGAACCTTTATGGACTCATGAACCTTTATGGACTCATGAACCTTTATGGACTCATGAACCTTTATGGACATGGACTGTTCATAATATTTTGTATAATTATTTAAACGTTTAATAGGAACTAGAAGTGTGATGCACTAATATAAAAGAATTGTTACAAGTCGTTATTAACAATATAAACAGGCTTCGGTGGATGCAATTAGTAAATGCCCCATACGTCTTCACTACCGTGACAGAACTTCGAACATGCAACAGAAGCAGATAATGGGTAGTCGGAGATCCCGATCTTCTCGTCTACAAACTCGTCGGCGAAACTATCTTTCCCTCTGGCCATAGCACCCACAAACACACAAATACTTTCATCGTCATCCAATGTGCTCACATAATCTTGCACTCTCACCACTTTAGCATCGAAAGATAAAGTGACTTTTCTGCACTTGGTTGGCAAGTGATCAGTAATAGGGTTCTTGATCACCTTCAACAACTTCTCTTCTGAGTTGACGGATCTGATACTCAATTTGTGTAAGAGTTGTACCATTAACCCACTGAATCTTTTGAAAGTTCTTGGGATTCTCACCGATGGATTCACCTCGATTAGCACTCCTCTAGCAGTTTGAATGTAAACCTGCAACTTACCAGCTTTGTTTATAGGCGAGTCCAATAACGTCAATAAACACTGATGGGTTATATCTGGTCTGGCTTCAGCTATATCTCTTCCCATTTTTTTCAATAATCCTTGATGGTCATCGCAGTTCAACAACGCAAACTTATCACCACCAGCACCTCCAGAGCTCACTTTGTGTGTTTCCAAGCAAGCGTGTGATAATACCACTATCATTCTTTTTGTGGATTTGTCCTTGGAGCTCAAGGGGGCAGGTTGGACTGGAACTAATGATGCAGGCACAAAAGTCGGGATGTTTGCGATAGATTTGGGGTCTTTGTCTTTGAGGTCTTTCTTAGGAGTGTCCTTTTTTAGGGATGCGGACGAGCTTGGAGCTGTGCCGTTGGTGGTGGCGGATTCGACGGTCTTTTTCTTGGAGTCAGTCATTTGTAATTGAAATATATCTTTTAACAGAGAGTTCAGTTTTTTGCACTTTTTTTTTCAGCACTATTAGGAGATGCGCGCACTGTCAAAAGTTGTAGCTAAGATAACGTATCAGTCAACGCGTTAGTAACAGGCATGGTGAAGCAATATGAGCAACGATGACTTTTCCGACGACGACGACTTCTTTGAGAGTATAAAGCGGCACCAGTTGACCCACTCCAGCCCTCAACCGACCGCCGCTAGTAATACGGACTACGATATTTCCCAGGTTCCTGGTGAGATCAGAAGCAAGTTGTTCAGAGCCGACGGTGAAATCGCCATTTTAAAAAGCCAATTGGAGCTGGTCAAGTCACGTGGATATGAGGAAATCAAGCACCTCAAAGAAGACAACGAGGAGACCAAAAGAAGCATGGAGGAACAGATCAAGATGTTGAAGTTCTCGGTGCAAAAGCTAGAAGATGAGAAGAAGTTTTTGGACAATCAGGTAAAAAGCACGTTTTCCAAGAAGCGAAAGCTCGCCAACCCTTCAGAAGAGACAATACCGGTGACACAGGCCCAAAGAGTGGCTCCAACGACAGTCCCTGTGGCAACTGGACAGAGAATCATCCGCACCCAAAACGACACAACGCTATTGACAGACTATATCTGGAAATTGAGCATAAACGGCAGTGACAGAACGATAATGGAGTACTTGGGGAAGGTCACCTTGAAAGATTCGCTCGAGATCCAGGGGTACCGGTTTCAAGAAAAAATTCCCATCTCAAGTATTATCCTAGAATACTTGATCAGCCGCAAGAACCTCAGACTCGACAAGCTTCTCGAAGAATTGTTCTCGATCATTAATGAACTTATAGTGCATCTCATTGACACCAGCTTGATCACATCGGTGCCATTCATGTTATCGCTTCTCCACGGGATTCTTGGGTTCAAGCCATCTGCTGTCAATGAAAACACCATTGTGATACTGGTGTCTCGAATATTCGAGATAATCATGCTCTATAAGTACACCTTGAGCAATGAGGACCGAGAGTTATTTAATTACAACAAAACTCCGCAGATGTTTTTGCTTGAAAAGTTTACCTTAATTTGCAGCATGGACATGTTGGAAAAGTTGATGTCCTTGTGTAACCTCCACCAGGAGGTGAAATTGGGCCTGCGACTTTTTCACGAGGTGAGGATCCTCGACTTGGTCAATCAGCTCATTCCCAAGAATGATGAGGCATTGATGAACGGAGCCCAAATCAACATCATCTACAATGTAGTACGAATCCTCGACAATTTCTACGACACGAACGACACGGAAGAAACATCTTCGCAGACCGTCCACAGCTTGCTCAACATCAACCTTGTAGGGGTCCCCATCAAAGAAGATTTCAGGTTTTACGGACTAAACCGGTGTATTGGCAATAATACCGATTTTCAGGAAATCGATAAAATCATTTTCAGTGATAACGCTACTGTTGATCCAAGCAGTTTGATCATCCTTCCGAATCCCATCTCCGAAAGATCCAAGGAACTGCGCAACAGTAACTACAGTATCGAATATAATCATGAATTTCATGTGTTGGACTTGAGGTTGCAAATTAGCCAAAGCATTGAGAACTACATCATCAACCGAATGGACACCTCGATTTTGAAGGAAATCGAGGTGGTAAAGCTCATGATCCGAAGTATCAACCTCCAGCAAAATGGGATCTTGCGGTCCCCCCGGTCCAAGTTTGTCGATCTACGCATCAAGATCATCTGCAGCTTTGTGAGAAACCTCAATTATGTGTTTAAGACCTCAAAACAGTTGAACGAGATCATCAACTCTGAAACCCTCAACGAGCTCTCGATAGTACTTTCCCAAATTGCCTTTACGTCGAGCTCCGATCTTTCTGGCTCAAGTGCTAAGCTTTACAAGCTCCTTCGAACCCAAAACTACCGGCTTAAAATCCTCAACGAAGAGTCGGAAGCCAAAGCTCGTGAGCTCAGCAACGTTAACTTCAGCAACAAGAACAAGGAGTACTTGGCAGAAGTAGAAAATGAGCATGCCAATGGACTCGAAACCTTGTATGATCATGAGACGGTGGAGCTCGCTCGAGAAATTCTTGGCTTCTGTATCGATAACGAAGTGGCCGACAATCTCTACATCAACATCAACGGGGCAGAGATGGTCGACGACAACCGATTTGACGAGATGGATATAGTTAACGAAATGTAACATACTGTAATTCTATACTATAACATGAAAATATGTTTATTATGAGGATGATACTATTACACAAATATTTGTCATTTATTAGAATCGGAGGTCTTTAGGCCAGTATCTATTTATTGAGTTTGGAACCCGTTCTTAAATCTTCTGGACACATGCTTCAAGTAAGCCATACGACCGGTACCGGTGGTTCTTCTTCTCTTAGCTTTCAAAGCCCAGTTGTGGGATCTCATCTTAGCAGCTGGGTAACCACAAGAAGAACAGGTCTTCTTTTGGACGTGGTAGGATCTCTTACCACATCTGTTACACAAGACGTGAGATTTGTTGTGTCTTTTTCCTAACGATGGAGTACCTTCTAAAGAAATGTGTTAGTAGCTGGTTTTGGTGGACATGACATAGATGTGGTGGGAAAACAGTGTATTTGGATTCTCAAAAACAGGATGGCCGTTACTGGGTGGGGTTTACCCGTGAAAGTGAAAGGATTTGAAATGTTCTGTGCTTTGGACACTGTGATGTTGAACCAAGGAAATTTGGTTCAAGAGAGTGGGAAATTGCTGTTGCTTGTTGGTCAACAGGAGAGGATGTCTCCTATAGAGTCCCATCACTGTACCCATATGTCATATGTGTCGATTATTCAATGGTATCTTTACATACTACCCATGATTAATTATCTTATTGCTGTGAAGTTTTTCAAATTTTTCTCATCTAACTTTTCAGTGAGGCAAAGCGCCAGTGACACAAAAATGCGACAGTGACACAAAGAGCAGGTGTTGGGGAGAAACAGTCACAGAACTGAGCGCGGGGGCCACAACCCTAGAAAACGCGCTTCCGATCCAGACGCGAAATGCTCGCCAGCTCGGCTGCAAAAAACCAACCTTGATATAAACAACATAGCGTGGTCATGTGCAGACCCAGGCGTGGCTGGTGAATACACAAACAACAATGACCTCAAAATAAACACACACATTCCAAAAGATCTGCTTTTCTTTCTAGCGTCTTCATCTCTTGTCTATGTCCATGTCTCAGTTCCCTCCGTCGTCTCCCTTGAGGGACGAACCGGAGTTTGTTCACGATCCTTTCAAAAGCAAGCCAACCTCCCATTTGCCGCCCGCCCCCAAAGACGACTCCCGGGGCAGAGCCTTCAACTACCCAACTCCCCATCCCTCGTCGTCGGCCGGCCGCTCCTCGTCGCCTCACCACTCATACCTCGATGATTACCAGCATCAGTTGCTCGAACCCAAAAAAGTGGCATTTGAAATCAACCGGCCGGTGATGGAAACCGGCCACAGCGGCGTGACCATCACCAAGGTGCCCCTCACCCACCCGGTGGTGGTGGTAGGTCGCTCATCCAAAGCCAGTGACATTGCCATCAAAACCACCGACCGAACCGTGTCGAGAAAACACTTGCGGATTTCCCACACCGAAGACGAAATCACCATCGAGTGCTTAGGCTGCAACGGCTACGGGGTCACCATTCCCAAGGCGTGCTACGTCCATAAGATTGGCCCCCGCAAGTACCAGTTGGCAGTAATTGATGCTCCACTCTGCGCACAGAACTTACACCAGTTCAAGTCGTCCAAAACCATACGGTTGGGCCTCACGTCCACCGAGTTCGTGGTGCAAGCGGGCGAGACCATCCGGCTCCCTCGTGTGGCTAACGTGCTCTTGGAGGTCAAGCGCAATGTGGTGTTGGTTAACCCCAGTGTCGATAGCGAGGACACCGACGATGAGTTGCCGGTGGTAACTCCTCTCAAACAAGTCGAAGAGATGGAGCGGCCGCAGACCCCCAAGAAGACGGCGTTCCTCGTGACGTCGGAAGAGTCCACGCCCATCAAGAAGTTCAACAAAGCTTTGTCGTCAGTGCCTCTTCCTTTGCAGGACAAAACCAATACTCACCATAACCACAACAAGAAATTCAAACGGGCCCGGTCAGAGGAACCCAGGTCGCTGGCGCACGACGACGAAGAGGAGCCACCGCTTGAGCTGATCCAACACTGGCAGGAAGTCAGTAACATTTTGGTGAACCATTTGGCATTTTCGCGGTTGTCTTCAACCCCGATGCTGGTGTTGAGGGGTGTAAGCGATAAGGTCAACGACTTAACCAATGGACAGTTGAAGGTGGTGTTGATGAGTATTGACTCGGTGGGGGTGATTCAAAGGGAAGGGAAGGATGCGGCTGGAAAGCCGTTGGATGAGGAGTACTACTATATTCCTGAAAAGGACCCAGACACCTCGAGAAAAGAGTTGGTTGGGTCGATCCGGGGCCATGGCGGTATTAGGTCGTGTAGAACCACCCATAAGCAGTATTACTGGAAGAAGCCTGCTCCCATCAAGAACAAGACCACCAAGAATTTAGAAAAGTAAGTATATAGTGTCTGTAGTCATTAAGACTTCCACATTAAACACTAGAACTCTATTCACCTCAACTCGTTGAATGGGAGCCCGTAACTCAATTTCTGCTTGGCCGTCAACGGCTTCGGGTCTCCTATCCTCACGTTTCTCTTCCGCAAAACAAGCAACCCGATTCCCGCTACCAACTGCACCACCCACACCGCGAGCACCCCCACCATGAACATCAACTCCACAAACAACGTGCTTTGAAACAACGCTATGGTCTGAGAACTGTACCTGTTGAAATCAGCACTCACAGACGGCTTCAGGGAGTTCACTAGTTTAGTCAAATCACTCGAAATGTCATCGGGCAAACTGGGAACACTAATATAGAGGTTATTTTGCACCCACTCAAACCCTTCCCTTATGGTCTCCAATTTCCTTGTGATAAAACAATATACAACTGAGGACATGGGCCCACTTAGGGGGGTGTCTTGAAACGGCTCAATCAATGAGCTGTTGAGACCCTGCACAAATGTGTCGATTGAGGCCATGATTAGGGCAGAAGTGTTTTTAAACGACCCAAAAAGCTCATCATTCAATTCAGCCTCCTGTAACTGAATGAAGTAGTTGGTGTTATTGACGAATAGCTCGATATTCGTCAGCATTGAGGTGCTGGCTTGGTTCAAAATGGTTTCTGATGGGAACCTCCCCAAGTGCGACGAGAATTGACGAAATAGCACATACTCCAACAAAATGGTGAACAAGCCTGCAACGGCCAACCCAACCAAGAAGATGGAGTATGAAGACGTACAATAGCTCACGAGCCAAATGCCTTTGGTGTTCATACGAACTCCCAACTTCTCTAGCAGGTAGAGCACGTTATTGGTGTAGATGTTGAAGATGTTGAGGAAACGAAACTCGTCAGCTTCAAGTGGAGTCTCACGATACCTCAAACCAATGTCGTTGATGGCCAAATACATTTTGTACTTCTTCTTCCAGTTGGAGTATTCTTTGTACGCGAGTGGTACCATAACCCCTACACTCGCAATCACCAATACAATGAGAACAACGCTAAAGCTATGATCAAGAACAGACTCCAATTCGTCCACAAACTCTGCCACCACCCGTGAGTTGATCGTGGCGGACTCCTGAGAACCAATAGTCTGATTGAGGTTGTGGGATGAAATTAACAGAAACAGTACCGAAACATTTAGCCTGTCTACCAAATTGGTGAGAGGTTCAGTCAACGAGTCCAACGCCTCATCTTCAAGGTCGTCAAAGTCGGGGACCATGGTTTTTAACTTGTTGATGTCGTCAAACACCGTCAGTGGAATGGTGATGTTGTTGAGTGAACTCACAGCCGCGTCCATTTTGGTGATAAAGTCTGTCGCATTAACAGCATTGGAACCAGTGAAGAAATTAGACACCAGATTCAAACCCAGCGACACATCTTCAACTAGCTCACTGAGGCCGTTGATTGCTGACTGAATTATGGTGGTGGATGCCTTCACAATGCTGTTAATCATGGAGAGTACCTCCTCCGCTACGTTGGCTGCAAAATCAGCAAACCCTTGTACCAACTCGGAAATCAAGCAGATTAAAGTCCCCAAAAACAACGTCACCACAAACTTGAGCACCTCTGTAAGGCCTTTCAAGAACAAAAGAATAAGATATAACGACAGGGACTTAATGCTGTTAATACTGCTCATAACAAAACTATTGACGATAGCAGCGTATTGTTCAGGAACCGCTTGCATTTTCTTGCTGGCACTGTTATACTCATCAACGGCTTCCGTCAGGTATTGGGAAAGGGTCTTGAGAGCCTCGGAAAGTGTTTGTTTAAATAGGTACACCTTGATTAGTACCACCACTAAGATGACGGAGTAGCGATTACACCACACCTGGGCTAGTCTGTCTTTGAAATCAAGGTAGTTGGGAGCTTCCATAATCATATATACTTTGGGGAAATATAGGTGGTTTGGTGCATTTTTGGTGTGGGATCATTGTTATAGTGTATTGGCAGATGTGGGACATTTCTGAAACACTGCCGATCTGTTTCAGATTTCGAGGGGAGAACCAGGTTTTCTTGAGCGAACCCCCAAAAGATTTTTTTGGTAATGAATATGGTAGTGTGAGTACCTGCGACAGCTTTCTTGTGTTAGTTTGAGTTTCCTTGCCATATAGTTGGGTTCTTCTGCACTTGCAGCCGGCGGTAGCGATCCGCATGGTAGGCGCACGCTGTTGGCTCTGCCAGTGGCCGCGCACATCCAATTCACAGCAGCATACACATCACAACAACAACAACAATGTCTGAACAAAGTCCAAAGGAGGAAAAGGGAGATACCCATATCAACTTGAAGGTAAGTGACGGATCAGCCGAGATCTTTTTCAAGATCAAGCGTTCCACGCCCATGAGACGATTGATGGAAGCGTTTTGTAAAAGACAAGGAAAAGCCATGGACACCTTGAGATTTTTGGTGGATGGTACTAGAGTTGGGCCTGATAATACGCCAGATGACTTGGACTTGGAGGACGGAGACTTGATTGAGGCTCATAGAGAGCAGGTTGGTGGATGTGCTTAGGGCCGGTTTGGTGGACCGCTGATACGTGTATAATAAGTAGTTCAATGAAGGTCACACTCCAAAGTGTAGAGGCGAGGAAGAGGAAGAGGAAAAGGGAAGGGGAAAAGAGAGGGCGACAGATATGATGCATGATGCATGATGCATGAGACATGAGAGCTGAGACACATGAGAGCCGACAGAGATGGCAGTTGTCAGTTTTGGGAGCTGTCAGACATGAAAGCTATAAGACATAAATGGTGGAAAGTGGTAATTAGCAGGGCTGGCGGTAGCTGTCTGGTAGGATGGAGCCTAGGGGGATCCAGCGGGGCGCCCATCTCCGTCCGTCACCCCTTTCCTTATCAGTTCGCCACCAGGAAGATGGTTAGCGCACGCGGTTGCGCTCGTCCGTCAGTATATAAGCATCGGGATTCGCCCTCCTGTCAAACATCTCTAATATGTGTAAAGCAGCCATTTGTAGTATTTGCCACAACAAGTCTTGGATTGGATGTGGATTACACATTCCCGGCGTCATGGATCATACGCCCAAAACTAGTTGGTGTACGTGTGATCACTCTGATGAGTCTTCCGACTTGTCGTACCCTCCTAAAGCCGGCACTGGGTTTGCCAAAAAAACCACCATCGATTAGGCCCATACTGGTATGTATAGAGCATCAGCCAATGTCGCTGACTCGTGCCAATTGTGTAGAATGAATCAATGTTTGTATCGAATAAACGTCTCACCTCGCACAACCCCTCCTCGGTTGTTCGCACCATTCGTCCACCGCGATTCGCTCAAGTGCAGTCATGCGTTCGCCCACCGAAGGGTTTTCTCGCTTTGCGTTTACCCCATATTTTCGGGCCTCACTTCTCACAAGCACTTTTTCTTCTTTAATCCATTCGCCTCCTGTGACAAGTCAACACCTGTTCTTGCCAAATCAATAACTTTCTCGGTCATATCTGTATCCCATTGTCCAACTACAGACGACTTAACCTTCTCCCCAACCCATCGACCTTTCTGAATTTAGTGGCCTATTTGCTCATTTCTCGCTTAGCTTACAGGGTTCTATTTGTCCTTGCTCAGAAAATTTTTTTGTGCTTCGCGAGTTCAAATCGTTGCACCTCCACCTGTTACTCGTTGTAAACTATCAAGGTTCCCGGTAACTTTTCCTCGAATACGTCTCTTTAGATAGCTGGATTATCTACCGCCAGTGTCCTCCATCCCTGGTACCAATTTGCTCTGTTGTTTGGCTGTGAGTATTTTTTTTTTCTGCACACGTATTAGAAATATTGATCAAAGATGGACTTTTCGTATCCAGACTTCTTGGGCAACTCCCAACGGTCCACCGGCCACCATCAGAACAGCCAGAACCTCGGTGATGTTGATAAGTTCAATTTGCCCCCCAATTCCAACCCCCACATCCCGTTACAACTGCCTCCTCCATCTGGGGGAGCCTTCAACGACATTTTGTTCAACAAGCTCTCGAGCTTAGATGCCTCGCAGCAGTCGTCCGCTGGCGACGGGTCCGGCTCACCGCGGTCCAAGGCCCTCAACGACAACGTCCAGTTGCCGTTGACGTCGCCGTTGCTCAATCCGTTTTCTCCTCAAGTGGGCCCATTTTCCAACAACTTCAACCCGTTCAACAACAGGCTTGATAGCTTCAACTTGCCGTCCGAGTTGCAGGGCGGCGTGGGGAATATCAGCTCGCGAAGGCCCAGTTATGCGGCCGAGTCTTTCACCCGACAGATGGACTATCCGTTCTTGAACCAAAATCACAATCAGCCGCTCCAGCCCCAGTCGCAAGGCGCCGGTAAAAATATCAACTTGGCCCAGTATGCCAGTATGAATAACTACTCGGTCAACCAATTGTCAGACAGCTTTAACAACTTCAACTTGAATGCCAACTTCAACGATTTCCAGAGTAGACGTCCTAGTCAGTTGGTAGACTTTGACACAAATCTCACCACCAACTCCTTGAACCAGTACCCGGACCACTCGTTGGAGCTGGATCACGTGGCGCAGCTGGATCTGGTCAACAACAATAGCCCCGTGGTGAAGTTGGAAAATGGGTTGGTTTTGAAAGACCGGTATATCGTAGCGTCGGCCGACTTGCGGAACTTGTTTGCCAAAACCACAAAATACTTTCAGAATGTAGAGTTGAGCTTGGAAATCTTGCAGAAGGTGAAGATCTTGATGAACAACCCCAAAATTGTCAAGTTGATTATGTTCATCAAGAACTTGAACAACTTGACGTTTAACCATAAAGTGTTGTGCTTGGTGTTGAATAAAAACGGCAAGTTCGACTTGTTGTCGTACCACAACAACTCCAATCTCTTGTTACAAAAGGGAGATTTGGTGATTGTGGATGGTGATAGAGGTAAGGACTTGGTGATGATTTTGGATCCGTTGATCGACTTGAACTTTGCTATATTTTTCAATTTTTTGAAGAAGATCGAGCATCTCAAGTCCTTAAGTGTTGCCGATGATGACAGAAGAAACCAATCGCGGAACAACGACCACTTGAAGAAATTTGGGGGTACTCACTCTATGGAATTGAACGCTTCTTATATTGTCAATGATCATTCCAATGAAGACAACGAATTTATCATCACCTTACCTACAAAGCAGGTGTTGCGATTTGCAACTGCCCGAGAAATCCACAAAATCAGTGGCAAGTTCTTGGAAGAGAAGAAGGCTTTTATCACCTGCTACAACAAAATAAAGGAATTGAACTTACAAAACGACTTACAATTGATAAACGTCGAGTACCAATCAGATTTCAAGAAATTGATTTTTTACTACTACGCCAATTTCAAGCGCATTGACTTTAGAGGGTTGATCAAAGAGCTCTTCAAAATCTACAAAACCAGAATCTGGTTATGTGCGGTTCTTCCGTATGATAACCCCGATAGCTTGCGAGAAAAACCAAACTTCAAGCTTCCTCCTTTAAAGAACTCAATCCCAATCGAGTATAATTTGTCTAACGACCAAATTTTGAATTTCTCTGTCAACGAGCTTGACCACTTGAACACCCCCAACTACTTCCACCTGAGAAACTTGAATAATTTGGTGGACTACTTATCGGAACAAGTGAAGGGCAGTTTCTATGGATTCGATGACGTTAGTACTGGTACTAAAGTCAAGGCCAAATCCTCCAATAAAAATAATGACTTAAATGACCATAATTTGACCCCAAAATTTAACCCGTTCTAACATAGACCTTTAGACTATAGATGTATTTTAATGTTGTTGCCATTGCTTAAATTTAATAAATATTTGTTAAGTAATCTATCTACTAATTAAGATCAAGGAGCTTATCAAACTCGTTTTCATTGATTATCGTGTGGTCGTTACTGTCATTCAGGTTCATGTTCGAACCATTGTCAATGTAAGGGCTGGTTTCGTCTTCGTCGTTCATGCTGTTCAAGACGTTGTTACGTATCTCACTTACAAACGACCAGAGACTCGACGAAACCACTTGCATCATATCTTCTGGTCCTTTTGGCTTAGTCTCATCTCCCTCAATGTACCCATCGAGGTTCACAGGATCATTTCTCCCTGACCTCGACTGTAGAGGCGAAGGCACCGAGCTGACACTGGACGTAGAATCTTCGGATAGCCTAGTCTTATGCCTTCGTACTGGGTGGGTTTGTTGATTTGGTGGAGGAGATGTGAGAGACTTTTCAAACTCGTTTTGCAACATCGTATCTAGCTGCTGAATTAAAGATAGCGGTTTGGAAAGACTGCTCCACAAACCACCTTTGTCTTTACTGTAGTCTGGTTTATCTTGCAGAAGTGATAACTTCCCTCGGTGGCTTTTGGAGTTAGCTAAGGCTTCTTGGGTTGAATTACTATCGTTTCTGCGTCTTCCTTCGTGGTTCTGCGAGTTGGATAGCTCCATGTATAACAGTTTCTGGATTACTTCTCTGAGCTTACGGAGCTCATTTTCGTGATGCTGTAATTTGCTGTTGAGACTGGCAATACTGTCCTTGATCTCCACTATACTCATTTCTCTCAATGCCAAAAGCCGCAATTGACCCTCAATGTCTAAGTCCAGGACCTCGGCCATTGATGGCAATGGAATATCGTATTTGAGCTCCAGGATCGGGCCTCCGTGGACAGACGGACTGGTGGAATCAGATCTGGAAACAGGATCTTCAGGCACCTGAGACAAGTGTGAAACGGTACCGGGACTGGAAGTGGATCCAAACACAGCGGGGTTGTTGTTAGGGTTTGGGCTGATGCTGGCGGGTGACACCGCCAAGTTCAAGCCGATTCCTTTTGATCTGACGGAGTTGGATCTGCTTTTGGGGTTCTTTCTCGATAAGTTGATTGTTTTTGCAGAGGGAAACACCGGCGTCGAGGCGGTTTGGAGACCCACATCCGACTGCAGACGTGCACCGGGTGTCATGTGCTGGTGTTTTGTGGGGGAAGGGGTGGTGACAGGCACATTCAAACTGGGGTTCAGATGGCTCATGTTGATGTACTTGTCCTCAATCAAATCGCGCGACACGCTAGAACAAATAATTAATTTGAAACCAAATGTTAAAGAAAATAGATGATACTGGGTCTATCAATAAGTGGATTAAGTGGGTGGTACTTCTCTTGGTACTCCGGAGAAACAGGGCCGCGCAGTGGGCGGGGTTTCTTCTGTTGAATCCTGTGATCAAAAAAGTGGTCACCAAGGCTCTCACCAAGAGCAAACAACTGGACTCACATACTGAACCTTCCATCAACAGAGTGGTGGTATCACAGTTGTCCAACTTGATCAGCTCGGGACTCTTGTTTCTGGCGATCTTGGACAACCCCAAAATCCCCAGTGATTATGGAGTGGTATATGTGTTTTCCAACTATATAGGGGAACTTAACCCCCCATCTCACTCCCAGATCTTGGTGACCCCCAAGTCATCTCGGTACTTCAAGATCAGCTACTACAATTCTCCACGCTTGAGACAATTGTACAACCACAAGCAGTTTTTGATCTTCCCCTTGATATTTGGACAGATTTTGTCAAACTACTTGACTCCCACCAGGTACAAGTTGAACCAACGGTACTTGTCATCCTCGATCAAGTCCCGGATATTGAACCCTATCTGGATCAACTATTCTTTGGGTGTCAACTACCACTCGTTGAAGTGGTTGGGGTTGTTGAAGAGTTACTTTATTCATAACTTGGTATTCCTCTTGCTATTCGGAGTGCTCACCTTTAAAAAGCGGGTGGTAGACCATTACTACGAGTTCAAACACAATGTCTACAATGCCAACTCGCTCAAAGATTTGAAGCTGGTGGTGCTCAACTATGTTTCGTACATCTTTCACCGGGCCAACTCCATCACCAATTTTATCTACTTACCCAACTTAATATCCATCTTGCTCATTTCTTTGACGGCTCCTGTGATGAGGTATATTCATGGCTCAAGACACCGCAAGTTGTTTTTTAAGAGCTATATCAAGGTCATCGGCTTCATTGCCGGTTTTGTGACGTTGTTTGCCAACTCAATGGATTTAATCCCTGCTTTCAAATACGCTCTCACCGACTATGACGATACTACCGACTCTGATAATATCAGGAGAATCTCGGACGGGTTCTTCAACGGCTTGAGCTTATACTTGTTGCGGTTGATTGTGTTGCAGAAGTGGCGGATTTTGAAGGAAAACCACCCACTTTTCCAGACTTTCAAAGTCAAAACCTGGGCCAGGTTGGAAAGTTTGGTGTTGTGTGTGGGGATCTTCAAGTTGATGAATTTGAATGATTTTTTGAAGAACACTAACGGCAAAGATTATGGCACCAAGCAAAACTCAATGATAAAGCTAATTGACCGGATAATGTGATAGTCAGCGTATTTTTATTCGTACTATACAGGGAGAAAATATAATGGTATCTAATAACCACCAGCACCTGGGACCGTTTCCTTACCTTTCAACTTTTTCAACAAACCCTTGAATCTGGACTTGTCTCTTTGTCCATCTCCAGGAACTTCTCCAACTTCTCCTACAATATCGTTGACTCTATCCCATAAAGTACCTTTGGTTAAGAAGGAATCTCTCTTTTCCAAAAACTCCTCTTGTTCTTTTGACAATTCCTTTGCATGTTGCTCCTTTTTGGTGTTGTAGTTGTCGTAGAAATCATCAATGGTTTGTTGAGCCTTAGAGACGGTCTCTTCCTTCTTCTTGCGGTTGGCGTTTTCTCTTTGCTCGATTTCCAAATCACGACGTTCTTTCCATGCTTGTAAGCGTTTTGACTCTCCTTCGAATTTCGAACTTGATACCAGTGTGAATTCTTCATCGGCAGCGGCCACCGGTTGGGTGTATGTTTGGGGCTGCTCATCACCATCCACCTCGGGGAATTGTTCTTTAAAGTCGTTGATTTCATCGTCACTAGCCCCTAAAATGTCATTGTCCTGGTCAGTCTTGAATTCGTCGCCCACCAACTCTTTTTCCCGACTCAAGAAATCGGAGTCCGCGACGTCATCGGTGCTGGGCAAATTGTCTTCTATCGAGTCTAAAGCTGGGAACTGGTCGGCCATGGTGTTACTATTGATTGTCACCTGGGTTGATGATTCAGTGGTAAAGGAGTTGTTGTCTTGATTCGTTTTTCAGTGAGACACTGGCGGTGCGAATGGGTGCTGGTCGTGTGTGTGCCGATTTCCCCTAACTAAGCTATATGGGAATACTAATCGAGTATAAACGGATGGAAGTATCGGCACTTCCAGATGCCAAAAGAAGCTTGCCATCATGAAGAACTTTGCTGAAGCTCAATTTCGATACTTTATCGGCGGGAGCTATTTTCTGTGGAATTTGGGCCCAAGTTTGGAGCTTCTTCTCCGACTTGCCAAATTCAATATAGTATAAGTGGATTTCACCTGACTCTAACCCGATTGCAACCACCGCCTTGTTGTCTATGGCTTCTGGGTGCACTGATACAGAAGTAATGACACCTGAGGCCTTCAACGAGTCGACCAAACTCACTTTTTTTTCGGAACTTTCGTCCACATACCAGAATTTGAGCAGCTTATCACGGCCGACAGTTATGAAATAGCTGCCCAACTGCTTGGGAAGCCAGCTGCTGTCCCAGATGATTCTGGTGTGGGCTTTAGGGTTAGTTTCAACCATCTCAAACTGGCCGGTATTCTCATCCACCACTCTCCATAATATGAATTGCCGATCACGAGATACTGACAAGAGATAAGAGCCATCGGGGGAGAACTGGATGTTGGTGATAGTTAAAGAGTGGCCCGGTAACGTTTGCTCACATTGCTGGAAGTCGTTGTTGATGTTGAACATTCTCAACATCCCATGCTTAAGCGAGTTACTTTTGCACGAAGATGCAATTAACTTCCCATTAGGAGACGTGACACAGCAGGACACCTCATACCCATGTCCGTACAACTTTTCTACTTCCGGGAATAAGGTAAACCGTTGTAAATAATCTTCCAATGGAGGTCCAGTCAAATCGTCCAAAATGTCGTCCTTTTTAACGTCACCAGCTTCTTCAGAGTCCTGTTGTTCGGATGCTTCACCAACTTCCAACTGCTCGTTGGCAGCTTTGTTCGAAAGTCCAAGAACTGGTAAAGCAGCAGTGTCGGGCAATTCTTCGTGGGTTCCAATGTCAATCCCACAAAATTGCTTAAGCAACCGGTTGATCGAGTGGGTCATCTCAAACACCCTCAAGATCTTCTCGTCACCGGCAGAAACAAACTTGGTGGGCGAGATGTTATCGATACATACCATGTCATAGCCATGAATCTGAGGCCGGGCGAATTCGAGCCATGTAGAACCGTCCTCAAGTTTCCATGGAGCCAATAACCGGGTGGTCTGGTCCAACGAGGTGGCCATGAAATACTGGCCATTCAACGACCACACGAGGTCGGTGACCTCTTTGGTAGGACCGGTTATACTCAACTCAGACTCCCAATTGTTATTGTCTCCGTCCTCATTCTTGTAGGCTCTGAGAGAACCAGTTTTCCCGTTGGTCAAGATGTACTGGGCACCGTTGTTAACAAACCACGTACAAGACCAGAAGCCACCAGAGGCTCCTGTAGCCGTGGAAGCTCCCTTGATGGATAGTTCCCCAAGCCTACTTATACAGATCCAAATTCCCGAGTCGTGGTCCATTTCCCACACCATCAACGCGGTATCAGCACTAGAAGACAACAACTGGAGTTTTTTGTTGGACTCTTGGTATTTGGGGGCCGAGAGGTCGTACAGGGGGTGCCAGGACAACCCGGTGACCCAGTCATCATGGCCCATGATCAATGCTTCAAAGCTTATGGCACATTTGGTGTGTTCGACTGCGAATTTGTACTGCTTGTTGCTCAACAAGATCAATTTCGTCGAGTCCTCGTCGGAATTGTCTATCTTCTCGTTGACTCTCAACCGCCACAACCGAATATACCGATCTTGTGACCCACTGGCCAACAAAAACTCATCCTCACTCTCTTGGGTGAAAGCCAAACACTTGATCCAGTCCTCGTGTCCGGTCAAAATGGCCGACTGCACCAAGTTATCTATCACTTTGTTGTGAAAGGTGAAGGTGTATACGTACAAGTGGGCGGTTGTGCCTCCGATGGCCAAAATATACTGGTTTTGTTTGACTTCCAATAAAGATAAAGTGAGCGGGTAGAACCCCAGTTTGACTTCAAAGTGAGTGATTTGATCCCAACTTCCAGACGAGTCGAGTCCCCAGAGAATCACGTGCCCGTCTGAACCACCTGTAGCGAATATTTTTTCGTTTAATACCGTAATACATGTTACTGATCCCGTATGTTCTGTCATAGTTTGCAGCAATTCGTAATGGTTGCTATTGTCTCTCCTCTGCCAAATACTGACTTTGCAGTCCTCTGCGCATGACACCAAAAAGGGAGAATTGGGGACAAACCGTACACACGTGACTTCGGCTGTATGGTTCTTAAGGGTGCAGAATACACCTTTATGGTGGTTTTGGGTTGGTTTCCATAATGCGATGGTTTTTCCGGCACCGTACGCCACCAAGTCGTGGGAATAGTCGTAATCCACGACAAAACTCTGCTTGTTTGCGCCCACAAACACGGCGTCCTGTTCGGCGGCAAATGGGACCTGTTCCATGGTGTTTCTGTGGTGATGGAGATGCCTTTTGGTTTTTCAAAAAAAATGAGATGCGAACATTAAAATCAGTTTGAACTCAATGGTGTCAGCGTATGTAGAAATAGTGTGATGACCTTTTATATGGAATAACTACTAACATCAGCAGGGTTATATTGAACCTGGGTGCCAACCCCGAATCCATTACCCAGTTTCACGATGAGCTTGCCAATGAATTGCCCGAGTTAAGGGGTAATTGGGGGTTCAGCTTCAAGATCTTCAGAAACAATCCATATTCAATTCCGTCCGGCCAGCCCGATTCTGAGGAGGTTTCCAAAGAGACACGCTTCCTTCACACATTATCTCCATCGTACATGAACGATTTATGTATATGTTTGATCAATCGGCGGTCTGTCAGTGTGTTCACCAACATGATTGATGAAGAGATCGGAGATTTGAAATTTGACACGCAGATCATGACGATTCCAAATGGCCATTTGCACAAAGGAGCTGCCACGGGGCTCAGCGATGTGTTCGACAAGTTTGCTGCCCAAAAATTGCAGAGTCTATGGACGTTGAAACAGAACGTAAGAGGTGATGGAGGCCTGATATACCAGCTAGAGAATGGTAACTTGACCATCAAGACGTCCAATGTCTTCCTACATGGAATTTTTAAAGGCTTACTAGTGGAGGTGAACGTAGATGATCACATAGTAGAAAGCACCAGTTCCGAGTACTTGGTAGAGTTATTTGACCGAATAATTATTGATTACAAGATCCCCAAGGGGAAAATGTGTTTCGAATTAATGGACTCAGAGAACCCTGATGAGTTGGGTGACTTGTGTTTCCAGTACTCAGAGATCTTGAATTTCTAGAAACATAAAAGTTAAATGTACATTATCTATGAGCTGTGTTAGCTTCTTCAGCGATTGCAAAAAAATTGAAAGATTGGTAAAATTCACATAAACAAAAAGAATTTGCAAATGATAGATATTTAGTGAACTTATTCAAAATTCCCAAAAAATCGGCACTAAAATAAACACACCCCACCAACTACAATGAGCACCTGTACTCTCTCATGGGCAGTTGGCAGCTGTCCCTATCCCATTTTTACCACCAGATACGAATGGTCGTGCACCACCGAGTCTCGCGAGATGGCATCGCATCTCAACAAAAACTCTTTTGTACCAGATCCTACTATCAAGCATGGTGAAAAAGGCCAAAGGAAAGTTCAGCAAAGAAGCCAGAATCTCCCAGAGGAAGCGAGAGGCCGAAGAATTGGTCAAATTACACCAAGAGGTAGCCGAGTACGACCCGGCTTCCAAGGATGCGGAAGTAGCTCAGTTTAGCCATCTTCCTATCTCTCAAAACACTTTAAAAGGATTGACAGATTCCAGTTTCATGAAATTGACAGACATCCAAAAACGCTCGATTCCCTACGCCTTAAAGGGTGAAGATATCATGGCCACCGCCAAAACTGGCTCTGGAAAGACGTTAGCATTTTTAATTCCCACGATGGAAATATTGTTGAGAAACAATATCACTGAATTCGATGGGTTGGCCGCCTTGATCTTGTCTCCAACGAGAGAATTGGCCGTCCAAATCTTTGAGGTATTGAAGAAAATCGGGGCCCACAATCAGTTTTCAGCTGGGTTGGTCACAGGAGGAAAAGATGTGAAATATGAGAAGGACAGAGTCTCAAGGATGAATATCTTGGTAGGAACTCCAGGAAGAGTCGCCCAGCATTTAAACGAGTCGGTGGGAATGGAAACCTCTAACTTGCAAGTATTGGTGTTGGATGAAGCCGATCGGTGTTTGGACATGGGATTCAAGTCTCAAATCGATAATATAGTTGGCCATTTGCCCAAGACCAGACAAACCCTACTTTTTTCTGCCACCACCACTGACAGTGTCAAAGACTTGGCAAGATTATCGTTGACAAACCCCAGGAGAATCGGCGTGTCTTCCGACAGTGACATTTCAGCTACTCCTGATTCATTGGATCAGTATTATATCAAGATTCCATTGGAAGAGAAATTGGATGTGTTGTGGTCTTTCATCAAATCCCACTTGAACAGCAAAATCTTGGTGTTTTTCTCATCTTCTAAACAAGTGCAGTTCACTTATGAAACGTTCCGGAAATTGCAGCCTGGGATTTCATTGCTAAAGCTATACGGTCGTCATAAGCAAACCGCACGGTTGGAAACCACCACCAAATTTTCCCAGGCACAACACGCTTGTCTTTTTGCAACTGATATCGTGGCCAGAGGCTTGGACTTTCCTGCCATTGACTGGGTGGTGCAAATTGACTGCCCAGAAGACGCTGCCACTTATGTCCACAGAGTTGGAAGAGCTGCTCGTTTTGGCCGAGAAGGTAAGTCCCTATTGATGTTATTGCCATCGGAAGAAGAAGGGTTCCTCAAGAGATTGGAAAACATGAAAATTGATATCAAGATGATGAACATCAAGCAGAAAAGCAAAAAAACCATCAGACCTCAACTTCAATCTTTATGTTTCCAAGACCCAACCATAAAGAACTTGGGGCAAAGAGCATTTATTTCCTATTACAGGTCCGTTTACATCCAGAAAGACAAAGATGTGTTCAAGGTAGAAGAACTACCTACGGAAACATATGCTGCGTCGTTGGGATTACCTGGGGCCCCCAAGATAAAAATAAAGGGAGGGGCCTCGTCCAAAGAAAAGAAGAATGAGTCCAGAAAGTTGCAGATGCTCGCTAAGACCGACGAAAATGGTGACGAGAAAGAAGGTAACAAGAAGGTCAGAACCAGGTACGACCGGATGTTTGAAAGAAAGAACCAGACGGTCTTATCTGATCATTACTTGAACATGACAGGATCCAAGAAAACCAAAGATTCTGACGAAGAGGATTCTGATGAAGAAGAGGAATTTATGGTGGTTAAACGTAAAGATCATCACTTATACGAAGAGGATTTACCCGATGCCAGCATCCCCGTATCAAAGAGACAGGCGAAAAAAGCCCTTTCCAAGAAATTGAGCGTAGCGACCAAAGGAAACCCCACGAAACTTGTATTTGATGATGACGGAAAGGCTCATCCAATCTATGAGTTAGAAGACGAAGAAGACTTCAAGAAGGCTGGTGATGCCAATGTGCAAAAGGAACAGTTTGTTACCAAGGAAAGTGAGTACATGGGTGTTGCTGATGTCCAGGATAAGTTAACAGCCCGAGAAAAGAGAGATGAAAAGAAAAGACGGAGAAAGGAAATCGAAAGAAGAGCCAGGGAAGAAGGATACGAGGATAGTGATGATGAAGGTGAAGCGGTCTACCGTCTCGGAGACCCCGATCTTGACCAAGATATGGAATATTCTGAAGCTGAAGCTGAAGAGCCTCAAGCCAAAAAGCCTAAATGGTTCCAAACTAACGATAAGCGTGATGAAACTGACAAATTTGTTGAAGTTGATCAACCAGACACTTTGGAAGATCTTGAAGCGTTGACTGCCAGATTAATAGGCAACTAGTTAATAGACAAAATACACGATGCATTTATTTGGATGGTTCTATGTAATTATACCTGTTATATGATAGGAGTGGCTATGAACTTGCCGTCTACTTCACCTAGCTTGTTTATGGTTCCTTGGTATTTGGGTTCGTCATTGTCATTATTTTGATCATTAATTTCTATTCCAGCATCGATATCCATGTCCTCCTCAGTTTTGATTCTGGGGGATTCAGGTGCTGGGGTTAAGTCCAATAGAACAAACTCCTGTAAGAAGGTCGAGGGAATTCCTGCCGTAACATCTAAGTTGATATCGTTACCTAAGTTTATGGTTATTCTGCCAGATTTGTGAATATTGAGATGGCCAATTTGTCCATTGAGTTTGGAGTTTTCTGCTTTGTCTTCCTTCAGCTTAGGTGAATATTCAGGTAAAAGTTTGGGTAATTGGAACAAGCTGAACTTATCATCATTGGATTCGAACAGTCTGCTCATCAATTGAGCAATGTGATCGTGATCTTCAGCCAACTTTTTCGCTTCCACTTGACTCAACATGTCAACTGGCTGAGATATCTTAGACTCCAAGTTGGCTTTAGTTTGAAGAACCCGCTGTAATTCTGTTTGCGCAGAGTATGCCACATCGTTTGTGCTCAAAGGCTCTTCCTTGACGGGACTAGGCTCTTTGGACACTCCGAGTGCAATGACTTCTGGAGGTTCCGAATCGTCTCTCACGGGCCTAACAGGGAATAATACTGTCTCTTCATCAGCAAACCTGTACTGCTTGGCCATATCGATCTTTGTCAAGCCGTCATCGCCCTCATCGTCAGACTCACTGGCAGAAACCCGAGCCAACTCGGCTGGTTGTTTCAATTTTAAGTTCAGTAAGAAATCAGGACTTGGAGAAGCTGAATTCACCACTTTTGTATCTTTGGCAAACCCACCAGACACGGCTCCAGAGGAAAGCAAACCGGAAGACAACACATGTGTGTTTGCGTATTGATTATGCCTGCCACCTCTTCCTCTGGCGGGTCTTTGGCCTCTTGGAGGTTTAGCTGATTTGAACTTGTCTCTGTCTGAGGTATCTTCCTGTTTCACCTGCACATGTTTTGCCCGTTCTTCTTTGGACTTCCGTTCCACTGCCTTGGGCTTGAATTTCAACGAAGGCTTGACAGCTCCCGGTTGCTTGGTGTTCAACGATTCTAATCGGTTGGACATGTTTAGGCTCCTTTTATGTTTTTCTCAATTGATGTGATGAGGTCCCGCGCACTTGGCTGGAAAAAATTATATCTTTGAGAAGAGCATCGCCAGAGGACAGTTATGGCCAAGAGAAATACAAGGAAGACTCAGCAGAGTTTACCGGAGGACAATGAGATAGACGCCTTCCACAACAACAAGGAGAAGGTTTTGTTTGAGCAGGCGGGAGAATACGGTCCCAATAGAAGTGAATCTGAGTCTGAAGATGAAGAAGAAGTGATGGGTGTTGAAGATGATCTCGATGAAGATTCAGAAGACGAGGAACAAGATAGTGCAATGGACGATGACGAGGACAAAGAACAGGAAGAAGAAGAGGGATGGGGAGGAAGAAAGAACTATTATGGAGGTGATGAAGTAGAAGATCCAGTTGATGCCAAACATATGACTGAGGAAGCTATAAGGCAACAGAAAAACAATTTGAAAGAGTTGGGAATCGACGATTACTTGGACGAGGACTTGATGGAGGACTGGACCAAACAGGCGGAGGAATTCGACAGTAAAACCACCCTGAAGTCGCTGATGGTTATAAACGATGAGACTACTGATTTGGAGAAGTTGGATGCTTCAGAAAAAATGGAGTTATTGACAGAGTCTTTCCCTGAATTTGTTCCATTATTAAAGGAGTTGAACACGCTTAAACCATTATTGTCCAAGTTTAAAGCTTCGAGTGGCTTGCACCAGGTCAAAAAAGTAGCATTATCAGCATACCTTGGAGCCATCTCATCATATTTTTCACTCTTTGTGGACCATCTCCAAAGCGGCGAACCATTTGCCAGTATGAAAGAGCATCCTGTGATGGAGACGATTCTCACCACCCGACAAATATGGAAAGAAGCCGATAAGGTGAAGAACGTCAAAGAGCATGAAGACTCTGAAGACTCTGAAGACGAGTTCATGGATGCGAATGAACCAGAAGAAGTCGAGCAAGAGCAAGAGGAAGAAGAGGTTGGAACTAGCAGTGAAGAAGATGAAACCGATGAGTCTGAATCTTCGTCAGACGACTTAGACATCGATATCACCTCCAAACGTCATATCAAAGAAGTTGCAAATGGAAACGTGGGTGACTATATTGAGGCAGATACAATTGACGACGTGGACGCGGAAGATAAACAGAGACGGAAGAAGTCGTTGAGATTCTACACATCCAAGATTGACCAGTCGCAAGCCAAAAACCCCGAGAAGTTTACAGGAGATCTTGATTTACCATACAAAGAAAGGTTATTTGAGAGAAAACAAAGACTTCTTGAAGAGGCCAGAAAAAGAGGGTTGGGTCAGGCAGCGGGACAGGAGTTGGGAGATGACTTGGACGACCGTGACAATGACTCTGAAGATGACAGAACTGTTAATGACGTGAATGACGTGAATGACGTGAATGACTACTATAATTCCTTGAAACAAAACAAGCAGCACAAGAAAGAAGCACGGAAAGTGGCCCACGAGAGGGCTGTCAGCTTGGCCAGAGAAGGTAAGTTGGCCGAAGGTAAGGAATTGGTGGGAGAGGATGGGAAGAGAGCTCTTAATTTCCAGATCTTGAAGAACAAGGGTTTAACCACCAAGAAGAGAAAGGAAATCAGAAACTCCAGAGTCAAGAAGAGAATGAAATATGACCAGGCCAAGAAGAAACTCAAGTCTGTTAGACAAGTATATGATGGGGAAAAGAAAGGTCCATATGAAGGTGAAAAGACTGGTATTAAAAAGGGTATTTCCCGGTCTGTCAAATTGGCATAGATTAGCTAGTGAAAAGTTTGTTTCGCTTTCGCGCTTTTTGGATATGTACATAATATAAAACATAGAGACGGTGATGACATCTAAGGACAATGATGGACTGGAGCGCAAAAGTTCTCGGGTAAGCACCGACGATCTCTATCGGCGGTCGACCCAGTTCAAACTATGGTCTTTCACCAAAGACGAGTTAGAGACTATCAGAAAATCATCAAATGAAAAGGGCAAAACCTATGCCAATGCCAAGTTCGATAAGGTATATGAACGGATCAAGGCCGAACAGACAGACATTTTCAGCAAATATGGCGGTGCAGAGCTCAGCAAGAATGTGCTAGTGGATCTCATTACGTTGCAAGAAGAACGAAAGTACTTGAACTTCTACTCCAAGAATATCATCCAGGCTGCCAATTTCTTCCAAATGCCAACACAGGTAAAAGCTTCAGCTATGGCGTTTTTCAAGCGGTTCTACCTCTTCAACTCGGTGATGCAGTACCACCCCAAGTACGTGCTTTATACATGTTTGTTTTTGGCAGCCAAAAGTGAAAATTACTTCATTTCTATCAATTCATTCTGTGAACCATTACAAAAGACCGAGCCAAAGGACGTGCTCGACTTGGAGTTTATCGTCCTACAATCGCTAAAGTTCACGATAATGGTCCACCACCCGTTCAGACCATTGTATGGATTTTTCCTTGATTTTCAAGAGGTGCTTTTACAGCCTTCACCCGCTTCTTCTGATATAACGATTGACAAGATAGGCCAGCTTTATGACCAGGCCAAGAAATGGTTAAATGACCACGGCTTGATAAGTGATGTATCATTCTTCTATACACCGCCACAAATAGCATTGGCTGCCATGTACGACTCCAACCCCAGAATTACTGAGAAGTATCTCAGGCGAAAGTTCTTGAAGGATAAAGAACCGTTGAACACGATAAAAGAAGAGGAACCTGATGGTGTGGATGCCCAACAGAAGGATTCGCTACCACCAAAGGGAACAGAGGTATTCGATTTGTTGGTCAAGACGATTAGAAAATGTGTGGAGGATAGTAAGACTAGTCAAGAGTCTACTTTAGAAGAGAGCACCAAGATTGGAGAAAAGTGTTTTTTTGCCAATAATCCCGAAAAGTTGATAAACAAGAAGATCAAGAAACTCAAGAAGTTGGAAGCACAGGAACAAGAATCACCACAAGAGGCAAAGGTATAACTCTGTATATATGTACAAAATAATACACTATAAAAGGTATTTAAAACTCATCTACTGAATGCTATGTCATCTATACGCAAGATAGACTTGACACATTCGGCAGCTAAAGAGACAGCTGAGGTGTTAACCAAAACTGGTTGTAAGATATGATCGTTAAAAGTGTTAGTAGTACCAGATCTTCTGACAGAAATCCCAGCAAATCTTTCATTGTTTTCATGTTTGTTTTTCAAGTCAGTGATGACTTCGATTGGGTTCAAACCCGCATTTTCAGCTAATGTCACAGGAATAACTTCCAATGCCTCACTGAATTCCTTGTACACAAACTGTTCAACACCAGATAATTTATTACTCTCGTTCATCAAGATTCTCGACACCTCGATTTCAGGAGCTCCTCCACCAGCAATCAACCCTCTTTCTTTGACCAAACACCTGATGACACATAAGGCATCATGGATCGATCTCTCAGTTTCGTCCAAAATCAAAGGGTTGGCCCCTCTGACTATGATAGAAACAGTTGGTTTAAGCGACTTAGAACTTATACCAGTTATCTTAACGATCTTGGAACCACTGCTTTCCACTTCTTCAATCAAGTCAGCAGTACCCAACTTGTCCTCCGTGAAGCTATCTACATCCGCAATTGGTTTGCACCCAATAGACTTGGACATAAATTCTATTTCGTCTCTCTCGATATCCTTTATAACCATGATGTTCAACTTGGACAAAAAGTGCAAGGCCAAATCGTTAACAGCATCTCTCAAAATGGACTTTTGGATCAAAATGACGTTACACTTGGCCTTCTTGATCTTCTTACATATGTTCAACAAGTATGCTCTTTCTTCCTTTAAGATCTTATCCATCTGTCTGTAATCATTAACAACAATATTGTTTTCCATGTCGGGCTTTGGAGGACTTAACTGAAACTGAATTAACCCAATTCTGGCTTTTTCAACTCGAATGGGGCCTCCGGCATTCTTGATGACATTCTGTGTCATGACAATTCCATTCACTAATTCGGTTTCATCGATGGTTCCACCCAACTTCTTGACCAAGCGAATATCGTTCAAGTCGACGTTCGTTTTGGATTCGTCGGTGATCTGCAACACAGAGTCGACCGCCAATGGGGCCAATAAAGATGAATGTTGCGACACAATCTTGGAAGACAATGAAGTACTAGCAGCTTTGATCAAAGAATCCCGATCATTCAAATCTATCTTATGACTCATGTCCAACAATATCTCACAACTTCTTTGGGCAGCTCTTTGGAAGCTCTCTCCGATTAAGGTTGGATGGATTCCCTTATTTAATAATTTCTCAGCGGCGTTCAACAAGGAACCAGTCAAAATCGCCACTGAGGTGGTACCGTCTCCGGCTTCCACGTCTTGAGCAGCACTCACATCGACCAACATTCTGGCGGCCGGGTGCAAGATAGCCATGTGCTTTAAAATGGTGGCCCCGTCATTGGAAATGATGACTTCTCCTGTTTTAGTCTTGATCATCTTATCCATTCCTTTAGGACCCAAGGAGGTTCTGATGGCATCGGCCACAGCCTTGGCCGCGAGAATATTACTTCTACGGACTTCCTGAGGCTTTTCCTTGTCTTTGAACCGGGCGTTCGAAGGATTGCTGGCAACTTTAGACATTTTCTCCTTGTAAACGGTTGGTGGGAAGATGAAAAATTTATTTGTCAACGCTCACTAAACGCGCATCGATATTTGCAATTTGATTCGCATTTGCATTCATCAGCTTTAATATGACAAGGGACTACACTGTTTTTGAAGAAGTCAAGGCGACCAAAAAGGACATTCTTAACTGTAGATTTTCCAGCTGGTACCCCAAGTTGCAGGAACATTCGTTTGAAGCGGAGATTTTAGGTCCTTTACCATCTCAGTTTGTTGAGTACTTGGGGGCTGAAAGCATCAGATTACCACTCGAAGACAAGGTCGAACTTGATGTCACCAGCGATAACGAGTACAGTGACTGGGAGGATGAAGAAGACAGTGCAGAAGAGCTGGACCCAATACAAGGGTTTGTCGACCTCCACGAACAAGTGAATGAGGTGGTGAAGAAGTACCGGGCAGTTGCACCCAAGTTAAACTGGTCAGCGCCCAAAGACAGCTGCTGGATCATGCTCAACAAAACTATGAAGTGTCAAAGCGCGAGCGATGTGTACTTGATGTTAAATGCTTCAGACCACATTACTCATGATTTGGACTTTCCGTTCGAAGACACCCACGATGAAGAAAGTGATCCCGAGTTTGACTACGAGTTGGTGCTACGTAAGTGGAGAGACATTAACCCTGCATTGGAGTTCAGGGTGTTTGTGAGAAATGGCGAGGTGGTGGGCAAATCGCAACGGGACTTGAACTACTACGATTACTTGGAGAAGCTCATTGGAGATAATAAGCTTGATGACACAATCAACCTGTTTGTGAAGAAAACAGTTGTGCCGGTGATCGAGAATAGAAGCTTTATCGTGGATGTGTATGTTCCTAAGCCGTTTTCGAAGGTGTATGTGGTTGATATAAACCCGTTTACAAGAATTACTGACTCGATATTGTATACGTGGAGTGAGCTTTTGAACGACAAGGAGGATAAAACGAGACTTATAACTGAAACTAACATAGGCCGGTTCAAGACGAAAGCATACTCGGAGAACCAGGTGCCACTAGACGTGATACAAGCGAGCCTGGACCCTAATTCTTTGGCGCAGTTGGCTCGAGAATGGCAGATTAACGAGAAGAAGTAGGGAGGGTTGCCTGTTGGAATGTTAGAATTGAACACCAAAAGAAGAGATTGGTTTCTAAGAAATGGAATGTGAGTAATTTTCCGGTTTGGAAGGGAGGTTACTCAATTTGAAACAACCAAAGACGTTGGCAGAACAAAACGGAGTAAAATGTTGTATTTGTGGCAGGCGACTCTCACGGCAACTCAGACGGAAATCCATAAGGCTTCTCCTTTGGTCGTTGTTAGTGACTATTCATATCTTGTTGGGCGTATCGTCCAATGAGAGAGTCTTGTGTGAAAGCTGCTTAGTCGACAAAAGCTTAAATCGGATGTGACAAGATGAGAACTTCGCGTCTTGTCTGGAGTTTGTAATTGAATTAAAGGAATACACAAGGTGGAAGGGTAATTATCAAGTGGTTGCATTGCAGTTCGTTTTTCTTGGTTGTATTGTTTGTCCACATTGGTCCCACAAACTTGTCTTGTTGATTGTCTTAGTCACTTTCGTGTCTAAATGCTTTTGCCGAACTTTATGCTTATCATCAATGCACTTTGAGTTATGTTGCTTTTTATGTTTAGAAAGAGGCTCAAGAGCCTCATACAACTGGCTGGAATGACATAAGTTATAAACCTTGTTATATTTTTAGCAACATGAGATTAGAAGTTTGAGTAACTGATTGGAAAGCTTATGTTGATATGCAATTTGAAGCCGTGACAAAGCCATTCTACGGACACATGCTCAACGTGTGCTTGAAATTTGGACAAAGTTTAATTGTTTTTTGCGCAACTTCTATTGTTCGCATTATTTGCAACCGTTCTCGAACGGGTTGGAGTCTCATGTGGAGAGATAAGAACTTTGACTGGAGACAGCTTAAATCACTCTCAAGTACATACTCAGACATGATTATATTAAGAGGCTCAATTTCCGGGTTTTTGTGTTCTTCCATCAACAATTTAATATGGTCTTCCTTCCAAACATGTTGCTTACAATGTCATTGGCCTGGGTAGCTAGTGCTGCCACCATTCCCTCCGGTTTCCAAAAGAGAGGCGACGGGTACATCAAGTTGGGGTTTGACATTCAATCCGCCGGTCACAAAAACATTTCTCCTCCAGGTTTGTCCAAGAGAAGTGGAACTGATAATCTTCCATTGTTCCAGGACAGCTACTTCTACAAGGCTGATATCCAGGTGGGATCTCGGAACGATGCTATTAGCGTGGAAATCGATACCGGCTCGTCTGACTTGTGGATTATAGACACTTCTGCTGGAGTGAGCACTTCTGCTGGAACCTACGATTCTTCCAAGTCCTCGACCTACCAGTACGTCAACAACCAGTTTGAGATTGGGTACGTTGACGGGTCCAGCGCCACCGGAAACCTCGTCAAGGATACCGTCACGTTGGGGTCTGGGTCAGGAGGGCCAGTGTTGAAAAACCAGGAGTTTGGCGATGTCACCAGCACCAGTCTTGGTCAGGGTATTTTCGGTATTGGGTTCCCTTCTTTGGAAGCTGGACACCAAAATAGCAATGCAGCTATCTACACAAATATTCCTGCAAACTTAAAGGCCCAGGGATACATCCAGAAGAATGCTTATTCGCTCTACTTGGATGGAGTCGGAGATAGTAGTGGAACTGTTCTCTTTGGAGGCATTGATCACGACAAGTACTCGGGAGACTTGGTGACATTGCCAGTAACCAACAGTGACAGACTTAATGTCGATGTTGACAGTTTTGGTGTTGGTAATTCCAATATTAGCGACGGAACTTCCTATACCCTAGACTCGGGTTCGACCAACACCTGGTTACCAGCAAGTGCGCTTAAACTGCTTGCTGATGCCGCAGGAGCCATTTACGATTCGAACATTGGGGCATATGTGTTTAGTGACTGCAACAGTATTCCTGAGGTGAGTGTTAACTTCAATGGCATTTCGATTACGATACCTTCAACCGATGTGTCCAAGACGTTGTATTCGAATAACGGGAATGTCCTTGCGCAGTGTGGGCTTCTTTTCTTTGAAAACAATAACTATCCCACCTTGGGAGACAACTTTTTGAGACACGCCTACGTGGTATATGATCTTGACGATCGGGAGATCTCGCTTGCCCAGGTTGTGTCGAGTGCAAGTGAGAACATCACCCCGATTTCGTAGTATTCCAAAAATGTTTCTTTATCAATATACGTTTGAGAGCTTGTGTTTGTGTGCACCTTCCTTTTCGGGTTTGTACACTCAATTTTCGCAGCATTTCCGTTTTCCGTTAGCCCCCACGCGGGGGCCCCGCTGCCGCTGTATATCTCGCGATCGCGATCTCACATATTTTTCAACTCCAAACATGCTACAAATCACTGTTCCCAAGTCCAACATTCTTCTTCCAGAATACTCTGGTGCCCTACTCGAAGGAGTCACCTACAACAAGTCCAACAATTCGCTTTTGTGGGTGGAGATCGAAGGTGCCACCTTACACCGGTATTTTTTTGATACCGCCGAACACCAGGTCTTGTCACTGAACCTTCCGGGTGACTCGTTTGGAACATTAGGGCTCACCACCAACGACGACAAGGTGGTGTTGGGGAATCGCACGGGTGTGGTGGCGGCGGACTTCTCGACCCAGGAAATCACGCCAATTGTGTCGTATCCGCCAAATTCTCGGACTAGGTCCAACGATGGTAAGATCGACCCCCACGGCAATTTAATCGTGGGGACCATGTCAGACTTTCCGTACGAGACGGCGGCCGAGGGACTGGTGTTCCGGCTCAATTCCAGGAGCTTGAAGCTTGAAACCTGGAAAACCAACACCACAATTGCCAATGGGTTGGGATGGAGCCCGGACTTGACGAAATTTTATTGGACCGACTCGGGGAGCAAACAGGTGTATGTGTACGACTACGACGAGAAGAGTGACCAGATCAGTAACGAAAAGGTGTTTTTTGATGTCAGGTCTATCACCAGTGATCCACTGTCAGCTCCAGACGGGATGTGTGTGAGCGAGAAGGGCAACATTTTTGTAGCGGTGTTCAACCAGGCGGCGGTGTTGAAGTTGAACAGCAGCGGTGAGGTGGTCACCAGGTTCAACATCCCGGCTCCACGGATCACGTGTGTGACAATCGGGGGAAAGAACGGCGATGAGATGTTTGTCACCACCGCCGGAGACCACGGCAGGGGCACCAAGTCGGAGTATGAGGGAGAAGACTTGGGCGGCCATTTGTTTTGGTACAAATTGGAGGAGTCGGAGAGCGAGACCCAGTTTATCTGGGGAGGCGATGTTTAGGATACAATGTGATATAAAAATAAATATAGTGTTTTAGGATGCAAAGTAGATTGAGATTCTAATGGTTTAGGATGCGAAGCAATATAAAAATATTTCTGGTGTGGGATGCATAGCTTCAGTGCCAAGATGCAAAAGCACACCTAACTTCCGTGCTGCAGCTCCCACTCGTCACTCAACTTCAAAAATCGCTGCACAAACTCCTCAATGAGCACATTCTGCTCCGAACCATCCAGACGCAAATCGTTAATCTTCAAATTGAGGAGATAATTTTTGTTGGACGACTCGAAAGTGTCGGCCAACTTGATCAACGTAGAAAGATGCATCTGTAAGGCGGGAATTGTGAGGAGATTTTTGATGGTGGGATCGCTGACGATAAAGGAGAATCTGTCGGGCCGCAGAGGAGAGACAGGGGCGGTTTGGGCTGTGGTGGTGCCAACACCACCACGATTGTCGGCATGCCGCGCAGTATGTGTATCGCTCTTATAGCATGCTATTGAACAGTAGTTGACCGAACACCGAGGGCATTTGTATTTGGATACCTCGTTGTTGCATACCTCACACAACATGAAACAAAAATATTTTCAGATTAGATGAGATGCGACAAACCCACATCCGCAGAAGCATTATCAGAGGTTGAATAGTTAGGTATCTAGAACCCAATGCTTTAGTGGCTGAGTTCCTTACTACAGTTTAGACTTTACATTAATTATAAAATACCACTTGGCGCACCTTGTAAACCATATTCTAAGGTTTCGTACTTAAGGAATTTCCATATAGGCTATTTGTGTAGCCAAGAATCTCCCCGGATTTAGCGACCACCGGCATAAATTTAGTGGTGCATCGCAACATGATTTTTGTTTTAATTGTAGCAAAAAGGATGAAAATGGGTATGGGTGCTGTTTGGAACCCTTCCCGACACCCAACACAAGTGAGTGACTTCATTGACAAAAATCACTCAAACACCGGGTTGTAATGTCGTGAACCAAAATGTGGTCAGCAGGCCCGGTTAGGGGTGCAGTATATTAGATCGACATATATAAGTATGCGGGAGAGCCGTAGGCCCAGATCATGCTGAAGTGCGTTGACGAACACACGAGGAAGCCAAGAAATGGGACAAACTACCAAGAAAGAGATCAATAGAGGAGTTAAGACCGAGACTGAAACCTAATATAACTATGGAACCTGCGAAAGTTGCGGGGCAAGTGCGACTAACAATAATTTATTTGAAACTTTTACATTTGGAACATGCAGCACGGGATGCGCGGTCCCCAGACAGGAATGCGCAGTCTTCTTACGTTCTGCAAGCGCCTGTAACCAGCGCGGGCGTCTAACAGCAACTGACCGCAGATTGTGTGAAGTTTCATGACGAAAAATTTTTTATTATCTAGGTATTTTGCCACCATGCAAGCAATGGGGCGTTTCACGATGAAAATGACAGGGGTTAAAAAATTGAAAACAAGGCGTTAAGGCTAGATTTACCACAAGTGACGGCACCAGTCGTACTCAACCCAATAGTTATTGATTAATACAATAGGAAGAAATTACGCTTTATTTTTTGAGGGTATCTGGTTACATTCAATTTTGTGAGCATTTGCCCATTCATTGAATCATGCGCAGCAATCGTCTGTAGCGACTAACCTACAACTGACACTATAATATTCGCCCCCTGAGTATTAACAAGATCTCCTATGCACTGTTACAACGTGTTGTGGATACAGCCAGGTTGAACCGTGCGAATGACTCCAGTTGACAATAAATGATTGTTTCGGGCAAATCACTCAGCCGACTGTTTCTGGAAAAATTGCCCGACTAAAATACAATAGAGGCTTGCAGAGTTTCAAGTTTGTAATACGAAAGTTTTCATAGAGTAGTTGGTAAATTGATCGACCACGTACTTTCATGATAACAATAACACTCGTTACAATCCGAACAATCCATACAATAATAATCTAAATAATAAAGAATAATAATGTAGGATATAATGCAATTATTATTTCAAGCAGTCAAATGAAATTGGCAAGCATTTTAGTAGATGCGGTGTTAATTTAAATTTCTGCATGCAGACCCAGCAGGGGATTTGCAGACGAGACATTCAATAAAGGAGTTATGAGGAAAATCGTTGGCGTTGGCAACACACAAAGAAGGACTTATTCATTAAATACAGGACAATTATCGCCTAATGTGGTAGGACGCCGTAAATGTTAAAAGATTGTACAGTTAATCCCACCCGAAATTAACACCTCTGTTAACAAATTTATGTCGGCGCGACATCAATTGTTCATAGAAGCAGCGAATTAAACTCGCTCTATAGATCTTTAAAATTCGGTGTCCTTTAGTAACGAATTGACAGTTAGATAATTGAGATTCCTAGAGATTTTCTATGAATTCTAATCAAGTATTGTAAATTTCACACCTATTGACTTTGATATTCACCCTCCGCTTGAAATGATTCGTCTGTCCAACAGAATAAATTCTGAACGAGGAAAGTCTATAATCGCAGCCCGGTGGAAGAAAATTCTTGTCCCAAAATTCTCCCTATTCTCTCCTTTCTACGCCGAAATTCGCGCCAGTCCTTTAAAAAATTCGCAGTAGCAGATTCAATAATTCGTACCCAAGTATGTTTCTCATAATGAGGTGCGAATTCTCAGGGTCAAATTCCTAATTAAACGAACATGGATTATAGGTTTGTGTATGACGATGGTGAAAAAAAACCTTGTCAACGAGCAAGGGGAACCTACAGATGATGAAGTTTTCTGCGCATACCAAACTTATCCTTTTCTGATTTGAGACACCACGCGTAAATGTACCATAACTCCTATAGGCTGCGACGAAGTTCCTTATTTTCATATCTGCTGTTGATGCTCAAACTTTGAAATTCCCAGTATAAATGTTGACAAAGTTCCACTCTCGTTGTTTTATTAATTACGCCTAGCTGTTAAGAAACAAAAAAATGTTGACACAACATGTTGTTGGTATCTTCATTCTTTTGAATTTTGTGAATTCTTCAAACGAATTGATTTTCTTTAACGTACGAATTGTCTCATGTTGTTAGAAGAATTTATTTACTTGACAGCCCGCATTGATATTGTTTTCCAAAGCGACTAATATATCTTTCTAGTACTAACTTTTTCTGCTCAAGTAGCGAATCCTTTGTTATCTGTTTCAAATTTTCTAAAACGCTAAGCGTAAATTTCATATAGCAAATATACATTTTTCTTGAAAACTGGTGAACTTATCATAAGTGAGTCAAGACTTTGAGCAACTAGAGCACGGAATGCCTTCCATTAATTTGTGAAATTTTCTTTATATCTGGGCGAATTTTTAAAACAAGCCCTATGAATTCTTACTTTTTATAATGCGACATTTGGTTAAGAGAGGTACGCATTTTGGGCGAGATCAACTGTACACATATCTAATACAAGGTAGGAAAAGCACGCCTGCATATACGCACATACCTACAGATTTCTCGCGGTATTTGCATCCAGATGCTCTTGATGTATTTCTGTCATAATTCGTAAACTTTAAAAAGTTATATGCAATGGGGCATTACCTCTTCCCCCATGATTGTAACCATTAGTGGTACAATTGGGATATTATTGAAGGAAGGGTATATATCATGATAATCGTTAGGAGTCGTAACTCCGACCTTGGCACGCTTGCTCGTATTAGTGTTCGCATTGGAATTGCCAAAGTTAAATGTGAAGCTTCCTGAGGGCACGAGCAAGGGGGCCATAACCATGGCTCCCATCACCAGTGAATGGTACACGCTGGGAGAATCTTGAGGAGTGATGGGTGTCACGATAGGACTGTCTACCATCGCCACCGAAGTCTGATACGCACCGTCAAGCATGCGGCTGCGGAATAGTTGTGTGCTGGCAACGTCAATGTCACATAAATGGCTCCAAAACTTGTGGTCTTCCATAATAAACTTATAGTCCAATTTGTAGTCGAGGCAGCTCAAAAAGAATATTTCCAATTGCTTCAACATCTTCATGTCGATATTGGGAATCCCCAGAAGTTCGATTAAATTTATCCAGGTTTTGAAGGTATAACTTTGATCATTGTAGAGCTTGTTGGAAAGCACAAGGGACGTGATAACCAACTTCTGAATCAACTTTTTGTCATGAATTTGTACCACATGGTTTAGAAGAAACCGGTAAAGAAGTAGGATGGCTATTACCAGGTTTTCGACCCCAAGTTTGGAGATCAGGACCAATTTGGCCACTCTATTATTGAAGGGGTTGATGCCAAAGAGCTTGAATCCTAGACGATTAAAGGCCTGGAAGAGTGGCTCTTGTAATTTCATGGCAATGAGGTGATGGGTAAATATCACTGGGGATCGGGTAGGTATATATAGAGATGGACAGGACAATCATTAAAAATAAAAGAATAAGTGACAAGAAAAAAAATAATAAAATAAATTAAAAACCTAAAGTAGAAAACGGTTATGTAAAATATAAATATCCCCATGAAGCTCTACGCACTTAAGGAGACGGAAAAAGAAATGTGTAACCTAACGCTTCGCACAGCAAAATAAAGTTATTGTTACGGGAAAGGTGACCCGAGGGAGCATTAGTGCGCGACCCACAAACGCCATGATAATTAAGGAGAAATTTCACTGGTTAATGGCATGTAAAAATAAATGGGCCAGGGCAAAGCTAGATTGATCAGCATCTGATCGGCTAATGTGTATATGGGTGGTTGTCAGGTTATCACCACTGTGACCGTCACCCCATTCGGATTCGTTACAGGGGGCTACCACCGGATTTCGTTCGATGACCCTCTCATTCTGCATGTGAGCCAGTAACAGCATCTGCACCTGGCCTCTCCCTGGGGGGTGCAGGGCGTGGCTCAACCGGGATGTACCTGGTGTGTCAGCTGCAAAAGAAAAGCTTTGGGTAAGTGCAGGCGGCACGGATGATGCAGCAGTAAACAATTAAGCTTTGGGTGAATTGGTTTGTGCCAAGCGTGAGTGGGTGTTAGGGTATTAGGGCGTATTGGTGGATATTATAGAGTCCATGCAGGTTGCAATCGAAGAGTGCTAGGTAGGCGGTAGAGGTATGGGATACGTATATGGCGGTAAGGTTAGGAGCAACGTGGAGCTTTGAGTGAAATCCGGAGAAAGTATTTTTTGAAAAGCTTAATGCGGTGATCGTGCAGGGAGCAGATGAGATGCACTGAGAGGGTGGTAGTTTCATATCCAAATACGGAGTTTCAGTTTGGGCGGAATTTCCCCCAATGGCTGGCGCGGAAATTGTCGCACTAGAAACGGATATTGAAAGAGAAGGTGGATGGAGGTGAAAGTGTAGAGGGTTTTGAAAGAGAGACAGTGGCATTGGCAGTGTTGGTGTTATAAATCCAGGATGGCGTCAAGGGCGGAGCTATACTTTTACTCCCTGCTCCTGCAGTCATGCGGTGAGGTAAAAGCCTAAAGGGGATCGCCGTCTAAGAGTTTTTTGAGTCTGCTGGCATTGAAGGTTTTGAGACAGCTGGCGCTGAGAGAGTTTTTGAATTTTAGTATTGTAACTAACACTGGGTTTATGATTGCTCTCATATTCCAGTAGTATCCGTTTATATCCGGATGGGTCAGATAACACCATTGTTGGGACGAAGTGGCTAAGAATACGACCTCAAGCATCTCAGAAGCCAGAAGCCATGTTGAAAAGCAGCCTTGTAAAAATAATCACCCAGGGATATACATCCATTCCACTATTTTGCAACCACATTACAGTACGAGAACGACATTCCCGCGACATTACCGCTGGCCCGCGACGTGCCGGTGCTCGCCAGGAACAGCAATTGTTTACAGGTGGCGAACCCGGTGCCGCTAAAAAAAGCAGGCATATGAGAGTGACAGGATAACGGGATAGGTGGTGTATGGGTTTGAGGTTGGGGTTCCATTATGATAAAAGTTACCAGGAGGTGATATGTAGTATGTTACAATGGAGTAATGGACTATAGGCCAGTAAACTTTCAGCCTCCCACCTCCACGCCACCTAACTGCGCCAGTGTCACCCACGCTCCATTGCACCAACACCGCCTAATTCCACCTTGAGCTTGCTATTTAAATCGCATCGCAACAAATAAATACCTTTTCAAACCACTCACTGATGTCACAAATATGTTGCTTAAGTTCAAAGTTGTCCACTACTACCTTATCCCACTAGTGTGCCTCGTGGTATGGTGGGGCATGCTCACAGCCCTCATGGTGTGCTGGGTGGTGCAAAACAAACCACAGTATTCGTGGAACACGGAATATCAGGTACCTCCATACATTAGTGACTTGGGTGCCACCAACCTCCAGCCACTATTTATTCTGTGCGCTGGGTTCCAGGCAATCTTCTTTGTGGGAACCCTCACCATGGAGTACTTTTTGCGCCGGTACAAGAAGCTTCAACCGTTTGTGCTGAAGAAACAGCCATTGTTCAGCATCATTTCCATCGTGTGTGCCATTATCGGCCAATTGGGCATTTTATTTGTATCCATCTTCAAAACTACCCGCTTCCACCGTGTGCACTTGCTGATGGTAGCGGTTTTCATTGTGTTTTCCTTCTTCACGTGTGTGTTCAACTTTCTCAATTCGTTTATCTTTGGCTACTATCCCACCCGGTTGAGTCCCAACCACGAAAAAGTCATTTTCGGGACCCACCGATGGGCCAATCTCTACATGGTGTCGTTTGTGCTTAAGACCTTCTGGTTGGTGGGGGCAGTGGTGTTTGCGGTGCTCTTTGGCTGGTACATGAAAGACGACCACCCCAGTTTATCAGCCGCATTCGAGTGGACAATTTCATATTGGTACGGGTTTCTCTTGGTGTTGTGGGCAATCGACTTGTTCCCCAGTGCCGTCAAGCACTACCAGCTCCGGCACCCGGACCAGTATCCGGAGAAGGATTTGTCACATATTCACTTGGATCCTAATAACCCAGCGGATTTGACCAAGTTGGAGGAGCGGTCGGTGCTGACCTTCGGGTCGCCTACGTTTGCCGGCCAGGAGTTGTAGGTGGACGTTGTAAAATGTATATTATAGATATAATAAATGCTTAGAAGTCGAAGACGAGCCTGAGAACCTCTAAAAGGGCACCTCCACAAACGAGGAACACCAACAAGGCTATCCATGCTTTGGGAAGTGGGTATTCGACTTTGTCGGCATCTTCCTTGAATTGACCGGTTTGCTTGAGGGTGTTCTTTTTGCTGAACTTTTTGTTGGCCAATCTCTGTTTTGGGGTTTGGACAGCCTGTGGATGTTAGTAATGGGGAGGAAGGGCGTTGGACCCGGGATGGGTGACTGGCTACTGGGTGTATGGGTCAGCTAGCCACTTTAGCCCCCGGGTGTATGGGGCAAAAAGTATACATACCATGATGTTAGTATGAACGTGTAGGTTGTGGATCACTGAAAAAATATGTTTCGTGGTGGCCAGCGCACCGCGAGCAACAACACTGGGGAAAAAAAGTAGCGCCGCCCGGTTTCGATCCGGGGACATCAGGGTTATGAGCCCTGCGCGCTTCCACTGCGCCACGGCGCTGCTACTACGTGCTTTTTGTTGCAGGGAGGTGACAGCGGTGAGAATGGCGGTTAATGATTGATTCTGGAAGTAGAAGTTTATTGATTGAGAATTTCTACGTTTTTGTGTTAGATATGTTAATTTTGACTTTAGCACCAAAGGTCTTCGTCAGTTAGTACCAAAGAGAAAATTCCGGATGAGAAAGCTTCAGAATGAGAGCCCGTATCATCTTCCAGGAACTCGCAGCATTCGTCCTACTGTCGTTCGGGCGATCCTCCGTGCGACCCTGCTTTGTGCTTGCCTCCGGTGTCTAGCGTCACTCCTGTCACCCCGGCACCGGTAGTTTATGACTTTCCAGCGCGGAACCCTCGGACTAACTCCCATACCTCCCATCAGCCTTATAAATACCATCCGCAAAGCCCCCATCTTCTGCACACCCCCTGTCAACCTTCCCTATCCCATCTCCGTATCTCCGCATTTACAGTAGATGCAAAGTCGCGCGCTTTACTTTTCCCAGAACCCATCACCCATGAATCAGCCTCAAGATTTTAACACCACCCTGAACCAGGTAGATCAGACACAAAAGTATGCCCCCACCAATGACTTCCCCAATATACCGCCAGGTAATGCCCCACCGTCTTTTGCCCCGTTCTCCACTGCTTCCACCACCGAGCAGCGCGCCCGCTTACGGGTTTCCAAAGCTTGCGACCGCTGTCGTTCCCAAAAAATCAAGTGTAGTGGCACCTTCCCATGCACAACATGCTTAAAACACAAACGAGAATGTATCTACAACCAACCTGGAATGGGATTGTCCAAAAATGGTGAAGGTTCCATGCCTAACGGACCCCCCACGATTCTCAACGCCCAGATGGAAAAAGAGTTGCCGTATCTCACTAAAACCGATGACAAAACATATATCCGGCACTTGGAGAATCGACTCCAGTACCTCGAGTCGCGGCTCAGCTACGACGGGTCTCAAATATACAGTAGCATGCGAGACGGTGAAACAGAAAAGGAGGAAACCAACCTTTTTTTGAATCCTCTGTCAAAATGGAGGTACTCCCATCGCAACCAGGTACTTCTCGTTGACAGCTTGTGCAAGACCATCTTCGAGACCCTTTCTCCCGAGAATAAGGCCAAAGTACAACTCCCTCGGCCACAGTACTTTGGGTGGAACCTCAGTGGCACCCACTACTTGGGGAACGATGAGTTGCCCGAACCGCCGTTTGTCAAGCTCCCCAACACCATGGAGTTCTACACGGACTATTTTTTCCGGGAAATCAACCAGCTCTATGCGTTGGTGCACGAGCCGGTATTTATTCAGCAACTCGCGACCTACTTGGAGATGGCCGACAACCTGGAACGAACGTCACAGGCTCGGTTGTTCGAGGCCATGTGGTACTTGATGGTGGCCTTGAGCATCCGGTTCACTGAGTTTGAGAAAAAACGGGATTTGCTGCTCGAGGCCCTAGAAATGGAAGAAAAGATGTTCCGGTACGCTTACCGAGTGGTGAGCATCTTGAGTTTCCAGTGGGAGTCGTTTGAATTGATCCAGTGTTGGCTCTTAATCACCCTTTATCTCCGGATAACCCATCGTCAAACCTCGTGCTTCTACTCGTTGGGATATGCCGTCACCATGGCCAAAGCCATGGGAATTTCTCGAGACCTGCTGAGACATCGGTTGTTAGGGACTCCGTACGAGGAGATCAAGGCCCACCGAGTGTTCTGGGTGCTCTTCACGTTTGAGAGGCTCATTGGCCTTCAGAATGGGCGGTACGGCCTTATCGGCCAGGACGAGGTGGAGATCCCGTTCCCCCTGTATGACTTCACGGCTGAAAAAACCAGAGATAATTGGATCACACTCCCGTCCTTGGCCTTGATCCACATCGCCAAGCTTGCCACGTTTGTGCACACGTCCCGACTGGAGAAGTTGGATCTCGTCAAGTACCAGCAGATAAATAAAGAGTTGGTAGGCTTGAATGCGTGGTTGAACACCAATGGCTTTTCGATCAACGAGCTTTTCAATGCCCCTGATGAGAAGATCAGCTCGCTCGTGAAATCCCAGGTCATGTTACACTACTATGACTTGGTGCTATGTATCCACGGTAAGATTTTATTCAACTTTGTGGGTAGCCGGATCGCAACCCCGGGTCTCAAGATCGAAATGGTGTTGGACTCGTGCAAAAACATCTTGAGCGTGTTGGCCAAGGTCCACAAAGCCAACCTCCTCTTTGTGCCATGGCACTTGACATTGATGTTGCTTTTCAACGTGGGGGTTATTCTCTTGGTGCTCATCAACGCTGGGTTGTATCTCCCCACCGCCAGGAGCTTATACTTCCAGACAACCCAATTGTTGTTGGTGTTGAAGCGGGCCAACGTCAAGTCCAGTGACAATAAGGTGCTTATCAAGAGACGGTTCAAGATGTCGGAAGAGTGTCTTTGGGCTTTGAAGACCACCAGCAAGATGGTGACGTTGCGGTTCGAACAAGATCTCCAGAACTTTGCTGCGATTGGAACCGACCCAGGGTCGTCTGAAGTCAACCAGGCAACGTTCGACCAGTACGGGTTTGTCAAGGAGACGGAGGACGAGTTTAAAGAGGTTTCAAGAACGGGTAAACGTCGGAAAACCGAGGAGGTTGTACAACCAGTAGAAAACGTGCCCCACCACGCATATGCTGATTTCTTCCCAATGACAGGCACCAACTCCGACAAGAGTGAATTCAATGAGGAGCCTCTTCCGGGAGACCCTAGTTATGTGAAGGCGGATACTGCAAGTGCCGGGATCTACAATAATCTTTTGTGGTTTGACCGATGGTTTGACAGTAATCTTGATAATGAGGTGTTTATGTCGGGGATGGATCAGTCTAATATGCCACCACCAAGTGCGAGTACTGCCACCAGTAGCTCAGACATTTAGTTGTATAAAGTATATAAAGTAGTTTACAACAACCCCCACCTACCCCAGACCCCATATTAATAGTTTATCCGAGACGTCTAGCGCAACCGTGCGAAAACCTCTCTAAAGCGAAAGGAGAACAAACCTCCGCGGTGTACCCCACTAGGCGCAACCGCCCCCCAATGTGCGTGCACAAACCATTAGGCCCGTTGAGGTATCGTGGGGGGGCCCTATAACCCCACAGCTATTGATTCCGAGAATCCCATATTAATCATCACCCGTATTAACAGGATACCACCAGGTGACTGGGCTTAGTAGCCCATAGACACACCATACACTCCCCACTCTCACTCCGGTCTCACTGCCATTTTACACATATTCCAAAATATCTTCTTGACTATACAATTATTTCCATGTGTCAGGACCAAAGTACCCCTTCTCCGGAATAGCTTTATATGGCGTCAACAAACCGTCAGCCGTGTTATCAAACACAGTGTTTCCCCACCAGCTCAAGCTGCCTCCAGGGTATGAAATACACAAAAAGATAATCACCCCCGATAAGGCGACTCCGATATCCAATGCACACGATAACACAAAGTTATATTTCAACCACCAATTACCCCATTTTCTTTTGATGTACCAGTTGAAGAGAATACCCACTGCACATGCCGATGTATAGTTTAGTCCCGTGGCAGGAGGATAGTTACCCATGGCCCCAAACACAATGACCCAGTTCCAGTTCTTTAAAACCTGGTTATGGGGGAACTTCTTCTGCAACAACCAGGTGATGATCACCAAGACAGCACCAATCCAGAAAAGATGGAGAAAACCCGCATATATCTTGCCGGGTGATACCAACCGCTTGGGGCCCACCAATGACCACACCACACTGGCTGCAAAATTAGTGGTTCCCTGAGGACAAGTAAAATGGTCGGGCTGATCAGCCAGACAAATACCATCGACGTTGTTCAACATGGCGATCAAGATCCCCACCTGGACAAACGCCCCGATGATACATGAGCTCAACTGACACCAAAACAAGGTCTTCTTGGGGATTTTCATATAGTAGCCCAACTTCATGTCCTGCGAAAAGTACATGGCTTGAGAAATTCCCGTGTAGGCATAGAATTTCCATGCCAATGACACGATCGGCTTGGATGGGTTCATGGCATAACCGGCAATGATCTGGCCCAACACCGTCATACAGTTGGTGTTGATGTTGGTCCTGGCGTAGACAATTCCCACTGGCAAAATGAACACCATCACCATCAACAAGGCGATGGTAATTCCCCACACCGGCCATTTGGAATCGTACTTCTCCATGGTGATGATTGTTGCGGCGTAAACCAACACCGTCAACAAGCCGTACCACCACTTGGGCACGGCCGGGTACTTTTTCATTTCCCGCACGTGAACGTCTTCTCTCACACCGCCGGTCAACGATCTCACAATGTCTTTGCCATGGTACAACACCACGTAGCACACCGACAGTGACAACACCGCGTACGAGACCCCGTAGCCGATGGCATAGGTCGCCGCCAAAAACGGAGGGGAATATTCTTTGTACGACTCTTCATTCAAGGCCATGGTCGAGATATCAAGCACCCGCAGCCCGTTGTAGGCCTGACCCGTGTTATCAAACACATCAGATGATGAGATCGGTAAGTACGCAAAGAACATTACATTCTTGTAGTACAAAATCAATGGTAAAATGCCAAAGAAAATGAGCCAACCGATAATGGTCATAATTTGCAGCCAAAATGGAATCAAGAGCGGCGATCCGTTCGCATAGGTGATTTGCAGCCAGTCGAAAGTGATGGGAGAAAATCCAAGTCCTTGGATTTGTCCAAAGATCTGGTTCACCACTACGTTATTGGGGACGATCCAGCATATCCACGTGAAGTAGGAGAGGGCTTGGAATATAAACCCGGGGAAAAAGTAGTACACAAACAGGCACAAAAACACAATGAGAAAAAACCGAAGTCTACTGACTCTCCAGCCGTCTGCGACTGGATTGGCGTTGGAGTGTAAAGAGTCAAAGAGGGCCACATTGGCCAAGGTGTTGGGCCAGTAGTTATGAGAATCTTTCACCAAAACATCATCCACAAGCCCAGCAACCCCCAACCCAAACAACTGACACGTCAAAACCATGAGGATCTGGTAGCCCGCGGGTGCGGGCACACCGTAAATATACTGGGCTTGGATCACGTCGGTGGCCCATGCGGCCGTAAAGGAGATATTGGCCATGATAGTCACAATCGTGTGCTCTTTCTTATTAAAGTGCCTGTCAGGGTTCAACACAAAGGTCCCGAACCGTCCCAAGTCCATCAGCCACACAGGGAGCACCCGGGCAAGAAACTGGCCCAACGGATACAGTACCAACTGTGCTAGCGTGGAGGTGACTGTGATTCCGGGATACCGTAAAGCGAAAAATTGGTTAATGGCAGCACCAACAACCGTGAATAATACCGCCACGAAGTAGCACCGAAACGAGTTGATGGGCAACGACTCATCATCACCGGGGCGTACTACCGACCGCACCTCCGGCAACGGGGCGTCATCAGCAGATTCATCAAGGATTTCGGTGGAGGAATACTTGATATCTTCCAGCTCGAGTGGAACCTTGTCGTATGGCTCTTCTGTAACGTAGACCTCTGATTTTGTGGGCGAAAGCAGTTTTTCCATTTGTGATGAGATACATATATGCAGCCTCCCTCTTTATATACCTGGACCTCCACACCTGAGTTATCAGTGCTATCACTGGCGTGATATCCAATCACCGCGGAAATGGGTTGCACCTTCCCAGGATGAGCGCAGAGGCGGTGCTGCATAACCAGTTATCGCGATTAGCGGACTGGGGATGGATAGATATTTATTATTGGAAGCCTATAGCGCTATAGATATGGCAGACACCCAGTCAGTAATGTCTTTGAGATCATTTACATGGCCGTCTCCCCCAAACCGGTCCTGGATCCGGTCCTTAGCTGTCTCTGGTCTCCACCTCCATTTGGTGCGTTTTTCGCAGTCGAGTCCACCCGGTCCGTACATCACAAGTCTCGCAACATACTTACCAATACTGGGCATATGCTTGAAGCCATGGCCCGAGTCCCCGGTAGCCAACACGAGCGTCTCGCCGTATTGCGGATGTTCACACACCAAGAAGTTGCGGTCGGGGGTGTCTGTACACCAGCAGATTTTGGCTTGCACGAGCGGACGATCAGCCAACTGTGGTAATGTCTCCTGTAAAAGGAGACGGATGTCCCGCTCGGCAACATGGGGGATCTGGTTCTTGTACACGGGCACCGACGAATCAGCCGCAGTGGAGTCGCCCACATAGTGCGTGTAGCCTGGGAATTCGTTGCAGATTTTCAACTCATTTTTGGTGTAATCAGGCTCAAAGAAAAACCCTTTTTCCAAGTTACACACCACGGGCATGCCCTTGAAGGATGCTGCCTCGTCGGGTGTCAAGCGGATATGGCCGACCGTCCAACACTTGGCCAAAAGTTGGTCTTCAAAGTCCATGATTTTCACAGACGACGCACCGGCGGCCACAATGGTGGTGGCTGCAAAAACCTTTCTACCATCACTGGTGACACATCCCAACACGGCGGTGTTATCGGCATTGTAGAGTAAGCGAGCGACTTCACTCTCTACGTACTGGCCACCAAGCCGGGCAAACTCCTTGCCGGCGGACACCAAGGCACTTTTGGCGTCTGCCCACCCACACTCTGTTTTCTGGTAATGTCCCTTCCAGTTGGCCAACAGTCCCGTCAATTGCGGGACTACCGCACGAAACTCGTTGGGAGAGTTCAACAACACTGTCTCGTGTTTTCGGTTCTGCGATTTGGTGAAGTTTCTAACACTTTCGAGTTCCTCATACTCGGCACTGGGTTCGCCCTGACTGGTGGCATAAACTATACCTGTTTCGTAGAAATGGGGGTAGAAAACCGGGTCGTTCTGCCACCCTTCCAATGCCTCGACTGCTAAGGAGGCGGTGAAGGCCGCATCCTCGGGGTATGCCAGCTGAATAATCTTGTTGATGTCGTATCCAGCACTGAGGGTTGATGGTAGCGGTTTTGGGTCGATGATGGTAACAGACTTGAAGCCGTTTCTGAGAAGCCACAACCCGCTGGAGAGCCCAAACGTTCCGGCTCCGATGATCAATACGTCCTTATCTTTGGGAGAACTCATGTGTGTGTGGAAAGTGGGAAAAGTGTTGCCGGCATTTGGTTATCTTTTAAATGGAGCTTTTCGAGTCTACCTTCCAAAATTCGCAGCGCGGAATTGTTCCGCAGGATCGCACCACTTTGAGGAGCCAATAGGCGGAGAATGGCGGTGGGTAGGCTCCTGGTGTAAATGGCAACTGATAGCTGCAAGAGGAGCTATCAGAGGCGACCACCCCACAATGTAGTTGTTTCAGGCGAGCGGGAAATACTTATCTGTCCATTAAATTCCAATAAAATGTCAAGTAAGGGACGGAGAAAGAAAACTCAATAGTCTAGTAAAATCCTACAAGAGACCCCAAAAATCATAGCAGTTCAACTAAATACCGGAGAACCTTATGCCTGCTAAATACCTGTAGATTAGTTGTATCCGTTATACCAACAGAATATTGCACACCGGATCCACAACAAATTCCCAATACGTCTTCTTTTCCTTCCCTTTCGCCCTATCATACAAACTTCGCTTTTTCCAGAGAGTTTCCACCGCAGACTTGGCCTTTCCCACGTTTCCCAATCCCTTTTGATCTATCATGTCAAACATATTAAGAATATCCAACTTTTGCACCTCGCTCATCGGGTCTGCAAAGTCCAACTGCGTCGAAATCATGTACAAGGGCCAGGTCAACGAACTCCAGAAGAAGTTGTTGCTGATGATGATGAACTTGGTATAGTTGAAGATCTTGGTGACGAGGCTGACAATAGACGGCTGGCTGGGTGACTGGTAGTAGAGACACGAGGTAGCATATAACAACCCACACAACCGTTTGATCTCACACGTAAGTAGAAAACAGAACTCTTCCATATTCGCAGCCTCATCGCTAATTTGGTCATAATAGTAAAATAAACACCCGTAGTTGTCATCACAGCTAGCCGGCAGCTGGTCTAAAAGCGAGTTGTCGATCATGTAGAGAAAGTTGTCGGGATTGAAGTGTTTCATTTTGATGTTTTCAAGCTCATCCATTATGGCAGCCCGTTTTTCTCTGAAAGTTTGCTGTGGAAGAGCCAGAATTGACAAGTCGGTGATATCACTGACGATCCTGATTAACCGCTTGTCGCAGCCCATCCATGGAATCAATACCACCTCTCCTTCCGCCTGCCCGAGGTGCTTTGTCCATTCTTCGTTGAAGACGTTGGACTTATGGCAGGCGGTGCGGCCCATCGACTCCTGATACGAGAAAAACTCGACCGTGTAGGTGAAAAGCTTGCGTTCTACCGGGTCGGTGACCGCTCGCACTTCACTCTGGCGAAGCAACTGCTGGCAGCTTCGGAGTTGGTTGCTCCAGTTGTCATTACACTCATCTGCCAAGTAATATAACGTGATGATGAGAAACGACACCCACAAATCCACTCTAATTTCTGCCAGCTCGCCCTGAAAGCTCTTGGCCATGTGCTGTAACCCGAGGTTCCGCAACCGTATGCCCTGCATCCTCCAGTAATGACTTTGTGTTTTGTCCACAAACGCAGATTTCGAGAGATAGATCGAACTAAGGCCCAACATCAACGACAAAACGTGCGGGTACTTCTGACTATACTGGAGCAATGAGCCGACATCCAAACCCTCGTGCACCACCATTTTGGTGTTATCACCGCCTAGAAACAGACTGGCACCGTGGTGGAATTTCAAGTTTCCCATGTTCACTGGGTTGAGCATAGGTGACACCAGCTCTATATAAAACACAAGCGTATACACAAGGTCGCTGTTGGAGGTTATAAGACCGTGATCATCAAATCCCCTTATGAGGGCATGTGGGACACTAGATGGAGCCATCAGTAGCTGAAGAGGTTGTGGTGGTGGTGATTCAAAGTCATCGTAGGTGTAGTTTAACAACATGAGTTTTTCCTGCAGTCGGACCGCCACAAACCGGTGGAAGTTGTGGTCCTTAGGTACTACCGTGCTGGAAGTCCGATCATGATTTTTGCGCTTGGACCAGACACCTTGTCTGCCAAAAGCCTTGTTTTTGGACTCCAAGTCTTCTTTGAACTGGAGTTTTAAGCCGTAACGGCAGCGGAGGTTTTTGTGGGTGCAGTTGAGACACACGGGTTTGGATTCGTCGCACTTCAAGTGTCTTGTTTTGCAAGTAGAGCACCCGGAACGAGATCTCTTGGGTTCACTCATTGTAGGCAAAGGTATAGTTCTGCGATTAGATTTTAAGATTTGGTGCGATTTGCAGAAATTTGGGGATAAGCTCTGGAAGCGCGACAGTTGGGAGGTAGCCGATGAGGCCACAGCAGTTGGTAGGAATTATAAATGGTAGGCGTGTCAGTAAAATAATGATTGAGAGGGAGACCAGGAAGGTGGGAAGTATTGGCGGTAACCTTATGGTCCCCCGCTACCCCAAAGTCTTGACTGGCTCCCGACCTCTCTAAATATATTCCCGCAAACCATCCGATGGCCCATTCGCTCATATTAGGAAACATATACCCGCAAAACTCTACCCCCAAAACCCTCCCCCCCAAAAAAACACCTTCCGTACATGGACAGCCGGAAAAACGTTTTGGGGTCACGGGGTGTCACTACCAACGAGAAGAACAGGCGTGCGCACGACAACCTCTCCAATTGTTCCACTGTAGGTGCTGGGTTATCCCGATAGTAGAGGTAAACAAAAAGCGCTCACTAACCGTTCTTCCCCAAACCCACAGAAAAAGAAAAAATCCCTATAAAACATACCTTCTCCCAAAAATTTCTCTGTTCGTTTTCACATCACTTTTTTATAACCTCCCAACTTACTACTTTTATTAATATATCCCCCACCCCATCCTTATTTCATTCCCACCACATGACCGAGGTCGTTAATGATATAGACGCCAACTCTCCTAAGGTCGCAAAGACCAAGGACGATAGGCCCTATAAATGCCCCATGTGCGAGAAAGCATTCCACCGGTTAGAACACCAAACAAGACACATCAGAACCCACACGGGTGAAAAACCCCATCCCTGTACGTTCGCTGGATGCACCAAACGCTTCTCCCGAAGTGACGAGTTGACCCGTCATTTGCGGATCCACAATAATCCCGTCACCAGAAAGAGAAAGAACAAGATGAACCACGACTATACATCCCAAGACTTGGACGAGCACCGCCATTCGGTTCTGGACCTGGGGCTCGCCAAGTTGGCCGAGGCTGCCGCCATCCCCGTGCAACTCCAGAGCCTTCCCAGCGGGGCCCAGTTCATCCCCGTGGCCATCGATAAAGGAGGCCAGGCGATCTATCATCAGGGGTACCCCATTTACCTTGTGACAGCAGGACAAGGAGAGCAGAAACCGTACCAGCTTCAGAACGGACTGGCGGTGTTCTCCATGCCGCTGTCGCCCACCACCGGCTCCGCCACCGGTACCTCTGGCTCCACCACCGCGCCCTCCGGACCGCACCCTTCGCCGCAGGCTGCAACCTTGACTCCGTCCATTATCAAACTGGAACTGTCCAGCTCCATCGGCGTGTTTTCTAACGAGTCTTCGTCGCACTCTCTCAGCACCTCGCCCGACCAGACCTTGTATACCCCTATCCCTGGTTCCGCCAAAAAACTCCCATCGCTCACCAATTTGAACGAATACTTTGTCTTGAAAGCAGGCTCCAACAAAACCTCCAGCTCCTCGTTGTCGTCGATGCAGTTTGGTGCTTCCCATGCCTCTCACCCTAACCTCCCATCACTCGGATCGCTTCCTCGGATGACTCCCATCAAATCAATTCCCGTTCCCAATCCCCAGCGCAACATCTCCTATCCCCTGACTCCATACTCGCTCGGGGCCTCCGCCACCTATTTTGCCCCGCTGCAGGGCCTCAAGGTACGCGACAAGTCGTCGTCCAGTTTGAACTTGGAGTTTGCTCACGCCCAGAAGAAACTGAGACCAAGCTCTCCAAGCCTGTCGTTCACCAACTTGGTGATGACGAGCAACCTGTCGTACCATAACCCCGGGTTTATCATCTCGCCATCCGAAACTCCATTGCAGACTCCGTCACAATCGCCTCATCTCAAGCCGGCAAATGCTCAATTGCAGCCGGACTTGGTGAAGTTGAACAGTAAGTTGACTGAGGGTGAAGTGGTTGTGAAGCAACAGGACAACACAAACTCCATAGCCAATTCGGGTACCCAGCTTCCGCCTATTCGGTCAGTGTTTAGTTTTCCTAACTAGCGAGATGGAAGCAGTACTAGATATTTACGGAAAGAACTAAATATTTATTAATTAATGATAACGAAGCAATAGGATATCGTGGTACCGGTAACAGGGATATACTAATAGAGCATAACTTTCGTACCTTCATCTACTAATATCACACCGCAACCGAGCAACCTTTAGCACCACCGCCGCGCCAGTCTCGGCCCACGCAGACACCACCGCGACAGAAAACAGTCACTCTCGCTTACCGCAGCATCCGTCTGCAGGATCATCATCCACAAAAACGAATGGCCAGCGTGCACTCACCACCCCCCATCATCGTACTTGTTTGTCACAGCAGAAAATTTTTTAATTAGTCAAACAAACACTTCTTATTTGTCTGATCACTTTTAGTTTTTAATTAAACTGGAGGTAAATCATTCTGAATATACTATTCATTTCCCAGGAAAGAGTTCTCTGCAGTTCACAAGTTCCTTGATTCGATTCTCCTGTCTTTTTCTCAGGTGTTTTTAGAATCGCTGGTCTTTTATCTGCCGTTTCCAACTTTTTCCAATCTTCTTTATTGAAGCACTTTTAACTAAGTACCTTCAATTCAATCGGTTCCTTACCAACCGTATCAGCCGAACGAGCTTTTCACTAAGTTTTCGTTTGATTTTTTCACCTCCTTTGTTGGAATCCACAAATAACCTTACTCACTCGTGATATGTATCACACCCCAGGTTATAACTCCGGCTTGGGAACCGCCGGCCACCGTGCCAGCAACTCCATCAGTTACTTGAACAACTTCAACCTTGATCACAAAAAGAGACCGGTTGCTCCAACGTCATCTCACTATTTCCCTCCTCCACCTCCAGGAATGCATCAAAGTTCTCCTGCTCACTCAGCCCTTCAACCCTCCATCGTGGGAATTGTTCCTCCACCACCCATGGCCATCCAGAACCCTCTCATGATGAACATGGGTTTAATGAACCCTCCTCCACAATACGCTCCGCCTTATCAACATCCACACCCGCTTCAAATGGCACCTCCTTCCCATCACCTTCACCCACAGGCCCCCGCTCAACAAGCGCAGCAGCCGCCAACTGGAGGCATTAACTCTGTGTTGGAGTACGACTTGACCAATATGTCGACGTTTTTGAGTTGGTGTGCATTTGGAATGTTGAAGCAAAACAGGAACCCTACCAAGGATTTTGAAGGCTTGGTAAACTCGGTACTATTTGCTACCAGGTTACCCAAAAGTACCATCATCATCGCCTTGGAGTACATGAATCAACGGTTTTCGTCCAAGGGAATCAACACCTTGTCGGAATCGGAAATCTTCATCAAGTTGATTGTGGGATTGATTCTCGGTAACAAGTTTAACGATGATAACACCTTTACCAACCGGTCATGGTGTGGGGCCACGGGCTTGCAAATCTCCGTGTTGAACGAGGAAGAAATGACGTGGTTGCAGGAAGTGAAGTGGAACTTGAATGTGGTAAACTTTGAGAGTAACATCATTACTTTAGAAGAATGCTGGAAAACTTGGTTGGAAAAATACACTCCTAAAGATGTTTCGGTTTCGACTTACTCGAGTCCCGTGTATTCAAACCCAAGTATACCATCGTCTCCAGTTTCTCCTGATTACAATGTTTACTATCCATCATCTTCTCCCACGTTACCTTACTCCAATTCGTCTCCAACCAAATACCTGGATGCTATGTGGAACCCCCAACAACCTGTACCGCACCTAGCTGTTCAATCACTTCCCTCAAATGCAAATGTGAATCACCATCAACACCAACACCAACACCAACACCAAAACAGTATTTGGTCTTATACGCCCAATTACCCTAACAACCTACCAATAAGCCACCAACCAATTCAGTACTTGAATTCTAATTTTGTCGGCTACACCAACCCCTACTACACATTTAACATGGCTTCTTGTTAATGTATTTATCAATGTTTTGCCCTGTCTTTTACTATTATTATTACTTATGCTCTGGGTAAGGGTCCCAGCCTTTTCAAATTTCTGGCTCCATTTGACTTTTATTTTTTTTAGTTGAATATGGTTTATATGTTTAGAATCCTATATTATAGATATCAAAAACTACCTGAACTTATCTAACTCACTTGGCCTCGAACTCGTTATCATCTTCTTCGTCGTCTTCTCTGAGTCCCTCCTGGGCCAACTTCTCAGACGCCTTTTGGAAATCAATAACCTTACCTCTAGTTCTTCTACCACTGGTGATGATGTTGGTGGTGTCGATTTCGGACAAATCATCATCTTCTCCGTCATCAAAGTTTTCTCCTCCATCGTCTTCTTCCTCGTCATCATCATCCTTTTCGTCATCAGACTTCTCTTTTCCAACCGTGTCCTCGTACTGTCTTCTTCTCCGCTTTTTCTTGTCTTTGTTGGTTTTTTGGGGCTCTTTGCCATCAACTTCATCAATTGGCCTCTTTTTTTCAACAGCATCGTCCTTGATTTCCACCTTCTCAATAGTACCCACTTCCTCGGTGGCTTTTTTGGTTTCCTCTTCCGACATGTTTATAACAATTACTTGGAGTTGAAAATTTTGTGCGCACTTTTAATATTTGCTTCACACTCATCATGGTACGTTTAAAACTAACAAATACTCTGCCCAATATATATACTAACTCTTCCAAGTCCCAGATTCCCATCACGAAGAAGACAAAGATGTCTGAACTCCTACATTACAGGCTCAAGGTATCCAGCATCGACGGCCGTAGTTTCATTGGTAATTTACTCGCGTTCGACAAGCACATGAACTTGGTTTTATCAGATTGTGAAGAAGTACGGATTCCTAAAAAGTCGCTTCAGGACCTCAAGAAGGGCGTGGCCACAGAGCCCCGCGAACTTAAAACCAACTTGGGGCTCATCATTCTCAGGGGGGACCAAATAGTCAATTTGACTATCCAAAGCCCTCCAGTGACAAACCCCAAAAAGAGGCTCGGGTTGGAAAAGGGAAAAGGCACAAGCAAACCGTTGAAAACTCCCGTCAGCGTGAAGTCCAAATTCAAAGGGTTCAGGGGCCAGTGATGAATTGCACGGTAATGTAATATATAAATATATATTAATGTGAAAAGAAGTATACAAAGAAGGCTTAACATAACACTCATTTACCAAAAAGCACAACGCTTTTCTGCTTAGCAGCAGTTAGCATTATTCTTACTCTTCTTTTCCTGAGGAACGGGGGTCAAAGAAATAGTGGCGCCCGAAGAAGGTTTGGCAGATGGTTGGTCGTCAGTCTCTAATTGATGTTTGCTGATCATTTCATAGATATTCTTCAATAACTGGTGGAAAGACAAGTCGACGTTGTCAGAGTTCAAGGCCGAAGCTTCGGTAAACAACAAGCTGTTTTCGTTGGCAAAGTTTTTGGCTTCGTCAGTTGGAACCGCTCTAAGATGATCCAAATCACTCTTGTTCCCCACCAATTCTATGACAATGTTGGCGTCAGCGTGCTCCTTCAACTCCTTCAACCATCTGGAAACGCTCTCGTAACTTTCGGTCTTGGAAATATCGTAAACTATCAAGGCACCCACGGCACCTCGGTAATAGGCACTGGTAATGGCTCTATAACGCTCCTGACCGGCGGTGTCCCAGATCTGCGCCTTGACTCTCTTGCCATCAATTTCCAAGGTTCTGGTGGCAAATTCCACTCCAATGGTGGATCTGCTGTCCAAGTTGAACTCGTCTCTGGTGAATCTGGACAACAAGTTGGACTTTCCAACTCCCGAATCTCCAATCAAAACTATCTTGTACAAATACTCGTAGTCGTATGAGTAGTCGTCTGTGTTGTCAACCATGATGCTGGGTTATATGATAAAGCTGTTGTGGTTTTATGTTTGTGGTGGATCCTTCTCTTCCTCCTGGTGGTATATCAAAAAATTGGGGGTTTGCGCTTGGGAAAATCGGTTCGAAAGCTCCGGGTACAAGTGTGCAACTATTGGTGATAAATGGGGGGTGCGTCTGCTGGAAATATGTCAATTATACACACAGCTATTGAGATCAATTAGGGTGTGTGATGTCAACAACCAATTTTGTTCAGTGCGAAAGAAAATTGTTGGTGGTCGTACCGAGCCTCAACTTTCGCCCTGCCAGTCTATTGTTAGTAGTCGAGATTTCTATTGCAAAGAACATTATATTTACTAAATTATACAAACTGGGGAGAAAACCACTACGTTCAACCATAATATACAACTTCCTAGTCTCTGTACCGGTTCTGGTCTTCTCTGGCAGCCTTCTTTTCCATTTCGTCCCAGTCGTCACCATCGCTCTCTTCACCAACATCTTCTGATCCGGACCCAGAGTCTGAACCTGCTTCAGAATAGTCATCCTCGCCTTCACTGACAACCTCCTCATCACTAGGATCATCGTCACTGGCTTCGAATTCACTTTCTTCATCCTCTTCTTCTTCATCACTAGACTCTCCAGTACCAGTTAAGAACGACCAACCACCATCAACAAAGAACTGGTATGGGTCTGCCAACACTGTTTTCATGATACTTGGCCAGTTCAAGTTCATCTGTCCTTCACTGATAGGAATGTCCACGTCCGTCAACCAGTTTTTCACGTCTTCAATTAATTCCATTGGAATGGTGTTGATGTGCACCACTGGCTTGTTGAGGTCCTTGAACACAAATACGAGGTCAAAGTTCTTCAACCCAAACTGAACTCTTTCCAAGTGGGCGATTTCGATTTCCTCTAACGTGATTACCAAGTACGGCGGATCGATTAATTGCACCAAACAGTCTCTGGTTGGCATACAGAGTACAGCAGACCTGAATGGAACACCTTGGAATCCCAATTCTCTGAATGGGATGTCCAAGTCAACTCTTCCGTGAGATGAGTCTGCAATCAACTGAGCAAAATTTTTGAACTCTTTGTCCAAGGCTGCCTTTCTTCTTCTTTCTTCTTGTTCTTGTTGCAACTCGTCTTCATCCCCATATCTGTATTTTCTCTTTCTACCTCCAGTTTCATCGAAGGCAATATCACTAGCTTCTCTGTAGAACTGGATATCATAAGTCTTTTTCAGCTTACCAATCATGATTGGGTGCACCAAATGACAGTGGATTAATACGATCAATTCATCTTTACATGGTTGGAAGAAAAGATGTTTGATATTGGAGAATAAAATATCCACCTTCTGCTCCAACTTGAAACTCGATTGATATCTGAGACCGTTTTCGTGGATCGACAACACTCCTCCAGCTTTCTTGGAGTCGAGTTGAGGCCTGAGTAAAACATTTTCCAACCTTTTCAGTCTCGAGCCCTTTAGTTCAATCAAACTGGCTTGTGTAACCACATCTTCCAACTGCTTTCTTTCTTGTTCTCTCTTCATCGAATCTTTCTTCAAATCCTGAATGGCCTTGTACACATCTACCATCCTTTGACGATCTCTGGATCTAAACGTGAAGGATCTGATGAAAGTGTTGTCAGGATTATCCTCATAAGGTAATTCTTGTTTCTTGGACCCAGCACCTCCAGACCCAGGAGAGTTGAAGTTCAATCTCAAGTAAGTGAAGTCACCTTCTTCGTTCTGAGACCCATTTTTAAAAGAGTTGATGTGGAATGGAACCGGTCTTCCGCAAACAGGGAGAATAATGGTTTGGTTTTTGTAGTCCACATGGATCTTCAAGTCTCTTACGTTACTGGGAATCTGTGATTCCCGGATGTATGAATCATACTTTTTGAAAATTGGCTTGTAGTCAGACTCGTCAGTAGCATCGGCCTTAGAGAATCTCGACAACCCTTCTTGTAACCTCTTCTCATGTAATTTGCTTTGTGTTTCTCGTCTAATTTGTTCCTGGTTCAAATTATCCTCATTTTGGGTGGATTCGTTTCTTAACTTTTGTTTCAAAATCTTCGAATTGTTCTCGAGAGACCCTAACTTTCTCTCAGTCTTAATGTCCTTTTCGGACTTCAACTTGGATTCGTTACCATCTAACTCATCCTTGATGTCATTCTCCTTAAAGTAAAATGAAACATCAGGCTTGCTTCTCAAATGATTACTCAAAACATTGACTTCGGACTCAGTAACCTGGATAGTATCATTCAATAATAAGGCGTATGGGTGTTTCGTAGTCTCGTTGGTCAAATCATTGAATCCAATGGCCAACGAGAAAATCTGGTTCTTTTGAATCTTTCTGTTGCTCTTGGCGTTCAACAAGAATGAAGAGTCCCTAAACTCGATACCCATCAACCAACCACAGTTCTTGGTGAAATGACTAACCAAATCGGGTCTTTCGGTTTCAATGAACTTAATGGCCTCGTGATAGATTTCACTGCTGGATTTTCCAACCTTAATAATATCACTGACCAATGCGTTTTGCAACTTGAGCAAAAACTCAAAGTTGGTATCCATCTGCTTAGTAGGATTAATCAAAAATGTTCTGCCGATATTGGAACAGTAGTTTCTGTATCTCAAACCTATGGAACACAAAATTGCCCCATCTCCTACCAAGTTCTTATTATTGGATTGGGCACTGGGCTTCAAGTCAAACTCTCTTCCACTTTGAATGATCGGGTTGTAGCACCACTCGATTTGGTCAGGATCAACTTTGCCACTCAACAACCGCTTTCCCAAATCGCTTTGGGCAAACCACCTGGGGTTATCGATACGGTTTTCGATCTGGTCACTCAATTTAGCATGGGAAATTTTGGTTTCTTCATCCACAATCTTCATCATCTCGTTACTGAAAAGATCCAACATGACCATCGATGACTTGGCAGCCAACTTGATCAAATCGATCTCCTCATCATCTTTGCTTTCCATCGACTTGGAAAGCAACAAGGTGCAATCAGCAAACTTCAAGTCTTTATCGTCCTTAACCAACTCTTGCCATTCTTCTATGAATTTGCCCTTGTACTTGGCCTTTTCAATCTGTCCCACAGCTGCAGCACCGGCGTCCTTCAAGATTGCCACTACTTTGGAAAAAATGGCTTTATTGTGTTCCGCGTCCTTGTTTCTAATAAGAATCTCAACGTTGGAGGAGTTGGGAGTCGGTTTATCGGTCAAATGAGTGATGTGCTTGGCCTTACCCTCAGACGTGATAATATAGCAGTTATTCTGGTTAATGAAGATGCCGGTGTGGGGAAACTCGTATCCCAACAACCAGGTTTGCAAAACGGTAGGCTTCTTATAGGTATTGTCATCATCTTTTCCTCCCACCAAGAAAGCCAAACTGGAGAAGGTAGCGACATCACTGGTCAAGTTCTGTTGAATAATGCTCAACCTCTTATGGAATTGATTGGCATCGATGTTAATTTCTGACATCCTATAACGTTAGTCCTGATGGTGATCACGGCTGGACGACTAGGGTTTTGCTGCTTAAATTTTTCACGCAAGCGCGCGCACTGGTGGGAGAGAGTGGCACTGTGACACAAAACCCGCCAAACGCGTTTTGGCTTTGTCGCGTAGGCAGCAAAAAAATACACACAAACAACTACAACTACAGCTACAACTACTACTTAACATGTTTAGGCAAGCCAAGAGAAGAACGGCCGGGCGCCGAAACTTCGACACCAAGAACGTGATCTACCAATCGTCCAAATTGGCGGCGTTGTACACGTCCAGGCTCTCTTTCTACGACATTCCTCCGCTTGAAGAAATCACCTTGGAAGAGTTTGAAAGTTGGGCCATAGACAGATTGAAGGTTTTGATTGAAATCGAGTCTTGTACTGCCAGAAGCAAGTCGTTCAAGGAAATCGAACAGATCATCAAGCCGGTGGTAAACAAGTATCTTCCATTGTCACCATTAATTGAAGGTAAAAATGATGCCCAGGTGTTACAGGAACGTAAAAAGGACCACTACAGCCACTATATTTTGCGGTTGGTGTTCTGCCGCACCGATGAGTTGAGGAAGAAGTTTGTCAAGAACGAGATGCTTTTGTTCAAAATCAGATATGGCAACATGCAGTTGTCTGAGAAGAGCCAGTTTATTGAATTGCATAACGATACATTGGACTGGAACTATATCGGGGCTGAAGAGAAGACTGAGCTTTTCGAGGACTTGTTCAATGCCACCAGTGCCAGCATCCGTACACAAATGATGCTTGACAATGAGAAGCTGACCATCACTGGTGAACAGTTAAGACAGCACATTCTCCGGAACGAGAGCTTTATCAAGCTACCGTTCGAGAAAATCCCCAACTTGGTGGGATCTAGGTCCATCTTGGTTCGCCAGGGTTACGGGTACATCCCCACCAGCTTCCAGTTGAACTTGTTGGTAATTGAAGTCCAGGAGAATTTGTCCAAGAACTTGGTCAAGACCTTCCAGGCAATTCCCCGTTTGGACGAAGATGACCGGTTGGTACCCTTGTTGCAGGCGTTATCAAAGAACTTCTCGAGTGTTCAATATGATAGCAATTTCGGTGATGAAAGTGCCAGTGACATCAATGCTACATCCATCACCTCTAACAAGATCATGAGCCATTATCCGTTGTGTGCCAAAGTGTTGCAAAAGAGTTTGGTGGCCAACCATCACTTGCGGTTTCAAGGCCGTCAACAGCTCTCATTGTTCTTGAAAGGAATCGGGTTGAACGTGGACGAAGCATTGAGGTTCTGGAGTACCCAGTTCACCTCTGGTAATACCGGCATCTCCTTGGAAAAATTCAACAAGGAATACAAGTATAACATCCGTCACAGCTACGGGTTGGAAGGGGCCCGTATCAACTACAAGCCTTGGGACTGTGCCACCATCTTGTCCAAGCCCAAGCCCAACAAAAGTGAATCGCATGGGTGCCCATACCGAGACCTAAAACTCGAGGTGCTTGTGGACAACTTGAAAGATATGGGTATCACCGAACAGTCAGACTTGAATGTGATCATAGACGACGTCAACAAGAACAGCTATACGGTTGCATGTACGCGAGTGTTCGAGTTGACGCATAAGAAGCAGTTAAAGCCCAATGAGAACTTGCATATCAACCATCCCAATCTCTATTTCGACCGGTCCCGTCAACTAGAAAAAGCCCAAAGCTAGAATGTCTATTTATCTATGTAATATAAGGACGGTGCCAGACCATAGAGTAGTATCAGGTGCCGGACCTAGAGTTGTAACGAGGCCATCACGTCGCGGAACCCCCACCACGACGCTCCACATCCACAAACCCCAACCCAGAAAGGTGTCAAGCACCCGTCGTACAAACTCCAGTGTAACACCAACGGCATCTGGATCACCTGCTTGAACATGCTGATTTTCCACGATCGGTTCCAGTCCTTGACGGGAGTTCTCCTCAACAACTCCATGATCTCCACCAAAATGTACACCCCCCACACTCGACAACACCAAATATACGTGAAAATACACCACCAATTGTTGTCGCCAGTGGCCACCCAGTCGTGCTCCGTCAACCACCCGGCATTCTCAAGCAACTCCAACACAAAGCAGTTCAACGACTGCAATAAGTTGATGAAGCGGGTGAATTTGGGAGTATCACTGGAGGGTAACAAAAACGCATTAAACTCTCCCGCTATCCATGGCACGTACTTTATACAGTCGCCCAAGCGGTTGAAGATACGCACGTCAGCCACGTACGTGTTGATGTTCTTCAAAATTTTGCCGAGTGTTGAAGGTTTCTCCACAAGTTGATGCTCTACTGCCAACCGGTTGAGCCATTTGTTTGGAGACAGGGCAAGGCTCACGCCAAATCTGGTCTCCACGAGCTTGACGAGCTTGAGTCGCTGGTCTTGTAAAGAGCGTCGGATGGAGGTTTTGTTATTGAGAATACTGGACACAAGCAAAGCGAAATAGCAGGTGAAGTATAAGACGGAATCGATGGTGGATGCTTTGGTCAACACCTTGTCGTTAAGCTCCTGGTAGAATTTGGGGGACAAGATGGTTTTCTTCAAGGCTCTGTTGAGCAGAAGCAACATGCCGAGTGGAATACCATTTCCCTTTGTGGGCACTGGTGCAATAGCCATAGACATTGTTTGAAGTTTGATTTTCTAAAGGAGTCGCAATCACCTCGGACGCAATTCCCCAAAGCAGTCATAGTACACACTCAATATTATATCCATTAAATTACATGCTAAATATCACTTATCCTGGGAAGAAGACGTCTGGTTATTGGATCTAAAGGTTTCCAAGTTCATCTCTTCCTTTCTAGCGTAGGAGTCCATGGCTGCTTGATCGGCAGATCCCACAGCCTCTAATACAACCTCGTTGATTTCTTCAACGTCGTCATGGACTTGGGGAATAAACAAGTTGAGGAAAACACCCACAAATCCCGTAACTGCAAACGAGGTTTCCATCACCAACACAATGGCGTTGAAGAATCCTTGCTTACCGGTGTTTCCTCCTGTGTAAGTGAAAATATAATCAAAGTAGTCAGGAACCAAAAGAGAACCAAGACCTGGTAATAACGAGGCAGTCAACACAAATCTGTCTCTTCTGGTGAACTCGGTGGTGGAGATAATCTTTAATCCTGACACTGCCACCGCACAGAACAAGAAGGAGGTCATACCTCCCAAAATGCATTTTGGAATCGAGATGATGGCAGCTGCAAACTTGGAGAAAATCCCCATAACAATCAAGAAAAACGCACACCAGTATCCGGCTCTTCTGTTGGCACACTTGGTGACGGAAATAACACCATTGTTTTGAGCAAACGTCGACACAGGGGTAATGGTCATCAAACCTGCCAAAAGCCCGTTGATACCATCAGCCAAAACACCTCCCTGGATACGAGATTCATAGACTTCACCTTCCACTTCCAATCTCGACACATCGGAAGTGGCAGTGATATCTCCAATGGCTTCCATCATCAACACCACGAACATGGCCAAAAATGGTAATACCACTGGTCCGTACACCTTCAATGGGAAAGTCTCCACCCACATAAACGTGAAGGTTCTGGCAGAGGAAATGGTGTCACTGGAGAAGTATCCACAAGCAGCACCAACAATGCATCCCACCAACAATCCCACAATCACAGCACAAGACTTCATGATGGGAGAACCAAATCTCTCAGCAAGAATAATGGTAAAGTACACAAGGAAACCAAGACCAAAAAACTGGCCCGAACCCCAAGGAGCAGTAGTACCATTGGCCGACGAACAAGTACCATCGGTACATCCAGAACCACCCATCCAGTCCTCAAATCCAGATTGCACCAAACTGGTACCGATCAACAACACCACTGGTCCCGTGACAATTGGAGGGAAAATCTTTTGCAAGATCTTAGGGGGCAGGAAACTCAACAAGATTTCAAGCAACGCACACACGGTACCGGTAGCCAAAAGTCTTCCGTAACCTTCAGGACATGGTTGATTGACTCCATCAATAACTTCACAAACTCCTGACAGGTACATCACTGGTAAAGCCTTACTGACAATGGAAATGGTGGCAAATGAAGTTCCCACCACAGACAACAATCCGGTTCCGATGTAGTAAGGAGTTCCCCAGATGTGAAACCGAGTAATTTGAATGGACGATAAGATACCCGTCACAATCAAACACGAAGAAACCAAATATTGCTGGGTTTCGGCCGGTAAGTTGGCGGAAACCGAAATCAAAATGGGAGGACTAACCACCCCAGCCAACATGGCCAAGGCATGCTGGAATCCCAAAAGTGCTCCTAAAAATAAGGGCATTTCACTGTTTAACCCAAAAAATGGTTGAGTCTTGGGTTCCTTTTTGGTGAAAGGAAGGTCGGGCATAAACAAGTACCCATAATCGTAATCACCAAAGAAACCTTCTTTGGTGGTCCACTTCTTGAACACACGCTTGGCGCCACTCTTTAAATCTGCCACTTGTAACATTAGTTTGGTGTGGTTCCTACTGGATAGCGGGTGGGCGACCACTTATATAGAGATTTTTCTGCGCATCTTTCTTTATCAAAAGTGCCTAATGGGTAAATGCGAAAGGCAATTTCTAGTTATCTTTTCTCTTCAGGTATTTTTTGCACTGGTTTACCAAGGATTCTTCCGGTAAATCTCTTTGCCGAATGCATAATGCATTAGATAGTTATTCTATGCGGAGGTCTCGCTTCTCGTTTTTATTTAGTCTACCCACGATTGTGTATGTAAAGTTCTTTGTTTGTGGATGATTGATTGGTTCGTGATGAGGTGCTAGTATGATGAGATGTATATTTTTTACTCCACCATTTGTCCTATTTGGTGTTATCAGTAATCTTAACGCCTGAGATGCTGACTGGGCGAAGATCGAACCCTGAGATGAAATGGAGTTGCGGGCCTTAGGGCCGATTAAAACTGCCTTATCGGTGGGGGCCGTCCGCCAATGATAAGGCTGCGAGCAGCGGGTTTGTCCGGGCGCGCGGCCATCTCCACCGCCTCTGGCCGTTGGCCACCTTAGTGTGTATTCCAGTACTGGAGTCGGTGTAGGGCCAGTGCAGGATCGAAACTTGGTCGGGTGTTAGGTAATGTTGCCGTTAGTATGCGGTAAGCGTCTGGGCTCGAGAAGCCGTTTTACTTGTTCCGGAATTGCGATTTTTACTTTGGTGTTGGTAATCTCGTCCTCATCTGCTACTATCTGTGGAACTATCAACTGCCTTCGTTTCCTCTGCTTGGGGGCCTTGGCAGGCTCTGATACTGCCTCTGTCTCGTTATGAACCAGCTCGAACTGTCGGAGCTGCCCGTGACGCCGCAGATATTTTTCTATCAAAAGACGGAGTTGACCCATAAAGAAAAGAAAATCGTCGCATTAGACCGTGTACATTTGTATATTAGAAACTACATATTACTGGCACAGTAGAAAAGGCAGTAGGTAAGACTTAATCCGTCATCCAAATAAGCGGCCTTCCAGCTATTCTTGAAAAAATCGTACGCCTTTTGGGCGTTCACAAGACTGTAATTCATCATACATGTCGACATCCAGTTGTCCTGAGAAAGCAGATTTTGTAAATCTCCCCATTCACTGGCAACAAATGCCTTCGACCGGAAGTACGACGAGAGTGGCGTCAAGGGAATCATGTGGATCCCGTGTATGTAACTCTCGTAGTTTCCAAAGTACGTTGTATGATCCACCTTGTTTTCAAAGTAAATTCCGCTCACCTTGTTGTACACAAACTCGGAGGGCATGATGGTGTTATTTTGATAATAGAAGTAGCTGGTAAGACTCGAGTGCAAGATACCCAACACCAAGTTGGCACAGGCCTCGGCATTGGAGTGCCCCGTTACCTGGGTGTACAATTTGATGCCATAATAGCAGTTGTATTCTTCGCTCGTGCTTTCCTCGTCCTTACCATCACCACTACTGTACAACCCTTTGGCCCAGCTGTGGCCATAGTGGAAGTCGAAGTTCCGTGTCAACGGGAAGTAGACATTCAGGGCATTGACATTGAACACATCCATCACCAACAGCTCTACCCAATTTTTGACGGTGGTCTTGAAGGAGCCACCCCCAATCTCGTTGTCGATTTTGATGATAATGGCACAGGCATGGATGTGGTACCCATAGTGGAAGTGGTGGTCATTGTAGTGGCCGTTGCCGAAGTCGGCATCCTTCTGGGCACTGCTGACGACCCCTCCAAAGCTGGTGTCATAAAACAAGGGGTTTTGCTGGGTGTTGTTGATGAACCGGTTGTAGGCAGATTTAATATTGGCCAACAACGCCTTTGAAGTGGCGGTATTCTTCACCACGTAATGTGATATGTACAAGAGCATGGCGAACTTGAGGAACTTCTTGCCGGAGAAGTACATGGAGTCTGAGTTGGTTTCGGAGCTGATATCAGCAGTTGCGTCAACTGCGAGCTGTGTTTTCAAATCTGAAAGTACGGACGAACTAACCAGTTCCTTCTTGAAGGAGAACCCGGTGCTAGGAGGTGAGACCGTCATGCGAATGGATGAGGTAATACATCCGGTCAACTTGCCCATCACGCACGAGTTGGTGGTGATATTGCACACACTTCCTTTTGTGGAGGTATCGAAATTTGCAGCCATGTGAGGAGGAGCAAACACCAAAGGCTTCTTGGCCAAAGATGTGCCCTTGGTGGTGTACTTCCAGGTATACGATGACGACGTGGTCGACACGGTGGCATTGGTGATGTAGCACCCGGCCACCTGGTCGTAGTAGTCATAGATGCCAAAGCCTATTTGTACCACGAGCAGATCCACTCCTTTTTGAAACACAATCAGCGACTGAGTGAACTTCACCGAGATCTTTTGGCTCAAGTACATGGTGTAGACGGCCCCATTCAAAAGGGTGATTTTCATCTTTTGAAGGTTGGAGTTTTGGCATGTTTGACCTTCCACAGACTTAAACCCAACACTGGAGTTGATCTGGGGATCAACGAGTTGTAGATGGCGGTAACGAGACCCATGCCCTGGACCAAGGGCACCGACAATTCCCCCACGCTGTTGGAAAACTGGGGAGTCACCATAAACTTGTTGAGCAGGCTGATTGTAAACTTCGGAGCGGTGGTGAAGTCAGACGACGTGAACGTCAAATGGTTGATTCCCGCCGGGTAGTAGAAGTACTTGACGGGGGTGGGACTGTAGACCAAGTCGGAGGGTATGGGGTAGTATACATTGCAGTTTTGTTCATCAAAGGTAAACTTGTAGGGGTTTGTCCACACGGGTTGATCGTGGGAGTCAAGTAAAAGGTTGGCGTAGAAGTTGTTTGTTTGGATGGGCAAGGAAGCTGGCACGTATGAGGGACGGGAGACTTCTCCGGCCTTGTTGGGGAAGACAGTTTTGGGGTTTAAAGTGGAGATATCACCACTGAGAGACATGAGGATAATGGTAAGTTTACAAATGGCTGCAAAATTTGCGAGAAATAGAAACTGGAGAAAGAGGCAAATATGATTGTAGTATGTTAGTAGACACGCAAAATAGTGGTGTAGTACTGGTACAGTGATGGGTGGTGCTCTTCCGTACGCTAGTTCCAACGGTTCCGAATCGGGACTCAGGTCACGTGGTCTCTTGTACATGTTTTCCCTTTCAGGGCATAGGTCGACGTGCGCGCACCAATTGCCCATCGACGTCACCAGCAATGCAAAAGCATACTATCGGAAACGTAAATTCCAAAACCGTCGTCTACGCATCTTCGCAATTTCAACACCCTATACGCTCTGAACAATAAGGCCAAGGAACGATTTCTCTCGCAGAAAATATTTTCGGCCGTTCACAATAAAACAAAGGAAGCCCCTGAAGATGTCATGGCTCCCACATGCACCGCGGATGATCTAATCGCTTCGGGAATACAAGACTGGAAGCTACCGGTTCCTCCTGAAACGACAGTGCAGTGCCAATCTCGATCATTGGTGCAGGCTTATTGTGACGTGAGATTAGATCGAGTAATGTAAAGACACACGGGTTAAGGGCTGGAGAACCAGCGACAGCAGAACAATTCGCCAGGGTTCATATACTGTACTGCACTGGTGGGTGTATCAGGTTACATTTCACCTGTGCCAACTCACCTCGGATATATGACAGAGTCAACAATAATCATCATGCCGTTCCGCACCGCTGCACCTCGGCTGTTATTATCGCGCTAACTTGCCGCTGGCCGCTCACCTCGTATGCAAGCACCTGAAATACGAGGGGGGGTGTTTGGAACTGGTCTCAACAATATCCCACATACGAGATCCGACCGTCCAGTCCCCCTTCCGTCAACTAGTACCTGAAGGACCTACCACCACCTTTCTAGCCCTACCACCGGCTTCCGCAGGTGTCCTTACCAGACACCCCCGTATCATCAGGTACCAATGGTGCGGTCACGTGGCTCCCCCTGGCCACCCCCTTATTACTCCCTGGATGCCCACTACCCAACCGTCTCTGACCTTGGTAGTTTTTTCGTAATGGCCCAGACAATTCTCTTAGTGCTCGTCGCCACCCACGTTCGTCAGCCCGCACCGCCTTTCGTGTCCTTCCCCATCGTACGAAACCTTAACTCTCAAATACGACATACAACTTTATTTGTGTCGGCAATTTGGAACTGTAATCAGCCCATCCTTACGGACGTACTTGTTTCTCTATCTTGGCATCAGGTAATCTACCATGCTGGCGAATAATGTTTAAATGCTCACGAATATTGTTTAAGGTTTAAGTACGTCACATGAGGTGCAAGGGTTGTGAAGGTACCAACACAAACCATTTAATCCAGCACAGCGCCTGTCCATAGCCACAGGGTTCCAACCCCAACCACCCGAGTGGATTGACCAGTGAGGCAAACGTCTTGCAAAGAAAACGATGTTGTATAGCATCGCACTTTCCCCCCTGCATTTGCGACATTCGACGCATATATTCGGACAGCTATTAATCCCGGTTGAAACAGCAGGTCGAGGGTTGGAGGTCCTAGAGACCCAAACACGCCTGTTTTTCGTATTCTCAAAATTTCCCAGATTCCCTGCACCAACCCCCTAAAAATAACCATCGAATCCTCTTCTTCCCAACTCCTCCTCGTTTTGGTCGAATTTTTAAAATACGAAATTATTTTTAAGGTACCATAAAGTTAAGTGAAAATGGTATTGGTTCAGTCAGTAGGGTCATCGGTGAGAAGAACCCCCAATTGCCTCAAGACCAATATCTCGATAAATTCCTTATATTGTTTAAGGTGATCCCCGTTACTGGAATCCATCCCTTGGTATTGTTAAAACTCACTCGGTTTTTTGTGTCATGCCGTGTTATTTTTAAAAAAAACATTCTCTTTGTGAAAATTATTTTTATTGTGCTTGAGTTTTTATTGCGCAGAAAAAGTACCTTTCCCCTTCGTTCAGTTTTTTGCATTTTTTAACTTGCCAGCTACTTGTTTTTCTTGATACGTGATCGTTACTTATCTTTCCAAACGGTCAGAGAATCACCCGTCCCAAAGCCCTTTATCGTCCAGATTCATTGTCATCACCTCCCTGTTGTTCCTCCCGTGCTCCCCTTCCACCAGCCCCTACATGAACTCCAAGCTGTATGACAACTCGGACGATAAGTCCTTTAAAAAGGCACTCCAATCGGCTTCTAACCCCCAACTCCTGCTATCCAATAAGAAGAGAAACACCAGAAGAAAACATCGAAATTCCCACCTCGGCTGTGGTACTTGTAAGAAGAGGCGAATCAAGTGTGACGAGAATTTACCATCTTGTTTGAATTGTTTAAAGGGTAAACTTCATTGTGCATATTTGAATCTTGATCCCAACGCCAGAAATGCCCTAAGAATGGCCCAGTATAACCAGAATTTGCGGCACGAAAAGTTGAGTGACGACGATTCCGATCCCAACTCCAACACGAATTTAGCCGCCGGGGATTTCAAACGTGAAGACGTTGCCAACCCTCAACTCCCCCAGATCCCACCGGTGGCACCAATGTCCGTGCCGTTGCTGGTACCGCAGGCGGGGTCGGCGTCCTCCTCCTCCGCTAACCCCCACCACCATTTAGCCATAGGCAACCATCTTCTGAGCCTCATTCCTCCCATTTCCTCCGTATTACCGTCCGGCTCCGGTGCCCAGTCCACTAGTCAGGCGTCATCTCTGTCGCCCAGCTCAGACGTAGCCACACCCTCTTCTTCACTGGCTCAGGATAAACGGTTCAATACGTTGGCTCCCAATACCGATAGTCTGACCTCAGCTACTAGCTCTGCGTCGCTGGCCCCGAAACTGCTTTCTGATTCCACTACTGCCAGTGCCAACGGCGGGGGTTCTGGTACCGTCACTAGAAACAATGACTCGGCCTCCACTCCTAATCCAAATGCCACCATCATCCAGACCCCCTACGGGTCCCTCGTTCAGGTGCAAACCTACCCAGTCTCCAATGTCGTGTACTCAAACATGGGCGTGCCCATGCAAGTTCAAACCATGCCCCAGGTGGTGCAAATGCCACTCCCGCTTCTCCAGAACCAACTCCAGTTAAATGGCGTGCAACAGGTACAGAACGTTCCGGGAGTCCAACAGAATGGCACCCAAATCCCCTTGGTGTTGAACCAACAACAGGTGGTGGTGGCCCAAGCACAGGCCCAGGCCCAGGCCCAGGCCATGCAACAGGCCCAAGTCATACAACAAGTCCAGGCGCAGGTGATGCAACAGGCTCACGCCCAGGTGATGCAACAGCAGGCCCACGCGCAAGTGATGCAACAGCAGGCCCAGGCGCAAGTGATGCAACAGCAGGCCCAAGTCCAGGCTATGCAAGTGGCCCATGCTCAGGCCAATGCGGCGCATGCACATGCACATGCCCATGCTCAGGCTCAGGCTCAGGCTCAGGCTCAGGCTCAGGCTCAGGCTCAGGCTCAGGCTCAGGCTCAGGTACAGGCTCAGGCTCAAGCTCAAACACAACTTATTTTGCCCCAACCCCAAACAAAGAGCCCTCCATCATCACTTCAGTTGCCTCTTGCTCCAATCTCCCAGCAGCCACCACCTACAATTCCTGGCTTATCCGATAAGTCGAGTGACAATAGCACCCACAATACTCCACCGCATAGATTGGCTCCATTAAGCACAAACTATATGGGGAGCTCCGCTCCTTCCATGCATATCACCACCTCCAATCCCATATCTATGGGCCCTGGAGAAGGCTCCATTGCTCTTGCTAAAGACTCATCGAATTCGTCGAAGACGTTTGGCTCGAGCCCCAATATATCTCATTCTCACTCGGCTTCGAATTTGACGGCTATAAAAGACATTAGAATCAAAAGTGAATCTCCAGAAGAAAAGAAACCCATTAAACTCCCTCCTATACAGTCAGAAGATAATGTTCCCACCATCTCCAAACTACTTTCATGAACTATCGGCATCTATTATGACAAAACATCAACTACATGAGTTAGAATTAACCATTTCCCTCATTTGTATTATATTGTAAAACACTTTGTATTATCTGAATAGAAATATGCATCCCCATCTTCGATAATTTTAGGCCCGTTTGTACTTTGTATGTCCGATTAATTTCTTCTCGTATTTTAGAGGGGAACTCTCATCAACTGTAAGGTACCGAATTTCGCAGTTTTGGCGATGCAATATTTATATTTTGGCTGCAAATGGTCGAACCAATTGATGGTTGTAGCTTACACACACAACAACTAAGTAGCTATAATGACCATTAGAGGTGTGTTGGTGGTTTCAAGGAGGCGCAATATCGGGTAACTTATGGTGGTCATCGTCGTATTTTTACGAGTTTAGTTGAAGATGATATTTCTCTTGCATGAGAAATGGCATTAACAGGAAATTATACCCTACAGTTTAAGTAGATAGCATGGTGATCATCAAAGACACAGTAATGTTTTGGGAGTGTATGCTCGTACATATACTGCAGTATACGAGTCTTAGTCGATATTTGTACTATCTACGAACATTAATGACGGTTTTTCTGTGTATTAAAATGGACACCAACGAGTTATGCCGAAAATAGAGTGCTTAAAATACAAAACTCCCTCCGTGATACCTGTATTTTCTCCCGGATGTATCCCCCTGTCCACGTTATTCTACGGTGTTTTTTGTGGACTTATATCATCACTCGGCTGCCTTCTATCCATCATCTTGTATTCGTCGTTTATTGTCATACAAATCGCTTCCTATGGTTGCTACTACTACTTTTTCTTGGTTTTCTTCTCCTCGATTTGCTCCACCTTCTTCTTGATCTTCTTGTCATCGATTTGTTCCACCTTCACTTCGTCCAACCCTTTTTCTTGCAATAATTTTTCAATGAATTCCTTGGCCTCTTCGCTCAAATCACCCTGAACCAAAATTTCTTCCTTCTTATCAGCTGTCTTAGTAATGGAACATCCAGTGGCAAACTTTGAGCTCAATTGTTTGGATAATTTTTTTAACTCGATATCAAAAACTTCCAATCCCGAGATGGAGATGATGTGCTTGCGCTTATTACGCTCGATTCTCTTGATGGTAACCTTGGATGATAACTTCTTAGCCAACTCTCTTTCTATTCTAGCTTCTTCCTTTTGTTGTTTTTTGGCCAAATCTTGGGTGATAGCCGCTTCTTTTTCGATACTTAAGGTGGAAGTAGCATTGGCCAATGCTTCTTCACTGTACAACTTGTTGAACAAATCGGAGTGATTGGCTTGCAACCATTCCTTGCATCGGTTGAAACTCAAGCCAAACTCACAGTACTCAGGTGGGAACGTACATACGTCACAATATAATACTTGTTTGGCTTCCATATTATTTGTACGGATGTAAGGCTTTATATATATATACAATTTTTGTTGTTCTCATTTCTCATGAAAAATTATCGTCGCAGCTGAAAAAACTTCTGACTGGCCGCAAATTCTCGAGTTCGATACACTTCTTCAAACACTTGTTCAATAAGATCTTGTCATCAATTTTTTCGTAGATCAAGCTCAAGAAATACCATACCTCTACACAGTTGTAGCCAATAGGCCAACAATTAAGAAAATTCTCCAAGTAATTTTTCAATCTGATGATTCCTCCATTCATGTCTTTGGCAGAAATGAACAAGGAGGATTCAGTAGAGTCGTCAAGTAAGAATAACTTACACAATCCTAACAAGTTTTCCAAGTAGCTGGTCTTGTCAAACCCGTTGAATTCCTCCAACTTTTCAAGCGATTTCTCGAACTCTTGTAATGATAAGAATTTTTGGTGTTGGGATGTCAAGTATCCCAAAGCAATGTATGTCTTGACATTTGGCTTGTGTATGTTTTCACTTTCGATGATGCATAACTCACTCTCTTCATACATACCAATTTTGAAGTAGATTTTCGATGACCACAACCATATATCATGTAATATTTGTTTAGCTTCATCGTCAATAGTGTCTTTATGCAAAGGTTTTAATTCTTGTTTAACATTGCTAATCTTGCTGATTTTTTTAATGGTGTTTTTAGCATTCTGTTTCTTGGTTGTATGTATCACCGGGTCCTTGATGTATTTGGGGTCGATGAAGCTTGGCCTGTGACTCCACTTTGAGTCGATAAGATAGTTCTTAGATCCGCTCGAGATTTGCTCTTCGTACTTGACGTTGAATAGTTCGTAAAACAAGATGAACACTTCGCTCAAATACTCCATGATATATGAGGTGCCGTACAATCTTTCCCATATTGCCAATTGGGTCAATTTCAATTGAAGAATTTCAGATTTTATGAAAATTGGGATTTCTACCTCATCATTCTTGCACTTGATTATATAGATACCAGCAATGTTCAAGGAGTTGTTGATGAACTTCTCCAGCTCCTTGAGCGAGTTGATCGAGGTCACCAATGACAACAAATTCCATGTCTTGAAAGACTCGGGAAACTTTTTCAATATGAACTTACATAACTTCAAACTGCTGGTAATCTCATTGAAGTAACTCAAGGTCAATGCATAGCTGAATAAGTAGTTGGAGTTCCCGGTAGAATTGACAATTAAACTGTTTTTGTAGTACAACAACAACTTCTTCTGGTATGAATAGCCAATTTCCTGACTTGGGGTTTCAAATGCAAGCAAATAGTAGTAGAAATATCCGAGTGAGAACCAACTAGAGCTTATCAACTCAATGAACCGGCTTTTGTCGTCCAACAACACGTTCGTATTGTACTTGTTGTACAAGAAAGACAAACGATTACCTTCGAATCTCTGTGAGTGTTCATCCTCATCGTAACTCAAGTTGCAATCACGCTTCAAGACAGACAAATACCCTAAAAGCCTTTCACTGAATGTGAACAACTCGGCCACAACCTTCTTGGAGGTGTTATGCTTGAAATGATTTGCCTTGATGGAGTTCAACGGATTGAATCTCGTCAAACACAATGAATAAAGTCCTACAATCGACAAAAGATCGTGAATATGACCGTTGTTGACTTCCTGTTCTTTGTCGACGTAGTTCATAAACGTCTTAAGCGCTGCCAATGCCTCATCATATTCACCCAAGTCAATCAACACCTTTATCAACTGCATCAATACAAGCTGACTTTGGTAGGTACGTTCGGTTAAGCTCACCAAGTACTTCTTACTAGTCTTTAAGTTGATCAACAGTTTGTGTTTTTTACCTATGGTGGAGTAGAAGTTACTCACAAAGTCTTCGATTTCTTCGTTGTTCTCATCAGCATTGGGGAAGATCTTTTTGTCACTTTTGAGCTCATTGAGGATCAATTGGTTCAAGTAGTGGGAGTACTCGACCCTGAAATCCTTGTCAATAACCTTGTTGATGTTGATGTCAAACTTGTAGTTCATCAAGAAGTTACAGTACCTAATGAATGAATTTGTGTTTGCCTTGAATTTCAAAGCACTGACATCCAGAAACGTCAACTGTCGTTCTCCGTGGTTGTTGATGGTTAAACTCAAGTATTTGAACATGATCTCCAACCAGTGATTGGCGGCAACGTTTGTGTTGTTGAAAGGCCTCTCTTTGTAAAACAAATACTCAATCCACAACTGATAACTGTTAGATTTCGGGCCATGATTCACGATCCCAATCAACACATTGAACCGACAAATCAAATAATTGAGGAAATCATTCTGGTTGGACGTCAACTTCAGAGAATGGTAGTGGGAGTTGTTAACCGAAATGGAGTTCAATACTTCATACATCAAATCAGTTTGGGAGTTGAGATAGTACAAATGTCCTAATAAAATTGAACAATATAACTTATCTTGGTACTCCTTATTTATGTGGTTGTAGTTGTTTGTGATCAGCTCGGTATACCCAATCAATTGGGTCAACTTTTCCTGGCAGTTCACGTTATCTTTGTGTTTACAAACATTGGCTGGCACCAACTCGTTGCCGTCAAACTCGTTTTGAATCAATAACTGCAATTGGTAGTCGATGAAAACCAACTGCAGAAGAAAGTCTTGACTATCTTGAAAGTCCAACACATTCTTGGGGAAACATCCCAAGTTCAATGTCTTCAAAATACTATCATTTGCAGATTCAATCAACATGGTTTCGACAACTGTTTGTGAGATAATTTTTCGATGCTTGAGAATTCCCCAATATTGATCTTCGTGTGATTTTAAATCTGCGAGCGTGTGTATTTTTCGTTAGCATCTTTCGAATATCCTATATAAGCCCGGTAAGTCGGCTATTTGCGTTATGTTTGCCGACAACGAGCTTGGGGCTTTGAAATGGGTTCTTAGAAGGGGAAAAATCGTTTCGGAGAGAAATTTATTTGTTTCTGCTCTTGTTGACTCGTCTGAGTCTTCTTCCTCCACTATCTCAGGCAAATATAGTAAAGAAATTTGTTTCATGATTCCTTGGAGACACTTTTGCTCGTCTTCGTAGTTGATTTTTGTTGCAAGCTTATACAAGAAAAAAGGAAGCTTGTTTAAACAGGGCATAATATCTTTGACAAGCATTGGTAGTGAAACAATGTAATGCTTGTTGTCAGTCTTCTCGAAATTCATCAGAAAATACTCTCCAAACATGTCTTTCATGTTGAAAATTTCTTGTATCATGCTCTGAGCATCTTGAAGTGGGATAGTGGTATCAAGTTCGTGGAGACTTTGGAGCTGTTCTTCTAAACAAACCGGTTCTGAAAGTTCGACTATACCATAATTGCAAAACTCACTTAATGCTACTTGGTAATAAAATTCGAAAAGTAACGCGGAGTAGTCACAAAGATAGAGCCTCACATCGTGTTGGAAGCAGCAGAGTCGTTTGTATTCGTCGACAAGCCCAATATATGAACTTTTGCTTATAATGTTTGTGAGTTCGATATTTGTAGACTCTGTTACCGATGTTCTCAACTCAATTACACTGTCCAAAGTCTGCAGAACTCGTTTCCGGCCGGTTACCACCATTGTGTCCGGGAAGGTGATCCTTTCTATTTCTAAGTGTATGTCCGAGTCATCTGAAGACGCACTTTTTGTATCAGCAAGTCGAGTTTCATCGTCTGATTCACTGGTTGGTAATGAGGGGGCTCTAGTAGCTGAATTGATAAATTTATCTCTGAGTTGTTTTCTTGAGGTGAAGGTTTCATCGATACTTAGGTCCTCAACTGGACTGGCAGTGTGGGAATTCTCGCCTGTCTCCTGTTCTGGAGGAGCTATAGATCCTTCGTCAGGCAGTACTTCTTCAATATCTTTGTAGTCAACAACTAACACTGCTGCAGGTGACTGATCGATATCTTTGTCCTTTTCTAATTGAGATTCAGAATCAAATACTTCTTGTAACTGCACTTCTTCTAACTGCGCTTCCTCTAACTGCACTTCTTCTAAATGCGCTTCCTCTAACTGCACTTCAGAATCAACTGTGTCGTGCTTCAAATTGGAATCATCATCTGACTTAGAAACCTCATCACAAACGGGATACAACGTCTCTGTTTGTATCTCTTCATTTGCTTCTTCCGTCACAAACAACTCATTTGAGCCATGCTCCAGAGATCGTAAACCCTGCTTGGACACATTAGCAGACCCTGAATTTCGATGTGACAACAATTCATTCAAACGAGGCTGACTGACATCCACTCTAACCAACTTATTCTCCTGTCTGTACTTTTTGGCCACCTGAGAATACTCGACCTCTTCCTGCCTTTCTCTCTTTGAGTTCAAATTCTGAGACTTAAAAGTCCGAGAAGTGTCAACGCTCGTGAGAAGCTTATGCACATTTGTCACTATCACCTCGATTATCTCCTCTTCATGCAAAAATCTCACTTCTCTTTTAGTGGGATGAATGTTCACATCAAGTATTTCAGGTTTCAACTCAAGACTTATATATACAAACGGTTGAAACCCTTTTGGTAAAAAGATCAGGTAGATCGAGTGAATAGCTCTTCGAAGAGGATCACACGACACAAGTCTCTGGTTAATGAAAAATATAGACTGCATCTTCTTTCTGTAGTTGAAATTACAGTTGGTGATTGCACCTTTAACTTTAACCATTCCGAACTTGTCCAAATACTGGCCTTCAGTATCATCACCATTGACCTCAAGATCAAGTAACTGGTTCGAACACTCGGCTCCGTACACCATTCTTATTCTTTCTTTGAGAGGCATGCCGGGACGAGTCATCAAAGCATGTTGGAAATCCCCATGTTTCTTCAAGCTAAATCCAACACCATCGCTATTCACCGCATACTTCCCCACCACGTCCAATATCTTCAAGTACTCATCGTTGCGAGATCGTATGGAGCTCAATCTCGAAGGAAGATTGTAAAACAAGTCTTCCACTATAAGTTGAGTTCCCTCTTTCCCAGCAATGGCCTTAGGCTCTGTGTTAGTTCCTTTGAAGTTCTGTCCAGCTGGTTTCCCGTTGATATAGTATGCCTTGTACGCGAGTGGGAAAGTACTGCTTTTGCTCCTGGTAATCACTGATAAACGCGAGATGTGGGATATCGATGCTAAAGCCTCACCTCTGAATCCAAAGGTTGCAATCGATTCCAAGTCCTCAAACTTGGCCAACTTCGACGTGGCAAACCGTTCACACAAAAGCCCCAAGTCTTCCTTCTCAATTCCGTCGCCATTATCGGTGATTTGGAGAAGTTTCAACCCTCCATCTTTGACTAGGATATCGATCATGGTGGAATGGGCATCTATAGAATTCTCCACCAACTCCTTCAACGCGTTGGCTGGCTGGATTACAATTTCTCCTGCTGCTATCTTGTTCACAACCAACGGGTCAAGTTTTCTGATCTTGCCGGTGCCAATTGTATCTTCACTGGTCATCGCAGACATGGTAGCGTAAATCAAAAAGACGCGCAATCCGTGTGTAAATTTCTACCGCACAGTTATCATTCGAATCATTGGAAGGTTATGCTGAAGAGAGCCAGCACGTATGAGGTCGCTCAGCAGTACGATGGGTACAGAAAGAAGTTGAAAGACGATGCTCATTTGGCGTATCAGGGTAAGGCCGGGTCCATGATTTTAAAGCATCTAACAGAGCTTCACGACTTGTTTGCAAACGTGAAGAGTTCTTCCAAAATGGCTGTTTACCACTCTGATTCCCAGGCGTTGAGTGAAACATCAGCGTACGCATCCATAAATGCCAGGAATCTCAAGTTCGGTGATTTGGGGGTAGCGTTAAACTCAGAAGAATTTGTTCACAAACTCAAGTTGTATTTGGGAAGAACTAAGCAAGAGCCACAGGAGGAAACAGAAGAGGAATATGTGGATTCCAACCTCATGGAAGAGAAGTTCAACGGTTTCAGCTGGTTGAAGTTAGGTCTCTTATACTACAAAACCAGTAACAAACCAATACCAATGGAGTTTTTAAATGGGCCTTTGGAGTCTGAAAAAAGAGTGATTAATAGAAGCCGTCGAGTCGATGACACCCGTGGGTTGACCCTGACCACCGCTCAGCAGGTGACTGCAAATGACCTAGAAACTGATACACAAAACACTGCTACGATAGTACGGTCGGTATTTGCTGAGATCCGAAAAAAGCAGAAAGGAAATTCTGATGCCATTAACTTCTTCAAGTTCTTCATTGATCCTACGTCTTTCTCACAGTCGGTTGAAAACTTGTTCTTCACGAGTTTCTTGATCCGAGACGGGAGGTTGAGACTCTTTAAAGATGGTAATGGAATCCCTATGATCACAAGTGTGGGTATTGCTTCTCCAGGAGATCTTATGCATGAGGAAAGAGGTGAGAAAAACTCACATCACATTGCATCTTTTGACTATTTTACATGGCAGACTCTTATAGAGAAGTATAACATAACCGAAGGGTACCTTGGTCATAGAGATGTTGAAGGTGAAGTCTGGGACCAGGCAGATGATGATGATGATGATGATAATGAAGATGATGATGAAGATGCTGATAATGATGAAGATGAAGCAAACCAGCTGTCCACCCCCAGACCCGATTTCCACGAGGATGAGGATATTGAATGATTAGGATGGATAACTAGCCACCAAGGTATGATACTAGTTACCTCACACCATTGTATATTACTGTATATCCGTTAACTACGTTTTCAATTAAAATATTTACAGGGTACCGCTAACATTGGTGTCTATTTACATGTCACTTCGTTTACTTCGTCTTCCAGAACCTTGATCCACCCATCAACCGTTAATAATTCGTTCATGGGCCATTTTCGAATGGGCAACACGCTCATGTCAGTCTTAATCTTAAGGTTCTCGAATATATCGATTCCTGCCACCCCAATCATAACTGCATTGTCGGTGCACAAAGAGATATCCGGAAAGTGGAAGGAGAAAGAATCGGGCTCTGCTCCTAAAAGTTTGGTGTTAAGGCCCTTTTGTAGTAACTTCCTGAATGTTTTATTGGATGCTACTCCACCTGAAAACACCAAATCTCGTACACCTTGGAACTTAGAATCTCCTTTGGTTCTGATGGTTTCCACCACTCCATGCTTCTCTAGAGCTACGTTCACTCTGTCGATAATGTGCTCAAATAAGTGATTTTGAGTTTTGTACGCAATGAACTGCTTCGAGCCTTCATCTAATGAGTGGTTTTTCATATAATGCTGAATGGTGCTTAAAAATGGTGCAAATGTGAACTGGAGCTCGTCGGGAATCGCCTTGTTATGTGGACCTCTCAAAGGCAACTTGAGCTGGAAATTGAACTCATTGTTTCGAGTTTCTGTTGATATCTCATCAAGCTGCAACTTGACACATTCGGGAATCGAGTCCACATATTCTTCCAACTCTTTTCCCAAAAGATTGCCCTTCAAACCAATCTGCCGTGCACACTTGTCGATAGAGTCGCCCACAGCAATATCACAAGTATCGATCAAAATTTCATGGTCTGATATTGATTTCAGGTGTACTAGCATGGTGTGGCCTCCGCTCACGAGTAAACTTAAAAACGGGTATTGTGGGGTAGATGTAAGCTTTGAAACCAAAATATGCCCTAGCATATGGTTTACTCCGATCAACGGTTTATTCCATGCTATTGCAAGCCCTTTGGCAAGCTGGAGACTTACAGATAAAGATCCCACCATACCTGGTCCTCTGGTGCAACAAATGAGATCTGGAGGAACAGAATCAAGACCGTTTTTAGCACAGAAATCTTGTAACATGTTACCAATGTGCTTCTGGTGGAACTCGTGTGCGTGTGTAGGGATAATCCCTCCAAACGGTTGTGAATTTAGAGTTCTTTTCATCTCATCTAGCACAACAGGTGCTGTTTGGCCAGGCATCTTCTGTAGGAGGGCAAGGCAAGAGTCGTCACATGAGGACTCTAAGGCCAATACCTTATAGTTTCGTAGAATTATTCTAGCCACTGGAAGTCTCCGGCCGATATTTCTTGGTATGTGCCATAAACCACCAATCATATGACCTTTTGTTTGCAATTGGATTTATTTCTTACGACGTTTGAATAATTCGCAGCAGCAATTTTTTTCCAAAACATCGAAGCTTTCACGGTTCCTAGGAATTTAATTTGTTTGTTTGGTACACCCGCTTGTTGTTTTACTACTGTGGTTGTTGGTACCGGCATCTGTATCGATACCCCCACTTACATCCCTTTCATCTTTACTCATTTTCCCTGTCCATCTTGTGTCATTTTATATTTGTATCAACTCGGCTCCAGGTCCTCGTTGAATGTCTACTTTGTTAACAACCCCAACTGTACCCCTAGGGTACCCGCCGCAACATTATGACACAAATTTCGGGTCTGAATGCATTGATATGCTTGCTAAAGACGACAATGATAACAATAAAGCGTCCGAATCGCCTATAATAAACTGTATGATAGCTGGAGGTTTAGGAGGTATGGTTGGTGATACATCCATGCACTCACTAGATACCGTCAAAACCAGACAGCAGGGGTTCATGCAGAATTTAAAGTATAAGAATATGATTCCGGCCTTCACGACGATTCTAAAAGAAGAAGGATTTTTTAGAGGCCTTTATGGTGGATACTCTCCTGCAATTTTGGGGTCCTTACCTTCAACTGCTGCATTTTTCGGGATGTACGAGTACTCCAAGCGGACCCTCATCAAGGACTTGCGCATGAATGAAACTTTGGCGTACTTTTTGGCAGGCATACTTGGAGATTTAGCTTCGAGCGTATTTTATGTGCCATCAGAGGTGTTGAAAACCAGACTTCAATTGCAAGGCCGGTACAATAACCCGTATACAAAGGGAAGCGGCTACAACTACAAGGGTCTTGTGGATGCCGTGAAAACCATCCATCGAGTAGAAGGATCTCGTACGTTTGTTTTTGGGTATAAGGAAACTCTTTTCAGAGATTTGCCATTCAGTGCCTTGCAATTTGCATTCTACGAGAGATTTCGGCAGTTGGCCATTTTTTACAACGACAGTGAAGATTTGTCGATTGGTGCTGAATTGTTAAGTGGTGCATCAGCTGGTGGTCTTGCTGGTGTGCTCACCACCCCATTAGACGTGATAAAAACTCGAATACAAACGGCTACCGAAGCGTCGACTTCAGCTGTGCAAATGTCAACCATCAAAGCATTGCGTTCAATCTACCACACTGAAGGGGTTCTTGGGATGTTCTATGGAGTGGGTCCAAGATTCATCTGGACGGGTATCCAAAGTTCGATCATGCTTTTATTGTATCAGGTATCGTTAAAGAAGATCGATTCCATGTTGGTGAGCAAGGGGGCTTTAGAATAAACTTGTAAAATAGTATTTATAAATCTGTAAATAGAGGCATATATGAGCTGAAGTAAACATGGGGTTATGTAGTCCTTTGGAGCTGGTTTCTCCAGTTAAAAGGGTATTTTTGCAATACTTGAAGTTCATACAGTATTCACTATCATTAAAGTCCGTGATAGTTTAGTGGCTAGAATCCCCGCTTGTCGCGCGGGGGACCGGGGTTCAATTCCCCGTCGCGGAGCTTTTTTTTAAGTTTTTAACTATACTGGATGAGTATGACCTCAGGTATATGAAACCTTACAGGTCTATTAACATCTAATCGAACATATTCTGGAAGAGGTATTTTTGTTCACTCAGAATTGTCCTTATCTGATCGAGCTGGAAATGTGCACCTCGAAATACTTTCATTCTCGATTTTGATACTCGCACCGATGAGCATTCTTTGAATCAGCCATGACGTCCATTCAAGAACAAGATTTGGTTCTCTTCAAAGACAACAGCATAGTGTCAGACAAATTACTATCTTCTTCTTCCTCACATCTTTCCATAATCGCATATACAGAGGGGACGCAGCCCACCTGGTTTGTCAATTCACTAATTGAAAACTCATTAGTTGGAACCGCCTGTTTGGTTAACAAAGACCTCACCAAACAAACTCCAAAAAGAAGTCAGGTGATCTACATATCGTTCTCTAATTTGCTAGAGTTCTATACTAAAGCATGTAAGAAGAACGGGGTTGACTTATCTAGAGAGTCCAATTTTCATTTCATTGACTGCTTCACTGATTTATTCACCAAGCACATAACCAATCCTGAAAACGCTTCGTCACAAACTTCAAAGTTGTTCAGCTTCATTATCAAACAACTACTGATGGTTCCAGGTGTAAACAAGATTGTATTTATCGAAAACCCCGAGATCTTATTGACTGCTACAAGCATATCCAGTGTTGAACTATCCAACTCTCTTGTCAAACTCAACCGCTTATGTCGAAACTTATTTGTGATATCGTGCCATACAAGTCCTCAGATCGTGGATATCCACTCAAAGGAGGCTTACGATCCTAACTTCAAGACTTCAGACTTTCTAGTGAAATTGCACCAAAGAGCTCATTTGAACATCTACTTAGAGCCTCTAACAACAGGAAGAGCTAAAGACATCACTGGAATCTTGACAGTTTCAAAGGGACCGCTTCCATTTGAGTCTAGTATCATAATCGATGAGAAAAGCTACACCTACAACGTTACGAAAGAATCGAATATCAAATTATATTTCCGTTAGCTCGTTAAAACTTTTTCCTATGTATATTATATAAGTCATCCAAAGCAAACTCAATAGCACATCTTGACCATATCAATGGAAACAACGGCCAAACAGATCTTTCACCTACCAAAACCCAATAGGGAATGTTCTCCATGGTTTTGTGAACATCAAACACTCTCCCGAAATCTTTCACCAAGTATCTCAATTCAGGAACAATAGTTATTTCCCTGATACTGGCAAGTGACTGGGGGTTCGAAGGCTTTTCATCAATAACAAGTCGTTTAATAGTATCTGGAAGTAAACCAAGTTTGTTGATAACTTCAAGACGATGTTTTACCTCCATTCCAAAGACATTCTTCATATGTTTGACCACTGTAAACCCAGAGTCTTTCACATACGCTTCGTTGATGTCATTTTTGTATTGGAGCTGGTCGTCTGTGTCCGCCACTAAGTCTTCTTTCACTTGGTTGGTGACTCTATGGTACTTGGTTCTACCATACTCGGTGTGATGTTTCAAGTCGTTGGAAATCAATGGTGCCAAGTACGGCCGTACTAAACTGGTGATGAAATGGTTGACGTTGAATAGCTCCGTAAGCCTTGTGTACGCCGATTTCGCCTTCAAGTGGTAGTGGGAGTCAGAGTAAGTCTCTGACAGAAGGTCATCCTTCGAACTGTGTCTTGACGATGATGACGAGGAAAAGTACCGCTGGGAGTAGCTGACGTCTTGTGGTTTCAAGAACCTCACGTTGAGGTTTGGAGACTGAAGAACTACTTTGTTGTTAAAATCTTTAACATACAATTGCACATCGTCAGAAAGAACTCCCGTACCAATAGAAGCATAGATTGCCGTCCATATAATCACATTGGGTGAGGTAATATAGTTGAGCAATGAAGGAACTGACTGGTCGGTGGGGTGGATAGCGATATTGAGAATCTTCTCCGTCTTCAAGTACGCCTCTTCAAAAGTCAAGTCTCCAATAGTATCTCGTACAAACTTGAGGAACAACAAGATTTCCTGAGAGTAGCCTTTCTTGATCACATTTTCCAACACATTTCCGTATCTTTCATCTACATCATGGTTTAAACGGTCCACGTTACCCATAACATCAGCAATGGAAATCAAAATGGGAATCAACTCATCGTCAGTCAAACAGCATACTAATGAAGCCACTGCCGCTCCCACAGCACTACCTCCAAAGATACGGGGCAAAAGGCCCTTGAAATATAACGCCTTCACCACCCCCAAATGGCATAAACCAAAAAGCGAACCACCTTGAAGAATTAAAGCCGTGCTACCAAATGATTGACGAGCATCGTGGAAGAAGTCCAACGTCAACTGCTTGCTATTCATGATATATTCGGTATTTCTGGTATCTTTTTCCGAGTTGAGACTATCGTGCAAGTAATTCACACAGTCCAATACTTCGGCGATGTACTCTTCAATTTTAAATTTGGTTCCCATGTACGACTTGAGATAAAGCTTCTTCTGAGCAATACCCCCAAAATTCCGTAGAAGACCTCCTCTTAAGAGTGACATCAAAAGTGGAGCGTCGTTATTGATTCTTGCTCTTCTCAACTGCTTGGTTCTCTCGTCAATTAACACATAATCGTAATGCTTTGATATGAAATTCTGTCTCCACAAATCGAGATTTGTGATTTTATCGATTTCGACCACGGTTTTCTTCCACTCGTTGTAGGTCCTTACGTTCTTTAGTTGGTCCAAGTACTCTTTAAGGGAATCTTTGCTGTAGTAAACCAGATATATTTTCTTGACCCAGAAGAAAAACACATCGAGGAGAAACTCCACTAACGCCCAAATAAAAGAAGGCGTGTGATTGAAAATGAAGGTGATGATAGGTAACAAGTACCGCTGAAGTATTTTCTTGAGCATATGGATGTTGTGTGATGTGATGTATAATGCCCTAGTACCGCCAACCAATTATCATGCTCTTCTGCTAACTTCCGATAAGATGAGAAACGACTTTTACAATCGCATGTGAAGAGTGCGCACAGAGTATTTTTCGCAGTCAAATAAAACGTATAACAAGGCTAAGTAGATCTCATAAGTTTCTTACTCCTACTGAAGAATTTCTTACCCAAGTTCGAAGCATGTAACCCTCCGGTCTCCACCTTATCCTTGACACTAGAAACTCGGCTTCTTATCGAAACATGTCTTCTCAAATCATTATGCGCAGCGTTTTGATATGCCTGAGAAGCGATTTCACCAATGTGCATGTTGGAGGAGTTGTCAGACTTGGTAAGGGTCTCGTGTAGCCAGGTCTGTAAGCCAGTGTCATAAGCATACTCCTTCATCAAAGCCTCTTTCAACAATTTGATTCTATCTTGAGGCTGTGACGGTTTCATCATGGTTTTCCAGTTCGAAACAGGGTAAGAATTAGGTGGGAAAGTCTTTCTTGTAGAAATGGTAACGGTAGAAACGTCACTAAAATCTCTCTTGTGCAGCTGCGCTTGTGCAGATGTCAAGGTTGGAGCTCCCGACATATCCCCGCTGGGGGTATTTGAGTTTGTACTTTCACTTTCAGAAATCGACCGGTTGGATTGACCTTCGTTGTCTGCAACTGGGGAGAGAAGACTGGTATACCTTTGGGCTTTGGTCTTAACCACCGAATCCAGTGAGCTCATCTGCTCGTTGAACTTTCCTTCATTGTACTCATGACTACTTAAGAGCGAGCTGTTGGAAATACCACGTTCGTTGGACGCACTGCCATCAGAGGTGTTTGTACCACTACCGAAAGTATTGTCTTGAAACTCGTCTTCTTCATCCAAATCTGAGTCCTCGTGAATACTGGGTAATGCAACATCGACTGTCTCCGGTATTGAAGGAGCACTGAGCATCGACATATTGTCTGAAACATTTCTTGGTTTTGTGAACCGCTGATACCCGGCGTTCAGGTCTTCCATGTTGAAGTTGAAAGCAGACTCGTTGTCGTTGTCTCCTATGAATCTGTCTCTGAAGTTATTGGTATTTGGCTTCCATGCTCCCATTGAGAATGTGTTGGTACTCATGGTGGAGTCTCTTCTGTTGAGATCCTTCTCAGAAGAGGGAGGTTCGAAAGACTCTCCACGTTGGTCAAAAGAAAGCTTTCCCGTGGATAATGACCCTGATGAAGCTACCGGATGTAGTTCACCGCCTTGTTCTTGTGGAGGAAGCCTTGACTCTGGAGTCTTGACGTCTGGATATTCTGGAGCTTCTGTCTCTGTTGGAGTGGTATCGGGTTCAGTAGTATCATGGTCACTGGGTTCTTCTTCAATAGTCTCTGTGTCACTCGCAGGTCCTAACGACTCGCTCTTAGAGGTGTGCCCGCTGGTACGGTCACTCATATAGGCGTCCACAGCGTCAGAAAAGGTAGCGTAGTTGGGTGAATCTGTTCTGGAGTCAAGAGAAGCAACATCTTTAACAGCCGGTATTTGCACATCCATAGGAGGTTTACGCACCGATGGCTTATGTCCTGTCAACCCTTGGACATATTGTTGATGTATTCTCTGTTCGTCCTTAGTAGCGAGAGGAGCAATGGGTGTAACCTCGGCACTCTGGTCTCCGTCATCGTAGCCGTAGTCGTAGTAGCTGTATTCATTTTCAAAGTCGGGTAAAGAGACATTTGTGTCAATTGGAGGCAACATTTCACGGTCACCTGATCCATTGCCAGCACTAGAGACCATAGACGCATTTTGCAAGTCCTGAATAAGTGAATCGAAAGTCTCATTGCCTTCTCCAATTGTCTGGCTCTCGATATCAACAGCTTTGGTGGGAGAACCCTGTTCATTTTCCAGGGCTGTTTCGGTAGCAGCATCAGCATCAAACCTCTTCTCGTAGTACGGAATGGGATCATCCTGGTCAGTTTCAGAGTCAGAATTCTCGAAGTTTCGCCCGTCAATGGATAACACCAACGGAGCATTGGCTTCGGCTTCAAGCTTAGACTCGGCTGGTTGACCTTCTGCAATTACATCTTGGTCACCCAAGCGAGATGCCTTATCAACCAGCAGACCAATACGGCTGTGGTCAGCTACACGCAATGCAGTTTCGTTCTGGATCGAATCAGCGTCAGATTGAAAGCTTTGCTCTGATGATGGGGTCTCAGGAGTATACGGTGCTGGTACTGTGGCCAGAGTGAAGTTTGGGGTTGGAGGCTCCAAGTCCGGGCCAATATTTTGGTCCACCGGCTGTGGGTGTGAAATGATGGTTTGTTTGATGGTTCCATTGTCGTCATGAAGCCCCATTTTTGATGGAGGTCTTTCGTGATTCAGCTGATGGTCATCGTCTGAGTCTGAATCTTCCGTTTGCATTTTGTCGATAGAAAGCACGAGCTTTTCATCCGGCTTCTTCTGGGGGCTACCAGAAGGCGACTTTTGAGTTTGTGGTGCTAATTGATGTTCGGGAAGTACGAATCTCTCTGCCACGACGTTATTTATATCTGGGGAGGTGACATGATTCGATGAGTCGGAGCCGCTGCTGTAGTCATACTCATCGTCATTCCATTCATCTCCATACGACGGGACAGAGGCTCGCACCCACCGGGCGGATTTGTGTCTACCAAACTTGTCAGCCATGAGAATAATAAGAGTTGGCGGTAAGTTTACATTTTTAGATGATACGACTGCGACTGCGACCGCGACCGCGAACTGATGATGCAATACACCAGACAAAACTTATATATTTATTTATATTACTGCCCTTACATGATAAACTTCAAGTTCATGTCTATGGGGTGAGAACTACTTAACTGAGGCTTTTGTGAGTACTTGGCCTTTAAAAAGTCTCTCATTCTGTTCAACAAACTAAGGTAGGATTGTTCAGGGAACTGCGACAAAATGGAGATGAAGGCATAACTCATGGCACCACTGGCAGACCCGTTGAAGCTGGCATCAGCAGATGTCTGGTCGTCTTTACTTCCCGACAAACTGATCACGTCTGCCGGAGAAGCCTTCATCTGTCTTACCTTGTCCTCATCAAAACTACCTTGGTTCATCACCGTTTTTGCCATCTTCCCCAAGGAAGAGAGCATGCCTCCCACGTTACCACGTTCATACGAAAGAACCGCCGACAACGCATCGCCCCCCACGTCCTTGAGAATACTGGGTTCTTTCACTACTCCCTTGGTGGAGTAGACATATGGCAAGTCCAACGCGGTTCCGGAATGGCACGAATCATACAACGCCGTTAACCGACATCCCATTGGCAAAGGTCTAACCATGATCTCGTGCATGATGTCGTCTACAATGAACCCATTCTGTTCAAAGTCCAACGGATAAATCACCTGGTCAGTGCCATCCTCTTCATCTCCGTCCAAATCCTTAGTCACTCCCCCGTGGCCCGAATAGTGGAAAAACAACGAGTCGTTGGGCCTGGCATCACGCGTCAACCATTGCATGCCTCTTAAGATGTTTTCTCGAGTAGGAATTTTGTTGTACTGGCGCTGGTCATCGGTCAAAATCACCATATCGTCCCACGAGTACCCAAACTGCTTGTTTAAAAAGCTACTCATGTTCTTAACATCATTAATGCACCCTTTCAACTCGTTGTTGGTGCCAAAGTAGTTGACCCCCACGAGCAAAGCTTTTCTACGGCCCGAACAGTTTGAGTACAGAAACTGGGCGTTTACTTGCGAGTTGAACTGCTGGGGCGCGGTACTGGGAGCCGACAATTGGCCTCTGGCGTATTGTTGTGATTGTGGGGGAGGAGGATTTGAGGGTCTGGAATATTGTTGTTGGCCATAGCCCGAGGGTGGTGCCCCCTGTGGTGGGCCGTAGTTATTGGATTGTTGGTACTGCTGTGGTCTACCACCGTACGAGTGTTGTCCTGATCCTGGGAACATGGTGACAGTAGTTGAAGGAAGATGAAATTTAATGCTCGTTTTCCGCGCCTTGTGGCTGCAACAATAATCTGCGCTACAATCAACTTTCAGTGATCTACAATCAACTCTTAACTATCTGTATTGAAATCTACAACTTGGAGTGCTCGTCCTCTCCCTGGCTGATAATCACATCCGGGTACAAATCTCCCATCATGTTTCCAATGTGCCACAACCCCCCATCCACCACCTGGATGGTTCCCGTGACATAGTCCGCCGCAGGCGAGAACAAGTACACCGTAGCATCGGCGATATCCCTGGTGCTACCAAGTCTCTGTAATGGAACTCTGGTTTCCGTGGGCCTTTGGCCTGGAGGTGTCAAACGAGACATACCTTCGGTTCCGCCAATGGCTCCAGGAGCAATACAGTTACAGGTGATTCCCAACGGGCCCAATTCCACCGCCAACGCGTTAGACAACGCGTCCACTCCCGCCTTGGCAGCACCCACATGTGCCTGGAATGGCACTCCGTAATAGTGTAAGGTGGCCGAGACAAAAATCACTTTACCCTTGTTTTTCCTCAATTGAGGAAAGCATGCCTTGATGGTGTTGAAGGACCCCAACAAGTCGATCGATACAACCGACTTGAAGGCGTTACTCGACAAATGGTTGAAGTCACTCAAGAAGTTTCCAGCGGCACCCGCAATCACAAAATCGATTCTGCCCAATTTCTCCACCGTGGTTTCCACCGCGTTGGCAATGGACTGGACGTCCCGGACGTCGACATTTCCTATTCCAACAACCTTGGCGCCATCTCTTAATTTGGCCAACTCTTCCGCGGCTTTGATGGTTTTGGCTTCATTACGACCAATGATAGCAGCATCGGCTCCTAGTAACACCAACGCTTGTGTTTGAACCTTGCAGATGGTTCCAGCTCCGCCAGTCACAAACACCACTTTTCCCTTGAAGATGTTTGATTTCCAGGCACTGGTTTGTAAGTACGTTCTGTCCAAATCCATGATGATAAAATAGTGTGAGAATGGAAATTTGCTGGACTTCAGATGATTTTATACTACGGGTTTGAAATTGTGGGGCATCCGCGGCCTTCGGTTAGCGGGCGTGTATGCCCACATGTGAACGTAAGTTATAGGAGTTGGAGAAATAACATGAACGAAGCGTGAACTATGAAGCATGTACTACCCAACCGATGGAATGTGTTAGGGAAAAAGCAGTCTCTGTGGGGGTAGTTTTTGCTGCCTCGGTAGAGTAGAATGGGTCAGAACGGTTTTTGTTGGTATGGGTGATGTTGGGACTAGCTCCATTATGCATCGGCTGCGAAAATATTCTTGAACTTCCTACGCACTACCGTGTTGCATTTAGTCGCATATCTGGTGCAAAAGTATCATCCACAAATTCATAATTAGAAATACATTCCCAAAATGTGGAAGTGTAAAGAACCTTCTAGTACCCAACAAGTACATATTAATGAATATTTGAAGGCTAAGCTTGAAGACTTCCCCCAGATAAACAATAAAGTCCCTAAAAATCTTGAGTTTGATGTAACAAAAGTTTTGGGGGAATTACCAAAAGACGACCCAATGATAGAAACCACACCAATATGGTACATTTTACTCTTCGCTATCAATTAATTCATCGAGCATTGGTTTTAATAAACCCACTTTTACTGCCAACAGGTTTGTGCATAGAACTAAAAACACTACAAAGCAATACACATCATGAAAAGAACCCCGAAGAATTGAAACCAAAAGTTGCCTTCTAAAACATAGGTCAAGGCATAACCTTCATCAGTTTAAGCAGCAGAGACGAACTGAGATCTGTAGCGGAATGTGATCTTAAGAAACCTACTTCGTTTTGCACAGAGTACATCCTTCACACTTCTTCTTGCAGGAGCACGAAGAGCAGTTGTTGCAGACAGCACACTTGATGGTGTGGGAGTTGATTAATGGTTCGGTTGTTGTATACATTACAGCAATATGATTTGGAATCAAAAAAACATGGCAAAAGCACCCGTATTTATAGATTTTGGTCAGGCTAGTTGGCCACCCAACCAAAGGATTATGTCCATTGGTACCTCCTTTAATTGCAAAGCCTAAACGGTTGACAATGGGACTGGACTCAACACCCGTCTGATCTGGATGTCGTAGATCCTTAATGGCCGGGTGGAGACATTTACTTAGGGCCAGTGGCCGTCGCTAAAATCATAGTTTTGCGGATGAACTCTACACCCCTGGGGAAGGGGGCGCGACATCCAGTTAAGACGGGTACGAGCTTGTGAGCCTGTTATCTGCTCAAGTGTGCATAAGAGGTTGTGGGGTAACTATAACCGGAAACAACTTGGACCTAAAGCTAGGATAAGGAGAAGTAGTCACACATTATTGGGTACAGTTTCCTAATAGGCATGTTTATCGATAACAATGATTTGTTACATTATAACACTCGGCGTACCAGGAGCCCAACTAGTGACTAGGTTAAAAGGGGGTTTCAAGTTTGCTACTGAAACATATGCATTATTGAGAAATAGTTGGGGCAATTGAGAGAACAAGGAATTCGAAGAGGGCGGAGGAATTGAAGGAGACTGATCAGATGCGCGGTCGATGAGCTGCCGCGAGAGATGGCGGTGCGATAGTGCGGTCTGTGGCCAGGGAGTGATTCCTGCCGTGAACAAGAACCACAATGATGATTTTGTTCAATTAAACCTCCTATTGCACCGTAGTTGCACTACCTCCATCATACACATAATATACACACACCCATCGTCTACCCATCGTCTACCCGTCCTCCATTTCGTTACTGCCCCTTCCAGAGAAGGGCAAAACGTTCTGACCCATACACGACCCGCTCCCCAGCGCCGCTGCGAACTGAATGGAACATCTATCGACTGAAAAGATACCCAACAACTCTGCGAAGCACGTACCGTTAATACCACCCAACCATGTCTCATACGGCCGATCAAGAGAAGCTAGTGTTGAAGGTCTTGTCGTACAAGCCTCACCAGTTCTACGAAATCTTGGAAGTAAGCAAATCGGCCAATGATGGCGAAATCAAAAAGTCGTACCGAAAGTTGGCAATCAAGTTACATCCTGATAAAAACCCCCATCCCCGTGCTGCCGAAGCATTCAAGATCGTCAACAAGGCCTGGAGCGTGTTGAGTGATCCCGATAAGAAGAGCATATTTGATAGCACCGGAGCTGATCCCGATACCAGGTTTAATCCTTCCATGTCTAGTGCCAGCGCCAGAACTGCCGGTGGTGCCTCCCCATTTGGCGGCCAATCTTTTGGACAACCAGCAGACTTTGACGACATCTTCAACATCTTCTTCGGTGGTGCTCCTGGCGGTAGAAGAGGCGGTGGTCAGACCTTTTCATTTGGTAATAATGGGTTCACATTCCAATCATTTGGAGGTCCCGGAAGCGGATTCCAATCTTTCCCTCGACAGAGACAAAGCCAAAGACAAAGCCAGCCACGGGCAGATCCTGAAGCCGCCACCGACTTGCTCACCAACCTCAAACAACTCCTCCCGATTCTTTTATTTGTGTTGATTTCAGTGATTCCAACGCTTTTCGCTGAACCCAGCGTCCCCGATTATTCATTCACCCCATCCACCAAGTTCAATTCCCAACGAACAACCCCCACGCTTAATATTCCCTTCTATGTGAATGATCAGTTCATCCAGAAAAAGCTGTACACAGATAAGCAGATGAAGACGTTCGATTACAAAATAGAGACGCTGTTCATCCAAGACAAACGTACCAAGTGCTCCAGAGAGCAGATGATCCGAAACCAGTTATTCGAAGAGGCTCAAGGATGGTTTTCCACCGACCAGAGAAAGCTCGAGAGGGCCCAAAACTACCCCATGCCAAATTGTGAGGTGTTGAAACAGTATAATTTGATATAACCATGGTCATCTTTCAGTTCGTCTTATCAGATGTAAGAGATCTGTTTTAATTTTATATATAAATGCATATGTTAAAGGCTATTGGTGTTGGTCAAGCACACCACCTCAACTACAGGCGAGTACGACCCGTCCCCGTTAATCTCTGGTCCCTGAGCCCATTTTTTGGTATTTTCATCAAAAGTAAAGCCCTTGACCTTGATATTCTTATATTTGGTGGTAGTTACCTTTAATGTCGAAAAAACAGAGTGGCCATCCACACCATTGCAGGTCACAGACCCGCTAAAAGTCGTTGACAAGGTGATGGATTTGGTTGACTTTCTTAGATATGTGACACTGAATCCAATTGAACCTCCAGGGATAATACCCACCAGAAGCAGCGGAGAAAGTGCAACAGTGAAAACACCGTTTTGCTTGTAGGTTGAGGCTACCCCCAATTCCAACGAGGCACTTACCGAGCCTGTCCCGTCTGCTTTATTCTGAAGCAACTCCATTGTCAATGGGAGAGTTATCTTTTGGGTATACTGCTCTTGAGCCTGTTTAAAGTCCCACTCGTTTATAGTGAATTGTTTGGGTTGGCCTTCATTTTTGAGGTGGTTGATAGTAATGTACGTCTGTGAGTCTTCCACCGAGATTCTTACTTTTTCGTGCTGAGCAGCAAGTTGTTTCAAGAAGGTGATGTTGATGCTATCTCTTTTCGCAACCGTTGTGTCTGTATAGTTATCTTGGAAAGATGGGTACTCCCCAGTCAAATCAACTATTTCCTGGGTTTGAAGAATAGGTTCCCATTCAGGTAGGCTCTGGTTACAGCTAGAGCTGTAGATGGAAGCAGCAGAGGTTGTATGAATAAATAATGGTAGAATCACTAGTGAGATAAAATGTGAAGACTTCATACTGAAACAAGATGTGGGGATGTAGTGGTATTTATGCACCAGCAACGTATACCCTGAGTGGTAACAGCATGACAATGCTCAACATAACGATATACCCTTTCTGTGTTGAATTGGAATCGGGCATAACAAACATTAAGAGCACGTGACTGACCAGCGCCGTACCTGAAATAGTACAGCCCTTGAGCTGCAGGGTTGATAATCGCAAACAAATTCTCACGCTAACGCAGTAGACAAAATAGCTGAATATCCACCAATATACTTTCCGGTCCATGTACCTCAACCCAACTTGATTCAGTTCACAATTCTACTTCACAAGCAAAGGGCCTGACATTTTACTAGTTTTGAAACCGCTAATTCTCTCAACTACATTTAGCTGCGTCATCGGCCTAAAATCTAAAATTGGCCGCGGAACTTCGCACTCACACAGGGGGAAAAAGAGATAATCAATTCTATTTATATTCAAGCACTTGGTTAATAATATCAATTCGTTGTTGAGTGTACACCGTTTTCATTTTATTGTAACACTTTGACCTGTGTCTTTCTTTCTTTTTGACCAAGAACAAGACCCTGATCTCGGATCTATCCCATTTTCACTACACTCATACACTCGTCATATACGTTTTGTTTTTGAACCCTTCTACTGGACACCAATAACTGTTTTGTTTGATTTGTGTGACAGTAAGCGAGGCTTTATTATTACATCTAACTTCCTGTCGTCAACATTCCTCCTCCTCCTACAAAGAAACACAAGTTCGAAGGTATGGATTCGTCTGAATTGCTTAAGATTCTTGATAATCCCGAACTCTTCGAAAAGAACCACAAACAAGTACGTGAGCAACTTTCTATCTATTTAAAGAGCCAAGAACTGTTGGTGTGTGACTTGCGTAATGACCTTGAAACTTCCAAACATGCCAATAAGGCCTTCAAGAAGGCTTTGTCTGAAATCGGTACAGTTGTTATTTCTGTGGCCATGGGAGACTTATCCAAGAAGGTGGAAATCCACACAGTTGAATCCGACCCCGAAATCTTAAAGGTCAAAATAACCATTAATACTATGATGGACCAGTTACAAACATTTGCTAACGAGGTAACTAAAGTAGCCACAGAAGTTGCCAGTGGAAAATTGGGAGGCCAGGCCAAAAATGAAGGTTCGGTTGGAATCTGGAGATCCTTAACTGATAATGTGAATATTATGGCTCTCAACTTGACCAACCAAGTGAGAGAAATTGCTGATGTTACTAGAGCAGTCGCTCGAGGTGATTTGTCAAGGAAAATTAACGTACATGCTCAAGGTGAAATCTTACAGTTGCAAATGACTATCAATACAATGGTTGACCAGTTGCGGAAGTTTGCTTTCGAAGTAGCTAAAGTTGCTAGAGATGTGGGAGTTTTGGGTATTTTGGGAGGTCAAGCATTTATTGATAAGCTCGAAGGTATTTGGAAGGAACTAACTGATAATGTGAACGCTATGGCCTTGAACTTAACTACTCAGGTGAGAAATATTGCTAATGTTACTACTGCTGTTGCTAAGGGAGACCTTTCCAAAAAGGTGACTGCTGACTGTAAAGGTGAAATCTTGGACTTGAAATTGACTATCAATCAGATGGTGGATAGATTGCAGAATTTTGCAACAGAGGTCACCACTTTGTCTAGAGAAGTCGGGACTTTGGGTATTCTAGGTGGTCAAGCTAATGTTCAAGATGTTGAAGGAGCTTGGAAAGCCGTCACAGAGAATGTCAATCTAATGGCTACTAATTTGACAAACCAAGTGAGATCCATTGCTACAGTCACCACAGCTGTGGCCCATGGTGATTTGTCTCAGAAGATTGGTGTCCATGCCCAAGGTGAAATATTGCAGTTGAAGAATACTATCAATAAAATGGTGGATTCCTTGCAATTGTTCGCTTCAGAAGTGTCGAAGGTTGCAAGGGACGTCGGTATTAATGGTAAATTAGGTATTCAGGCACAAGTTAGTGATGTCGATGGATTGTGGAAGGAAATCACCTCCAATGTGAACACCATGGCTTCTAATTTGACGTCACAAGTGAGAGCATTTGCTCAAATTACTGCTGCTGCTACAGATGGTGATTTCACAAGGTTTATTACCGTTGAAGCTTCGGGTGAAATGGATGCATTGAAGACAAAGATTAATCAGATGGTGTTAAACTTGAGAGAGTCGATTCAAAGAAATACGGCTGCCAGAGAAGCTGCCGAATTGGCGAACAGTGCTAAGTCTGAGTTTTTGGCTAACATGTCCCATGAAATTAGAACTCCATTGAATGGTATTATTGGTATGACACAATTATCTTTGGATACTGAATTGACTCAATACCAGAGAGAAATGGTTTCTATTGTCCACAACTTAGCCAACTCTTTGTTGACCATTATTGATGATATCTTGGATATTTCAAAGATTGAAGCTAATAGAATGACTGTCGAGCAAATAGATTTCTCGTTGAGAGGAACTGTGTTTGGTGCTTTGAAGACTTTAGCTGTTAAGGCAATCGAAAAGTCTTTAGACTTGACATACCAGTGTGACTCTTCTTTCCCCGATATTTTGATTGGTGATTCCTTCAGATTAAGACAAGTCATCTTGAACTTAGCAGGTAATGCTATCAAATTCACCAAAGAGGGTAGGGTTAGTGTTTCGGTGAAGAAGTCAGACAAGATCGTTGAGGAAACTGACAAGTTGTTGTTGGAATTTTGTGTTAGTGATACTGGTATTGGTATTGAAAAAGATAAGTTAGGTTTGATTTTTGATACATTTCGTCAAGCTGATGGTTCCACTACTAGAAAGTTTGGTGGTACTGGTTTGGGATTATCTATTTCTAAACAGTTAATCCACTTAATGGGTGGTGAAATATGGGTTACATCTGAATACGGTTGTGGTTCTAATTTCTTCTTTACTGTGAGTGTTTCTCCTTCAGGCATCAGGTATACTAGACAAACAGAACAACTTTTACCATTCAGCAATCACCAGATTTTGTTTGTTTCTACTGAACATTCTGATAGTGAATTGGAAGTAGTTGGAAGCAGTCTTATTGACTTGGGTTTGAGTCCTGTCATTGTCAGACAAATCACAGATGCTAATTTGACTGAACCGGTCAATTACGATATCATTGTCATTGATTCCATTGAAATAGCCAAGAATTTGAGATTGCTTCCTGAAGTCAAGTACATCCCATTGGTATTGTTGCATCAATCAATTCCAGACTTGAATATGAGAATCTGTATTGATTTGGGTATTTCTGCCTACGGTAATACTCCATGCACCATTAGCGATTTAGCAAGCACAATTTTGCCTGCGTTGGAATCCAGGTCGATTTCCCAGAACACCGATGAGTCTGTGTGCCACAAGATATTATTAGCAGAAGATAACTTGGTTAACCAAAAGTTGGCAGTGAGAATTCTTGAAAAACAAGGACATCGTGTTGAGGTTGTAGAGAATGGTTTGGAAGCTTACCAAGCCATTCAAAAGAAGAAGTATGATGTTGTATTAATGGATGTACAAATGCCAGTCATGGGTGGATTCGAAGCTACAGAAAAGATTAGACAATGGGAAAAGAAGTCTAATCCTATCGACTCTTTGAGTTCCAGAACACCAATCATCGCATTAACAGCACACGCTATGTTGGGAGATCGTGAAAAGTCTCTTGCCAAGGGTATGGACGATTATGTTTCTAAACCATTGAAGCCTAAGCTATTGATACAAACCATTAACAAATGTATCCACAACACTAGGCAATTGAAAGAGTTGTCCAAGCAGAATAACAGCAACCGCACTTCCTCCGCATTTGCTAAGAACTTGAAGAATAGTGGAGACTTATCTCGCATGAATTCTAACAACAGCTCATCTCCCGCTACCACACCAAACGGATCTCATCTGAATGGTCCAGAGCCTAAGATTGTAGAGATTTTCAGCTCTAGACCTGGAAGCCCAAAGAAAGCGAACTCAAATGATTATATGCTCAATGGTAGACCTGGGCAGTTGCAGGCGAATAACAGATCCAGGACAGAATCTGCCATAAATGTTACGTCTAAAATCTAAAGTTAACGAATATTGCGTATTAAGCTAATCAGTAATAAATAAAATTGTGACTCAAGTGATAGCCTCTGAAACTCACATCACCAAATGGTATCCTTCCATTTGCTTAACTCCTGTCCTTGAATAAATACATCCTTCTGGGCCTTCTTTCTCATGTAAAAAATGGGACAATCATTATTAGAGCACAAAACTTCTTGATGTAAAGACCCCTGACATCTTTGACATTCGGTCCATAACCTAGAGAACTTGTTTTCCAAATAGTTCATCTGAGCCAAAGAACTACAATATAACCTTGGTCCTTCCTCAATACAGTTCTCACAAAGCAAGCCCTTGTTGTGAGGCTTTAAAGGAGTCTTACAGTTCTTACATGTTTCTGCCTTTCTGGCAAATTTTAGTAAACCACCACTCTTCGGAGCAGCTCTCTTCACGGTTCTGGTATGGTCACCAGTCAACAATTCCTTAGCCTTTTTATCCCCCATAATAGGTTCAAAAATTCTCATCAAAGGCTTGGATAATTGGTTCTCCAAGTAGTAGTTAACATCAATAGGCAAGGAGTTTTCCAAAACATATAAGGGATCTTCTGATTTATCATAGTTTTTGGCACCGGCTGGACCATTGATGATAACATATGCAACTCTGTCACCTAACGTTGGGGCAGAACCGGCATCTCTTTTACGCATCTTTTCTGCCAACACAATGTGTGCTTGCTTAGCAGCGTAATCCTGCTTGGAATAGGCCTTAGTTATAACCAACTGAGATAGATCTACCCTGTTTTGCAACAAGTCAGCAATTGTTTGTTTAACAAACCTTTCTGCCTTCCCCACATCTCTTTCTTCTAAGATTAATACCAAAACCTTCGTGATGACGTTTTGAACTAATCTACAGTTGTCTCTCCGGACTGTTTCAATACCCTTTGTATCCATTTTATCAAACTTATTGGGATTCGTCCAATATAAACCGGCATATCTCTTCTTGTTAATCAATAAGTATGGATAGTAACACTTTTCGAACTCCAATTTGATCGGATTCTTAAATTTGGATGAAACATATTCAGCTGCTTGCTCTCCCAATTCCATACACTTCAGCAAATCAGTATATCCAAACTTGATCATGACCGAATCTGTATCACCATAGACGACTTTAGCATCGTAATCAAACCCATTTTTCTTGGAATAGAACTCTTCAACCTCATTCTTGGTCTTCTCGATCATGACTCTTCCAAAGGCTGTGGTCGATGAAGAGATAGCCAAACAAGGTAACTTACCGATGGTTGCACCAGTGAAACCATAGACAGAGTTGGCAGAAATCTTCAAGGCTAATTGTCTACCGTTTAAGACGGACTTTCTGAAAGGATCAGTTTCCTTCTTCAAATCCGCCTTTGCTTTCTTTCTAGCAGTCAACAACTCATTCAAAATCGTGGGTAAAATGCCTTGCCTTTTATTGTCTTTAACAAAGTAATCTCCATTGGGAGTTAAGATATAGTCATCTTCGTTTAACCCAAATGTTTTGATGGTTTGCTTATTAAGCAACGTAGTATAACACAAGTTATGTGCCATCATAATAGAAGGATACAAAGAACTGAAATCTAATGTGGTAATAGGAACATCATAATAACCTCTCAGAGGCTCAATAACCGTTGCCCCTTCATATTCCTCATTTGTTCCTTCGCTTTTCATATTCGGGATCACAATGTCTTGCTCTAGACACTTTCTGAATAACTGAGATATGACTTTGATCTGCTGACCTCTAGATAACAAATATGAGAACGGAACACCTGTGACTCTGGCCATTTCTGTGTAGTTGACTAAGCACATCAATTTTTCAACCAATCTTAAGGGCAAATAGGCATCTTTCAAGCAATAGACAGCCAACCTTCTTCTAGTTTCAGCGTCACCGTTTTGTAAATCCGTGATAATAGAGTGGTGTACATCTTCTTTTTGTTCACCTAAGAATTCAGCCGATACAGAGTTCAATGTGTAACTTCTCAATTTGTATTCTCTCTGAACGAACTGCAACAAGTCCAATTGCATTCTTCCTTCGATATTTATGACCTTGTTTTCTCTGGTACCATAAGCTCTGGAACTGAAAACAGAATCCTTTACTTCTTGTTTGATCTGTTTCATTCTTCCAAAATAAGGGAATTTTGGCAAGTGTAAAGCTCTTGCTCTGTCCAATAAATAAGGTAAATCAAAATTGGAAGTGTTATAACCAATAATTACATCTGGGTCAACTTTCAAGACAAACTCTTTCCAATGCATGAACATTTCATCCTCTTTTTCGTGGGAGAAGATCTGAGACCCAATAATAGGCGAACATGAGTTGACTGTAAATACATTTCTCACGAATGGTTTAGGTTCTCCGTAGTTCAGGACAACGTTGGCAATTTGAATTACTTGATCATGCTCTGCCTCGGGGAAGATACCTTTTCTTCCAGCACACTCGATATCGAACGACAAAATACGTAAAGGAGCCATTTTCAACCATTCTCCTTCCGATGCATGGGTCACTAAGTCTTTATAGTTGATAGAACACTCAATCTGACAAGTCGATTGGAATAAGTTCTCATCTTTCTGTAGGTGATACTTGCCTTTGGGTAACGTTATCCATGACATTCCGGTAATTTTGCAGTCTACCATCAATCTCAATAAGTAATTAATGTTATCGTACGTGACGGTTCCCATCGGAAAAAGCTCCTCAAAATGGACCTCACCCCTTTCGAACATCCCCCGTAACCGGGAAATGTTTCTAGCATTGTTGACGAAGATCTTGAAAAATGGAACCTTGATATTGTTATTAAATCCCCAAATAGACTCCTTTGCTGAAACCTCAATAGCTCTTATACCTTCAAAGGAATTCGTGAGGTAATTCTTGAAGGTGTTCATGTTGTCATCAACAGAAAACCCTCTTGGAACTGGAACGTACAAGTAATGCAAGAATCCAGTCACGTTACACAAGATGGAGTTCCCTTTATCTGTAATACCAAAAAATCTGGCAATTGTATCATCATTGAGATGGGTTTCTTCAGCATCCAACTGCTGGAAACTTATGTCATGGTTGAAAAAGTCTGGATCAAGCGGAGGTCTGTCCCATTTCTGATGCTCCTGGTCCTCGGCTCCAGCACTTGCTGTCATGTTGACCAATTCTTTTTCAAAGGTGGTTGGTTCTTCCATGTTGGTGTCTCGTTTTAACTTTTTTAAAGTCAGCTCCTGCGACTCTGTCAAGTGCTCCACCACCGGGTACAACGCCTGGTTGGCGACGGGCATCGAGTGAGCCAGCTCCGAGGGGGCATTTAAAGGTCTTTTAGACATGGCAAGCTAAGAAGATCAGTAGTTTCAATGAGCTTACAAACGCGACTTTTAAAAATACTTGACCAGAATCGCCTGCGCGTCACAATTTATCTAGCTGCAAAAATGTTCGTGTATTTCACTATTAACACTGGAAGCTTTTGAGATCGTTCAAAAGCTTGGTATGGATCAAGTTAATTGACAGCAAGAACGACTTATTTTCCAGTAGGTCTTGGAATCTTTGCACTATATAAAGAAATTCGGTAAGGTCATTTGATGCTTTAGCCATTTCGTTTAAGCAGTAGTCGAAAGAAATGGGCTCAAACAACTCGTCAGCATTCCCTTCTTCTAAATCCTCATTTCCATCGTCGTTACCATCAACATTGAAAATGGTCGAAAAATGGTAGTCAATATTCTTCTCAAATGTTGTGTTGAAATCGTACTTGCTGGTGTCAATCTTCAATGAAGAAAACTTGTTGATCCAAAATTGCTTGACAGGTTCTGATTTGATGGTCCTGTTCAAGTTTATGAAAATCACAAAGTCAATGACAAGTTTGAGGTTCTCATTGTTAGTTTTGATGCTGGTATTCGATGTGTTAAGGGTGATTAAGAGGTCTTTGATCATGGAATCGCTGGAATACACGTAGTAGTTTATGAGCTCGAAGTCAGCCTCATTGCCATTCAAAGCTTTTATCAAATTGGTTTCAAACACTTCAAAGCATAAACTGTTAACTTTGGCGGGTGCTTCCAGTAATCTTATTTGTTCAGTAAGCATGTCATTGTTTATAAGGTTTCCGGGAATATTAAGGTACCGTAACTCAGAAACCGCCAACTGTATAATAAAATTCAATACTACCTCAGCGGTAAGCTTCAATTCATTACTTGATTCATCTTTGACCTTCAGAATTATTTTCATTATTTCCTTTAGAACCGTTAAATAGTTGTTCAAATTTTTGTTCTTCAAGCTTATTTTACTTAGAATCCACTTGACTATTGACACACTGCAAGGTAACAAGAAGTTTTGGGAGAGGTAGTCCAAACCATTGTTTAGTATCTTCAAGTTGATCTTCCCGTTGATGAATGCAATCACCGCTTGCTGATAAATTAAAGGGATCAATTGATAAACCTGTTTCACATCAATTGACTTGATCAAGTCATCAGATAATCCTTCCGCTTCGTCAAACAATGAGTTTATCCAATCGTTGATCAAACTGTTATAGTTACTGGCAATTGTCTTATCATTTTCCACCTCTTCATTGAAAACTGGTGTTAGGTTGGTGTAGTTTAAGTTATAATTATGCAAATAAGTTGAGGTGAATGAGTTCTTCATATTGAAATCCATATTGATATACTCAGAACATTGCATAATGAACAACAAAAGCACTCCAAAGTAGGAAAAAAATTCTTGGAAGGATCCTTCATTGTTGTCATTCAACTTGAACGAGTCGTTATCGAGAAGTTTTATCAACTTGAATATGATCTCCCTGTCAGACAAGTTGAACATGAAGACCTGGAATAATTTAGGGCTTTTTAGTAATATCAACAACAATCTGTTCAATTTTTCTAAGCTCTGCTCATCCACCAACAAGTCCATCATATTCTTCATGGTTGATATCAAATCAACTTGTTTCTGCATCGAAAACTCAACTTTATTGATGGTGGTATCGAGATACTCCATTAGGTTGGATTCGTCAATAGAAATGAATTCACAGTTGATGCTGTATAGTTTGTCATTAAGATTGTCTTGAAAGTTTTCTGATGAGTTGACGTTCGACATTTCATGTATCAAAGTTTGCTGGTTTACCTTTCCTTCGTTGGGGAAAAACCTATGGAAAGACTTTATGGACAAGATCTTGTTGAAAATTAATGATTTAATAAAATACTGTTTCAAGTTCGTATTGATTTTATCAAAATTGTCAAAGTTTTCAAACGCCTTATTGATAGTATCTTCCAAATTGTCTACTTTGTACAATAGTATCAATTTTGGCACCCGTGAACTCAAAAAGTTCAACCAGTTGTTTTTCACAAAAGACGGTTGTTTGGCCTGTTCAGACAAATATATACCATTGAACATCGAGTAAATCAACTTATAGCAGTCTCCTTTGAACACTTCATTGAAGTTCTTGAAGAGCTTTTCATTATCGGGAACCTGGTAGCTTTTGAACATCTCGTTAAAGTAAAAAAAGATCTTGATGCTTTCGTAGCTGGAATGATTCTTAGAATTCACATTAAGGTTCAAGTTGTTCAATCTCGGCTGTATAGTCAAATTCTGTTTGCTGGTAGTGAACTTGTTACTACAGTATTCAAACTGCTTCGTATAGTTGTTGGCATTGAGGAACGACATCAACTTTGTAACAAAGACCTTGACCACTTCCTTGTCTTTCAAGGAGAATTTCAGAATCAAAGTCCCCCAATTGAATATCAACTCGTTCAAGAGTTCTTCGTTATTCTGATCCAAAACATGTTCAGAGTATTCCACAAATATCGGCAAAAAGGCCTCCACATCGGTGATGAGATGAATCTTCAAATGGTACTTTCGTAAGATCCGCACCTGTTGGTTTGTCGGGAGCTTGGCAACAGCTTTCCAGAACAGATTTAATTTGATTAGAGATACCACTGTCAAGTACCTTTCATTGCTTGAGTCTTCCAATAGGTCAACAAACTCTCCAGCCGTCACCGGGGTTTTTCCATCAAGCTGCTTGAATAGATGAAGAAACTGCTTGTCTGACACGTTCCTCCGGTTGGAGAGGTGCAATAGTCTCTCAATGGGACGCATTTGTGGTGAGGTAGAATGAATGAAAAGCGCAGTGCGAAAATCAGTGTGTAAATGTATTGAACTCCTAACCTGTCCGGTTCCATATATAAAGTTACATAGGCGTGAAGAATACTCTTCGGCGAATTTCTGGGGCTCACCAGATGCTTCTATCGTCTTTGTTCCAGATCGAAGTATCGTTCAAGTCCCAGCTGATTTGACTGGGATTGAAGTCCAACAGATATTTGAGGCCGCTCGCAGGTAATGAGTGATTGCTGAGGTTTAAGTCGGTGTCGTACATCTGCGTGTTTCTGGAAGACAACTGAGGCGACTGGAAGCTGGCCACAAACAGGTCCGGTTGTTTTTGTTGGCTGGCTTGACTTGGTGGAGTCAGTTCCAGTGATTGCAATGGTGAAGGAAGCTTTACCGACTGGTCCAAATTGTACAAGTTAGGAGGTTGCAGCTCCGGTGCCTGAGGTTCCAATGGCGTGGGTAAGCTTGTAACTGGTTGCATTTGTGTTTGTAGATACTGGTACCCGGTGTATGGAGTTTGGTTATACTGGGAGTAGTTTTGGTACTGTGCGTACTGGTTGGAGTACTGGCTTTGAGGTTGGCTCTGGTAGGCGTGATGGTGCTGCTGTTGGTGTTGCTGCTGATGGTGTTGGTGTTGCCGCTGCTGCTGCTGCTGATGTTCCTGCTTTACAACAGCAGCGGCAGCAAAGGTCGCCAACGTGTACTTGTCAGTCTGGTTCTGGTAGTACTGCTGTTTGTACACAGAAGGCAAACTGTAGCTGGAGTTGGAAATAGTGAGGTTGGCAATAATTTCAAGCTGTTGGCTGAAAGGTTCGAGCTCAAGGCTCCGTTTTGTGTACATGGATATGAAAAGCGAGTGTCAGGTGTAGGGAGCGAATGAATAGGGCCAGCAACGAGTGCCTAGTGTATTTAGTTGGTATGCCAAATGATGGAAAAGATTCAGCGAAAAACTGGAAAGAACGGACAAAAACGTAAACGGTGGATGCAGAAGACGCTATAATACAAGCAAAACAAAGGTGGGCCACCAAATGCTAAATAAAAATATGCTTTGGTGGAGATGCAGAAATCCAATAAAAATACTGTTGTATTTGAAAAAGCTTTTGGCTGGTTTGTCCATTACGCGGTATACATTAATTTTTTACATAGTGAAATTTTTCAGTGGTTTATGGTAATTTCACGATTGATTTAACTGCCATGCTGGAACCCCGACGTTGTCGATGGTGTCTTTGATGACTTTCTCTTGCTCCATTTGTTCCTGTTCCTTTAACTTATGTTTCATCTGCCATTCGGGGATTCCTCCAGCTGTCACCCCGTTTAAGCTGGTAGCCTCAGAAAACCTCACCCCATTTTCTTTGGGGGCAGCGGCAGGAGCGGGTGCTGGCACCGGCACAGGCGACGCCTCCGTGGCCTGCTGGACTGTTGGTGGCTCCTGGGTGACAATGGCGGCAGGTACAGACTTTTTGGCCTTCTTCAAGATCTCAGATGCCGATGGAATCGAGCTCACAGGTGTAATTTTTCTCTCTATATCCTTCGAGGACCTTAACTTGATGAGGTTCTTCAAGCTGATCAACTCCTCGTTGATATTGGATAAATCATCCTTCACGTTGTCCTTGGTCAAGTTTAGATTTTTCTCCACCGAGTTCTTCAAATTATCAATTTCCAACTTCATCAACCGCAAGTCGTCGTCAAACACCAACTTGTCCTTGTTGTACTTGGTCAAGAAGTCATTGACGTTGTTGATGGCATCGTCAATTTCCAGAAGCTTTTCTTCGTTGCTCTGCTTGATTTCCTTCTGCTCACTGGCCAATTGCTCCAACAACTTATCGATCTTCACAAACTCTTCGTCGATTTGTTGCTTGTCGGCATCAATACTGCTCTGAGTAGGTGGAATAAGGCTTGGAATGACGTACCGAGACACCACTTGGTATAACCCGTAGGTGACGCCTGCCGTGGCAGTGGCCATGATGAAATAGTCTTTCCAGGTTCTGTCGGGAATCGCTGGCGGCACGTTATAGTAGTCGATAGGAGGCCCGAACGAGGCCGGTGCGTGTGTGTGCGCAGACGAGCCCACAGACGACGGTTGAGCAATGGATGTAGAAGGGTTGGAGCTGGCGTTGGCTCGGTTGAGGGCCTCTTCGATTTCCTGCTCATTTAGTCCCTTGGTCTGCAAAAACTCCACCTTTTTGTTCAAGGGGGAGCTGGTGACATTAGGGTCCTTGAGGAAGCTGACGGCGCTTTGCACCAAATCTTCATTCATTCCGGAGCGATGTGAGAGTTTGAAGTGAGATTTAGGATTTCTCCATAAAAATGTGACTGCCGCGGCATGGTGAATGTGAATAATCTGACTATTTACAACTATTTACAAGTATAGGAAATGACTGAAATATTTGTGGTTTTGAGCAGAATCAGCTACAACCTCTTGAGAAGCTCCTCATAAATGCACCAGCTGATTCCAGCACTCAATCCCTTTCTGCTGAGCCGTAAGCTCAATCCTTTGAAGAGATTGCGCATGCCTCCAGGTTCAGACACAAGAATCTTCATTGTTTGGGAAATGGAGGCATGGGTGGATGACAACTGCATGCGGGTCTTGATGGCGTCGAATGGGGCGGTGATGGTCGTGGCCAAGGAGGCTGCCAATACGGCGGATGCCGAGTTGGTGACTCCTCCCTTGAGATGATCCTGGTGCGACCTCGATGCTATGCGGTACAAATCTGTTTTGAACCACTCGTAGAACAACACGTAGAGTCCGGCATACGGGCAGTCTCGTGAGAGGGTCACCAAGCTTCCTTTGAAGAAATTTCTTATGGTTCCTGGCAGATTTTTGCCGTCAAAGTAGATGCCTTCAACACTCTCGTACATCGAGTTGTAGCTATAGATGTTGGACTCGTACCGCGTCTTGATGATGGTGATGGGCATGGTGATGTAGCCAGCGATGGCACGAACCACGAACCCTACGCTTAGATTCTGGAGGTGTGAGAGCTTAGGAAGAATGCTCGACGACGGTAGAACGGTGGAATCGATCTTAAAACTTGACAAATAGAACCGGGACTTCAACAAAAGTGTCAAGTAGATGGCCGAGCCCATCGATGTTCGAAGACAAGAAGGGAGTACCCCACGCCAGAGTTCCTTGAAGTTTTTCAACTTGCGAATCTCTTTGACAAGAGTAGTGTTGTAGTTAAGATTGTGCTGTTTTTGTTGCTGCAAGCGAGTTTTGAGCAAATCAAACGGTTGGAGCATCACTGATGATGTCAAGCCTGCTAGGCCTCCAGCCGCAAGTGACTTTTTGCTCGAAAGTTCATTTGCCATGCTTGTATGACATTGGTGAAGCTGCAATTGGCTTTTGGCGTGCGAACCGAGTAGATGATGGGCGTGTGCGGACCCATACCCTGACCCGATAGGAGCCTAAAGAATGATTTGTTAAATGTGTTATGTATGGTATTAAGAACCTATGCCTAGTATAACTACCACTTCAACGAGTCCAAAAACTCGACAGCACTCGTTGGGGCTGTTAAAAGTACGTCCAAGCCCGACAATTGTGTATTTCCCTCGAAGTCTACTTTGTCCTTGATGAGAGCGAGACTGCAAATCGAAAGAAAAGTATGATACGGGTCTGGTGATGAGTCGAACTCCTTGGCAATACCCCCTATACGGTGGTCTTGGTTGAGCAAGAGAAACTGCGCCGCTGCCGACAAGTTGGACAAGTCCAAGTGGTTTAGAATCTCAAGTGAGCCCAAGCTCCACCAACTATAGCAGGAATCACTTAGTTTATTAACACGGCCGTTGAACCCTCCAAAGTCTTCATGCCTCAACTCTAATTCTCCCGGTAACACCTCCGGGTGGTTGACTTGCCGGTGGACGATCCAATTGAGGGTCTGGTGGGAGTCGGCTTCTGGTAGATTGTAGTCCAAGAGTTTCAACATTGCAAGGGCACAGAAGGTGAAGCCCGAGTGGGACTCACTCAATTGTACACAGGAGAAGCCCCCTGAAACATTCACTCGCTGTAAAACATATTGGATCAATGCTGGCACGTCAATATCGTATTTCCTTTGTTGGGGTGGGATTTGATCGTATTTCAAGATTCTCCGTATAGCAACAGCCATATAGCAAAGCCTCAAGTCTGAGTCCCCAAAGGGTGTCCCATCGATGTTCAATGTGGGAGCAAAACATCCTTTATCGGGACCTGTTTTCCACTGGCACAGTTGAACAAACTTCATGATCAGATGCCTGTCCACCTTCTCATTTATGGTATCTCTCAACACAAGCAAGCTCTGGAGTCCAAAAAAAGTGGACGACATAGTGGCGATATCGTATACACCGCTGGGGTTCATGACGGCTCTGAACCCGTTGCCGGTGTAGTAGCTATTGTAGATAAAGTCTGAAAACTGGGCACGCTCGACGTCCGAGAACCCCAAGCCATTGAGCAACTCCAAGCCTTCAAGACAGAAACAAATGAGCAGTAGTTTGTTATTGTCCTGATCCTGATGCTTGGAGGGGAGCATGTTCAAGCAGAGGGTGAAGTATTTGACATGTTTGTGGATCAATAATTGATTCATGGGGCTTGTGAGTGTCGCGAGAGGTCGCGGTACAAAGTTTGAGTGTCGCAGTGCCTCAGTGTCGCAGTGCCTCAATGTCGCAGTGCCTCAATGTCGCAGTGCCTCAATGTCGCAGTGCCTCAGTGTCGCAGTGCCTCAATGTCAGTCTTTGTGTCAGAAGTTTAATGTCGCAATACTCAAATTTCCATACTAAAATTAGTTCACCTGTTGCTTTGCAACTCAAGCAACGAACCTTAAATACCGTTTCTCCACGCGTAATAGTCTTCAGAGTTTCAATGATTGGAATCATTCATATCTCATTCTCAGCCTCTACATGGCTGAGAAGGAATTGTGGCAGTGTTTATAGGGTTTACGACGAAACAGGTGTGTGCAGCAACGTGTTTAACTTAATTTTTTGACACTTTATACAGACAAAACTGTACCTATCATAGTCAGGGAGTGTCAGAGATCAGAACTAATTATGGCTTTGCTATTGTGGTTACAGTGTGAAATTATATATAGAAAATATTTAACCGTGTCAGGGTTTAGCAATTATCAACCTTGAAGGTGTTTGAAAAAGTATAAAAGGACATAGGTAATCCTTGATTTTGTTCTTCAGTTTGCTTCCCACACACCATGAAATCTTCAGTTTTTATTGCTATTGCATTCACTACTTTATCCGTTAACGCCCAGAACTTGGCTATCAGAGCTGCTTCTAGTGGTTCAGTTAATGCTTCTGCCTCTGAGGATTCTGCCTCTGAGGGTTCTGCTTCTGCTAGAACTTCTGGTTCCGCCAGATCTTCTGGTTCCGCCAGATCATCTGGCTCAGCTGCCAGAGCCTCTGATTCTTCCCTGTCGGGAGGCTCGTCGTCTTCTCGTGAAAGTTCTTCCCACGGTGGGGTAGATTCTGTTACTGCTGGTTATGGTTTGTCCCTTGCCGCTGTGTTGGCCGGCTCATTGTTGATTTAGATGTAGTCCATAGACCAATGTACAATGTTGCAATTTGGCTGCGAAAAAGTAGAGTGGAGGTGAGTTGGCACAGACACACAAGTGGGCACAATAGTTTGTGCTGTGGGTTCAGTGGTGACTTCAACTGCTTGTTTGATTATACTCCTTGCTAGGCAATCGCTCGTCTCCACCCGTGAACAACACGTTTGACAAGGGTTTGTGACTCGTTAATCCTCTAATGGCAGGGACAACGCTTCTGAAGCGGGTAGACTCTGAATTATTTAGGGAAAATAGAGCCGTATAATGTCAGAACTCAACTGTCTTGACTAGTTTACACGTTCTCTCAGGAGAACAGTTGACGCTAAAATTAATTACTTTTCCTATGTGCCCCAAATGTCGAAAATGTCGTGAAAGGTTTTCCAGTACCAGGTTTTGTACATGGCTGCTTCACGTATCTTTTCTGATTGTGACAAGGATATCAACTACGTGTATTCCTTGAATCGATCTCCGTATACCTCTATTTTACTGTGTCACTTCGAGGAACCTACTGCTGAACAAATAACAAAAGTCTCAGCAGCCTACAAACTCAGCTACAACTCAACCGTCAATCAATCTATACGATCTTTCTATAACAGTTGATATCCTCTCGAGTCTGGAAATTTCCGTGTCTTCAACCAACTTCGTTCACCTCAACCCTCAAGCCTCTAAGCATCAATTTTGCGCGAACAATAAAATCCACCACCCATGTTCAGAACATTCACTAGAATCACTACACCCGTGGTGGCCGGAGTGGTTGCGTTCGGCGTATTCCCCTTCAGAAAGAGCCAGTTTGATACCCACGAATCCAAAAGCAACCAGCAGATCCTCGACACCATCAAACAGCTTCCTCTCTACAACTCCCTCGTACAAGACCCAACCTTCACCCTACAAGATCCCCGAAAACAGTTCCCCAAACAACATCACCAGAACATGGTGACAGCTGGGATTCTTTATGGGAAGGACTTGTTCGAGGTTGACCCGGTGGTTTTCTCTAACGGAAAAGGTGATCTTTTTGCATTTAATTACCTTGGTGAAAAACTCACCAGTGAGGACGGACAAATCCATAACGGAGTTACGTCCACCATGCTCGATGAAGGATTATGCATGGCCGGATTTCCATTGTTGCCATCCAAAAAAGGAGTGACTGCCAAGTTATCGATAAATTTCCAAAACCAGGCCCCTCCCAACTCAATAGTATTGTTGAAAGCACATGTGACTGAACAGAAGGGTAGAAAAGCGGTGGTAGAGGGGTCAATCGTAACTGTGGACCAGAAACCGGTAACAATAGCAACCGCAACCTGCATTGTGGTTGAGCCCAAATGGTTCAAGTATTTGTCGTGGCTCCTGTTCATTTAGGGTTATTGGGTTGCTATTGGCCCCAAAGTTGCTTCTCGATGGGGGAATTTGGCAATATTGAAAAACATGCATGTGACGAATAGTAAGGTGTTGCTGTGGGAGTAAGAGTATAAATAGAGGTGGCTTTACGTACTAGTATTTTTCATACAACTAAAAAAGCAAAACTAATAATGTCAGACATCGGTAGAAAGAATATTTCAGATAAAATTGAATCCAAGATCACCCCAGACTCCCAAAAATCGGGCTTCCAACAAGCCAAGGACAAGGTCACCGACACGGCTGACGATGTGGTTGGTGGAAACACTGCCAGTGATGGCAAGTCCTGGACTCAACAAGCCAGTGACGCTGTTTTCGGAGAAAAGAAGTAAATATTTATAGTGAATGAATAACTTTTGTCCCTAATTGTAGGCTGAAATTGAGCAAGTGTTTTTGCAAGAAGTGTTGGCCAATCTTCATTGCTATGGTGTTGCACCGCAGCCATGAGGTATTGTGTGCATACACGACCATTTGCCCTCAAACGCGTAGCGAGCCTATTTACGTCTCAGTCTCATTACACCAAACATGACAGTAAAGGCAAATAATGCTGAACAAGCGTACTTGGACTTGTGTAGAAGGATTATAAACGAAGGTGAACACCGGCCAGATAGAACTGGTACCGGTACCAAGTCGCTTTTTGCTCCTCCACAATTGAGGTTCGATTTGGCTAACGATACTTTCCCATTGTTAACCACCAAGAAAGTATTCACAAAAGGTATCATCCACGAATTGTTATGGTTTATTGCCGGGTGCACTGATGGTAAGAAGTTGTCGGACTTGGGAGTCAAGATCTGGGAAGGAAACGGCTCAAGAGAATACTTGGACTCTTTAGGGTTGACTCAACGCAGAGAAGGTGATTTAGGACCCGTGTATGGTTTCCAGTGGAGACACTTTGGTGCCACATACACCGACTGTGATGCCGACTACACGGGCCAGGGGATTGACCAATTACAAGAAATCATCAAACGGTTAAAAACCAATCCTTACGACAGAAGAATCATCATGTCTGCTTGGAATCCGTCCGATTTTAGTAAGATGGCCTTGCCTCCATGCCACGTCTTCTGCCAGTTTTACGTCAATTTCCCCCAAGGTGGCAAGCCCAAATTGTCGTGTTTGATGTACCAGCGCTCGTGTGACATGGGTTTGGGAGTTCCTTTCAATATCGCTTCTTATGCTCTCATGACCAAGATGATTGCACATGTGGTAGATATGGACTGTGGAGAGTTCATACACACCATGGGAGATTGTCACGTCTACCTCGATCATGTGGATGCTTTGAAGGAGCAGATGGAGAGGACTCCAAGAGACTTTCCCAAATTGGTGATTAAGTCGGACAGAAAAGATGAGATCAAATCGATAGATGACTTCAGGTACGAGGACTTTGAAATCACCGACTACAAGCCATATCCGCCTATTAAGATGAAGATGAGTGTTTGATGTGAGGTGGAGTTTGAAACATTATGTACATTAGTTATTGATGGTATATCTTCGACTAGTTCTCTTGGCGCCATCAGTAAAATCGTCGACTGAAATATCATCGTTTTTCTTCGACTGGACCTTGTGAGGCAAGTTCGGTTTATTGGAATCAACTCTACTCATGGGGGTTCTGTGTTTCTCTTTCTTCACACATGTGTAGTAGTCGTCGGTAACAGCATCCACAAAATGCGCAGACTCGCGTCTCATTTTCTTCCCAAGAGACGGTTCTTTGTAGTCCACTGGTTTTCTGTGTCTCGAAGACCGTTTGGGGACCTCCTGGCTGAGAAACGGCATCGACATCCTAGATCTCCCAGACTTCGTGATCCTGGAAACAGGTTCTTGCAGAGCAGCTTTGACAGTAGGTTCCTCCAAAGAAGACATGGTGTGTCTTTTTGCAGACTCAAAGTTAAGCTTTTGTGGAACCCTCTTTCTGTTGACCGTTGGAGAAGGAGACGACATGTCGCTTTCCAGAGTCGCTGGAGGCGTTCTGTTTTCTTTATCTTCTTGTGGCAATGCTTCTGTGATCTCCACTCTGTCTTCAGCTTCCTTTTCCACCTCTGGAGTCACATCTTCAAAGATCTTGATGGGCCTGCCAATACTCCGTCTTCTGGGTCCGGGTCCCAAACTGTATCTTCTCAACCGAACTGTACTTTTTGCGGGTTCCTCTGCCACTTCACCTAGCCGAGGTCTTTTGTGAGTGCTAAGTCCCTCGCGTTCTCTGAAAGTTTGAATGCAGTGGTATATGTCATTGATCTTCTCAGTGAGCGCTGATTCTAATAGATCCAATTTGGCTTCCAACTGAAGCTTCACATCCAATTCGGTCTTGTTAGCTCGTAACAGCACATTTTCGTTAATTAGGTCCGCCACACGCTTCTCCATTTGCAAAAGTTTGGTAGTCATTATTTCGTTATTTCTCGTTAAAGTCTTATTTTGAAGCACATACTTCTCGGTATTTATGTCTTCCTTTTCGGTGGTCGCTTGAAAGCTATTCTCCCGTTCCTTTTCCCTGGTCTTTTCCTGGGCAAGGTGCACAAAAGATAAAGAACTTGAAGATGGCCTGGCCATAACTACAAAGTGAAATCTTTTGTTTACAAATCGAAAAGCGATCGCGAATTTTCTTTGCACTCACCACAACCATGCAAAAGTCAGGGCAGATATACCAGAAAATAGACGAGAAACGAGCAGAGTTGGCGAGCTTGACGGAAATAAAGGACTATACAGAAAGGTTGACGTCACAGCTCGAAGTTTTGGAGACAAAACTCGAGGAAATGGTCGATGGGGCCGAAAGTGTCAACCTCGTGTTATCCACATGGCAGAATGTTGTTAGATCCATTTCATTAGCTTCGCTTGGCTTGTACAAATACTCACAGAATGACTACGAGAGCCTGACGCCGTTGCCAGAAGGATTGTTGAGAATCAAGGTCATACCCGAAGGAGAAGACGACGTTGATGTTGATGAAGTCAATGCTGATGCTACTGATACGAGAGATGTTTAATGGGTGGAAATAGTTTATATACGTGTATTATAGCTTCTATATGTTCAAATCGGTTTCGGTTTTAATAGAATGAATCCAGTTAAGTATATTATACTTTTTGGCGTAGCCAACAGATTTGTGGAAGAAACTATTATCCAACTCGAACAACAAAACATTGTCTTGGTTGAACTTGGGCTCCTCCTCCTTCAACATTTGTTCCAAGATATGGATTTCTTTGTCATGAATAGATAGCACCGTTTTGAAAAGAACCAGGCTCTTGAGCTTTCTCGTGACAAACGCATCTGTCTTTTCAGAGGTGCTATTCAACTCGCTCCAGTCTTCTGTGATCGATAATAATCTACACCAGATTTTCTTTGTCTCGAGCTTGTAAGTGGCTTCATCTGGCAACAAGGACGCCACTCGAAACGCGTTGGAGAACCCATTGTTGAATTTTGACGAAGGCCTTACAAACGTCAAGTAGTCTATCAACACCGATTCTCCGAGAGTTTTGTTATTAATGAAGTCTGGAAATGTGTGTTGAAAGATACCTTGAGCTGCACTTTGGTCAAGAGCATTGTTGACAAACTTGAGGAACATCTTCAACTTGAGGTCTTCATCACCCTGGGATTTTATCACAGCTTCGTTCACATACTGGAATAAAGACCGCTGGATTCTGATAAGGATTAGCTTCGTTTCAATTCTAAACAATGTAGAATCAACGTCCATCTTACCAGCGGTCTCGGAAGCCATAGCACTCAACTTGGCCAAAGAATACTTCAACTCTTGATTGTTCTGAGATTCGCTACCATTGATCTCTGCCGACCTCAACAAATATCTTGAAGCATCGGCATACTCGCCATCTAGTAGCTTTCTGATCCAGGCGACATTAGAAGCCATGTCGTATTTGCTCTCCAAATATTGATCCAATAAGTGCTTATATCTGGGGAATCCCGTCAAAAATATTTGAATCTTATCGTTTTTGATGTAGTAATCAAACAAGGCGCTAGCAAAACTGTATTGGTATCTCTCAAAGTAAACGTAGTACTTGGTCAACATCATTTGGTACTCCGCGCTGTCAAGACCGTATATTTCAGCAGTCTTTTCCCGCTCTTCCTCGATAATCGATGCAAGGGAGGTGAAATTTTGATACTTCTCCACCATCTCTATGGCATCTTCGCCCAAATTGTTGGATAATAGGCATTGGATCCATTTCACTTTGTTCTTGTTGTACCATTTCACGTATTTGGTTAAGCTTTCGTTGGATTCTTCTTTCATGTAGTCGATGGCTTCATTGATGAAATAATGCAATGCATTGCACAACTGACTGATATTGCCTCTCACGTCGATAGGATTCGTGAAAGCAATACTATCATTACAATAGTTTGTGTCGAAGAACTTCTCAATGTCCAATAGCAAGTCAGTGTCGAAGATCCAAGATTTCCGACTGGCTATGTCCTGTGCGTACTTGATCTCATTGACCATGATCGATTCGTATAGTACCTTGGTTATCAAGTTCAATAGAAAATCTGCCGACACATCAGCTTTTATCGACGCAGTCAAGAAATCTGTGAATACCAAGTTGATCGAATCAGTCTTATTGTTGAAGTAACGTCTCATTCCATCATCACTAGAACCTAAAGTCGGTTCGTGTTTTAAAACCACTTCCTTTAGTAATTTCCTCAACTTGACCGCACGTTCACTACCTGAGTCTACCAGGCCCCAAACGTGTTGAGAAGTTTGAGTTTTCTCCAATTCATAGATGATATTAATTTTGATGTGTTCCCCCAATAACGGAAAATTTGCATTACAGTACTCAATCAAGTTGATCAATAATTTTGCCTTGTTCTCTAACAACGAGCTTATGGTGGGAGAAAACTTCGGAAGATATTGGGAGTTGGAGCCCATTATTTCTTGAATGATTTGGGATACAGCTTCGTCAATGGTCTCCTGGGAAAACTTTCCTGTTAAGTTGAAGTCAATGGAAGAGTCTTTAGAATAGAATATGGCCTGTTCTATGTGAGATTTGACCAAATTGACGGGTTTTAAGGAGTCCCCAGTTGATCCTTGTGAAAATTTTTCGATTCTAAGAACTCCAGAGGATTCTGTCAACAAAATCAATGCCAGATTTGAATCAGTTGACTGATTTTCATATCCATACCCTATGACATCCACAGAATCCTTTAGCTTAATGATATCTTCCCATCTAGGTTTATAGTACAGAACGGTTCCTTTCTGCAGAATATAAGAGTAATCTAACTCCGTCAAGATCAAGGAATTCTTGAGTAGAATAAATGCTGTAGTTTGAGGGTAAGGAACAAAGAGCTTAGGAGGTATGTCGCCGATGCTCCCATCGAAACGGTTAGTCCTGTGAGATCCGTAGACCAATACACCACTCTTATTTATCTTTGCAGTTATCAAAACCAAATTGTTTAGGTCGTTGTCTGATTTTTTGAATTGGTCTGTGATGAGACATAAGATCAAATAAGTATCTTCCACCGAAATGTTGTTGATTCTCCAGGTATCGAGATATTGAATGTTTTGCGTAGCGAGCTTGTTAAAGCCATCGATATTGCTTTCCACGTACGTATTCATGTTGTGCGTAAATGAAAGGGACCAGTCTATGAATGGGTGACCTGAAGTCGAAGATAGCTGGACCGTTATAAGGTGGAATAAACCCGACTTCTCTTGTATGACGATTTGTTGTTGTGTACCAGCATTGTTCAAGTTTCCCGATCTTGTACACACTATGTCGTCGTTTATATCGTCCCTCTTGAAGAATCGAGATAAGAAGTTGGATGCGGGCTTTATCACAGAAACCAAAGACAAGGCCGGTTTATTTTTGCGGTCTCGGAGGTTTACAAGCAACACTCTTTTCCATGAGGTGACGATGATGATTCCTGCCGGCTCTACGTTCTCGGCTAAAGTAATAAACTCACCTCTCTCGGATTCGATTGGAAGAGATATCTCCAAATCCTTATTTCCTATCAACCCCAATGCTGGTGAATGCTGTACACTTTCGAAGAACTTCAAAACCCTGGATGACGAGTTGATGATGACGATTCCGGGGTCTTTAGAACTCCCGCTAGAAGGGTTGGTTAAGATTGCCAATGGTAATATACCTTGAGCATCTTCTATGGGGAACTCGATGGTCAATGGGGATGAGTCGGTCGACTTGTAACACCAGACATATATACCTTCTTTTGAAACCACTACAGAGTAGCTGGAAGTACCATCGGCGTATCCATTAAGAACTGTGTCTGGTTTTCTCGATAATACGTTTGGCAACGCAGGAAGTCTTGATATGCAATAGTAGTTGGTTTTGGTCAATTCATATATTTGTGACGTTGTGTTTACAAAGCCTGGATCGCCTGATTCAGGAGTGGCACTCTTTTTAGTTTTACGAGCTTTCCTGGGCCTGAAAATAGATCTTTTATCCGTAGACATGTTGTAGTTCTTTATAAACAAAACTGTTGAAGTCGCAGCAAAAAACATGAAAAATTTCGAGGACCCGTCGCGAATACTGTCCAATGCAATATAAATTCACTATTAATGTACAAGTATCTACATACTCGGAGTGGCTAGGGGAGATATGGACACACATCTTTAAGTAGAGGTCATGAGGCATAAGTGGTCAACTTTCAAACTTTTTGTTTTTTGCTGGAAGGAGCTTCTTCGTCTTCATCATCAGAGATGATGTCTTGAGCATCGTCATAAACCTCATCATCATCTTCATCATCGTATTCGATTTCGTCTCCTTCTTCGTCGTCTTCGTCGCTTGAAAGCTGGTCGTATTTCGACTTCAACCCCTTCATCTTTCTGGTCTGCAACTTACCTAAGTCTTGGTTACCAACATGGATTTGAGCAACCTTATCACCCATGAAATCAACCTTGACATTCTTCTTTTCTCTGGCTTGTAATTGTTTGGGTTTCTGGAACGCTTCCTTCTCCACTTCGGGGGCAGGGCTGGTTCTTCTTCCGATCTTGAAGTCGAATCTTGGTCCGATTTCCTCAAGCTCTATTCTGGGGAGTTTCTGTCCAGACTTGTAACTCTTCAATTTATACACTCTGAAATGGACCAAGGGCAAATTGGTGGAATTTGGGTCTTCTATTTCCCCGACAGATACAGAAATGACAAATTGTAAACCTGCCACGTCTTGTAAGTCTGTCTCTTCACCTCTGAAGAAATCCATAAACAAAGACTTGACATGTTGAAGAGCAGGAACCGAGTCGAATGCTGGCCCGTTGAACACAAACATGGGCTTTAAGCCTACAGTGAATGTCAATTTCTTGAAATCCTGTAACAATTTGTGGTTGTCTTGTATGGACAATTCAATCATGTCGTACACTTTGTGGTTGAAGAATCTTGAAAAAATCAAGGTGTTTGGTCTTTTCTTGTTGTGGCTTGACAAAACAATTAACGAAGTGTCGTTCTTTTCACTGAAGAATTCCAAGGTTGCAGGATCTTCAAAAGGTCTGACTTCGTTCTTCTTGGAGAATCTTTTGGCATGAGGTTTTTTGAAGGCCATCAAATCACACATGGCATCGTGTAAAAATTTGTTGCCGGTGGATCCAGGCACAAACAAAGCAGACTTGGTGTTTTCCACCAACTTTGACTCCTTCTTGGCCAAGGCTCTCTTCGAACGGGCGTTCTTAGGCTTGACAGTTCTAATCATGTTACTTTTGGTATATTGACCGAGAAAAAATTATTCAATTGAGATGTGCGATGAGATGGGTGCGAAAAATTAGATTGGAATAAATATATTGGAATAAATATACTAATGCATGATTCTATAAATGAGAATGGAATATTAAGCCCAAACCTGGAGCTGTTCAAAGTAATCCACACGCTTGTGGCTCTCGTTGTCTATATTTGCAACCACGGCTGCCCTTAAATCGTCTACCATTACTGGATGACCACAGGTAATGAAGGCAGCAGAACCTTCACTTTCCTTGATGGTATGTTTGACAATTCCATCCATTGAAGGTCTTCCCTCTTCAAAGGTGATAAACGACAACTCACGGTGGATCTTATCAATGACCTGTTCCGCCGTTGTGCTGTCAGAAGATCCATAGCTCATTAATGGCATGGATGTCAAAGAGGTCTCTTCACCGCTGACTTCATGTTCAGCTCCAGGGAACCGAAGATTGAATTCGTCAAGATGGGCATAGCTTTCGGGTTTTGTGACGTAGATAATTGTTTCGATATGAGTGTTCTTCAACGATAAAAGCTCTTCGTAAAACCAGTACAAAGATCGATATTCTCTTACCACCCAGATCAAACGGACCTTCTGGTTCGACGGATATCTGACCAAATCAACTGCTTCAGCAAAGATACCTGGTATACCGTTTCCTCCAGCCACAAACATAGCACTATTGTACCTGCTGGCAGGAGTCTGTTCTCCATAGGAGCCTTCAACTGCAACCCGGATACTAACAGATTTGCCAGGGTGGGTTTGGAGATAATGATAAAGAGACTCGGTGACCCCCTTCTTCACCTTGATGAAAACCACTATTTCGTTGGGGTTGTTGGGTGAGATGGTATATGTGAAAGGATGGGATTGCCAGAAACAAGAAGGTCTCAAAAAATGAAGAAAAACATGGCCTCCTGGGATTGTTTCCCATTCAGCTGGCTTTGGAATCACCACTTTCAAGGCTTCGTCAGCCAAAAGCATCACATGTGCATGAGGGAAGCCAAAGCTTATCAACCGGCCAATTCGTATCACTCTATCGAAGATCCATACGGCAAACGTGAAGTGATAGAACCATAAGCAGTAGAGGTACATCACGTGTATGTATGCCCCGAGAATGAAGCCAAGGGCCAACACGATGTGGAGCAACAAGAAAACCTCGTAGTATTTTCGTCGGAGAACCAACAAGCTGTGAACGCACAAGACCAACCCACTGAGGGTTCCAAGAATCCCCCATCTGATATAATCATATGAGGCTAATTCATAAAAGTCAGACGTATACAAACTGTAGAACAACGAGTGGCCAGTGATCAAAATCACAAGCATTCGGGAGATCCACCTGTGCAAGGTGATAAATGAAGAATAGTCCCACCTGGTGGCCACCTGCAAAACGTTATTTCTACCACCAAAAAGAATTAACAACGGCATCATGGAGCTCGTGAGAATACTGGTTCGAACCGCATAGTACCGGAGGAACGCCCGGCCCTTGCTGGTAAAGATAGGATCTCCATCCACGTAGTGCATTTCTTTGGTCACGAGATGTGCGAGTAGAATAAAAAAACCTGTCAAGGATGCAGTTTCCAACCGGGTGGGCACCAAAAAGTCAAGAACCTTCAAAAACGGCTTCTCGTTGGTCTTTCTAAGTCCGGCTGTGGCCGGCACAAAGAGGTGTTTTCTGAGCCAGTTTGTGTATGGATCCACCATCCGCTTCACCAAGTGCGGAAAGATGAACTTGGACCAGTTAATGATGGAAACACCCAAAAAAAACACCAACCAGTAGAGAATGAGCACACCACCGTAGTAGATGGAACGGTCGTAGTTTCCCAACACCTGATCGTACAGCCTCTTGTACAACAACATTTGTGAGTGGTCCAATTTCACCGGGAAATCCACAAACTGATCGTCACTTAAGCTACCGTCATGGCTGATGTCTCGGGAGAACTTGGAGTAGTTGGCCAACGCCTCATCGAAGTCCTGTCGAGTGAGAGTCGTGTCACATTCGGTGGCACACAAGTCCAACATGGAGTATTTCACCGTGGAGTACGCATAGTCGTAGCAGTAGGCCATGGACGCCCTGGCGTTGGGATTTTGGCACACACATGTATACCGCTCGTCTTTGGGGCAGAACTGAGCCAATTTCATCACCTGGGAGCTGCAGCTATAATATGCAATTTTTCCCTCTCCGTACTTGTGGATGGGAGCTCCGTCTACGGCTATTGAGGGTGTGAAGGTGATGAACAATGAAATGATAAAGGCCACGATTAACCAGGTTCGTACGGTTCGGAGCCGAGGGTTTCGAAGCTTTATGGGAATGCAAAATGGTGTGAGGCATACCAAAAGGCCTATGGTTACATTGATACACCAATCGTACATTTTAAGTTACAACAACAGATTGGTGGAATGGATGATACTTGCCAAGAAAAGGATATAGGTGCCGAAATAGAAGGAACTGTGGAAGGTATTTATATGGAGATGTGAGGTGATAAGGATTTGGCACAGATGGCGGTGCCAAATGGGGGGTACACTTTCAAATGATGGTGTAGAACAAAATTTATTGGTCGTCAGCTTCAATTTTTTTTTGACGCAGGAAAAATTCTCATTTCCGAGGGTGGTACAATCGTAAACCGCGCCGTTTGCAGACGTCGGCCAATGGTATTTCACTTACCTTGGTGGATGTGGGTGTGTTATCTATGGCATATAAGAGGAGTACTTCGCCTTATCGGAGTTGTGTCATTCGAATTGCTAGCTCCATATCCCGGAAGCCACAGTTTTTGGTTCAATATCGGAGTTATAGCCAATGACGTTGCTCGCTGATGGATTCGATAATTTCTTGCCACTGATTTTCTAGATAACCAGTGCGCATCGGGTTTAACTTTTGGTACAAACTCAAACTGCCAAGATGGCAGTAATGTTAAACTTTGCCATAGAAGAGAATAAGGTTTGGGTTCGGCAGCTCTAGACTTGAGGGGTGGTGGAGAGTAGCCCGAGTTCGGGTCGGGTATTTATAGCAATGTGGAACTTTCCTCGTTCCGGTCCGAGACCCGTGCCGATGTATGTGCCTGTGCTGTGCCTGGGTCATTGCAGATCCTTCATGGCCACCCATATGCCTGTCCAACGGCTTTTTCACACCTCTGTGGCTTTTTCTATGGTCTGTCGTCGCAATTTGCCTTGTTGTACATAGTAATGATAGAGTAAATGAGGTGATTCATCTTAGTATTGAAAAGGTAGGGTATCGGTCGAGTAAACCTTTCTATAGGGTGGTGACCCATCGAAATTTAATTGCCAATAGTTATTATGCCTGAAAACGGCCATTCTGTTATGGTGGGTAAAATGATTGAATATAACTCTTGTGCTTCTGATGAAGTTTCGTAAGACTAGCATAATCTTCGGTACCCCTTGGTTATTTATGAGGAGAGGACTATTCTACTATTACTAAAGTGGCCAATCTTCTTATAAGAAGCTGGTCACTGACCTAAAGATAATCAGACAACTCCAAACATTACATTTAAGAACCAGCTCCGGTCGTATAACACCCACCCGAATTTGATTGTCTTATTGTAAGAGGTTTGGGCTTCTCCCAACAGGCGCGGGCACCAACTCCGCCCTTTGTACCTGAATGGTCAATCACAAAATGACTAATAACTTGTATAGTTCTCTTTTTTGGTTTGCTGCGAATCTCTTAAGCTTCGAAAAAGTTTGAGACATGTTGGAAACAGTGCAACCTAAAATGGTATTCTTCAAAATGAAATAAAGTACATTACTTGGAAGGTGCCTTATTGCAGCCATTGTATCTTTTTGGTATGCCTAAACCAATCTGATTGGAAACAAACTAAAAGTAGGATGTAATAGGTCTCGTGACCTGCTACACTTAGTAATGAGTGCTCGCTTAATAATTTTGCCAGGCCCAGACCGCCGCGCGCAACATTATAAAAGCCCTCCAAGTCCCAAATTTTGCAACTATCTACAATAACAACATGTCTATCCAAACAGCCAATATCAAAGTCAGCGAGGTGCCCTTGAGCCAGATCAGGCGGCCCATTCCTCCTGTGTTGGATTATCAGAAGATCGATGCGATGGTATCGACCTTGAACGGAGTGCCCATGGCTTCTGCCACTTGCCCCATCGAGGAGATTCTGTCAGGTGAACTACCTCCAATAGATGTATTTCGAGTGAGAGAGGAAGGAAAAGACTACTACTTTGCATTTGGTGGGTGCCATCGGTTCCAGGCATACGACCGAATCAACACCGATGGAACTAAGGAAGTAATGGTAAAGTGTAAGTTATTACCTGCCACCAGGAAGACATTGAAGTTGTACTTGGGAGGGTCAGTGGACGAGATGTTTGCTGATTTGGACAAGGAAAGGGAGACCTGAGAAGGAAGAGATATTGAAAGATTGAAAAATTGCACATAGTATTTTTAAATTGACAATACAATAAATAGCATCATACAAACGATACATAATCTAAACACTATGACCACACTTGTAACTGCTCGTAAAACTCAATCCGCTTCTCCTCCGAGAGGTTGTGACTCACGACATACCGCAAGTGGTCCACCATTTCTGGGTGTCCACAAGTCACAAACGCAATGGAACCGTTACTCTCTTCAATCTCATGCTTGACAAAGTCTTCCACATCAGGTCTCCCGTGCCTGAACTCCACGTGACACAAATCTTCAGCAACTTTAAAGCTCGAGCCATCAGAGTCATCTGTTTTTTTCTTTTCCTTGTCCGATTCTGCGGTTTGGTTTGTGGGTCTTGTCAAATAAACAATAGTCTCGATGTTCTTACCTTTCAAAAACTGTAATTCCTCATAAAACCAGTCCAATGACTTGTAATCCCGAACAATCCACACGAGCTTGACCTTCTGTTTGGAGTCTCTACGTGCCAAGTCGTAGGCCTCACTGTAAATACCGGGGATTCCATTACCCCCCGCCACAAACACCGCGGTGTCGCAGTATCTTGCAGGCGTTGATTCTCCATATGGACCTTCAATTCCTACCCTCATTTTAACTGTCTGGCCCGGCTGAGACGCTATGTACTTGTAAAGACCATGTGTTACTCCTCCTTTGACTTTACAATAGAGGACTATTT